TAACACATCACTCAGCTATCAAATGAAACAGCATTCCAACGACTGACATTCGTTCAAGTTGTGCTCGATTCACGTGAATAGTCAAAAACATTCCAGTGCCGGATGGTGACCTCCAGCCACACGAAGCCAGCAATATTGAAAAAGAGAGCTCGTCTGAGAATGAAAAGGCAAACTAGTGTGAATATCGTAGGCGTTTTTCTGGTATTCACATGACCGGGAAGAGCAACGAACCACTACAGTGGTCTAGCAGGCCTTTGGCTGGGTTCTTCCACGTACTTCCACGCAATTCCTGGTAGAGAATGCAAAGCGGCGTTCAGAGCTCAGGAAAATTGCCAAGTGTCGAGTCAGAACCCTTCTATTCACCCGGGTTCGAATGGATCCTGTTCATTCTTACGCGCTAGTACGCAATAAGTTGACTGTGAATGGGGGCGGAGTCACTGCTGCCGATACGCCCCACTCGCGGCCAGTGCATCCCCAGCCAATTAATCTCTTAAAGGCCATGATCTTGGATCCAAAGCCGAGCTTCCGGAGTCATCAACGGAACCGCCTATCTGGAAGTATGCACGCATCTGTGTCCGGAGTGTGCTGATGCTCCCATAATGTTCATGGGATCTGTTGCTGGAACATGGAAATCAAAGTCAAGACATAATCTCGGATAAGCTTCAGTCAGTGAATGGAGTTCTCCATGGGCTTGACTGAAATTGGGTTAATTAGAAGCTTGAGGCTCAATGGAACTCGGGATCTGAATCTTATGGGGTGACTGCTCCGAAAGTTATTATCCCACTGCATTCACTAACACCGAAGTGACGGCGGACGATGCGATGTATCCATCATCGAATGGCAATTTAGAAGAAAATAATAAGAAATAAAAGGCAAAAAGGGGAAAGTAAAGGTAGAAATGGAGTCGGTGAACGGAGCAGATGCTGTTGTGCGAGAATGAACTACGTACTTTTGAAACCACAAAGCACTCACACTGTCTCTACTATTGGGACTTGGGTCTCTCGATTACCTCTCCCACCTCGCGCCAAATTCCCTTGCACTAGTACGATTTTATACAGCCTCAGCTTGGGTGTCAAAGCGTGGTAAATAATAAAATACGCGATTTCTCCCCGTGATGTAATAAAACACACTGCTTTCAATACGACCCATTACGATGTATTAAAACTGCATTTCTGATGGGGGGGGGGAGGGACCGCGACGGGCCGGAATCTTTCTACTCTGATACGACACATCACATGGGCCCAGGGGAAGTTCGAACGTGCATCCAAAGTGTCGGGTGTGGTGGATGGCGAGTATGCACCAGCATGAACTCTATGCAAAAAGATCTATATTTTTCCTTTTTAATGACTCTTGCAGATGTGTTCCTCAACACGAGTCAGAGCAGGAACTGACTTAGTCTCCGGGCTTGTAAAAGGTACGTTCCCGATTCGGAAGCAGCTCTACTTGTTCTCACAATCTCTTTCTCCTCTGCAGGCTGTGGAGCTTTATTACTGTAATAATTACCATGGCTTCAATCGACGGCCGGACTCCCTGAGACAACTTTACTTGTGGAAAAGTGGACAGAGATATGAAGGTCGATGGAGGGCAAAGGAGGGAGGATGCACCTTATCTTTCTAAGTAAAAGAATAATAAATGCATTCAATTGACTTCTAACATTTTCTAATCCGCTTTTGGCAGATGAGCCATGGAAGGGCCCCGGGATTCGAAATATCCTTTTTTGGAGCTCTGCTGCACAGGTCTCCGGCAGGTCCAGAGCCCTACGGGCCACGGTCGATCCCGGATCTTCTAGACGTGTACGTTTATGATCGTTCTCGGCCGGACACTTGTCCCGGACCAGGGGCACAAGAACACAAAAGTGTGTTCCTGGGAGGACACAATTATCCCAAAGAAGAAAAATCCAGATAGAATCATTTTTTATTAACGTATATCGTTTGTTGATCGCACAGAAGGAAAATCTATAAATCTCAACTCCCCCCGATTCCGATGGATAGACTCTCATCCACGCGGTCAAATTGTTTTCAGCCCTTACTGCTGCCTATACCTGTGAACTCGTGACTAGGGTATTGAAGGCAGCCATGGACACCGCAGCGGTCGGCTTGGTGCTCATTGCTTCTGCCATCTACTTGTACATTAGAAACCCTCTTCCTCCTCTTCCTCCGCCTCCTCCTGCACCTCCGACACACTCTATACTCATTCGAGAGGTTTGTACTAGTCTTACTAATATTCTATGTTGACTTCTTTTGCTGATCGTGGTGCCCTACCCATTCTAGGAACCCGCCCCCGATATAAACGCAAGTGGACTTAGAAGACGCCGTCCGTACTGTTTTCAGCCTGACTTTGATGTAAGTCCATGGTCTAATATATCTAGATCTGTTCACTCATCGGTCGCAGTCTATGGTTGAAAATACTGTGCGAAGGATGTGAAGCCCGAGGAGCAGGGGTCGACGTAGGCAACACACTAAAAATGGCGGTAGAGGGGGAGTTTTGTTGGCTCAGGTACACGTGTATCATTTGGTCCTGAAGCCCAGTGTCTAGGATCATGATTCTTGAGTATAGTGTATCGTGTATCAAAAATTGGGGAGAAACGAACCCTCTCTTTTTCTCATCTTCGTAGTCCCGAGGTCTGAGAGAGAGAAAATCCACGACATGATCATACGTAGACTGCTCGTATCCGTGCAGTGTGCGTCATCTTTATTTATTTATTTGATTCATTCATTTTCACTCTCCAGCGATATGCAATGATGGTCGGCCCTCCCATTTCCCATTTCCCCATTCAGTGACTCTCGACTACAGCAAATCACCATGTGGCTCCTTCGTACGCTTAACTGTGGGCATGCTCGGCCCCCGCTTAGCCCGGGAGGACTTAATCATTCTTTCTTTTACACGGTTATGCAGAAACCCCCAAGAAGCAGGTCAGGAACCCTACAAGAGCCCTTTGCTCCACATCGTCATCCACCCAGGCCCGCTATCCCATATCGAGAAGGAGATGTCACTTTACGGGCTACTCAAGGATAAGCGGGGACAAATAGCCGTTATGAAGTAGCCTATTTCAGGCTGAGCATTGATGGCTTACGCTCTAAGTTCAAGAAACAAGGTCAAATCCCTGTTTCTTCACCACTCCGCCGTCTGGTTATCCGCAAATATTTATTGATGACGCATCATTCAATGTTCCTTGATCGGATCCCCTGACTAGATGCCGCTCAGCCCCCTTCGCTACCATGAAAAAGTTCCACTAGCGCTTCCCAAAGTCAATCAGCTCCAAAGAAGGTTTGATGTCGAGTGGGGCAGATCATGATGAGAGGGTACTAATTTCGCTGAATGGACCCCACAGAAATCCTTTGGAGGCCCACTAATGCAGGAGACCTGGGAGAAAACCTTCCTTGTCCCTTTTGGGGGAAAAGGCCCCGCCGGACCAGGTCCGCTCAGTGAAGCATTTAGACGTGTTGTTTGATGCGACGGTTTCCATGGCATATCTGAGAGAAAACAAGGTGGAGCTAAATTGGTGATCTTGGAACCGACATAGCGGTTCTTGGGTGGGAAGAGAAAGTCTAATGTCATTGCCATGAATCGACCTATCCAAACGCGGATATTACGTGCATCCGAAGCATCCCTCTAGCTGGCCACCAGCGGTCCGAAAGTGCTTTTGCAAACCTAGAGGGGGATCGACAACAGTCTCCAATAGAAAGGACAAACAGAAATTGTAGGATCTGCCGACCACATGAGGATAAGAAAAAAGTGTATGCTATTGGTCACCTCTTTCTGCAGGTCCAGTGTTAGACGTTTCATCTCCTTTCCCTTACTTCCCTGTGGCGGCGAAAGTAATAAAGGAACGTTCGGGCTTGCATAAACCAAGCAGCCTCGTGCCCTCTGCCCAGGTGGCAGGTCCCGAAATTACCAAAAACCAATCCCTATCTCCTATTTTCCAGAATTATGAGCGCATCACTTCGCCGCAGGTACATATAAGCGAAGCCGAGGTTCTGATGCGCAGGGGTACATGAAAATTTCGATTAGGGCTGATCCACACTCCCACCCCAGCGAATGAGACAATAACTATATATTAACACACCCCATCAGATGGGCATGATGACGAACCCCCGGGGTTTTCGCGGGTATTTCCCTTCTCTGTGGACTCTACAGGGGGCCTTAGCGATAGCCCTGGAGCGCAGGGTGGCTTCCCGCGCATAATACCCGTGCGTCTGATGCGTTGGCAAGGGCCGCCCCAGTCATATCCAAAGCCCCTTAAGCTACGTATTGTCACTTTTTCCCCCAAGTTAGTGGTATGAGTGGAATGATCCAGGAAGCCTTACACTGCCATGCGGCCCCATTCCAAGTATCGTAGCTGAGGGGCTTAGGACAGAGGCATATCGAACGCCGCGCTGGTCAAATTCTTTTTAAATTGGATGTGTCCGCACACAAATGAATCTAACCACGCACAAAAAGGACATTCGAATTTGAGGATCTGCAGGAGTGAAACACAGGTGCCATGCGCCCACAGCGGCTCTAAAGGATCCGCGTTTCTCCAAACGGAAAACGGTCCTGCAAAGCACCAGATGGGACACAATGCAGACTAAGGACATCCGCTGCATCACTCGGTAGCCACCTTCCCATTCTATAACACAAGATGATCGTTGAATTTGTCGATCTCATTTCCACCGTCCGCGCGGCATCCAGAAGCGCAATCTCGGGAAGCTGATTTGGGTTAGTAAGGGCAAAGTGGATATGGGAACCTCCGATATGGGCACGAGCCGGCCGGATGATCTTCATTTCACGCTAATCATCGAGCTACGCCATCACAAAAGTGGAGCATAATACGAGGGAAACACCCATGAATAAGGCAACAGTTCTTGAAATATTTTGAATTTTTTTTAACTAATTTTCACCACTCCTTTCCTTTAATGATGATCACATCAAACCGAAACCTAAAAACTGCTGGATACTAGATACAGGTAATATGCTCCCACTCCGTATGCGCTACTGGTCGCGCTACATCATACATATGCTCATTTCCGCTTCGGCTGATACGGAGCCGGTCCCAGAAATTTTACCTTAGAAACGGGCTCCTCCTTCTTCGGCGGAGTGACGACCTTAGGGGCATTGACTGGAGCACTAGGGCGGGGTTGGTATGGGGCAGGCCCAAGCGTGGAGACAGGCTTTGCCGGTGGGAGGCCTCCCCGGGGAACATTTGCGGAGGCGCCGGGGCCGAGCCGGAATGGCGAGAACACAATCGGGGCAGCGGGCTTCGTCACCGCATTGGCAGGGTTCAATTGATGGAGCGTCACGGGCTCATACGACAGTCCTCCTGTAGGCTTGTCATAGACCTTAGGCTGAGGGCCAATTACCTTTGGCTTCGCAAAGATTGAAGTCCCCATGCTTCCCGATGAAGATCTCGGCGCAGCCAACTGAGAGGAACTCTGCGGGGCTGTAGGAATTTTGAAAGTCGGGGCCGGTCCATGGTAAATCGCCCGAGCAGAAGACCCGGAAACTTTCAGTGTCTCGAACCCTTGGACTCCATCAGTGCCGACGGATTTTCGCGGGGATTGATTCATCTCAGCGGCATCGTAAAATCTCTCCTTGGACTCTTCTGAGGAGGATGTGTGCGGAGGAGACCGATACTCTGAGAAGTTCTTCCCAGGAGGAGTAACAGGCTCGGTCGCTGTGGCATCATTTAACAGACGAGAGGCAACGCTGGGCGCGGGAGGTGCAACATTAGGCAGAGGAAAGGCAATGTTGGTCAGAGGAGAGCCAGCATTGGTCTCTGCAGAGTTTGAAGAACTACCCTCGGCCAGTTTTCTGTCGGACTTATGCTTGGGGCCAGATGATAGTCTCACTATCCTCAGCAGTGTACTCAAACGAGGGCAATTCCTGTCGGCAAATCCAAACATCACGGCAAGTTCTCTCTGCAGTTCTTCATCTTCATCAATCTGCAGATCACTCAATTGCTCAGCAGATATCAAGTTCTGTGCGGTCGTCGCAATAGTCTCAGCATTTGGCGATCGGCCAACAGGGCTGGGGCTTGGTGGTTCAACATTTGCAACAATGGTCTCTTTTGGAAAGTCAATTCCTGACAACTCTTCAGTGCCAGGGCTTGAGAATGTGATCAAGGAAGCTTCTGCTGTAGAGCCAAAGTCGAGGAGAAGTCCAGCCGCGCTCTCACTCTTTTTCTTTCCTTTATCGTCGCCTTGCAAAGTGGCCTTCACAGGGATTTTAATTGGAATCATGGGAGATGCCACTTCTACCTTCTTCAGTGGACTGACTTCCCTCGCAAGGGCCTCCACTTTCTTGGCCAACTTCTCCACGCGCCTTGGACGTGGAGCAAGGATCTTCCTCGCTGGGACACGAGGAGATGGTGTCGGAGTTGCCACCTGGGGAGCAGAAATTGTAGCCACATCTGCATTCTTGCCATTGAGAGCAGGTGCTGTGATGGGTGAAGTCGTCGCGGGTGGCTGTTGGGAGGGGCTCAGTGGAGAAGGCACCTTCGGAGCTGCGGTGCCAGATGCCGCCGACGGTGACCGGGCTTGCGCCATGAATTCCTGCGGGGATGCAATTTTGAAGGGCGACCTGCACATAAGATTAGCGGTTGGAAACACAAGCAACGATTGATGACTTACAAAGGCGTTGGCTTTGTTGCCCTCATGAGTGGGTTGCTGGTACCTTTGGTTGCATTAGGTTCTTGTCTAGTAAGAATGTATTCTGTTTTGAACTTACCACGAGTGGGTGGCCCTCTCTTCACATTCAAGGAAGGAGCGGGCTTCCTGCTTTTGGAAACCCCAGCTCCACGTGGAGCGGAAGAAACATTATTAACATCCAGAGCAGGATCCAATCTAGACGGCATGGATGTGAACTGAGCTCTGGGGCCAGTTGGTCTAGAGATAATTCCATCATTAGCGAGAGAACCAAATAGAGTAGCAAGTCCCATACTAACATTGTTAATGAATGCATGCCACGGCCCCTTCCACCATTATCACCTCTTCCACGACCACGGTACGGCGAGGGAGATGGATGATTGGTGGAAGGTGGATTTGAGAAATTAGAGAAGTTAATTGACGGTGCCGGCTGGGACGCGCCAAATTGAAACATGGTGTGTGGAGGACGAGGACGTGGACGAACATTCTCAATAAGTTGTGCACGGTGGCTCTGCCCATGCATCATCCCTCCAAGCTGTGCATTAATGCTGCCTTCATCATTGATAGTTGTGTGGAAGTCTAAGAATAATATCAGCCCGAAGTCGGATAGAGGATGTCCTGGTATCAACTACTCTGCCACCTGTCCAGAAAAACCTTATTGGCTTTAGCCAATTCGAAGGCTTTGGTTCCCGGGATGTTCGACTGGCGACCAGCGTCGAGTTCCTCCAAGCCAACCTGGGAGAAGTTGGAGTTATTGTCGGCAGTCGTGATGAGCTCTCGACGTGCATTACCGAGGTCCGCCTGAAGAGGCACAGTTAGCAATGCATATGTCAGAAGCCATGAATTTTCAAGGTTACCATACCATTTGAACCGCCTTGAGGCGCTCGATCCTTTCTGCGTCCGAGTCCATTCTGAATTGAGATATGATGGACAGTAAGGACGGTAATCAGGGACAGTGAGGATGATTGAGAAGGGAGATGCTTTCACGGCTGATGCAAAGCACGAAAGTGAAAAGACTCTAGATAGAGGAAGCACTCTGACCGCTTTACCACCTTTTTGAGGGGTGTCTTGCTGAAAGATTTGGAAGAGGTGAACTTTGATAGAAGAGAAGACAGAGGCTCAGGCAATGGAGAAGAAGAACTCGTGGGATGCAGTTTGCGCACAAAAGAGCCAAAGGAGATGGCAAGAAATTTACAAGAGGATGAAGAAAATGTGGGAGGGACGTGATCAGAAGAAAACAAAGGATATCATAACAATTCCTTTGAAGGTGAGAAACAATGCTCGGCGATATAATGGCGAGCAATTTAAGTTGTTTGAGCAACGGTCCGTTTGCTGTGATGAGCAAACGACCGTGTCACAAGAAATTGAGGAATAACAGAGCTTGGTCAGGATGAGGTCGTTGTTGGGTAGAGAAGAAGATAAGACTCGCCGCGGCGACGGGGCCATTTGAGTATGGGGCAAAATGGCGGGAAACGGTATAGAACGGCATTATTGCGCAAACGGACAACCTTTGTTTCAATAAGGGATTTTTTTCCATTCGAGACTCGGTATTTTTTGCTTTGTCAAGTTGTTTCCAATCGGTATGATAGAGTAGTCATTGGGATAGAATCATCTCTGAAGACGTGGTATTGGGAGCTTTCATGCAAAATGATGTTTTGTTGTCAATCTTGTGGTATATGTACATTATTATGTATGTACAGTGTATTGTTATTGAACGAAAGGCAGCTAACACTTATAGGTTAGACCAGAATATCCCCCCTAGGAAGCTGCACAAGAATGGCCTTCGCCGTCATCTGATACAAATTAGTAGTGGACTAGAGATAGGGACGTGGATGAAGGACATACTCCGAATGAGTTTGGCACCAGCTTGTACCACACTCACACCCATGACAATAAGTCCAAAGGCAACACAAAGATAGGCAGGGATTTTTTCCCGGCGGCTAGCGCTGCTGAGTTTGATGTAGCAGAGGGGAGGGAAAATGTACGCCAGACAGGCCGCACTAGTCGCTCCAATCAATTCAAAGACACTGCCGAGATCGCACGTTATCAGTGCCAGGATCATAGATGTCACGACCAAGGCAGTGGTGAAAATCAAGTGTCGATGGGGGTTGAATGGCTCGTCCGGGAAGTAGTAGGTCGTCATAACAGATCGGCAGACGAAAGCCTCCAGGGGCAAAGTAGTCAACATATTCAATCCAAAGCAACTGAGAATTGTTAGCAGGGATAAACAGAATCAGGCAAGCAGTGAATCTTACAATCGAGCAATATTGACCAAGATGTTGTCAGATGGAAAGTTATTCAATACGTTGCCCTGCGTCTTCGAACCGAAGGAGAGGAATCCCGCTATGCCCATGGCGAGGCACATGACCAAAGACACTCCTGTCGAATAATGAGTGACGGTAGCAAACCGGTCGAGTGTGGGTCTCTTTAAGGATCCGTAGATCAGAAGACTATTGTGGTCTAGCAGGGTGGTTAGTATCACTATGGCCCTCGGGATCGAATTGACATACGGCAAACAAATGCTGATCTATATTAGCGTCTATCCAAAAACAAGTTCAACAGAGCAACGTACCAAAAGATATGACACCAACTGCCTGGAAGAATCCTGAGTTGACAATCAGATGACTCTTAATTTCGCCCCGTGATTCCGCTGGGACACGAAAGCCTTGTGTTATGACAGTGACCACAATGATTATCATACTGACAAAAGCCAGAGCAGATGCTTTAGCCAGCTATTGACCATTAGTCTCAGGACTGATTTGGTATAAGCACTCGGAGCTTACCTTGGCAATGTCCCTGTACAGAGACAATGGATATGAGATGCACAGTACAAACAGGACAATCACCGCTCTTCGATCGGTCAGTAGCCACAGGAATGACATTTCACGCAGCGATGGGAACAAGGCGCCCATGACATGCGGAATGGTATCGCCGACAATGATACAAAAGGCAACCATGCCACCGAAAGCAAAGGCCCATTGCGCAATTGAGATTGCAACAAGTCCGCTCTTCCCAAAGCAATACTGCATAGTAGCTTGGAATGAGTCCGCTCCACTCAACTTGGAGTTGATCACGATCAGGCGAATGGTCCAGTCCACCGTGAGTGTCAATGCCGCTAATAGGAGGATTCCAGTTGTCATGCCTGCTTGGCGGAGAGCGTAAGGCTGGCCAATGATTCCTGCCCCGATAATGCTGTTTGCCATATTCATGAATGCCATCTTCATTCCGCTCCGTGGACGCGCGTTCTCCAGGTGGTCCTCGGGAAAGAAGTCATCCGAGGTAGCAAGGGTTACACTCGGTGCCTCGATATCGGTCAGAAGAGGCACAGATTGTCCTCCGTGTCGCATCCCAGGTGTTCCTCGGTCTCCAAGCTCGTAATCCTCCTCGTCTAACCATAGGGCGTCGTCGGGGCTGTGGGCGCGTCCGTTCTCTTCGTGTACCTCTTCATTCTCTTGGTGGCTTCCCACCTCGGATTCCTCGTCCAGGTCGAATCGAACTCGGTTCAATGTACGCGGTGTGCGCCGTTGTCCATCGGGCGCTGGCTGTGATATTGAAGAATGGCGCTTCAGGTGAGGTCTTGTGTTAGGCGCAGACCCTAGGGGCGAAGTGGCACCATGGTGGACTATGAGGTCGTCAGGCTCCTCGTTGGACGGAGACATTAGGGACTGGGCTTCGAGCTCCTCTGGGCCATTTTGACCACTGAGAGGGTCATTGTGTCCCTCATCCCCGGGCATTGTTGCACCGTGAAAGTCGCAGGAACGTGGGAGTTCCTTTGAGGCCAGCTTATGGTAGGCTGCACGTGATGCTTATCGATAAGAGATCCACCGGCGATAACGGCCGTTCCGCGTCAGGACCCGCCGATCGATGCACAAAGGTGGTGCGAGTCTGGTCAAACTGTGGGGAACCGGGTTTTTGGCAGAATTTAATTCGTGGACCTGATCCAGTCCATACTTGCTTGCTTCAAACTCCAGGGCTGCTTTCTGAAAGTAACTCACCTGGTTGATCAACAATTATGTCTTCCAGATTTTCGACATCATTCACTTGAACTACAGCATGAATCGAAATCAGTGTCACTACTCCACTCACATAGATCCTTTCCTGTGCCTTATTTAGTCTATTTTGATTTAGCTTCTTTCAAAATACCGAGATGCCCTGTAAGAGATCGGCACGAGGTACCTAGTCCCGCAACTTACCGTTATTATCCAGATTGACAATTGGCAGGTTGGTGCCCCTCATTATTCGTGCGCCGCCCACATGCAGCTGACCTTGGGCATTCATGAAGCCAGCTACAATACCCTCCGCGAATCTCAAACCTGACTCGAAAACATGACTATTCCACAGATTCATACAATATGCGAATCACTAAAGCTACTCATACAAAGCGATAAGCGTTGTATGATGGTCGATCCGATTTCAATGGCATCAGGCATTGCGAAGTGACTGCCTTTTGGTGCTCAAGTCACCCAAATTTTAGTCGCTATTTAATCTATGTGAAAGTGCCAGAGCGCCAGCCTGGCATGACCTACGCAGAGTTTTAAGAGTCTTCAGAGTATCTTTCGACTCCTTGACGTTGCAACACAAGATCGCCGATCCCAAGCCGACGCATAAGAGATGTTCCAAGAAGTCGGAATGGCAACATGGTGATGCGAGGATATTATATGTAGACTATATCGCTAGATTCGGAGCCCACGCAGCCTGTCGTTTCGGGTAAATCACTTTGCAGAAGCTGGAGGAAGATATCGCGGAGATACGTGAGAACTTGGCATTCACACTAGATGCCCCGTAGTCTAGAAGCCACAGTCAAATTCAAAACAGCATGTCGTGACTCAAACCCCTTCTCGGACGAACAAAAGCTGAACAGATCTCTTTGACGGATGAGTAGATGGCTTGTGGCACCACTTTCCCAAGTGCTACGACTCAATTGTACAGTTGCTCTAATTTTTGCAAGGTTCTTCACGAAAAATATATATATATATATATAAGAAAAACGGGGGAAAAAGAAAATTAGGCGCAACAAATGATCACAGAGAACTTTTTTGTTGCTCGAATCATCGATCTTACGCTTAGCTGTTTGGTTTTTTCATTCTATACCTCGTAACACATGAACCATCGCTCAGCTCGATGGTAGCTGGCCTTAACGCGAAGCCAAAAGCCCACGGAAGCAGCAGGAATACCACCCCATAATACATAATACCCAAGGAAAGAATGCCAATAGACACCAGGGGGCTGAGCCAGTAGGGTAGGCTAGTGTTCCCAACGCCATCGGGTGGCGGAATGAAAGGCATAATAAGCAGGAACTGATTCTCGTCAACTTTTGAGAAATTTTACAAGATAGACTAGAAGGGATCAACACTCACGATGTTTGCTAGGAGATAAAAAATAACGACAATCCACGGTGTAGAAAATCCTGCCGTCCACTCCTCATCTTTGTTTAGGCGAAGCTTTACCAGACCAATTGTCACGCCAGTCACAAGGACAACATAGGGGTAAGAGGAAAGGCCGATGACAAAGTTGAACGCATCTCCAGCGGGCGGTGCACAGATGAAAAGAATGCTCACTCCTAAATGTGTGATGAGGGCGGCTATCGGCGTAGTAAAGGGCCGGTTTTGCATAAGGAGGTTCGGAAATGGGGTTATCCCATCTTTTGCCAACTCCTGGATCACCCGAGCTGTTCTGGGTATTAAACACCTGATATATATTGTGATTGGACGGGAGAGACTGACGAACTGTGAATGCAATCCCCAAGAGATGCCCTAGAGCAGACAGTGCAACGAGCGAAGGGAGTGCTTTTGTGGCCGCTGAGTTCCCAAATACGTTTCGAAACAGCACGGCGGCAATGGTTATATTGGAGCTAGTGAACTCTTGTTTGGGAACAGCTGCAAACTAGAAACGATATGATCATGTTAATCCCTCGATCAAGGGTTTGGATGATGTAGGGAAGTGCCGTACGTAAGCAATATTTGCGAGAATGTATAACACAGTTATAAGAGCCATTGCACATGGAAGCGCAACACGTAAAGTGCGTTGCGGGTTCTTTACTTCCGACAATATCTAAAGACGGTTTGTTAACAAACTGCTCTGGAGACCCTGGGACAGTATCCCCCTTACCGCATTGACATTGTCGTAACCCTGGAATGAAAAAGTCCCGGATAGAAGCGCTGTACCGATACCATAGCAGCTGTTTGACGTTCCTCGGAAAGAAGTACTGACATTCAAGTTCTTGGGGTCGGGCACCTTGAGATGACCTGCCAGAGCTGCAAAGCCGGTACACACAATGAAAAGCAGAATGAAGAGTTTTACCAAGCTTAATATATCTTGCAGAAGCCTTCCCATCTTCGGCGCTACTGTGTGTATACCTACTGCAAATCCCACAGATGCAATGGCTACTCCCCGAAGCTTCCAAGTCGTCGATTCTGCTCCTCCAGCGAGGAGAAGATAAGAGGAGCAAGTAATGGCGTTGCTTGCAGATACCTCTGTATAGGTTGGTTGTTAGTAACCGATTGGTCAATGCATTGGTAGGCTGACACGCTTACGAAGGAAGACACAATAGAATAGGAAGACACAGGTTTGTAGAAGCTTTGGGGAGAAAGACCGTTCCAGGTAGAGCTTTATACCTCCTGATCTAGGTATAGCGCTACCAAATTCCATCATAATCAAGGAACCCGATATAGAGATGAGGCCTGCAACGACCCAGATGGTCAATGCCATCCCTACGCTTCCGCTAAGGCTGTAGATGGTCGCCGGGGTTGAGAATATCCTGCTGTCCTATTAGTTTGTCCTTTTCGATATGAAATGGCGATGAATGGACTGTGCACAAACCCGGCTCCGATGATCTTGTTGACAATAAGAGAGATGCTTCCAAATATTCCAATTCGCCTCTCTTGCAGTACGTGTGCCTCTACCACGTGGAACTCGGAATTGGGGTTTGAATCAAAGTTGAAGTCCCCATCTCTCGCCGGATCGTCTTTGGACATCTCAGTGTGCTTGTGTATGTCAAAAGATGATGATGAGTTGGGCCACCCCTGAATCAATTGGATGTTCGATGGCATTTGGATACGCCGACAAGTCAAAGCTGGATTTAAATAACTCTATATCACAATTCGGGAAAGCGCAAACGAGCTAAAGATCCTAATTGTCATACCCTTCTGAAATCACTTGTACTGATCTGCCATTTGACAGTCTTTCTGGGTTTCATGCTGTTGCGCCATGAGAAAGTGCAGTTGCGTGATATCTAGCGTCAATTGGAGAATAACAAGAAGTAATCGGTCTCATATGTGTTATGAGACATATTTTGAGACACTGCTGGGACTGGAACATCTGATGGATGCTGTATACAGTTGTCAGTGTATTATGCGTGGGGCGGTGCCTCATATGCACTGAATAAGGCGTAATCGGACCCTAAACTACATAACAATTACTGCATTCTGTTATTACGTAAATGGAAGTGGTATGGGTGGAATTAGAGAACATTTAAAAGTACAGATTGGCTTTAGAGAAGATGCTGGGACGACTTTGATTCACTGGTGATGGCGACATAGGCTTTGTGGAGCCATGTCAGTAGAAGGCGCACTTTATTGCATCTGTACGTATAGGACATTTTAGTACCTTTCCGCCTGAGTCTACCTGTACGGGTAGATTGTATAAAGACTTGAGACACGCAACTATCCTTTCGCAGCAAACTCGGAGAAGATTTTGCCAATCTACTCTGCTTGTGGTCATTTGTTTGGCAGGGGCGCCGAGTAGCAGGTGAACATAATCCGGCATGGGATATTGGTGGGTCCTCTCTTCTATCCAAATTGGAAGGTGATTCCGGGGCAGGATTTCAGCAGTGGGTCTGGCCGAAAATCGCCTGTGGATCTATGTATACGTAGCCAATCTAGATGGTGATCCTCTAGCCGGGAAATCCATGGATGCCACAAGGCAAATCATGCGTGCAAAAAATAGGTGCCCGGGTGTATGATAATAACGCAAAACAGGTCAGTGCTCCTCTATGATATATGAATACACCTTGAACATTCCAACATATATATTTCGCTTCCACGCCCCTATCCTGCTGCTGGCACTGGTGTTCAGTCCATCTTCATTCATTAGGCCTGATATTGTGAACATTCCCAAAACAGAAATGGCGACCCTCGGAACCCGTCCTGCCGAACCACCACTTCAGTATCGACCTGACCGAGCTCAATATGAGGAGCGAGGTCGCCTTCGAAGGGAAACAGAGGACCTTCCTTCAGCTCTACCACCCGGGTTTCCCGCAAGGCTGGAGTCACCTTTAGTCTGGGATGGCAAAGAGATGCAGAAGCGCACCGACTGGATCTACGAGCTGAATGATGCGCAATTGGCTGAGATTGATAGTGCACTCAAAAGCTTCAAAGGTAACTCCTCCGTGCCAAATTACATGCCAGTGACCTGATTACCGAAATCTTAGCACTCGATAAGCCCCTCGGATTCATTGACCAAACGACGTTTCCCCTACCGAACCTCCACGCTGAACTGAGAAAGCTCTCCAGAGAACTGCACCTTGGCCGAGGATTCTTTATAATCCGCGGACTCCGGATAGACGAATACTCACGAGAAGATAACATGATAATCTATGTTGGAGTCTCTGCCCACGTCGCGGACGTCCGCGGACGTCAACAGGACACCCGCTTCAGCGCTGGGAAATCCTTGATCGTCTCGCACATCAAAGATCTCAGCCGAACAAAGGACGCGGCAAATATTGGAGCACCTTCGAACACAGCCGACAAGCAGGTTTTCCACACAGATGGAGGGGACATCATTTCCTTATTGTGCCTGAACCCTTCCCCCCAGGGCGGGGAAAGCTATATCGCCAGTTCCTGGCATATCTACAACATTCTGGCCCAGCAGCGTCCGGACCTGATTCATACTCTTTCCCAAGACTGGCCGTTTGACGGGTAACTACTGGATTACAACGTTCGTTGACAAAAGATCATCTAATAATCTCCCTAGGTTCGGTAATGTTGATCGCCCGTACTCGCAGCGACCTCTGCTATTCCACCAGCCCGCAACCCAAACAAAACCAGAACGCGTGATGATGCAGTACGCCCGTCGCTACTTCACTGGTTTCCAAGCCCAACCTCGCTCCCCTGAGATCCCACCGGTCAGCCAAGCGCAGGCTGAAGCCCTGGACGCGCTGCATTTTCTTTCCGAAGACAACTGCGCCTCCCTAGATTTCAAAAAGGGCGATATACAGTACATCAACAACCATAGTATTTTCCACGCCCGCAATGGATTCACGGATGAGCCGGGGAATGAGTACGTGATTCTTTGTGACTATGATTGTGACTCTGTCTCCAAGGATTTCCTGCTAACTGCAAGTACCTTCCTAGGCGACACCTGTTGAGACTCTGGCTGCGGGATACTGAATATTCCTGGGACACTGCGGCGCAGCTACATGAACGCTGGGAGCATGTCTATAAGGATGTCAACCCGGAGGACCAAGTGTTCCCCCTCGAGCCGAATGTGCACAAATCCTTGGGGTCGTAGACTGGGAGAACTGAGTCTTTAGCTGTGTACGCTCAAAATGGCACAGAAACGAAGCAGATCATTCTATCTGCTTTCAGATTGCGAATTATCCGGATTCAAATTCAAGTCGAACAGACTTTCAAGATGCTTTGGATTTCAGTAATTGAATACTTTATTATAACGAACCTTGGGGGTGGGGACGTGATAGACTTGCTAGGCCATGTTGGACCGTTTTTTATTTAGTAGTATAGGTATATATCGGATTTTTACCACAGCTCCGCTCTATGTAACAGACGGGGTGCTCTTCGAGGCATCATTGACCTGGAATTAGTGCAAAGAATCAACCTTAAATCCTCTTAGGTGAAGTAGTCAAAGATCGCAGAGCGTTTCGGAATACTGACACTATTTTCCTACTATTATTGATAGGTAAAGCGTCTTTCGGAAAAGAGTTTGAAAGGCAATCTCTGTGTTGAAGTCTTTAAACTGATTTGACTCCACTTTGTGCCGGGCTTGATGCCTCAGAGATATACATGAAACAGGTGGCAACATGAAGACCTCACAGTTTCTTCAAAAAGCAAATATATGATTTAATAATCGCCCGACTTATCCAAACAAACACCTTCCAACACTTAGAGGTTACTGGCCTCTGACTGTGAGTTCATTGAGAGCACTATTGAAACACTAATGACGGGAATCATGTGCTTTCCAACTGTGGCCTCAGGTCTACCTTATTTGTAGAGTTTTGAGGCCCTGCCTCTTCATCACCCGAGTACCTTCCCCAAGAATTCAGCTGATGCCCAAGTTATTATTCAAGTCTTCATGAACCTCGAGAACCCTGGCATGCATTTAAGGATCAATAAACTGTGACAAGCTTTGTCTCGACATATTTCGATGAAATGCCTGCACCATGAGTCACACTGTTGACCTGGGTCAATGTCTTCTTCACGCCACTAAATCGCAACTACAGCTGCAGTTTACAGCGACTGCAAGCTTGGGTCATAATACAAACTCTGCATGTGAAGCAGATCTGTCCCCTCCTCATTGGCCACATCCGGCGTCAACATGGATCAGAGAAGCCCCGGAGCTCGAACTGCGCTTTTTCGTTCGTTTCGGTCCGGGCCTGGAGCCCATCGCGTGTTCATTGATATCCAGATTAGAGAAGATGTTGAGTTGTTCAACGGTAGGGCATTCATGTTCGTTGCCCAGGTGGTATTGCTTGACTGACGTCTGTTTGACAGGTCTGGCTGGACCTCGGGTTCAGCATAGCACCCAAAAGTCATGGTATTACCATGAATACCGACCGTCCTGGCGAACGTTTCCTTGTACTTGGGCTTTGCAGAGAGATGACCGGACCAAAATTTACAAAGAGGCGATCCTTACCTGCCATCCTACAAAATCCCCCAGACACCCAACCTCCACCGGAAGTACCGATCGTGTCTTTGGCCGCCATTGAGATATATTTGGAGTGTGGCTACTTGTTTCGCCCAGATGAACATCCCGAGGAGCTGTCGGTCATGATTGGTACAGAAACGGAGCCTCGATACTCAGCAGACTTCTTCGCATCATGTTCCGACTCGCCCACAAATTTGACGTTGGACCTACCCGCTGGCTTTACTGGCTTCGCTGAGAGAGATTCTATACCCAAAGGAGATATCGTTGATCAATCATCTCGAAATTTTCTCGCACTAGTGGATTTTGGTCTTCAGGAGTTGCTGTCGTCTGCCGGTACTAAATGCTCTGACATCAAAGTCATCGAGAACAGTCTCCAAGCCCTCCATAAGCTGGCTCCAGTCATTTTCAATCCAGGATATCGTGAAGTACGACCCATTGGTTCGAGGCTTGTGTACTCTGACTAACGAAGACAGGCAATGAACGAACGGGCCATATCATGTCCCATTATCGCCAAAGCGGTCAACTCGATGTTGGCCAACACCTCAAACCCAATCCTGCAAAAAGAAGTCTCCAACATACCCGTGCTTCGGAAACAGTGGATCGGAACAACCCTGTGGCGCATGGGTCAAGCCCATCTCCTCCATTTGAAAGGTCCAAAGGCATGTGGATCCTTTCTTTCTCATCGCTCATCGATAAACGAACTCCAGCCCAATGGCGATCCTGCCGTTTTGGCTTCCTCTGCGGGTGACGTCTTCGGCGAGGAAGATATCCTTGATCTTGACGAAGCCTGGGACTTGAATACTGGAAACGAATGTGACTATGACGATCCCCCGCAAATAATGCAGACAGACTTCGATGATGAATCAGATGGCCCACTCCTCGGAAGTAGCGGTGAGTCCAGCTTTCGGGATCTATACGAATCCACTCAAACAACACTCGACAGCCTTCCGGTCTCTCAGGCTGTCTCCCTTCCCCACACGGATAGCGACATGCTACTATTTGATTGCGAGCTTGGATAGACGGATATCGCCCCACACAGGGCGAACAGAACATGATAGATTTATTTCTCTATTTTCGCGCACACCAGTGGTCATGTGGATTTATATACATATAGCTTTGAAAAAATCAAGCATATAATTTGAGCGCTTTGCATTGTCCCGAGTGCTTAAGTCTCATGTTCCACATTCACGGCTTATGCTCTTGGTGCGTACCAGTCTGGTCCATATGCGTCAGGTTGTCGCCCGGATCGCAATTTGGAGGGGTCAACATATGCACATACAGATACGTTAGCATATCATATGCAGTGCTGCGTATGGAGCATTGAAGAAGCAATTATGTAGGGCTGACCCATGGGGATGGTGGTGTGGCTTGAAGCTAGCAGTGTGGGGGAAAATCCGGGGAGATCTGGATGGTGGAGCCAGTGGTGAGTCTTGTGACCGCTAGATTCGTCTGGAATGAACAGCAATTAGTGTATTGCTCGAGGCCTCTATTTTTAGTCATCTTACCCGACGGTCAATTTCTTCCACATTGTTAAACATGCATCAAGTTTTCGCTCTGTACAGATTTCCTTGCACCGGTATCCAATCATCTTCATCGGCCTATGTCATGATTTCGAGGACAATCATTGTTGGTTGCCTAAGTAGATCAACCAGGAAATTTCTTTCTCTGCGACCAAGGACATAACCTGTTGGTTCCGACCGCCCCGTTCCCGTAACGCTTGGACCATAGCTAAAGGCGTATGGCAAGACATGTGCAGGCTTTCACCGATGCTGTAGGCTACGCCGGATGAATTGCCACGTACAAGGGCTAATTTGAAACAATGCCTGTCCCCAGCACATCTGTACATACCTAGAAAGACTCATATTGGCCCAACGCAATCTTCGTTATCTAGGGGGCTAAAAACAAATCTCTGAGGAATCCCGCCAAGTCCAGGATTGACACAGCCCGACCCTTACAGCTACGGAGCCACACAAATGTGCAGGAAAGATTGCGCCACTCTACTGGGTCTGCTGATCATTGATATGAATTCCGAAGCATCCGCATTCGATTCACCGGCTCCGACCGTGGTAAGACTGGGGGGAAAGAAGATTAACAATCACAGATCGCCCCCGTTCCCCTACGCCGTAGATCGTGGCACACGTCTCACCGCTCTCCTGATCATGGGATGAATCCCCTCAACAATCTGAGACGAGGCAGATCCAATTTTAAGTGGAGCCATGATTTACTTTCCAGACTTCTCGAAATGCTTACGCGTGTGTGCAGAGTTGAGTTCCGGCGGGGAAGAAGCCACTCAGGTTTGAGTGATTGGAATCATGCGTCGGGTCCCCTGTTCTCGGGCCATTGCCCATAGGATAACTATTACCCCATCATGCAGAGGGGACGGGACAACGCCCAGTAATGGATCTACGGACAAGCAATTCACCGGGGGAAATGATCATCCGAGGGGATGATGCCATTTTGGAAGTACTGGGATGTACTGTGTACAGGTCAGCTGGACACATTCTGGTGGGGACGGGGAGTACGGGGTACACTCCAGACCCGATCGCTAAGTACCGGGTACAATGATCAGTCAAGCGCCGTAGATCTCCGACCAACAATTGTGGTGAATTCGGTGTCCCCCGTAGAAACTTTCTTTCCCCTCAGTTGAATCATTTTTGCTGTATGAAGAGGTAGATTTCCTTGTTTTATCTTTTAAAAGAATTACTACGTTATCTCTCACCCCTGAAAGTAGTGAACGTCAAGACTTGGGAGGACTAATTATTGGAACGTGGATCCCACTATCGATAACGGGTCCAGACCGCCAAGAAAGTGGATTCATAGCTCTCCCCAACGATTCCCGTGAGCTGTCCAGGGTTATTCTATAAAGGGCGCTGCTGTTGTTCCTCTTCCAAACTTCCCGTAAACTCTCTTTCTCCGTCATACGTACCTGACTTTGGTCCTTATCTCCTGGACTTCCGCTTTCCAACCTTTCCCAATCTCTCACACCTTATATCTACCTACTTTCCCACCCAACCTAGCTTGGTATACTATCAACCTTTCACATCACAATGGCCGCTCCTCGTTCTACTTCCCTGCGTGCTCTGCGCCAGATCTCCAACCAGCACTCTGCCCCCATCGCTCGTCGTGGCCTTCACATCACCGGCGTCCAGTCCGCTCAGCTGGCCGGCGCTGCCGACAAGGAACGTCTCCCCTCCAACCATGACGTCCTCCAGTCCCGTGCATTGAGCATTGCCATGCGTCGCATTAACAGCAACGCTTTCTCTGAGTATGTCTTACATCCCATCCAATCTATCTCCCATATCCCAGAATCCATGAACTAACATACTCCAGATCATCCCGCCAGTTCAACACTTCCCGCGCCAACAAAGCTATCGGCGATGCCTCCACCGTCGACTTCGTCTACATGCCCTCCATGGCCGAACTCGAAGCGGCCCCCCTCCGTTTCTCTTCGCCCCGTGTCCCGGTCCTTCCCGACCTGTCTTCCCACCAGCCATCTCTGTCTCCTTCCTCCACACCCATGAAGCCCCAGATCTACACCGTCGCCGGTGCCGGCGCTGATGTCGCAGCCAGCGCTATGAGCGAGGTCGTCGATAACCACGCCGTGGACTTGGATCCGTTCTCCCTCACCGAGGCTGTTGGCCGCTCAAGAACTGGCGAGGCCATGCAGCGTCAGGCTAACGGTTCTGGTGCTGGCCAGCCCGGTGTCGTTAAGGAGCTGTGGTCTGGGTTCTTGGATGATGTTCTTGGCCCCAAACAGTCTTCTCTCAGGAACTAAGTTCCGGTTGTTAACTTCTCGAAGTCTAATGGCTGATGAAACGAATTTTCTTGGTGCTCGCCTCAAGTTTGTTCTATTCTTATTTTCTATTTCTTTTTGTTCCGGGATGTATATCCGGATTGTTTGAGAACTAGCGTTGCGATTGTAATATTGATATTATTGTCTTTGGGGAAGTGCTCTCCTTGACTGTTTCTGAGAATCTATCTATCTTTCTTTTGTGATCCATTACATGAACATCAATTGAAGTAAATTGAACTAAATTGAATCAATTGGTTTACAAGTGACTCATCAATTTCGTAGGTTAGCCCTAAGTAATTCCGATACTATACTGTAGTAAGTCCGAATTATTTTTCGTTTTACCGAGGTCTACCCACCTGATCGACAAATCCATGATCTACACATACCCGGACTAAACACTCGCGCTCCGACAATCCAACAACCGACAATTGAGTCACAAATGTAATCCCGACAAACCCGAGGTCATGAGACCGGGTAGAAATTTCAATGCCGTCGGGTCTTTCGTTCAATTCTGTTGAGCTTTACCCCATACCGCGGAGGAACTCGGTTAAGGAACTATTGCGTGACGCAGGATCCACACGCGATACATTTTTCCGCCCTGACTACTGACCACAACGTACTTTTTTTAGGTTTCCGAGATTAGATCTCTGCGTTTCGTCACCTTTGGCCTTTATCCGGGGCTGATTTTATCCACTGTTCCCGAGATGTGGGTTTTCCGGGGACTACTGTGCTCCGGTGTTGTTCTTCTATTCTGTTCCGCTCCGTTATTCCGGGGTATCGGCTATGGAAGGTTCCTCGGGATTGACTTTATGAGGAAGGCTTCTAGTGCTCCTTGGTTCCTGAGACGAGAACTGCTTGTGGATCGTCGGATTCGTGGGACTGGGGTTGAACATTTTCAGGTTGACTATCTAGACAACGGCCCGGAAATGATACATGGAAGGAACACCGAATGTGTCATTGTGTACAAAATAACTGAATAGTATTGTTGCTGGAGGCTGTTCCCTGTGCCATTGATCATCGTGAAGGCATATATGGAGTCATTGCCTTGAAGTGCCTTTTCGTCTTTCCGGGGTAATTCTCCGGTCTCCCCCGAGAAGATCATAAGGGTTAGGGCTTCAGTGTGTTTCAACCTTAAGCCCATTGGAGACTAGTTCTCGATTGTTGACGTGAGCCTTTTAGTAAGTGGACCCTGCATACTAGTACATCCTAGTCAGGGTTCTATTTAGACGCAGCGTAGTATGCGGGCCGTTTGTACTACCACGCTAGGAAAGACACAGGGAAATGGGCGATGGATACTCAAGAGGTCATTTTCAAGAAGACAGATTTTACATGCCAAAACTTCGACCTTGGAGCTTCGATCCGGATCCTAAGTCACGGGCGATAAAGTCCGCCTCTTCTCGCCAGTTGCCGAACGATTATGGTAGGACGAATCCCAGAAGCCTCGGTCATGGAGAGCTCGAACAACTTCAGGTTTGTTTTTTTTTCTTTCTCAAGCCACATTCTAGGTGCAGGAGACTGTTCACAAGAAGATCGCTGGGAAAATTTACATGCATAATTAATTGAGAGATTCTGCAATTGAGTGCTGGTCATTCAATTCAGGATGGCCACACCTGGCGATGACCGCGTTATGTAGCACCGCGTAGGTAAGGACTTGGCGTTGACGCAGAGCTACATGTGAACTTGACATCAGATCTAGACCGTTAAGACCGACTCAATTGCATGAGATGACCAGTCAGGTCGATCCGCCAAGCCAACATGTGCTCCGTGCGCTCAAGAACACCAGTTCACTTTACCCCTATCTGAAGATTTTATACCATCCTGGTCCATCCATATTGACTAAAAGCGAATACCCTCCGTAGTTTAATTCGACTGTTCAACCTCATTCCTTGTTTTCTAGTCTCTCACAAAACCAGAAACCCCATTTTTCATTGACCAGTCAACGCAGGAAACTTGGACTAGCGCTTGGTTAGCTTCTTGGGGATAGGTCGATCACAACCTGGAACAGCATAAAGGTGGACCCTTAACTCCCTTAGTTTAGCAGGACTTGTCAGGGGAGGATTTGCATCAGTGGTTCAGTGGTTGTTGTGGACCCGCCACCTTCTCTTTGCCCCCTCACTGCTCTTTTCTCCAACCTCTTGCTCCTTGTGTTTTATCGTCATTCTTTATGCCTTTTTAATTGCTTCTGTTCTGCTGTTTGTTTTCCTTTCGTTGCAATCGACTTCTTTGAATATACGCTCGCTCTCGATAAATAATTCATCTCGGCTTTTTTTCGACTCCTGACCCTGACGAACCCTGCCGGTTACGTCTCCACAACCCTGAGACCCCAGATTACTACCAATTGAAAAGTGCTCGGATTGAAGACTTCTTACTTTCGCTTTGCTTCAACAAATGACGACTCGCTTTAATCGATACTAGATCCCTTTGCTGGATCATGCGTCTCTCATCATGTCTCGTCGTAACGGGCCTGTCAATGGGCGTGAACGCCTTTTATCCATTTGAGATCAAGATTGACTCAACATCAAGTATCTCGACCTTGGAGAAAGTGCAACGTCGTTTCATGCCCTGGACCCTGCTGCCGGACGATTCCGAGGAAGAAAATGCAAACGCCAAGCCATTAACCCTTGGCATCAAAAAGCTCCCCGTTCGACGTGACAATAGCTACACCATTGTCGAAGCCAACACGCCGACTCTACCCACCAGTGCCCCACTGGATCAGGATGGTAATGACTACTCCTATTTCGCAATGGTGGAAGTTGGGTCGCAGAAGGAACAAATGTGGTTGGTCCTAGACACTGGATCTCCTAGCAGCTGGGTATTCAGTTCCGACTGCACATCATCAGTCTGTACAAGCCACAATGTTTTCGACACAGACAACTCAACGAGCTACTACTCGAACAGCTCGACAATCACAGTCGGGTATGGAAGTGGTACTATTAAGGGAGACCTGGGCCAAGATACCTTGTCCATTGCCGACATGGATGTCACCCTTACATTTGGACAAGCCACTTCGGCGTCATCGGCTTTCGCAAGCTATCCTATAGACGGAATTCTTGGTCTGGGCCGATCAGGCACTGCGGGTTGGACGATCCCCTCTTTCATGGATGCTGTCGCCCAGGATGGCTATCTCACGTCCAATATTGTTGGATTCCACCTTTCGCGCGCTGCAGACGATGCGAAAACCGGCGAGGTGAACTTCGGTCAGCTCGATACTACCAAATTCATCGGCAATATTAGCTACACTGCCACCGATTCGGATATCTGGTCCATTTCCCTGGATGATGCCTATGTGAACGGTGTGGCTTGCAGCTTTTCGGGCAAGTCCGCCACCATCGACACTGGAACCACGTACATCCTCATTCCACCCGATGATGCGGCAACCCTCTTCGCTATGATTCCTTCATCCAAGAAATCTGGTGACAGCTACATTATCCCATGCGACTCGACCGCGACCATTGAGCTCGAATTTTCCGGTATCAAATACTCCATCTCACCTAAGGATTATATTGGGGCCTCTAGTACAAACGGCTGCGTGTCAACTATTGTGGGTTACCAATCCTCTGGATCCGACCAGTGGCTCGTTGGCGACGTCTTCCTTAAGAATGTCTATTCGGTCTTCGACTTCGACAATGGCCAGGTCGGCTTTGGAACATTGAATAACTCAACTGTCTCTGGGAATGGAACTTCCACAGCTTCGACCGTCACTACAACTGCAGGCTCTGCTGCTACCGCAACTGGAACCGCTAGTACCGCGGCAGCGGCATCAACAACGACATCTGTGGCAGCTATGAACTCGGGATCCCGCTTTTCGTCCACAATTGTCCCTTCGGTATTGGTCATCATTGCCGCCATCCTTCTTTAAAAGCGCAACTCATTCTCCCTAATCCCGATCACTGGATTACAACAACCACACCTCAACGCTTGTATTTTTTATCTACACCGGCCTTACGTGCATTTATCCACCCATTCCAAGGCGTCATTCTGTTCATATATGGGCCCCACGCATATCTTTCCAGGTCCATCTGCTCATACTTTGCGGATCTCATTCTTACCTCGTTGATATCCCCTTCGCACATACTATTCGTTCTTAATCTGGGCGATCCATCCACATTCGCTTCCACCCCGAACTGCTTTCTTCTTTTGTTTTTACTGGGACATTGAACATTCCCCAACCGAACACTCTTTATCATCAATGTACAATAGAACACAATTTGACGATGGGAACTCCATCATTCCGAACCCTCATTATTGTCTTTCTCTCTTGGCATTTCCTGAGCTGGGGTATAAGTATACGACTTTGGACTTGACACTGTCTCGATGCAGTGGATGTCCTTAAACTAATAGGCAAAACTTCTAGAATTTCAGTCCTCATCTCAACACAATTTCCCGCATCTTTCCACCCATCTGGAAATTAGAATAATTATTAGTCAATCCTGTTGATGGAGAGGATCGGGTCCTGCAACATTAACACTAGCAGAACCTTTTTATCACTGGCTCTAAGGCAATAGAAGATTGTTACTTCGAGCTATGTGAGCTTTAACTGGTCAAAGGGGCTTCGCTTGAGGTCAAGTGACCCCTTTTGATTTGAACTACCCCATTTATACCTTTCCTTAAAGCCATTGTTCGTGCTTCATCAATGTTCTATATAAGGTTTACCTTATATAGGACATTTTTGATGCACGAACCGTCGACTTGACGAATTCAACCACGCTTTAATGACTTCAACCATGCCGACTTTAACCACATCAACGTCAACCACGCCGACTTCGACCATGCTTCAACGACTTCAACCATGCCGACTTTTACCACGCTTGAACGACTTCCACGCTTAACCACGCCGACGTCAACCACGCCAACTTCAACCACGCTGACTTCAACCACACTAACGTCAACCACACCGACTTCAACCACGCCGACGTCAACCATGCCGACTTGTACCACGCTTCAACGAGTCCCACACTCCAACCATGCCGACTTTAACTACACCGACATCAACCATGCCGACTTTAACCATGCCGACTTTCACCACGCTTTATCGACTTCGACGCTTCAACCATGCCGACTTCAACCACACCAACGTCAACCACACCGACGTTAACCACACCGACGCCAACCATACCGACTTCAACCATGCCGACTTCAACAATGTCGACTTCAACCATGCCGACTTTGTCCACGCTTCAACAATTTTAACGACTTTAACGACGACCACGACTTATACCGGCGACCTCGACTTACACCAACGACTTACGGCCAACGGCTTGACCTGTAACTGTGCATCTACGACTTTACCTATACCTTTACTTGGGACTTAATTTAGGACTCAATTTAGAAATTACGAACGACGACCCACGAACGACGACCCACGAACGACGACCCACGAACGACGACCCACAACAGACGGCCTTATAAACAGACTTCAGAATAAACTCACGATCGTACTCAAGAACGCATTCATGAATGTATTCATGAGTATACTTATAGATAACCTCACGGACTATGTCCTTGTGCATGATGGCCTCACGAAAACTCCTGATACTAACCGTATCAACTCACTTATCCGGTGTCTCAACACTATTCACACAGGACATATACTGGCTCTTGATCACACTCCCGAAGCACTGGGTCCGATGGTTAAGAATCACATGTGCAGCACCAGCTCCGCGATAAAATGCGTAATTAAACGTCGTGACATTATTAGTTATTCATAGAAGCTACCACAGTCTAGCTTCTTGTGTTTACAACACAAGATAACTAATAACTTATAAACTGAGGATAACGTAATCTGTCAACCGTACCCGATAGGGCTTAGTGGATATCATAAAGCCATAATTCAGACACCTTGATGCTCAGGCGTGCTCCAATTTCCTTCAGTAGGCACCCCTGCAACCTCTACACCAGTCACACCCCAGATCTACCGATCTACACAAATTCGGCGTCTCTCGCCGACTCGGCACTTATTAGTCACAAGTCCCGAGTTTCCCCGTACTCTTGCCGGCCCGGTTTCTCAGCCGAACGCTAAACCCGATCGGGTTGCTCCCTCGGACCAACAGCGTCATGGCGCATAGTAATCCCTTTTTCCTCATCCCACGAATACCCAGAACAACCTATACGCAATGTTCAGTCTCGCAGGAAAAAGAAGCGCAATTGCGCAGTCAAAATGCTTAACAGCTCGCACTCTCCCAGCACGCGCTATTGCTGTCGCACAGCCGTCTAATGCCAACCGAGACTTTCACTCAACGCCGACAAATGCCGCGTTCAGGCCGACGTGGATGCCTATGCGCGTTAAGACCCCGTGGATCGACGCGTTAACGGCGAGTCGGGATGCTGCGCGTAATGCTAAGGAGGGTGTTGAGGCACCGCCGGTTGTTAAGCCAGATTTGACACCGAAGAAGATGTCCGATGGTCGCTATAGTGCTGTATGCATGGTTCCTTCTTGATGTTTGAAGTTCTGAAACTGACCATTTCTCATCAGATTCTGCCTTTAGCTCAGGACAAATGGCTTTTGGATACTTACCTCAATGCTTCTGGGCATATTCGGTACGTTCATCTGTGACTTCTAAAAATCATCGCCAAGCTAACCGGTCTCTAGGCTTGGTTCACTTCTGATGGACCTTGATGCGCTGGCTGGAGTTATTGCGTACCGCCACACTGGAGATGGTGTTACCACTGTCACTGCTGCCGTGGATCGTATCACCATTGAGAACCCATTAATGGAGATCTGTGATCTCGAGCTTAGTGGCCAGGTCACCTACGCTACAGGCCGATCAAGTATGGAGGTTTCTTGTCAAGTTGTCAAGGTTCGACCGGAGGGACAGGAGCCTAAGCCTGAAGATGTCTTGATCACTTGTGCCTTCACCATGGTCTCATTAGACCCTGTGACGAAGAAGTATGTCTACTATTCTTTCAGCATGTCCGAGTTCAATGCTAACAAACACACACAGGCCTGCTAGTGTTGCCCCTCTGCTAGTTGAGACTGAGGAAGAGAAGCGTCTCTTCCAAAAGGGCGCAGAAAACTCTAAAGCCAAGAAGGCCCTCAGAACACGCAGTCTGCTCGAGAAAGCCCCTGATGACGAGGAGAGTAACCTCATCCACTCCATGTGGACCAAGGAGATGTCCTACCTGAGTACGTACCTCTTCCAAACATTCACGTACCAAGTAACTAACAAATCAGACCCTGAAACCCCAATCACCCGCCCCGAAAACTCAGTTTACATGAGTGATACCGTTCTCAAATCGGCTATGATCATGCAACCCCAAGACAGAAACAGACACAATTTCATGATCTTCGGTGGTTTCCTGTTGAAACAATCCTTCGAGCTAGCATTCTGCTGCGCTGCCTCATTCGCTCACGCCCGACCCAACTTCTTAGCTCTGGACCCTAGTACCTTTGAGAACCCTGTCCCAGTTGGAAGTGTGCTCTACCTTCGTGCTACAGTCGCGTACACCGAGCCTGAAGAGCGTGAGGGTGATAGCAGTAAGTACACTAAGGTGCAGGTGCGTGTTGACACTAAGGTGCGGGACGTGGAGCATGGTACCCGGAAGTCCACTGGTATGTTCAATTATACCTTCTTGGTTGAGAAGGATATCAACGTTATGCCAAAGAGCTATGGGGAATTCATGCTTTGGACTGATGCCAGGAGGAGGGCGCTTAATGCTGCGGCTATTGATCCGGCGCATAAGACTAGTGCTTTGCGGAGCATCAAGGATAGTGTTACTGAGTAGATGTCTTTGTTTAATAATGTGAGATTTATGGGTATTGTTATGTACATAACGTTGTTAGCAAAAGCTGCGATGTTCGGCATCTAGGCCATCCGGGCGTTGATTATACATGGTTCAATCTTTCCCTATCCTTAGAGGGTGTAAGGGAACATATACTCTCCCGTTTCGGGCTACCCTAATCGGTTAAATAAACTTCCAAATTCGAATCCAAGACCAATACTCTCAACTTTCATCACCCCAACTACGCTGCCCCATTAACAATAGTGAGACTAACCCCACCGGCATCAGAGTTCTGCACAATGGCCATCAAAGTCCTACTAGTAATATTCTCCACCTAGTCTAGCATTTAAGCTTCCTCCCTCCAAACCGCAAACCTTTCCACACCAGCTAATCCAGAATCTCAAGATTCTCTATTGTCTTTGAAATCTAAGCTTGGCTTCAGTTCCTCGGCACGGTGTGTTCCAATTAATTCAGAGATAGTGCTAGATGAGAACATCATGTCAATCTTGTTGGCCCGATTGAAAGTTCCAAGCCTAGCGCTTAGGAAGGAGAGGAACTGAAATTGCAAGAATCAACACCTTCAGAACCTTTTAAATATAAATCGACATAAGGCAAGATGAGACATTCCCCTCAAGCTGTTTTATATAGTTGAATTAACTGGATTCTATAATTTGAACTAGCCTATTTTGACTGTTTCCCTTTACTAACTTGTGCTTCCTAATCGTTTGCATTTAAGGTTTACCTTTAAATGCAAAGGATTAGGAAGCACAAAATCCGAGAAATACCAATCCGAGAGGCACAAAATCCAAGAAATACCAATCCGAGAGGCACAAAATCCAAGAAATACCAATCCGAGAGGCACAAAATCCGAGAATTGCCAATCCGAGAGGCACAAAATCCAAGAAATACCAATCCGAGAGGCACAAAATCCGAGAAATACCAATCCGAGAGGCACAAAATCTGAGAAATGCCAATCCAAGAGGCACAAAATTCGAGAAATGCCAATCCGAGAGGCACAGAATCCAAGAACTCCAATCTTAGAAGCATAGAATTCGAGAAATGCTAATCCGAGAAGCATAGAATCCAAATATTCCAATCCAAGAAGTATAGAATCTACCTAAGAAGCACAGAATCCGAGAAACTTTAATCCGAGAAGTATAGAATCCAAGAAATACCAATCAGTAAAGCACAGAACAATTTTCCAATTCGAGAAGCACAAGACCTAAGAAGTGCTAAAGGGCTTAGGAAGCGAATCTTAAGAAACACGAATCCTTAGAAGTAAACATAGCCTAGGTAATCTTGGAAGATCATTCTTAGAAAAACGAGACCCCGGCCTGTCCTAAAACGAGAAGCTTGATCTTTGGAAGCCAGTAAACTAAACATCCTGATAATCAACAGGAACACAAGGGCCTTGGAAGTGGAAAATCCATTCCGGTCTAATTCCTCACACGTATATACACTCAAAATATATATAAGAAGGTCAAAAGGAATCCAAAGATTCCAAAGAAAAACTCCACCAATGAACAAAGGTTGACTCCGCCATGGAGAATGATGAAAATTTCCACCCAGGTAATGCACCAGTATACACATAATGGCTGTACCTAATCCAAACCAAACCCAAGGAAAACTCCAACCAAACTTTCCTTGCCCAGGAAAAATCGCCGAAAATGAAATGAAAGAGATCGTGTCACGTTAATATGCAGCCTTCATAAACTTTTGAAAGCACTTTTGTATTTTCATGTTGATGCGTTGATGTGATAGTGCTGAAAGTGCGTGTTGATCGTGTCGTTGGAGACCAATCGCGCAAGAGAAGAGGAGAGAGGTGTTGCTCGCATGATGGCCAATGCAAAAACCAATAGTCTGAGGTTGTCACTGCTCGGTAAGAACCTCATCGATAGTACTACTAGCCAAAGACCCGTTTGTCTTATCCCTAGGCTCAGGCGGAATCTCATCTTTCATACAAGCGTTTTCCAAGATATTCGTCCACTTGCCACTAGTACCGGCATGACTATGCTTCAAATGCTGGCGGAAATGATCCGCACGGAAGAATTTCTTCGCATTGTTGCACTCGCCGAATTTATGTACGGTGGTAAGATGGTCGAATCGGGCATCCCAGTCTGGGCGGGGGAAGTTCGGGAATTCCTCGCCGCAGTAGCCGCACGTGTCATGTGATGGACCGGCGTTTGTTTGGTGAGATGGTGCTGCTGAGCCGTGGAAGGCGGCTTGGAAGCTTGAGAGGGCGGCGCAAGACCATGAGTGGCGGCGGAGATGAAGGGAGTTTTGGTGGCGTTCTGCTTCGTTCTTGTTTTTGAAGCGGTTGTTGCAGTATTGGCATGAGTATTGTTTTTCCATTTCGTGGGCTCTGTTTGGGGTTAGTGTCTGGTATTCTGTTGAGTGGTTTAAATGATAGCTTTTGCTTACCGGAGGTCTTCTGGATTGCCGAATTTCTTCGGTTTCTTCGGGCAGCAATCGCAGATGAAGAGTCCACTGATTTTTGAGGTTGGGGGTTTTGGCGTGTTTAAGGCTGTTGGCATTGGCACTTTGCCTGTGGAATCTGTGGCGGGTGGTTCGAGAGTATTTGAGCCCATTACAGCCCTCGGCATTGGTTGAACAAGTTGAACCGGGGAACTAGGATTTAAAATCGACTTTTCATGGAAAGTATCGAGATCTGAGCTGGGCGAAAGTCCCCCAGGAGATAGTCGGTCATATGGAGAAAGGCTTGTCATACTACTACCTCCAATGGAGATAGTCGATGAGTAAGATCCAGAGGTTCTAATGCTCAAGGATGAAGCCGCAGACAGAGTTCGTTGACTTGGGGCATAACTGCTGCTAACCGTCAAGTTATTCGTGAATGGCTGTCCACTAGTTCTCCGTTGCGACAGATCTCCGTTACTGGTAGCCACATGTAAGGTATGACGATCATCAGTAAGCGGTTCTCGGGGAGGAGAAGAAGCTCTTCGCTTCATACCCTGCCTTGAACCATCCGGGTATGGCGGAGTGGGCTCTCGAAGAATAAATTGCCTCGGGGGTATGGGTTCTTCCAGGTATGGCCTTGGGAGTACTGGGTCGTCCGAGCCAAAATCTCCTTCGATATCAGAGAACACACCCTGGTCGTAACTTCCACGGTTTGATCGACTCGGTAGACTGATACTATCTTCCCGTGAAGGAGTGTTTTTGTGATGACGTCTTCGACCCATATCGCGCATGTAGTCGTAGTCTAAAGCTGACGAAGGTGCGGTGCTTTCCACGCTTGGACTGCGACCTCCGTCGATATATTCTCTCCAGCCAATGCTAGATCTCGGGGATACCCCTCCGGATGTAGGACTATAGGACCATTTCACATCGAGCGTAGAGCCCTCTGACGGACCTGGCGAGGGCAGATTGCTGGCTGACCGAGACGGGACTGTAAGTGATGAAATCGAACCACGGTGATCAGATCCATGACTAATTGAGCCTCGAGGTGATAATGAATTTCCAATCTTTGACAATAAATGTTGGTCGTAAGCATTGGATGAATCCTTGACGCTTCTTAAAGAGAAATCCCGCTCTCCTTTCAATCTATCCAGATCGTTAGCGCATTGCTCAGAAATCGGATTGAATGCACCAAGTCACAAATCTCAACTGGCAGCATTTCTCCTGCACATTTACTCACATGGCACCTGAAGGAGAAGTGACGGACATGGAATTGGGAAATCCATCATTTGTAGGTGGTGGCGGCTCTATTTTAATATGGGCCTCCGGACTGCGTGACAATGGGAAGCCGCTTTGTCTTCCTTCTAGCTCATCCACCGCCATAGGATCACTTCGTGGAGTCGTATCAGTTCGTCGATGTCCTCCAAATAAGCTTGAATTCGGATTTATCGGCGGAAGCGCAGTGGGAGTTCTTTCCGAGTTCGCATGGAGCCAGCCAGCATCATAACCATTTTCCAAATCCCGAATCCTCGGTGGGGGAGGTAGTGGAGGGGGCGCAGTATCCATGACAGGTCGAGAAGGTATAGGTAACGGGCCGTGTGATGAGTATCGCGAATCGGGCATTGCGTGTGGGGGTCTGTCGGGCGAATTGTAGGAATTGTAGGAATTGTAGTGTTGTTCCTTGTAATCATAAGAGCTGGGCGTAGATGTATGTCTCGGGTCCATTCTAGAACTAGAATGTTAAGGTGATAACAACCGACGCGATCTCACATGAACGAGCTAAAAGACCGGGGTGGCGTCACGCGGGAGAGAGATCCTCTCTCCCTTTTTTATGACAGTAAAAAATAAGTCAAGCTCCACAGTGTTATCGGAAGGTTAAGCGGATTCAATGAAGATCCGGTGTCGCAGCAATAACCCAATCCAGTTGAGCGCAAACGTCGGTCGTGAAACCAGCTCGGATTCCTAAGCGGACCGTTGACTAGCTTCACCCCGATTTTAGAATGTCCAGCTTGTAAAGTAAGCGCGAAAGCGGATGAATTTTAGGTGGCGACTGGGGCTAGTAGTCGCGAGATGTCATGCGACTTGTACTAGTTGGAGGTCGGACTGGTGGAACCAGGCGAGCGCGGGTGAGCTGATATTGCGCAGGGAATAGTAGGGCTGAGGAAAGAATGTCCTTACCTCGAGGCGAATCGCCTCATGGAATATGAAACGTCCGCTGCAGTAGTGACACGCACAGCCCTGTGGGAAAAGCCGTCCCATAGACACCAATCAATGGCAAGTTGCGGGACTGGTACCACACATGCTCCTCTCTGGATCCTTGGAAAGTGTAAAATAAAATAAGGAAACTGGTGGTAAAACCAGAAAGTGAAAGCGAGAAGATTATTGCGACTAGCAAGGTAAACGAGTCGCGAGTATAAAGCAGTCTTAACGGGGCCCCGCCACTAGCTGAACAATATTCGGCTGAACACACAAACGCAAAGGAATGGGTACGAAAGGCTGAAAATCCCCCAGTAACACACAGGCACTAGTCCACACAAGGGTAATAAGGGTAATGCAAAAGGATTTGCGGGAAATCGGGCAGTAGAAAGTCGGGGCGGCGGTGCAGAGAATCGGTGATTGGATGAAAGGATTGAAGGGGGGGGGGAAGGTTAAGATCGAATGAGAGGCAATTGTGGTGATCTCATCGAAGCTGAGCCTGGAGCCAGGGGGTTTAGGAGAGAGATTCTGGAACCTACAAAAACCCGGCAAAAAAGCGAAAAAACATAGAACCATGAATTAATGGGTCTTTTAGGCCGGACTTAACCTGCAGTTCTGGGGGTCTGACGTGTTTAAAGAGGCAAAATGGGGTCTGGTACGGGTATATGTATGTACATGGTAAGCATCTTACATACCAATACCGACATGGCCAAATTGAGTAAAGAGGGGGCCCATTTGGAATTACATGTATCGTCAGATCTAGATTACGAACGTGTGAGGACCACGTTGGAATCAAAAGTGTAAGGCTGGGGAATTTTACATTCCTGCGCTGAACGGAGGTGTCCGGCTTCCCGTAATTTAATGGTCTCTGCAGCCCTAGCTGCTTCATCCGTGGTTCGCTCTCCCGGAACCTAGGGAATAGGTTTTCCAGAAACTGTCATGACAGAGGTTCTAGGCATAGTCCCAATCATTCGACAAATAGGATGTCTATCTCAATTACACTTTCCTATCCCGTAAGTGGCACCACAAGGCTTCATAGTGAATAAAAAAAGAAAAAGAAATCCAAAAAAAAAAACAAAGACCACCTTCCTATGCAGTGAGCTTCAGCGCTTAAGTGGAGAGTGCCTTGGACGATCTCGTATACACTGGACGCCTCACGATGATCCGATGCCGTCTGGAGGATCAACAATCTTGCATCGTTCACGCGACTACCTTGGTATACACCTCACCGGGGGGGGGGGGGGGTGTCACCGGTAATGCGCCCTCTCATCAAGGTACGTACCAAATACGACATGTCTGACCAGAATGAAGGGTGTTGCATGCAGAAGGAACCATGGTTAGTGACCACGTTGCTGACCTTCATAAGGCCGGAGAACAGCGGGCATAACGGGAACCTCCACAAGGCACAATGATTGGTAGGGTATTGAGTACAGTAATAAATCCTTACGGGCCAGTGACAATATGCACCGGAGAGTCTTGGGAAAGTCTTGGCAAGAGGCTTATATCTGCCGGGTGGTTAGGAAAGGAATTCTCGGTTGAGATGGTCGTACTTGAATACGCAGACGGAGACACAAAGAATGGGTTAGAGGTGAAACGTTGACACTCTTTAGGGGAGGATTCGGACTCTCCATTCTAGCGCCAATAATGTTCAACAAGTGGACGGGAGCATTCAAAGAAGAACATTCTTTTTCATTGCCTCCACATGAAGGGTCAATCCTGAGTCGTTGTTGCGGATCCACTGATTTCCTAGCGTGACCCACTTGGGGCCCAGTCATGCATGCACTGCCACACTGATGGTCCGCTGTCATTTGGGATCGCAAGTGTGGTAATTTTCACCAGGGCATCTTGAGTGGTAATCCTGGCTAAATGCATAAACGTAAAAGTAAGAAAAGTTCAGACCAGAACGATCAGAAGACCAAAGATCAGATCAGATTGCGAACGATGTTGACAGCTGCTGAGTCATGCTGTGCTCCACACCAGCTTAAAGATTCGGAGTTTCCAAGGTTCTCTAAATCTGTAAAAAGAAAAAAAAACCGCATGGAACTACGGGTCTACAGTAGTGAAACATTTGAACAGAAATTCGGGTCAAGTCTACCAACCTTGGAGTAAATTCCTAGTTCAGTCAATAGACGCGAGTTCCAGGTAAACGAGCCCCTGAGAAGCTACCAAAATTCGAGGCGATTTACCTCGGCCTATAAGAGGGGTAGCCCTACGAGGACACGAACTTCAATAGTGCAATAAATGGGACTGAATTATTGGGTCGTCTGACGTACCCTCAAGACACTGACTCAGGTGCTTTTGCCTCGGGGCCTTCGGGTACGGTTACATGGCAAAGCTGATCTGGTTGACGCGGTCAATGGTAGCGAAGGCAAAGTCTTGGCTACTTAACGCTCTAGCTGACAGTGTGGCTGCGACTACCGGGCAGTCCCATCTCCAGGTGGGAACTAGTCACAGGGGTTCCCGCAATAATCCCCGATCGTCGCACTTAAGACCGGGTTTGGCGTCTCCGTACCATACGTACGTACGAACTGACGCTACGCTAATTCAGTATACTTTGTGGCAACCGGAAAAGCCAATCTACACGCCATGAGTGGTTTCTGCACAATTCGATTTAGGCAGTGATTGTCGGGTCCAGCAGGAAACGTCAGAACAGCATCAGCGCAGTCGAGCTTCCAGCTGGTCCTGGTAGGGCGTCAGCCTAAGCCCTAGAAGGCTGCAGCTCAGTGGCGAAGGCGCGTGTGTGCGCCAGGGCGCCTCTTTCTCTCATTGGGGCAAGAGATGCGACACCCGCGTCAGCCTCACTCTATAGTTGCGTTGCAGTTTCTATACATCGTGACCTTGTTCCTGCGCACATTTTTATTCGCGGGAAGTCGCATTTTGATCCAGAAATCCACCCCTTGCAGCCTGCAGCACGAATCGGTGTGCAAGTTTGGGGGTTTGTCAAGGTGCCCCACCCACGCGGCGTGGACCGCTCGGCTAGACCTTGTCTGCTATGTGAACACACACCGAGATTTCATGAACCTCCGTCGGCCCATTACACAGGAGTGCGTGGTGGCGGATTTGGCCAAGGCGGGGACTTAGGGATCAGACTGCATATCCATGGAGCGCGGTCGCCTGTCGGAGCACTCTGTGATGTTGGTTGAGCCAATGATATAGCGGGAGTGAAACTCCTCTGTCCCCCTGTATTCGCGGCATTGACTGTGTCCCGCAAGCCGTAACCAATGCCGTGGAATGCGGAGTTAATGGCGGGTGGATATATCCAGTGCACTGGGTCAATCCACATCTCTCGAATCACTCGTGTCGGGACTTTATAACCCCTATTAGGATTGGTTGATTCATACCGGACATGTACATCTCATCTTAGTACGATCCCAACTAATTTGTAGTGAGATTGTCAGTACCGAGGGTGTGGATATTGTGTCCTGACTATCCCAGGCTGAGCGCGTGGGGAAGATCCTCTCTGTAATTCAAGATGCCTAAGGCAGCAACATCACCTGGTGCCCGTCTACCCTTACCCTACAGTACCCCTTTGGGCGTGGCAGGCTTCTCTCGACTAGACAAAGTATGTTATTCTATGACGGGAACAGGAGAAGAAAGGTTCCCCTGACGGCTCAACCACGTGGTCCACGAGTCTGTTAATCAAGCTTCTTCCGCCGTATCCGGGACAAGGCAGCTTTTGAAAGAACAAATGTCACTCTTGTTTCCAACACTCTACTGTATGCCAAGTCTAAGACATTCCTTTCCGGGCACTCCAGTATCTGAAATCACATATCGTTTGTTATTGACAAAATTGTATTGGCGGGTTTCCCGCTGCAACAAAGTTTATTCGCCTTACTGTAGATGCCGATGGCGTTAATTAGTAGCGGAACTTCGCTACTAACGACTGTTTATTGGTACCTCATTTGGATTTCGCTTTACCGTTTCTTTTTTGCGAACCACCATCCGGCGCTTGGTCCGCGTCGTCGTATATCTGTTAGTTGGATATGTGGGGACTAACTTGACTACTTCGTGCAATAGGCAAGCTCTGATCCGACGCTATCTATATTGCTTATTCATTCCTTACACAGCAAGGCGCATTTGCACCGCACGAAGTTTTGGAAAATGCCGAAGATCGGAGGCCATTAAGCTTTGTTTCCAGCGATGTTCAGGTGATGGTCAAATCACACCCAGAAATGGAACCTATATGATGTAACAGAAAGCTCGTGTATGAAATATAGATGGATCATCAGGAGGTGAAGAAAATTCGCAGTATGGCCGTGCCCCAAAAGAGGCCAGTGCGCTTTAAAGACCAGTACCCCGGCGCTATTCAGATCCAGATCCATCGCCGCCCTGAAGTGGAGATTAAGCGTTGAAGGAGCCGGTTCGTATCCCATTCCGAAACAGGGTTAAAGTAAAAATTCAATAACTGTAAATTTGCCTGACAGGGCGTGCTGCAATGACGCGGTACCTGCTCTCGGGCTTGCCAAAGCTCGTGCAATGTTTCAATCAGTAAATTAAACACGAGGACGGGCACGGAGGAGTTCGCACTTTTCGATGCGACTCAACGGAACAATGACCCCGTTGCAGTGCATAACAACCTGTGAGATGGCGTTTTGACGCCCTATGGACATAAGCATGCATGAACATCAAAATACGAGTCATGAAGCTTTGATCTAATAATAATAATCCGTAATCGAATTTTTTAAAGATTTTTGATTGTATAGATCAAATATCTCACAGACCTCGGAGTATACCCTGTAGTCTGTATGTCTAAGACCGAGTAAAGACCGAGTAAGAGCGACGATCAGCAGACCCCACTGATCAGCCACCAATTTCTATTGATCCATGTGTCAAGCCACTCAAACTGATGCGTTCAGCACAGGACGTTCAAAATCGATTCTGCTTCATCTGGATGGCCACTTGCGTCAGTGGAGGCGGCAAGTCACTATCCATGCTCTACACTTCTCATATCACACTCAGCCAGCCATGCAGTTCGAACTAGGAGCAAGGAGCTCCGTGAGGCTCGATCTCCGCCACAGCGCCGCCAGAATCAAGTAGCAGGCATCATAATCCTGTTCCAGCCTTGCCTAGCGGCTCAAAGGACCAAATTCTCCGACGAGCCTCCTATCTGAGACCTGTCTCATTAGTGATACGAAGGCAGCCAACGCACATTAGGCAACACTTGCGGCTCTTGCTGACCCTTCAACGAACTAGATTCCCATCAAGGAAAGATAGCACAGCTGACAGGATTTCCAGGGCGTCAGCCTAATCTCAACAGGGCTGGCTGTACTCCGGTACACGTTGCGCCAGTCATGATGTAGATCGACTCCAATGAAAATTTATTACGTACTGCCCACCGTGCACATAGCTGTTGAGCCTTGGATGAGTGTGCCAAAGCAAAGTGATACAGAATCGGTGATGTGTGACCGTCTAGCCTGGCCAATAGCCAATAACACTGCATTCCCAACACTATTGAGTGCCTGACTGGCGAGCTTAGGGCTGCATACTGCAGACACCCAAAAAGGCCCGTGGCTGACGGGGTTTACATTCCTTCCCATTCGTACGATAACTTCTCCTCCTACGACGCTCGCAAAGCCCGAGCAGATGATCTACTCGCACGCAAACCCCGAGTATCTACTGTAGTCGCGCGCCAAGGCAAGCAAACTGTAATGAGTCAACTGGATCGCGAGGTCGAATCTTGAACACTGGTGGAGCAAGTACTGTTCGTCGGGTTTGCTCTGCTCCACTTTACCGTCTCAACGGAGTCCCTACTGTACCCCTTGGCAAGCCCTTGATTCTCCCCCACGAGGGTTTTGTCAACTGCTTGCCCCACATTAGAGACGCGCGCTGTCAGGGTTGCGCTCCCAATGCAATGGTGTTTCATCCTTAAAAAGATCAGCAATATCCAGACGCCAATGACGCTGGGCTTGACTGGGCGGTGATTAATTTCCTCTCCTGGGTGGAGGACTTTCCAAGGTTGGTGAAGCAGAAGGAGGCTGTGCAAAAGTGGGTCACCTTCCTGGGTCTCCCGATTGGCCCCACTTGCTGCGACGTCTGTATGCGTATTACTGGTTTGAGACCGTCATTACAGTCTGCACTCTGAGCATGTTGCAATTGTATCTGAGAAAAAGCGCCATATGTATTTGCGGTGTAAATAATACTTGCATATTTCGGCATGTCTTTTACAAAGCTTCTCTTCAATTAGCACATGAGCCATCTCATTGAAATCCCAGTCACCTATGGAATGTCAACAAGCTACAACATAACCGCTCAACCGAGCCCTCTGATTGGCAGGCTCCAATATCCTAGTGGGGGTGGGGCAGTGCATTCGCCTTGCAGGGGAAGCTCCCAGCTAGCAGTGGAGTCGCATTCTAGTGAATCGACTCAAAAGGCGAAAACATCTTGCTCTGATATCATAGTTCCCCTTTCGCGCCAACGCTATAATAAACTTCCGCCCTTATGGACCCCTTTTCCCGCTAGGGGTATTTGTGATCGCCTTGCATGTATCTATGACAGTTTCAAGTTTAGGCGGATCTTGATTGATAGCTCCGCAGAAGTGGATGCGAGTTCGGAGTCGGGATTCGCGGTAAGCTGCGTCTGATAAATGGGAGTGGCTGCACTGCGTCACTCGACCGCTTTTTTGCATTGGGCTTATTGTCTGTGCCACGAATTCTCCTCTCATTTGAGGATCATAGGATCATGCATGTCATTTTTTTTGGGCTGCTTACTTGGTCGTGTCGATTGGGGTTATGTTTTAAGTGGTTTCTGAGTTGATTGCTTAATTGACACTTAGTCCTGAAGTATATCGCGCCAAGATGTGACCATTACGTGTCCTACTCGGTTGGAGATACTCTGTAAGACGATGGATATTAATCCTTGTGGTTATTGTGGCATTTACTATACGTACTATGGGGTTCATCAACCAATTGAAAGTAAGTTAATTTGGTGACGATTGGGAGCCCTAGGCTCGGACCCCAAATGTGTATAGTTCGACAATGAGGGTGGGGTTGTTGAGGGGTCGACGAGGCATTGCTAGGCACCTGTGTATTTAGACCACGCAAAGTTGCGCATGACGTCTACTCCAAGATTCGAAGCTATAGTTGATCTATATTTGGAGGTCTAGGCAGACTCTGTTGATGTCTTAGCCGGTACATCATGCACGCTACACGCTGTCGTTAGTAGGAAGGTTGCCACGTGAAAGGCCAATCATATATGGGGGGTAGTAATATACAGCGGCCCGTGTTAGAAAGTCTAGAAGCTCGAGGCATTGGCCTCGGAAGCCTAGGCTAGCGTGATTTTTTCAAGATCAGGCTGTGCTAGCCTCGAGCCACAGTAAGATCCAACCTGACAGACCAGGCGTCCCGCTCAACCCCTCCACGTAAGCATCTCTCATAATCCTAAACTCTAGAGAACAGGGCGTTCGATCTACCGAAAAGCGGGAAATTATGTGACAGCCCACTAGGGCTGATGGGGGTCAGATTCTAGAAGAGGGGTTTCACGAGCTCCGCCTCAAACGGGAATGCTTTAGTGCTTATTCTTCCCTTTATTCCACACATCACCCATGCACATGCACACATGCAGTTCTTACCGACGGAGTTCACGGAGCCTTGGCCCCCGACTAGGTTAAACGTTAGATCCATTCTTTTCAAAGAAATAAGCGTGTTCGAGTTGAGCTAAGGAAGCAGGGGTGTGCTGCTAGCAGTCTATAGGCAACGGCTTTGTGGAAGGCCTTGCATTAGAAGAATATTTGCTGCATATACACACTGAAAACGGGAATTAGGCACCCCCGCGGTAGATGCCGAAGGTTAAAAGAGATCCATCCTGCAGGATTGAGAACCCAGTACTTTCTTGGAAATTGGACTGTGCGCCATTCAATATGCGCGTTCGTGAAGGGCGCGTGCTCGGTCTGCGAGATTCTGTGGGCGGCCTGGCTTCGTGGCATCGAACTAATATTCACTAGCTGCTTTATCCCGCTAAGCTGACGAGTATTTAAGGCGGAACGGCCCTATGCAAACAATTTCTTGGTGATCAAGGCAGAATCTATTTGGCAAGTGACGGGCTTCGGGCTTTGATAACTCCGTTCAGTGAGCGAATCCTGCAGAGGATGGCTGTTATCAAGAGCGCCTTGCCCAGGAAAGAGGATCCCGGGCCAACACTCCTTGTTGAGCTTGGTGCATATGAAGGATGAAGTTCGCATGTGTAATCGGAACACTCAGTCGGGACACCATGTGGTTATACCCTCTAGCTGGTACCTTGGAATCTCATAACACGCATTGCCCTTACAGTAGTCTATATCCTGCGATAGAAGACTAAAGATCACGGGTCGGGACCGATGGAAACAAAGACGGGTTCTTCATCCTTTCCTGGTTTTTCTTGGCCCTTTCGATACCACGCAGCCGGTCGATGCGCATTTGATGGAAAGTTCTATATTTGATTAGCAACAGAAGTTCAAGAAAGGCCCCAGAGAAACATACTTATGTAACGCAAATATTCGGGACCCATTGTCCGTCTTCGTATCAGTGCCAGTTTTAATCGATTCAATCTATTAAGAAACACATTTAGCACATGTCTACTATCGTCGATACTGTAATCACCACACACCTTCTCATCTCTTTCTTTTTCATCATTGGCTTTTGAGTCCGAATCCGCTTTATCTTTATCTTTGGAGTTATCCTTTTCTTTGTCTTTGTCTTTCTCGTCCTTGCTAGACTCTTTGGCTTTCTCTTTCTTTCGTTTCTGTTTCTCTTCGTACTCTTGTTTGACCTTTTCAATTTCTTTAGCCATTGCCTCTTCTTTTTGGCGTTTTGCGTCGGCCTCTGTGTCAACGATGGGGGAGCAGAAGTGGCGGTCTTGCAGGTGTGCGGGGCACACGTAGAAGAAATCCTGAGCGACAGTCAGTGACTATGTTCCAAATAGAGAGAGGTGAGTTCCAAATGAGAAGATGATGCCTTAGATTTGAAAAACAAATATAGAATGGGCCAGTTCTACCTTATTGTCCGGCGTGATTAACACGCTCGTTGATGGCTTGTAGCAGATTAAGCATGATTTGGCAGATGTGTCTGCGACTCGCCGCAGGTGGTAAACGTTGGTTAGAGACATGGCTATAATGCCACACGGTAGCCGCTTCGAGCTGAAGCTTCTTCGGGAATTCTAATTACTTCTGGCTGAACAAGTGTGAGTAGGTACTTGGGTTGAAATGAAGTTGCAAGTTGTTGTGGAGGTAGTCATGTGACCAAAATGAAGCCGCGGATATACCAGGCTTCAACTCCAGACAGACCAGTATTGAAAGAACTTCTGCAGGAATGTTTGAAATTCCACCTTTACTTGGAGATCGGTAATGTAATTGAGAGTCTGATACAATGTAATTGTCCATTAGAAAAATTTAAACAAAACGCTCGACCATGCATTTGTCCACTAGGAACCAACTCCTGTAGGAGTGCAGAACATAACTTGAGCGACCAGTCTATGACGACAATCGCTACTAATACACATAAGATTGATTGGAAGCTCCTTAGCTCCAATAAATACCATCGTAGATCATGACTCTTCCGTGTCGATGCCAGCAGCCTCCTTCGCTAGCCTGAGGTCCTTGCCTGCGAGCCCGATATCCCGTAGGTAGGGCTTGAAGGATGTCAGCAGGTCACCAAGACCGCTCTTCAGCGTATCAAGCACGAGATCCACATCGGGGACCCGGCGGGCTTCCGCTTGCGCCTCTGGCTGACTTGACGAGGGGAAGTTGACATCTGTCCAGTGAGCATCCAAGCCGCCCTGGTGGACAAACGCCTCCAGGGACACGATAGTGGTGGTCAGAAGACGAATCACAGACGGAACGTCAGCTTGGACCTTGCCATACTGATCTTCTGCCAAACTAGCGATCAAAAGCCGGGTCAAACAATCAATTGCATCGACAATGGAGCTCAGAGATGACTCAGGGCCCCCAAGAACGATGTTAGATGCGCGCTGTGCATACGACTGACGGAAGAATTGACCAATGGGGGAGCGGAGGAACTGTGCCAGCACTGGGTGAACATTTTCAGGTTTGTAAGTGGCAGAGGGACCTCCAGTGAGTAGCTTTAGCTCCTCGGAGGACGCCATGATTCTCTTTTTGCGTTCGGGGCTGAGGACAGCAGACGAAGCCCGGTCAAGCACCTGACGAGCACGGGCTCGCGCTTGGGGTGTCCAGTCTGGTGACTGACCGTAAGACTTCGCAGCCGCGGAAAAGGCATCGCCAAACTGCTCCTGGCGCGAGACACCCTTTGGTGAATCTGCGAAAACATTTTCAGTCTTCGGGGCGTCCGTGAGTCGAGGCAACGTCTGGAGAGTAGGCTGGGTGGCTGTTGTTTGTGCCGATGGTTTGGCACCAGGGGCAGGGGCCTTGCTGGCATCGATCCGCGCACTAATGCCCTTGATGACATCTGTCAGGCATTCCAGAGTTTGAGACCAAGTCGTGCCGTTGTCACGGTCAATCTCGTTGAAGATAGCCTTACGGCGTTCGGGTTGTCGCTGGCTGATAAGGCTGAGCTCCCAAAGCGCGAATGATTTCACAACTGGCTTCTTCGCTTTCAAACCGTTGATCAGACTGCCATTGGGGTCTTTGGTTTCACTCGTAAGCGGCTGGCCACGCTTCAGAGGCTCCTTTCCAATGAACACCGAAAAGAAGAGATTGGTGCATTGCCAACACAAGACCAGGAGAGAGCCCGAAAACCAAGAACGAAGAACCAAGAGTAAGAAACCCGGGGGAAAGAATGATTCGGGCTCCGATGCAGATCGAGGGAAGTTCCAAAAGAGCTTCGCAAAGTATAAAGACCAGCTCCACGCGCTCTGTCGAAGGAACAGTCGGTACACCACTGGAGTGATAGCGGCCACAGTGGCGGTTCTTGTGAGACCAGTGATAACAATCTGCGGCAAGGTGTTCTGGATATGCTTAGAAGTAGGGGGAACGGGGTGTGTTCGCTGATCGTCTGACTTCGGCGCTCGCTTAACAACTGGGATAGGGACGCTGTCGTAGTCGTAATAGAGATGGCATGCGGCTTGTACACACGCCAAGATCAAATGAAAGCTGTGGATGTAGATAGGTCTCTCGTTCAGATGCGGGCGTTCATGAGGCCTGATTGCTGTCAGTGTTTGTTCAATGCAGCGATTGCTCATGGTATGTGACGTACCTGCCGCGATTCACCATCTGCAGGTGCGCACCGGTCGAAGAAGACCAAATGTAAATCTCAGTGAACCACCATGCCGAAAACAGATACCAAGCGAAGGTCTGCACGACTTGAAGAGGGAAGAGATATTTCAAGGTTGCGAGCGAGGATGTTGTGGTCCTCGATCCGAGGTGCATTTGGCCAACCCGGAGGACGAATATGACGAACGAGGAGATGAACAGAAGGACGGCGCGAATTCCACAGGAACCGATGGGGAACCATGACCAAAAGACTGTGTCAATTGCTAGCGTCAGATACAAGACCACGGAATTGAAGAAAGTTTCAAGATAGAGCGGGCGCATGACTTACACGATGTCTTGTTACCGATCGCAATTGCAATGCCATAACAGACCAAGAGAGCAAGCGCAGAGGCATGAACGAAACGCCGGTGCAGCGACGAGGTCAAAATGCGCCTATACGGCCGGGGTTGGGTCGCGGCCATGATGTGAAAGCTAGCGTGGGATGTTACTCGGGAAAGACAATGGGACAACACTTAAAGCATGGTCCGGGCAAACATCCCAGAAGCTGGAGAAGCTGTGGTATGAGGTTGATAGTCTTGCGACGAAGTTGGGGTCGAGATAGAATCGAAGGTGCGCCGAGACGATGGGATCGAACACAAAGCCGGGCCTCGAATATTTTGAGGCATCAAAACACACCAGCCACGATAAGGGTCAGGTGATAGAGTGGCGCAGATACATTTGGATGGACGGATCTTCCATTATATAATACATATGTGGCTCAGGCATAATATACACTAGTCTAAATGAGGGCAAGCGTGGAATGATACGTCATGTGAGTTGACCTGCATTTCCGTTGCAGCAGGCAGAACAATCAGCGGCATCTTCACTTGATCTGCGGAGTTTCGTCGCTGGTCATTCTTTTTCCTTAGTTAACATCAGCCAGCATGTCTTTTGATCGCTTGAGCTCGCTGGAGGCCCAGCCTACCACCATGCGCCGGGATGATGACCCGCAGTACCGCGACGATCCTGGCTTCGACCATCTTGCGGAGTCGCTATCCGATCAGATCTTCTCATTAACATCCAACACTACTCGCCTGTCGAGTCAGATTGCCCTCCTTGGTACAAAGCGGGACACCGAGCGAGTACGCGAACGAGTCCATAACCTTCTCGAGGAGACTCGAGCGGGGTTCAAGGAAGCAGGAGAAGGTCTCAAGAAGATTCAAACATGGGAGGACGTCAATGTATGTCTCAGGCTGAACAACTTTTAGATTCCAATTCATTAACTCATACTACTACAGCCTTCTCAGAAATGGACTCAGCAAAAGCTGTCATCTGAATTCAAAGCCAATCTGGATGAATTCCAGACTGTCCAGCGTCGGGCTTTAGAAAAGCAACGCGCATCTGCTGTAGCTGCCCGTACCGCTATCGAGGATGGCGACCATCCATCTGGAGATGCCGATGTTCAGCTCCAAGAACAGCAACTGCTGGAACAGCCACGATTGGCCAACCAGGGAGAGGTGGATTTCCAAGAGACTTTGATCATCGAGCGGGAGGAAGAGATTCGCAATATCGAGCAAAGTGTTGGCGAATTGAACGAATTGTTCCGAGATGTTGCCCACATTGTTGGTGAGCAAGGCGGGCAGCTTGATATCATTAGTGAAAACGTTCAGAACGTCACCCAGGACACACGAGGCGCGAATGTTGAACTGCGCAGTGCCAGCCGATACCAGAAGAATGCGCGCAACAAGGCATGCTGCTTATTTGTTATCCTCGCTGTTATCTTGCTTATCATTGTGCTTGCAATTGTTCTTGGATAGATGTGCTTGCTCTACACCCCTGGTTTGACTTGAATTTGGCGATCTCTTTTATCCCTCTGTTATGGTTACACACGATATCCCTCATGCATGATATAGTCCCGGCATTCCGCGGGCCTCCGTTGAATACAATTTTCGTTTTTCATTGTCCATCTCATCAATGGCGTTTTATGAGTGAATGGAGAAATCAATTCCTTGGTCTTCGATCCTCTAATGCAGTATCGTACATAGTGTGGTTATACATAAATTATACATCTGACGCTTGGGGCCCAACCATGCCCATGCTCCGTTTTCGCCTTGCTATAACTGAGGGCATCAACTCTGCCACGAATAATCAAAACTGGAAAGTCAGGTATCACAGGCCAACAAAGCGGTTGAACCTCAACCTCCATCCTTCATAAGAGTTCAATTTCGGCCGCACATCCAAAAAGAAGCTGAGCTTCTCTGGCCCAGCGTTTCCTGCTAGGCCCTGGCCTCCATTGCTTGTAGGTTTTCCTTGGTAGAAATCAATCACATATTCAATGTGTTCTCCATTGCAACGCTCAACGACCCAGTCATGTCGATCAAATGGACGTTGGTAACCAAGCCATCCGTTAATCCGCGCACGAGGGCTTAGGTACTCGGGATCAACTCCAAGTCCACGGAATGAGTATAGTTTAGGCCCACCGCATTTTTTGCTTCCTGGATCCGATGATGGTCCCTTAGTTTCCCAATCCTGGATCTGTTTCCATGCACGCTCGTTGACAGCGTTGTGAATGGGGATGATTGAAGCGACAGAAGTTGCTAATTCGGAAGCCGTGGAGGTAGAATTGGGAGTATTGCCCTTGCGCATCAAGGCTTCAAAGAATTGTTTTTCAGATGGATAGATCCAATTGCCTGTTGCTTCATCACGGCCAGTTTCGGACTCGGCGTTAGACGGGCACCCATGCGACGCGGCGTTTGCGGAAGAGGCGTATGCGGACGGAACTTGTTTATTGCCTTCGGGGCAGGCCTTCGCAGCTTCGCCAGCGCGTGGTATACCGCTAACTTCTCGGTCCGTTGATAGCGGTCTTTGCAACTTGGCTGGTGTCTGGCCCGCCTCTGGAGCAGATCCGGGGGTGGGAGGATGAGGTGAATTGGCATGTTGTTGCAACCAAACCTCGCGAGTCTTATGGTCCACGGGGCATGTCGCTGCCGGTGGCTCTGCAGTTGCAGATGGGGTACTTGCGCCAGCACCCATGGTGATGATTGGGTGGCTATTGGAAATCGGAATGTCAGGACTGGGGGTGATTGGAAACTGCAGATTAATGATCGGCACTGTAGGAACTAGTGATCAATAAATTTGTTCTCACCGCCCAACTGACACTAGTATTCCAGTATTGAGTCCCCAACAAACCCCCCTTTAACTTTCTAGATATCATTGCCTCGGGGAATTTTGGATCGATTTCGTTTTCTCTGAAATAATTTACTTCCAAAATGGCCACTTCATCCAGCCAGCCCGTTTTCCGGGCCACTACCACTGCCCCTGTCAACATTGCTGTGATCAAGTTAGTTACAGTGCCCCTCATGCCCCTCAGCTGACTTCCAAACATTGGCGTACCAATGCTGACAATCGAAACTCTAGGTACTGGGGCAAGCGCGATACCACTCTCAACCTTCCCACTAACTCTTCTCTATCGGTGACTCTCTCGCAAAAGTCCCTTCGCACCCTGACTACCGCCTCGTGTTCTCCCTCCTATCCTACCGAGGATACCCTCAACTTGAACGGCAAGCCTCAAGAGATCCAGTCCTCCAAGCGCACTCTTGCTTGCATCTCCAGCCTCCGTACTCTCCGCAAATCCCTGGAGGATGCGGATTCCTCGCTGCCCAAGCTCTCTTCTTACCCTCTCCGAATTGTCTCTGAGAACAACTTCCCCACCGCAGCTGGCCTGGCCAGTTCCGCTGCTGGTTTTGCTGCTCTGGTTCGTGCCGTTGCCGATCTGTACCAGCTGCCCCAGTCTCCCCGTGAGCTGAGCCGCATTGCTCGCCAAGGATCGGGCTCTGCCTGTCGTTCCTTGATGGGCGGTTATGTCGCATGGCGCACAGGAGAACTCGCCGATGGAACTGACAGTCTGGCTGAGGAGGTTGCCCCGGCATCCCACTGGCCCGAGATGCGGGCTATCGTCCTCGTTGTCAGCGCCGAGAAGAAGGATGTTTCCAGCACCGAGGGTATGCAGACCACTGTCGCTACCTCCGAGCTTTTCGCTCAGCGTGTGTCGTCCGTTGTTCCCGAGCGCATGACCGCCATTGAGGAGGCCATTCGTGACAAGGACTTCCCCAAGTTCGCTGAGATCACCATGCGTGATTCTAACACCTTCCACGCTACTTGTCTCGACTCGTGGCCCCCAATCTTCTACATGAACGATGTTTCGCGTGCTGCTGTCCGCCTGGTGCATGACATCAACAACGCCGTTGGCCGCACTGTTGCTGCTTACACCTACGATGCTGGTCCCAACTCTGTGATCTACTACGAGGAGAAGGATACCGAGCTGGTCGCCGGTACCATCAAGTCCATCTTGGGCGCCACCGCTGGCGGCTGGGACGGTCCTTTCTACGAGCCCCTGGCCAATGTCACCTCCGGTGTTTCCCTGGAGAAGACCGACCCCCGTGTCTTGGATGTCTTGAAGAACGGCATCAGCCGCGTTATCCTGACCGGTGTCGGTGAGGGTCCTATCTCCGTCGAGGACCACCTTGTGACCGAGACCGGCGAGATGGTCAACCAGTAAGAAGACCAGCGGTCATATTACGATACAACAATATTGCTACAAGCGACTTGGATAATACCCCCTTTCCTTCTGTGAAGGAATAATACTCCAGTCATCGCAATGACGATACAAATGTCTTTCATTGTATCTATCTTATTTCGGGCTTTTATAAAAATGCATTTCAGCTTGGTATATTCTTTGCTTTGAAGCCAAAAATACTCGAATTTCAATTACATATAATTTCTTCACGAATGAAAACCTTCAGTGAGCAAGTGCAAGTCTCAACACTTTGCACAATCATCGCATCGCCTAAATCCATACCCCAATGAATGACATGTATCGATGAATCTTTTCTGTTCTTGTCCAGCCCTAACACAGCACCCATCGAACCCACACTCAGTTGGCCCAAAGACTGCCCCAATTCTTTCACATGCATGCTTAGAGGTACTGAAGCCTCCGTTGCAACTGCATTTGATGGTCTCTGTAGATAGTGCACTGCCCAGTAAGAAAAGAGCCAAGACACCACTCGGCAGATGCATAATCAGAGGCAGACTTAGTTCAATTGCCCCCTTTTCAAGAAATATCGGCTTACGGATTTGAAAGCAGGGATTGGCTCGGCTTATATGGACTTTTCCCGTTGGATCTCGGTTCTTTTAAGTCGCTGGGAGGAGTATAGAAGCTTATATATAATCAAGCAATCTTCTATTCCCGCAATTCATGGCATGCATGTGTCGGGTAGTATCTGACCTTGGCTTCCAAAATGTGGTGTCACCTTGCCTGGAACCCTGGAAATACTCAGTATACTGCATCTCGAACTGATGAGGATTACCCACAGTTTGAGATATCACAGTGCTGATAACACAGGGTCCTTGCCAATGGGAGTGTTTTGAGACCTTCGTGTAACTAGCGATCAGTAGCTCTGGGTAGTTGCATAGGATAAAGAAATTCTATTGGACCATTACTGGAGGCGTAGTACTCGACATGCGCTGGGGGATATTAAATTCTCTAGTGGAACATTTCATGCATTGTTCTTGAGATACTCAGTGTTTGACCTGGTGGTATTTTTTTCGATTTGCGCATGGGGGAATGGTGAGGTGCGAGCATATCTGATTTAGATGTCCTCGTTGAGAGATCTGGAGACCACGGGGAATTATAGCGGTATGTTCTTCAGTGAATTCTTGAAATGTGCCTGGGAAAGGCAACATTCAATCTAAATTAGATTAAATTACTGCTTGACAATATATACGGTGGCCTAGAGCCCAGATACCCCACTAGGTAAACTCATTAATCACTCAATAGTTTAATTTTTCACTGGGAACTTCTGTATAACAAGATCAATCGCATACTCATATCCCTGTACACCACAGCCAGCCTAAAAGTATAAATGTCAGCCACAGAACCTAAAAAGATCAACACGGCAGAGAAGTGCACTTACAATGATCGCCTTAGCCTTATCCTGGAAGTAAGAATGATGTCTCCACTCCTCTCTAGCATGAATATTCGACACATGCAATTCAATAAAGGGTATGGAAACACCAAGAAGGGCATCCCGGATCGCAACAGAGGTGTGTGTGAATCCACCAGGGTTCAGAACGATTCCGTCCGTCCCATCCGTTCGGGCTTCTTGGATTCGGTCAACGATGGCACCCTCCCAGTTACTAGATGATCAATATTAGAATCAATGATAGTCAGGTAGTCATGGTGCAAGCGAAGTAAGGGTAGGACGTACCTCTGGAAAAAGTCCACAGTGGCGTTGTGCTCGTTTCCTTGCTTTTTTCCGGCTGCCTCGACATCTGCTAGGGTCTCATGTCCGTAAATTTCGGGCTCACGAGTTCCCAGGAGATTGAGATTTGGGCCATTGATGACCAACACAGTCTTCTTTCCGTCGCGCATGATGATTCGTAGAAGGTGATGTAGAAATCAGAATAGGAAAAGTAAACCTTGAGTAAAAAGGCCGGATATTTATAGTGGAACGGCCAGAATGCCGATGAATACAAAGCGGGGCCAAGTGGAGTTCGTTTTCCCCATGATCTCCAGCTTTAGTCTTAACCGCGTTGTTGGTGGTGCGGTAATGCGTTCTGCCGATGAAGGTTCCACTTAACTGCTCGGACTTGTCGGCTTCGGAATTATACACTCGGACTTGGATAGATGCGAGGTTTGACTACTGCAGTCTGACAATTCGACGAATATTGGTGTTTTTTTTTCTTTTAACCGGATTATTATAAAGATAAAGCAATATCCGGAACTCAATTTTGACCTCTCGAAAATCTCACTGTGATAATTGCAACAAGTTCAACCTTTAAACTTCGAGCATCCTGTCATCAGAAGCCGCAAACCCACCATGTCTTCAGTCAAGGTCCACAATGTTGGAATCATTATGAACGGCGTTACCGGACGCATGGGGACGAACCAGCACCTTATCCGATCTATCTGCGCTATCCGAGCCGAGGGCGGCATTACCACTACCGATGGTGAGATCATCATGCCTGACCCTATCTTGGTCGGTAGGAACCTTGCAAAACTTGAAACTCTCGCGAAAAAACACGGAATCGAGCGAGTCACAACAGATCTGGATGCCGCATTGGCCGATCCACAAAACACAGTCTACTTCGATGCGCAGGTCACATCTTTACGACAAGATGCAGTCAAAAAGGCCGTCGCGGCGGGCAAGCATATTTACTGTGAAAAGCCAACCGCCGTTACGACAGCCGAGGCGCTCGAGCTTTCTCAAATTGCAGAGAAGGCGGGCGTGAAGAACGGTGTTGTGCAGGACAAGCTTTGGTTGCCTGGCCTTGTGAAGCTGAAAGGTCTCGTGGACAGCGGCTTCTTTGGAGAGATTTTGTCCGTCCGTGGTGAATTCGGGTACTGGGTCTTTGATGGGGAGAATGTTGTCTGCCAACGTCCTAGCTGGAACTACCGGAAGGAGGAAGGTGGCGGTATTATCTCGGATATGTTTTGTCACTGGCACTATGTAATCAACTCCCTATTTGGCGAGATCAAGTCCGTTTCTTGTCTTGGTGCGACTCATATCAAGAAGCGACGTGATGAGCAAGGCGAGGCATATGACTGCACTGCTGATGACAGTGCTTATGCGACGTTTGAGTTGAAGAATGGCGTTATTGTGCAGTTCAACTCTTCCTGGGCTGTTCGTGTGCGTCGAGACGATCTTCTTACTATCCAGGTGGACGGCACGAAAGGCAGTGCCGTGGCGGGTCTGCGGGATTGTGTTGTTCAACATGAAAGTGTGACACCGCGGCCGACTTGGAATCCTGATGTCGCTGGTACGGTTGACTATAAGGATGGGTGGAGTAAGGTTCCTGATCGTGAGATGCTTGAAAATGCCTTCAAGACTCAGTGGACAATGTTTCTTCAGCATGTTGTCAAGGATGAACCATGGCAGTATAATCTATTGGAGGGGGCTAAAGGTCTTCAGCTGGCAGAGAAGGCCAAGGAGAGTTGGGAGAAGCGTTGTTGGGTCAACCTTGCTCAGTTGGAATCCAAGCTTTAATGAAAATAGCGTTATATATTGAGAGAAAATCACATATATATACAGTTTGATCCTCCAATCATATCAAATGAAAAGAGCAGTTTATCCAGCACACCATCGGCTTTTCTAACCGGAGTAGGAGTTCTGCTTTCTTCCCATACACAGGCCCATAGATCATAGAATGGTTGCAACAATTGCACAAATAGCCCCAGCCAAAGGAAAGACAGATCGGCCCAGATTCAAGGTATTCCACCGCTCAACCAAATCCGAAACCCCTTTGTCGGCATCAGATGTTGACTCTGCTTTCTTCATAAGGGCACTGTTTGTCCCAGTCATACAGATGAGTGTGTAGGGAACAATGCCGATAGTAAGGGCAGCAGCAGCAAGATAAAGACCACTTCGACTGTATACAGTCGTCTTGTATAAAGGACCCCCTTGGCGAACAGACCATGCCAGGTAGGCCAAGGAGGAGGCAACTGCGGCTGCAATTGGCGGATTCTTCTTTTTTCCGATCTCGTAAAGGGTTCTCCATTGCTTTGTTAGGAGACTCGGAGATTTATGGTCTTCGTTTTGGGATTGAACCAGCGCAGGTACGGTGATTGTGCTTAACGCAGCAATGTTTCCTATATATTAGGTCAGGATTCACTCAAACAGACAATGCTATCAAAGCCGGGTATAGTCACGAGCCCTTGAGCTTTAATATTTTGAGGATATACATACCAGACAACCAAGCTGCACCAGATATACCAATGGCTTGTGCGATGCGGAAACCAAGTAGTTGAGACGTCATTGTTTCGGTGAAACCGATTTAAGGTCAATGGGTTGACTTATTATGAGGTGTGAATAGAGAAAAGGTTTGATGTTAGAAGATATCGTGTGACTCTTATAACAACGTGAAATAGCTCTATATCAAAGTCCGAAAGCCGTGAGAGAGCAGCATCAGCCCATAGCAAGAGTGATCGGTCTTCGGCGGATTTTGTCGGCTTTTGGACCGGGGTTTGACGCTAGTCCTAAAACGGCAACAAACTTAAGCATTCCTAAGGATACAGAACCTCCAATCAGAAGCCCCACAGCTCGAGGAACACGAAAAGTACTGACAGAAGACACCACAGCAGCATGTAAACCAGATCAATTGGCTAAAAAGGACTTAAGACTCCTGGTTGCGGAATTTCTCCGGTGTATCCCCCTGATTCCGCCAATCAGCAGCCTTGAAAGACTCCAGTGCCTTAAGAGCATGATAGATCCGCTTGACATTAGGCACAAAATCCAAGTCTAATCGGTACATCAAAGCTTGATCAACAGCGGGGACCAGAACCACATCTGCCATGGAGACAGAGCCACCAAACGAAAAAGAAAAACCCCCTTCTCCAGCATGCTCAAGCATTAGCCTCTCATAGGCCTGGAATCCATCGGTAAAGACCTGTCTGGCGAAATCGACCTGGTCATCAAGCTGTCCTCGGATGGACTTCACCCGCTGTGTGATACGGGAATTTGTGGGGGGTTGCGTATCGATAGCGATGATGTTCACTAGATCGCGTACCCACAGCCGATCCCGCAATGCGGGAGGGAAAAGTGGAGTCGTGTCTGGGAATCTCTCCTCGAAATATTCCAAAATCGTCATCGATTGGCGGATGATGGTCTTTTCGCCGTTCGAGCTGGTCACTACTAATGTGGGCACGCTACCGCTGGGGTTGTACTGTTTGTATTCGTCGGTTTTGTGCTCTTTAGCACCGAGGTCGATGTAGGTGAATTCGAGGGGGATGCCCTTGAGATGGGCGGCGATGATGATCCGTTGGCAGCATGATGAGCAGTAGTATGAGTATAGGTGAAAGGTATCGGTATGCATTATGGCTTTTGTTTCGATGGAATGTGATTTGGTATATTGTGAGTAGAATAGAGTGCGAAGGTTGGAGGTATCCGAGAGATCAACGTGGAGACGTGAGATTTATCTACTTAAACGGGTTGGTATTTAGGTCTTTGATAAGGACGCGTGTTACCTTGTAATAATTTGCTGTTATCTTTGTGATCATAATCCGCTAATGCGGATTTAGTCAAGCGTGATTCAAGCTACGAATTGAAACGGGATGCTTCCCTTACTGGACAGATCCAAGGTCTATGCGACGTGGTTAAAAGCTCATACCGCCCATGATCCGTAAGTTCCAACGATACTATCGACCTCACGGGGCTTCCAGAGTCGCACTGTATTCCCCTCTGGCCTCAAACCCAACAAATCGACTCAGTCTGTAGCGAATGAAAATTTCCACCGGCGCGGTATCCCTGACCTCGAAGCTCCAGAGCTTGGAGTATTGTATCGTTATTCGCCCATCTTGAACGACGATTTGTGTGGTCCGGCCCTGTTGTTTGCCCATATATGTCATGAGTAGGAACTGGAGGTACAAATTCAGTTGTTGTTTTTTCGTACATCAAATGGACTATACACACTAAACGGGTAGATAGAATGTTGATGAGACCCGCGAAATCTGATTCTATTCATTCTCATGATAGCTCTCATCTCATGGATATTAATTTTCTGATCGGAAAGAATCCCGTCGACTCTCGCTTCTATAGTGCAAAAGGCAAGTGGGAGGTGACAGATATAATCCCATTCTTCGTGAAAGATGTGGTGTTTCCAGACCACTGAGGTAAGTCCACCCTGTCGCATCAGGCTTTCATCAAATCTGTTCGACAAGGTTAATATTATCATAAAATCAGCGTGGGCAAGGATGTCTTTCACGTACATAAACTGCTTTACAGTTTCGAAAATTTGAAGAGTCAAACCTGGGGGGCCACCTTTTCGTCTTGCATCAAGCTCAGATGTGATGTATAGATGAAGGCGAAAAGCACGTTGGTGGTGGTCAAACGAGTGCCAGTGTTCGCTCTTTTCTTCCACTAACTCGCGAGCCGCTTTGAGAGGGTCTTCTGGTTTTGTAAACCTCTCTTGTACTGTGGCAAGGGCTTCTTGAAGCGTAGGAATGCACCACAAGGGCATTGTCATCCTATCGTTGCTCGGCGGCGCAGCAGGGTCGATTGGGTATTGCTGGAGTACACCCGCTGCCGGGTGGGGCTCGAAGAAACGTGGCTCAAATTGCGGATCACCGTCGTCTGTGTTTTCTACTTGACGTGCTTCCACACCGAGGCGTTGCAAGTCAGAGGGTGATAGGAAGAACGATTCACAAGCTGCTATACGTTTCCACGTCATCCTGATCCTTCTCAGGTCTTTATTCCTTGATCTCTCGTCCCTCTGTTTTGCTTGTTCCCTCTTTCTTGCTTGTTCATTCATCGCGGAATCAAGGCGGGCTTGGAGAGTGGGGGTGACAAGAGATGGGGAGAAAGACCTTTACCCAAGTGAGTTTATCTGAAGTGAAAAGCTAGCTGCAAGAAAGATAAGAAAGATAAAATTGAAACTATGGCATCATGTCGAAGTAATCATAGCCACATTCCACCATATTGAATTCTAAGTAAACAAACGTGGCAGTAGAGGCTTCATTAGGTTTGTCGGTGAATTCACCATCTCGAGATATGCTCTTGTTCCTGAGGACCACAAATCCCCCAGTAGTAGATACCCATGCTTATTGCACAAGCTAGGCGCCGCTGCGCAGTAAAGAAGAAAAAGGGGGCCATGTTTGATGCATAAACTCCCCGTAAAGAACCATATCGAATGACCATGAAATCCGCTGCCGAACGTGATTCTCTCATACTTAGCCTTGATCAAGGCACCTGTCTTGCTCCAGAATTTTCAAAGTTGGCGCATTTTTCTTCTCATTCCGTGACAGTTTCGACCTAACGCTGTAGGTGGCGTCTCTAATGGGACCGTCGTCTTTAGCCTCGACGGCCTAGTTGAGCTCATCGGTAACACCATGTATCTGCAATACGTTGGCGGCCTGATTGTAGTCTCTTGTGTTGGCACGCTTCCAGAGTGTTTCCCTGATTGTCTCGAGATCATTCCCGAGGTCCCCTACTTGATGATTAGATGCAGGAGACCTTCAAGGCATTATCCGCGTGAATTGTCAAAGTGGTGCAACTGGTAATCCGCGATTTTTGGCATCCCATCAACATATCCCTAGGTTCCGACGTTGTTGTGCACGCACTTGTTGCGAATATATATCCACTTCAAATTTCTCCTGAGAAAACTGTCGCATTTTTGGTTTTCGTGGCACAAAGTCCTCCTCTGGGACCACGACTTTGGAACCCCATCTATATTCTCGCTCATGGTAGAGTGCGTGTTGATGTAAGATTTGCTGCTCCCTCGTCGTCGTATAATAACGCGAGCACCTCCCATGTTCAGGCAGTCCTCATTGTTGTACATCCAGGAATTACCTCGAATGATTTTGTGGTATAGTTCGATGTAGTCCATATCATGGTTGGTGAATTCATACTGCCTTTCTCGGATTCGGTGAGGTGACCGAACTTGACATCCTGAAAATCAACGAGCCACCGTGCCCTTCATTTTTCCGTGTACCAGGAGGTCATATTTCGGCAAATCACTGCACACTTGATGTTCCCCTTTCCATTCGATCTTAATGTGGTGTCAAGAGAGGCTTTCGCCACTGGTAGAACAGTTGACACAGATCGAAGCCATGAAGCTTGCGGCAGCGTCGTCAGCAGTACACCAATGAAGACACCAAGGGATCCAGCCTCTTCCTCAACATTTCCTGATCGACTTTGCTTCGACGCTCTTAGGTCACCTTAACCTCCATTCATTGGCTTCAGAGCTCATTTGCCCCTTTGATATGTTCAAGGTGACAGATTTTCGCAGGTCTTTCCGGGCTTCATGCTATAGGAAGAACACGAACAGCCTGAATATTGGCTTTCTTGGGCTACCCCCAGCAACAAACATCGAGATTATCCATGACTCGTGATGAGTATGCTGGTGGCAGCCATAAGTCAGCTGGGTCGATTCCTTGCTCGAGGAACATTCAATGATCCTTGTCCTCGTCTCATCTGTGTGAAGTCAAATATCGCTTGGTATAACCTGAGCGTCTTTCACTCTCTCCATGCCATTCCTCGAACCTGAGCATCTCTAATCTCGCAAGGCAAAATATTTCAAATTTCGTGCGACCGTCTCGGTCGAACAACGCTGTGTGGTCAAGATCTCGAATGTTGCGAGTGTACACTTTGCGTTCTTCCGAGCTCATTCCAGCAAATGTTCGTAGCCGATCATTCTTCGATCATGGCTAAAAGCAAGTACTTTCGCCTTGATTGTTGTGTCCACGAACTATTCCCGCGCTGAGCCCAGCGATCTGGCTCTGGGTCAAGAGTTTGCAAAGGCGCGTCGGGTGATACTGGGGTGACTTTCCCCCGCTTCCTGAGCGAAAAGGGAGGGGAGTTCTTTGTATTGCCATGATGCGATGGGGCCTTTTTCGTCACCATAATTCATCGTCGATAGATGAAAAGCCAAGCTTTTTTGGCGTTTTGTGCTCTCTCATTTGAGAGACCGAGGGGGTAGTGGTGTGGTAAGGAAGTAGAAAAGATCGAAGGAAGAGGCCTTTTATAGTAGCGCTGCTGCCTAAACAGATACGCAATTGAAAAAGTGTCCATCAGATTATATATGAGAAACTTGAGCGGAAAAGATGATATATATGTGCAAGCAAAGTGCGGAGGTGGGTATACAGATTAAGTTTGGCCCGGTGGCTGCTCGGTCAAATTCGGTAGATTGATTGACCTGTCACTTTAATTTTGTGAAGATCTCTTATGCTATGAGGTCATTACGAACCTTTCGATCAGTTGAGTCGTGTATTGAGAGAAACAGCTATGTACTTAGAGCCTCCACATGAAAGTCCGTAGAATTAATAAGCCTCAGTCCGATCAAGACCTCTATCGGTCTCAATCAATCACCCACCATTATGTGATTATCCTCTAAGGAAGTGAGAGGAACAACTTCTTCATCTTGGGGTAGTTGGGAGTTCCCAGACCAGTCGCAGGGTCCCATCTAGAAACTATTAGTAATTGTCAGCTTGAAATGACTGGTGTCAGACTCACCCTTCAATAGCAGCGAATCCATCGGTATCACATCCAGCACTGGTACCGTTTGTGATATCATTAAGCACCTCAGGGTGTGCGTACAGGACCGGGTTGACGAAACCAACGGGTCCCTTGCCCTTGGCGATACGCTCCTCGTTGATCTAGATACTGTCAGTCATATCAATAAAAAGGTGTGCAAAATCAACTTACCAGAGTCAGGACCGAAGCAAAAAGTGGCGATGCCAGACTGGATCCATAGTAGAAGTAATCGTAAGAGTCAGTGTAGGCACGGAATCTGGCACCGTTGGCCGAGACGTCGGGATAAGCACGTCCGATACGGTTGTAAAGTCCCGAGGTGGTGTTGACGTCGACTTCAAACTCCGAGTAGTAGGGGTAGGTCAGGTCGGCCTTCTTGAAGTACTTCTCCACAGTGGCCTTCTGGTACGCGGGCTGAGGGAAGTAGTTGGAGAAACCTCCAGAGGTACTGAAGTTGGCAGCTGTGCCACCGAGGTTGGCGTGCATGACGCTCTCGGCATCATCAACGGTCTGATCAGTGTAAAGCATGGTACCTCCAACGGATGTGACATAGGGGCAGTTGGAGGGGTACTGCGGGTTAAAAATCTTGCTGTCTGGACCCAGGCAGCCGTTGGAATCGCCATCACCGGCGAATGAGGCCACGCCATAATCACCAGATGCGAAAAGGATAGAGTGGCCTTGGAGTCCTAGCTTCATGAACTCGTTGCACTGGCGCTTGGTGTAGCCGACGGGGAGATCAGCTTCAGCCTGGCCATAGGAGGCGCTGATGACGTTGGTTGGCTTATAGACACCGCACTGGAGCTTGCCCTTGTAGCCTCCGGCTGCTGGGTCGGGGTAGACAGCGTCAATGGATGGGTCATCGCCTGTCTCTCCGTAGGCAGTGTATGTGCAGTAAGACTAAATTGATTAATTAGCGGTGGTCACTACAAAAGGCGGAGGTAAGACATACACCATCGAGAGCATCAAGGAAAGTGTTGAACAGGTTGGTGGTCGCGACCTCCTCGGGCTCGTAAATCTGGTCATCGACCTGGTACAGAGTCACCGTTTGGGGGTAGATCAATGAGAAGCTTTGAATATGATTAGTACGTATTGATGAAGCAGAGTTTTTGTCACTCACGCCATGTCAATGTCAATATCGGATTCACCAGTGTTCAGTGAGCTGTAGGCTGGCACAGAGAAATTGGCTCCATCAATCAAAGCAGGGATGGGATAGGTACCCTGTGGCACCCACGGGGCATACGCCTTGTAAAAGAGGTCGATATCCGACTTGGCAAAGTAATCACCCTGCTCATAAAGACCAAGAGAGTTTCCCTTAACTGCCGTCTTGGCATCCGGGATATCATACATGGCCTTAATGCAGGTCGGGGTCATGTTGTACCCACAGCCCTGAAGATCTTCCGCAAGGGACAAAGCCTTGGCAGGAATCGAGTAGTTTTCTTCATCAGCCACAGCCTTCGAATTGGTCTTCACACCAATCAATTGAGACGCCCGCTTGGCCTTGGTAAGCTTCTTAAGCACTGGGGTCAGCTTGACTCCGGGTGTGATGTAGTCAATGTGTCTCTGAACATGCTCCGGAACATGGTACCTGTGGTTCTTCGATTTAGTAAATTGATCTTTCGCCCATAATGGCAAGAATTATCTTACTCGTCGCATCCAACTTTCATGCTCGAAGTAGCCACGTGCTCGTGCTCATAGAACTCGGTCTTGAACAACCGTTCCGCTTCATGTGCATAGGCATCGAATGCAATCCAACCCTTGTTATCGGAGTGAACGACTCGAGACGGGTGGATGCCGCTAGCTTCAAGCCACTGCCGAATTGACTCCACAGCTTCATCGGAGGGAGCGAACATATCATGCACCTCCTCTGCAGACCAGAACTTTCCATAACGGGGCGAGTCTGGGTGGGAGCTGTGTAGAAATCAGCAACAAAGACAACAAAGGCATGCATTAGATCAGCCACTCACACTTCCATGAGATGGTCATAACCATTTTCCAGGTTGTTTTGGCTCATACCAATGCGGACAGGCAAGATCGCATCACTCTCAACCCGGCCACTTTTCACCCAGTCATAAGACTGTCGGTCCCGCTTCTCATGCAAGACATGTTTAACAGTAGCGGGAGCAGCCTCAGCCAAAGCCGCAATGGCCAAAGCGACACAAACTTGACGCATAAGCATTATGACAAGTCCAAAATGCCCACACTGGAATCACAACTAAGAAGGGAAACGGAACCTTCAAATACATAATGCAACAGTACCGCCATATCACCGCGGCATAGCTAGCGACAAACAAGCGTCTCCACTCCTGAAAAGGCGGGATAAACTAATTTCAAGGTATCATGACATCCTCGTGGTCTGATTGGATCCATAGTGGCACGGTCTCTGCATGGGGTATGAGACACATCAACATACCGACATGCCCACGCGTAGCTCCGAGCTAGTATAAAGATTGAAGATAAAAGCTTCGGCAAATGGCCCACTAACTGGCTTTGTTGGCGAGGTGCAGAGGTGGAATTACCAAGGTAGGCATAGTCTTATCAACCCCGCTCTGGCAGGATCAGGATTTCTCCGCAGTGTTGGGCTGTTTTTGCATCGTTATCGCAGGGGAAATGACGCTAATTGCTTAGTGTAATCTAAGTTATGCAAGGGCGGAGTTCCGACGGGTAATATGCTCGGATACCCGGTTTACCAGCGGGCCTTGTTCATTGCCCCTTGCAGAGGTAAGTCGTGGCGATAAACGATAGCGATGTACATGTTCACCTGGTTGGGTTGGGATTTGCTTATGTTTCCGGGGTTTTAAAGTCGGATCCCACGAGGGTTGCAGTACCTATACTACGCGAGATTTGCAGCTCGATGGCCCTGGTTGACAAAATGAGAAACATATATACCATGTACGACATAAATCCATGCAGATAGCAAACCCACGCGCTAAGCCAGCAAGGAAGACTTTTTAATCACCTTCACAACAGGCGCCTCTTTCCGGGCAACCCCACCTGTGGCGATCGCTGCCATACTTTCCTCAAGAACGCGAGACCCGGAAGTAATCTGGATTTCCGGTCCCTCGTCATCTTCGTCCTCGTCCTTCTTTGGTGGCGCAGCCGCAATTTCAAACACGTCCTCGCGGCAATCTGCGCACATCTTCAACACATCTTCCAGTGCTTTCTCGACGGCAGCTGCACGTTCGCGCATGCCACGACGCAGCAGGGCATCCACAAGTGCCTCTGCCTCGTTGACAGCGGAGTTGACTCGTTCCATGAGTCGTCGGATACTATTAACCAAGTATTCCTCCTCGTAGACCGTACCCTTCTTACCCTTGGCTCGTTTACGCTCTTCACGGCGACGAGTCTTGGAGGTGTGACGGGAGGATGAAGTCTTCCCGGTATAGCGCGTAAACATGGTGCGTCCGGCCAGTGTTGTCGCTTCCGTGGGGGCTAGGGAAACGTTATCGGGGATATCGATACCACCTTCGCCACCTGTAGGGTCACCTCCGTAGAAGGCCAGAGGGTCTGCAGCGCGAAGCAGGCGCAATTCGCGGACACGAGGCACCTGGGCATTGAGCTGGGATTTGCAGTCGGCGAGCAGATCGGTCATTGAGCCCATTGCCTCCGCCAGTCCGGTGTCGACGATTCCTGCGACCAGGTCCTTCTTGCCGTGCAGCGTCAGCAGACGGGCGGCATCGGCAAACTTCGAGCCCCGGCACAGAAGCTGCGCAGCTGTTTCAATGTCATGCAGGTGATCCGCGTGGACAGTTGCTGCAGACACAAAGTCGCGAGCCTCTTCAAGAGTCAGGATGAGGTCATTAATATGCGCAGTCAACTCTTCCTCGGACAGTGAAGCCATCATGGCACAGTACAGAGACTCCCGCCACATATGAGCCAGGTGGTAAGATTTATAAGCCTCACTATACACCTCCAGTGACTCGTAGGCAATTGCGGCATCCTTGTGTTTAGATTCGCCCGAGAGATAGTCGGCATAGAGATGCGTGATTTCTTTCTGCTGCTCTGGGTGGTATTTGTAAAGCTCAAGGGCCTCACTGTATAAGACGTGCTTGGTAACATACCCGAGGATCTCTTCATGAGCTCCCAGAGTGAAAAGATGCTTCAGGGCCTTGGTGAAGCGGGAAAGGTGGTTGTCAATCTCAAATTGACGGCGAGTCTCAGGCAATTGCTGCAGCTTGCGCAGGAAAGGAAGATATTCTCTGGGGTCCATCTGGGCCTGTTGGGCAACCAAAAGAGTGAGCTCGAGGTCGTAAATTCCAAGTGCGTGAGAGTAGAGACGGTTCGCATCCGTCAAGAAGCACATGTGCTCAATAGCACCATCGGCCTGTTCTGGGTTTTCGGTCCTTAGACGTGCAACAAGTCCTAAGCCAGCTTCCAGATCGGGTGGTGACTTGCAGACGTGGGCAGTGATCAGGTTTTGTAGATTTGTATCCAGGCGATTTTGCAGAACCTCCAAGAAAGCATTGCAGATAGTGTTGATCTTGCCCTCTTTGTTGGTGGGTTTGAGAGCGGGCACAGTGGGAGCATTTGGCTGAGCAACAACGGCAGACTCATTCGTGGAAATCTTGAGTGTATCTTTGTACAGTGTTTGTGAGACATCCTCCTCGCTAGAAGAAGTTAGCTCATATTCCTTGAGATTTAGTAAGTTCCTTACCTGAGACGAGAGAGAAAGTCGTCGATGAATTCAACTTTCTTGACCTGCTCAACAAAAAGCTGGATGTTCTCCAAGAACTGCTGCGGGGCGTAGTCATGGAGAATGTTCAAGTCCACCATCTGGCTACGACACGCCAAGAATGCAGAGCGGTATTTCTTCTGGTCGATGAAGGTTCGAATACCTGCCAAGACTAGAGCACGGGGGTAGATAGTCTCAATGTTGCCTCGGGGCGCCTGAAGAACGACACCAAATACCGACGGCATCACAGATACGAGCTTTGATCCACGCTCAAGACTTCTGCATCTTTCATCTGTTTCCGGGGTATCCTCGGGCACTTCCATATCTATAGCCATTCCATTAGCTGCTTGGATACCCAGGCCATCACAATAGGAGATTCGACATACCGTCCACGTGGTTTAGATGAACAAATTTCAGTAAATGTTGAGATGTGGTAAACAAGAGATGCGATGGAGTCACCAAGAAGGAGGTGCAGTTCTTCGCAAGAACCCGCTTATTGGCGTACAGACCACCGGTCCGTGTCATCGTTATTAAGATTCGCTAACATTGTCAGCAATTTCTTGCAATTCCCAAGTCACGGGTAGCATTACCTCGGTATCTGAAATCGAAACAGCTTTGGCCCAGTGAGTGTCAACATTGGGGCCCTCGGCCCAAGGAGTAACAATCTCACCACCCTCAATCAGCTCGATAGTTGAGTAGGTAACAGGATGACTGGGCTGACGCGCGTGTGAGAACCACAAAGCCCGGTGTCCAATTCCAGCAAACATGGATGATAGCTGCTCGGACTCAGATGCCTGATAGACAACACGAGTTTCCCGAGTCTCCAAGCTGGTCTGCTCAATATGACTTGTGTTTGGCGAACTGTCCTTTAGCACATACACCTCGTTGTCATCCACGAAGGCGATTTGTCGAGGTCTGCTATCAGCAGCATCGGACAAAGGATAGCTAGACTCAAGAATCGGCATAGGAACTGGGCGACTCTTCAGAGACCAGAGGAAAATCGAGAACCTCGATTGCATTAGCACTGCAATTCGGCTACCAGACTTGCTGAACGCCACATCAACAACGTTGGACTCTAGTTTCAGTTCATTGTGGGCCATGGGAGGTGGCACACCAGCCAGTCTTAGTGGAGTAAATTTCAAGTTTTCTGTAAACTTCAAGTTAGACCTCATTCTGAAGGTTTTGTGCCAGTGTTAGATATATGAAACTCACTTCCATCAATAACAGCTACGGCACCAACGTCATCTGGAATCACAGTAGAGCCATGGTGGATATCAAACACATAATCTATGTCCAAAATAGAGCCTGGATAGTGTTAGCTCCAGTTCTCGGTCAATAATCTCGGAGCAGCATACCAGATGACCCAGCAACAACCCGCAGAGCCTTTTCTTGGTGCCACTCAAAGGAGTATTGGTTCATTGACATGGGGTCAACCGCAATAGGAATCTCCTGCTTCAGATAGTAGTGGTAATTGCCTGTTGTCCAAAGCTGAACTCGGTCTGTAAACCGGACTGCAAGCACTGTGGAGTCGATGTTCCATGACAAGAGAATGCGCGATGCCCAGGTTTGGCGTTCCTCCTCGGTCAAGCGAAGAGTAAATTGGCCATGGCGAAGACCGTTTCTTTCGAAGAACACAACATCAATTCTGTCTTCTAATCGTTGAATTCCTGCAATGAGGTTCCCTGACGGACGCCAACTGAGAGCACCCTCGAGACCATCGACCGGTTCGCTCACGCTATCCAAGGTGCCTTCTCTGGAGTAGACTCTGATAACGCGACGTGCACCCTCTTCGACAGTATTCACAGCAACATAAGCTCCATCACCGCGCCAGCTAATTGTCGTGCTGGCATCATCATAAGCGCTCAGAATGCCTGCATCTACCTTCTCTGGGACGGTAGGGTCTCGCATAGCCTTGGCCCTTTTACCTTGGAACTGCGTCTCCCTTTTACCCCATCCAACAGAGACATGTTGCGAAGCCTGCATATCAGCCTGGGAGAAGGTGATTTCAGCCACATTTTCGAATTCCCTGGTCATGTACAGGAAAGTGTTGGCTCTGGTTGTGATAGCCAACAGCTCCTCATCAGGAGACCACGCCGCAGCTGAGATTCCCACATCGACTGAGCCAAGAATCTCGATCTTGTCCTCTCCTTCGAGGGGCTCCTCGCGCACCATGATAATATCACCGCCCTCCAGCACCAGACAGGCAGTCAAATTATCCGCAAAATAGTGCAGAGAGAGGACTCGATCGCATGGCAAGTCCGGCAATGGGCATGGTGCATCCCAAGATGCAATGCACTCAAACTCATTGGGGCTTAACGGCTCCGCGGAAACGACCTCAGGGCGCTTCCTTCTGAGCTCGATGACCGGGCTGTACTGGGATGGGCCAAAGGTACACACGATAGAATCCGAAGAAGTGTCCCAGGCAGTAGCAGTCAAGGGAAGGTCACCCTCGACTCGCGTCTCCTGGAGACGCACGTTTTTGAGGTTGCGCATCTTCGATGGTGGGTCTTAACTTTTTTTTTTTGTACCGGGTCCCGAATCTCTACCCCGCCATGGGACGGTGAGATCGTAAGTATATGAAGACGCGATCAAAAAGTCCTCAGTACTGTCGTTATTACGGACCACTCTCACGGAGCAGGATTTCTTGGGGTGGTGGTATGTGTGACTAGGTTGTGGCTCCGAGACTGATACAAAGTCAACCGCCGAACCAAAGATTTTTGATTTTCCACACCCGCTCAGCCAATGACTTCATTTATATTTCAACGTCGCCCCAGCTACACTTTACAGCTTCTATACAACTACAATTGAGGAGTTATAGCGTGTAATCAAAAATCCCAACTTATTCTCTAACTTTGTACATAATATCCATCTTCTTCAAGGACCAATTTCAAGTCTTGCACTAACAAGCCGTCCGTACTGCCGTGTAAGAAAGACGAAAGCGAGCTTATTTGGTCTTGTAGGTTTGCCAGACTAGAAGAGACAATTCATTAATACCACCAAAAACATCTTCAGGGCCATTGGAAGCTTACCGGCAATGGCGAAGGGAGAGCCGAAACCAACAGCTAAGGAAATTCTACGTTAGTTTGCGGTCGGTGGGTCGAGGTTTCGCGGGTCACAAACTCATGAAGGCCCAGTAGCGCCAGAAGAAGTGCTTGGTCAGGGGGTTGAAGGGGATGTTGGTGCGAGGTCCCTCAGCGTAGTGGTAGGGGCTACCGAACTGAGTGCGGGTGGTAGAGAAGCCACGACGGGCAGCGGCGGTGGCCAGACGGGCACGGATGGCGGAGGAGGCGTACATCTGGGACGGTGTAAGCTTGCTGCTGCGGCGGATGAGGTTGCAGGAACTAGTATCACCCACCTTGTGGTACAAAGGGGAGGGAATGAACGATCGGAATTGGACGGACGGAGCCAGGATGGACATCGCAAGGTTGCGGAATGGGACGATCATAGTCACATGATCATAGTCACGTGTTTGTCCTCGTCCCATCGCAATGGGCCAATCAGAGGTCAGGTTTTTGATTGTATTCTACTTTCTTTGAAATATGTGTCTTTATTTTACATCTTTGGTCTAATCATTTTGCTTACCTTTGATAGAAGCTACTCTTATCTTGTGGCACTAAAAACATCACCCTGCCTGTTGTCCCGATTGTCACGACTCACGGGGCATCAACCCAATGAGAAACAAGCTCAGCCCATAACTTCTTGAGCCTGAGGGCCTCTATTCATGTTCTGTTATATTTTTATTCTCTACCAATGCAATTTTCAAGCTGATCACTGGACTCGTATCGCTAAAAGATGGTAGCACAACTAATGGCTGATGCCAATAACGCAGGCCCACGCCTCAATTGAATTATCACAGGTTACTTAACCGTTCCCTCATTTGAAATACCCAGATTTCCACTTCAAGGTAACCACCGCACATTGGCAAAATCATTGCGTACACAGATTCATTGCTCCCAGGAGTGCTCATGAATTGCGCCTTCAATCGCACACTGCGACTGCAGACTTCTCCAACCTTTACTAGACACCTTTGCAAAATTTCAAGTAGCTACTCCCCATCAGTCGCGCCTTATTAATAGCTTTTCAGTTAATAAGCTCCAGTAAGCCAACTCAAGTAATCAGTAAGGGAAATTTTCCTCCTTGCAGCCAGAGCATTGCATTGCATTACACGAGATGCAACTCATGTGGAGGGACTTGTTATGAGGACCAAAATTGCACTGGCAACAATACCAAAGACTCAGACCAATGGAACTTTGATCACTGACTGTAGATGCCTCTTGAACGTATCTTGATGATACATCATGATGAGTATCCACCGGGGTTTTCAGACGACTTATTCCTACATTGCCCATATGTTGAGACCTTGGTATGCCTTCATGCGGCGTTTCATCCCAGTCTTCGACAAAGGCAGCCCGAGGCATTTGAACTTTCAGTCGAGTGAATGGTTTAGCTTCATGCGGGCGTAAGGTCCACTCTATAGGCGTGGCAAGGCTGCGAGAACCTTTTGAAGGTTCATTAATATGGTCGGGGTTAGCGGAGTCACCTGGCAGATCTTGATGAGGATTCTTGTCACCGATTGTCTGATGAATGGCGCTGCTGTCGCTGGTACCAGTATGGATGGGCTTGCTTTCAAGGGACATATCATCAAACTCATTGACCATGCTGCTTCTTTCCAATCCCACTTCATCGTTCTCAGCATCTGCTTTGGAACCACTATCACGGCTGCTGTTCAAGAGGGGAAAGTCGGAAAGTGGTGATTCATCCTGGCTTTCTGACTCTGTTGATCGTGGAAGAGCAAACAATGCAATGCGTCTAAGGTGTGAGGCAACATGAACGGCGGACTTGTTGTGCTTGCCGCAAAAAATGCAGTTTCCAGTAGAATCATTTGCTTGCCCTTTTCCAATTGCGTTACACACTTTGGTATACACCTGTTTGTCGTCATTTCCAGTAGTTATATGCTTCAAATTCTCATGTGCAATCCAGTCGTGAAGACTGTCATACTGCTGATCCGGGTCTCGGCAGTCCTCAAACGTGCAGATATAAGGACGCAAGTCACGATAGATGTGCATTCTAGAATCAATGTCAGCCTATGCTTTATCGTTGACCAGGCTTACGTACTCCCATTTCTTTCCCTGGCATGTATTGATTGGCAGTAGGGTGAAGCAGTATGGGCACTCAAATTCCTTCGCTGCGGGATCTATTGTGGGTGCTTTGGGAATTGACACGTGGTGGTCTCCCTCTTCACTAATAGATACCATCGATGTGTTTGTGGTCGTTATAGAGGACTTATCACTCAAACCAAGATTGTCTTCATAAAGATGGGTGGCCATTGAAGGCTGTGAGACTGTTCCTTCGGCGGGCTCGGGGGATGACTGCGCCCTGTATTTTTCATAGTGATGTTTCCAGTATGCAAACTGCCGCCTCCGGTGGGTGTTGGCTTTTGCTAGGCGGTGGATCAAATAATCATCGGGCCTGTATTTTAAGTTCGATGACCGGAAAGAGCAAATGAGGTCTGAGATGCGAGCCAAATCCGAGATCCTGTACGCTTCTATAAGATCGACTCCTGTTTCAGGATCTCTCTCCGTATAGTTCAGCGCTCTTGAAAACCCCGTCCGTATGGCTGGGTTGCGAATTTTGAATGCAAGCCGATAAAGCCTATCGATTGTGGAAACAAAATTTGCGAAGAGGACATTAGATAGAGGCTCGATCTGGTATGATGATAATTCCTCCTCGGAATCTTCCTCGCTCGATAAACCGTCAAAATCGGCCCACTCTTGGGATGTTGAAGCAGGTTCAGAGTCGGACCCTTGCCTGTTTTCTGTCTTCGCCTTTTCGACTTTAAGGATTATAAGATGGATGGCACTTCAAGTCAAGCATTATCGGAAACCTACATTGGTAAAGAGTCTGTTCAAGGTCACAGAGCAACCCTAAAGCATAGTCAAATATGAGACTTGAATCACGTAGCCGATAGTCAAGGGAGCTGTGCCCTCGATGACAAAGACCAAGATTGCGAGCCCAGAGCTGAAAGCGCTCTTGCTCATTGAGGACCGCTGCTTTCGTTGATTCAACTTCATAATCAAGATCTTCAACGATATTGAAATGGCTTTTTATCCTTAGGCCTACTTCAGCCAGAGTCTGGCTGGTATTTCTTTGCGGTTTCATCTCTTGGTGGAGTGGGTAATAGGCAACAAATTCAGCCTCTCGTTAACTGATCTCTTTATCGTGTTGACCCCTGTCGCTAGGAGGGGTAAATTGAGGGGCTGCTTGTTCAGCGGGGCTGAAGACCAGCTCTGGGTACCTTCCTTGTTCAACTCGTTGCATCTGAAATCCATTCTCATTTTCTCGTTTCTCTCCATGAGCGGCTTCGAAGTTGTAGGTGTCGTGCTCGGTGCGATCCCTTTGATTATCTCGGCCATCGAGATGTACAAAAAAACTAGTCGGCGGCTGAAGTTCGTTCATCAAAAGGAAGCGCTTGTCAATGAGTTGATTCGGAGCCTACACGAGCAGCATTGTTTCATCAGAAGTGACCTCTCTTTGACACTAAAAGCCACTTCCCTCGAAGACAGGGACATTGAAGTGCTACTTCATCAACCAAGCTCCGATCTATTTCGCGACCAGGACATTGAGTATGAGGTCCAAGAGAATCTTGGAGATGGTTACAAGCCTTATGTCGCAGCCCTAGCCCGCTGCGAGCAAATATTGATGGAAGTAGCCCAGAGCTTGAGTGGGTTGACGTCAAATAGTCAGGTATGAGTTGGACTCGAGTGGACTTCTGGGACGATATCCATCTGGACTGGCTTATTACGAGTCTCATAATCCGCGGAGTTTCAAACGTTCTATGTTATCTGCCTCAGTCTGGTAGCTAATAAGGTATACTTGTTTTTCTCAACTAGGCCACCCTTTCATCGCTTGTACAAGCGAACTCTCAAAGAAACGGAATGTATGAATTCACCAGAAGAATCAAATTCAGTATCGCCAAAGATGATATCGAGCGTCAGATAAGGGAACTTGATAAAACTACAATAAATCTTGAAAGGATTCGGCGTTATGGAAATTCACTGATTGAGGTGACTTTTCCATCAACTTCCAGAACAGTTTCAAAGATAACTTCGTCTTTCGATACGGTGGCCGAGCATGCGCGCCGTCTCTACTCCGCGATTGCTCTAGGATATACCGGAAACTGTCATTCCGAACATGAAGCGCAGCTCTTCCTCCAGCACAGAGCAGATTTATTAAAGAAGCCTAGGGCTCTCAAGGGGATACCCCTTGCCTTTACAGTCGCTTTTGGCCCAGCTATACCGGGCTCTTGCTTCAAGGCCGAGGTTAAGGTTATGGAAGAGGAGCTGACTTCCTGCATGGATGGGTGAGAGCAGTCGCCTTTCTATATTTTCTTTTCTTTCAAAGGGCTAAAATTCTGGCAGCCATAATGACAAAATTGTCTCTGATACTCAACGAAATCCCTATCCAGTCATCTCTGCAAACGCTAGGCCCCCAGGAATTGGCAGACCGAGAGTCTCCTTCCAGCTTCCAGAACCCCATCAGGTATCGCAGCATGGGCTTAATTTTATCATAAATTTATGTCAACATTTCTCAAGTCAAAGTCTACTTGAGCTGCATCTTTCTAAAGGGGGTAATTTATGCCATTACTCTACCTCGCCAGGGACCGACACTATACGAGGGATTAATACAAATTTTGCGGACTTGACTTCACTCGAAAAACTCCTTCAACCAAAAAAATTATCTTTGAGGCACCGGATGACCCTAGCCTTGAGTGCTGTATCATCTGTAATGCAGCTAAGTCTTACTCCATGGCTCGACTTGCCCTTGACAAGTGAGGTGGTTTACCTGGTCCCAGAAGATTCAAGGATGACCCTCGCTACATTACAGCCTTTCATCAGACAGAGATTCATTGCGAATGCCACTGGAAAACCCCCGCACAATAATATCAGGCAGACCATGTTGGAGCTTGGCATACTCTTGCTCGAGCTCTGGCAAGAACAAACATTGGGTTGCTTTGCTGCTGAGAATAAAATTCCCATCAATACCCCAGCATCTCGGTACCATGCTGCGTGTGAGTGGGTCAACCTAAGTATGGAACACATCATTCCTTTCTATTTTGATGCGGCGAGAAGGTGCATTGAGTGTAACTTTGCTTCGAGCCCTAAGGGCTCCGCAAGTTTTGACTGGAAAGACCTAGTCTTTCGGAAGTCAGTGTGTGAACACGTTTTGAGGCCTTTGTTGGAGGAGTGTCGAGCTTAACAATATAACATGGTAGGTAACAGTATTTTCATGTTCTAGGCACCAAAACTGTGATTCAAGCTTCAGAGGACTACCATATGCGACGGCAACATCAATATATCTTATTTCAACAGCGGCTTTATGCTACATACCAGCTCTTTTCATGGAGTGTGATCACAACATAACACTGGAGCTCATAAAAGAGATCCCTGGTCGCATTTCTAGCGTCAGTCGCCAACTGTAGCTCAGACAAAATGCCCATGTACCTGATCTTCTAGATATTGAAGAGCAAATGACCTCGCTTGATTGATGCCAACATACAGGATGACGCGTCATTAGACCCGAACTTTAAATAACAAAAGACATCAGCTCAGTGGTATGGCTCTTAATCATCTTCACGTTGCAGGATAGCGTAGTGTGACAAAATGGGTACCTGAGTATGCACCCGATCACTTTATAGATACGCAGATGGAGCCAATCATAATCATCCCTGTGGGTCACGTGATATACAAGATAGGATTAGCGTCAATCGATGATGATTCTTGATTGCGCCTCACCGCCCTCAATTTTCTCCGAGAAAAAAAAGTTCCAGACGCTCTCTCCAGCGCTTGTCCCTTCCTCCATTCGACCACTGGAGATGGATGAGCTTTTCGACGTCTTTGAGGCTCCGTCTCAGGCGCCAGCACCACCCGCTGGCGCCCCCAAGCGGTCCAAGAAGGAAAAGAAAGACAAGTTCAAGAAGCGCCAAGCAAACGGAGATGTCAAGGGAAATGGAGACATGACAACAGTCAAAAGAGATGATAGCCCGGAGGACCAAATCATGGAGGATTCGAAAGCTTCAGACTCGGACGAACTCGCCACCTCCGAAAAAGCACAGCCTGCTACGAAACGACCCCGCATCGAAGAGGCACCTACACCTGTTGTTGCCGATACCTTCGAAGCCGAACAAGAGGTCGAAATTGCTGGTTCCGCTGGCCTTCAAGCAAATCAAGATACCTCATCACTGATTGTATCACACCAAGTGCGCCACCAAGTTTCAATCCCCCCAGACTACCCCTACGTGCCTATCTCGCAACACAAGCAACCAGAGGACCCCGCAAAGATTTATTCCTTCACCCTCGATCCTTTCCAACAGATTGCAGTCAATTCGATTCAAAGGGAAGAAAGTGTGTTGGTGTCGGCCCACACTAGTGCCGGAAAGACAGTTGTTGCAGAATACGCCATTGCGCAAAGTCTTAAGCGCAACCAGAGAGTCATCTACACAAGTCCAATTAAAGCCCTATCCAACCAGAAATACCGTGAATTTGCGGCGGAATTTGGTGATGTTGGATTGATGACCGGTGACGTGACCATTAACCCCACCGCAACCTGTCTCGTTATGACCACCGAGATTCTTCGTTCCATGCTGTATCGTGGTTCGGAGATCATGCGTGAAGTTCAGTGGGTCATTTTCGATGAAATTCATTACATGCGCGACATCAACCGTGGTGTGGTATGGGAGGAGACCATTATTTTGCTGCCTGATAAGGTGCGATACGTCTTCTTGTCTGCCACCATCCCCAACGCCATGCAATTCGCCGAGTGGATTGTGAAGATGCACAACCAGCCCTGCCACGTTGTCTACACCAACTATCGCCCAACCCCTCTCCAACACTATTTCTTCCCTGCTGGCGCCGAAGGTATGCATCTTGTCGTGGGTGAGAATGGCGACTTCAAGGAAGAGAATTTCCAGAAGGCAATGAGTGCAATTGCCGACAAGAAGGGAGATGATCCCGCCAATCCCAATGCAACTCTTAAAGGCAAGGGCAAGGACAAGAAGATTAACAAGGGAGGCGAGAAGGGACCATCCGATCTCTTCAAGATTGTGCGAATGGTTATGTTGAAGAACATGAATCCAGTCATTGTTTTCAGCTTCAGCAAGCGCGAATGTGAAAGTGGTGCCCTTCAGTTGAAACAACTTTCTTTCAACGATGATTCTGAGAAGGAAATGGTCTCCAAGGTCTTTGAGAGTGCCATGGAGATGCTCTCCCCAGAAGATCGCCAACTACCACAGATTTCGAACATTCTGCCTCTTCTTCGGAGGGGTGTTGGTGTTCACCACTCTGGTTTGCTGCCTATCCTGAAAGAGACTATTGAAATTCTCTTCCAGGAGGGTCTGATCAAGGTCCTCTTTGCTACTGAAACATTCTCCATCGGTCTTAACATGCCTGCCAAGACTGTGGTATTCACCAGCGTTCGGAAGTTCGATGGCACAAGTCAACGTTGGGTCACTCCCTCCGAGTTCATTCAAATGTCGGGTCGTGCTGGTCGAAGAGGTCTTGACGAGCGTGGTATTGTCATCATGATGGTCGGTGAGGAGATGGACCCTGCGGTTGCCAAGGAGATCGTGCGTGGTGAGCAAGACCGCCTCAACTCGGCATTCCACTTAGGTTACAACATGGTCCTCAATTTGATGCGTGTGGAAGGCATCTCCCCAGAGTTTATGCTTCAGCAATGTTTCAAGCAATTCCAAAGCACAGGAAGTGTTGCAGGCTTGGAGCTGGAGTTGAAGGAATTGGAGGACAAGAAGGCCAACATGAACATTGACGATGAAGGGACCATCCGTGAATACTATGAACTGCGCAAACAGCTGGACCAATTCTCCGGGGATGTTCGCGCCGTAGTTACTCATCCGAACCATATCCGCCCATTCCTTAACGATGGTCGATTGGTTCACATCAAACACAAGGACCTGGACTTTGGCTGGGGCATCGTGGTCAGTTGCAAGCAACGGAGACCCATGAAGAATTCTTCCGAAGAGTTTCCTCCCCATGAAGCCTACATTGTTGACGTCTTGCTCAACATTGCCGAAGGACCTGCTATTGCTACCAAGACTTTCCAGGATCTTCCAACTGGTGTCCAGCCGGTGAAAGAAGGCGATAAGTCCCGCATGGAGGTTGTGCCGATGATGCTCACCTGCGTCAATTCAGTCTCTCACATCCGGATCACGCTACCCAAGGATATTTCGCAAGCTTCAACACGTTCCGGGATGAAGAAAATATTGGATGAGATTAAGCGGCGATTCCCCGATGGTGTTCCCGTCCTTGACCCCATCGAGAACATGGGTATCAAGGATGACAGTTTCAAGAAGCTGCTCCGCAAAATCGAAGTTTTGGAATCTCGACTTTTGAGCAACCCCTTACACAACTCGCCGCGATTGGCAGAACTGTACGATCAATACGCTGCGAAGGTCGATCTTGGTGCACAGATCAAGGCCGCTAAAAAGAAGATCTCGGATGCACAGGCGATTCTCCAGCTTGATGAGTTGAAGAATCGTCAGCGAGTGCTTCGTCGCCTCGGATTCATCAACGAGGCTGGCGTTGTTCAGTTGAAGGCTCGCGTCGCTTGTGAGATCAGCACCGGTGACGAACTGATGCTCAGTGAATTGCTGTTCAACGGTTTCTTCAACGACCTTACCCCAGAACAAATTGCGGCTATGATAAGTGTATTTGTATTCGAGGAGAAGGTCAAAGAGGCACCTCCTCTGTCCAAGGACGAGCTGGCCAAGCCTCTCAAGGAAATTCAAACTATGGCTCGAACCATCGCCAAGGTTTCACAGGAGTCCAAAATGGCCGTCAATGAGGAGGAATACGTGACAAGCTTCCACTGGGAGCTGATGGAAGTGGTCTACGAGTGGGCTCATGGCAAGTCCTTTGGCGAAATCTGGTAAGTACTACGTCTGGTATTATGGATTATGATTGTTTGAATTCAGGCTAACATCCACAGCTCAATGACCGATGTCTATGAAGGTAGCTTGATTCGTGTTTTCCGACGTCTGGAGGAGTGTTTACGACAAATGGCACAGGCTGCCAAGGCCATGGGTAGTGAGGACCTGGAGAGCAAGTTTGAAGCTGCGCTCGGTAAAGTGCGTCGTGACATTGTGGCTGCTCAGTCCCTGTACCTGTAGATATGATATCCCTGGAAGTTTATGGAAGTTTAGTGTATGTAACGGACAAAAACACAAAACTTCGCCAATTATGCACTTTATTGCACGTAGAAAGAGCTATGTACCTGTATGGAGAGTATCAGTATCACCTCAGTGGCTTTGACTTTGGTCACCCGATAGCAACTCGTCATCTTCCCAATGATAATTTCCTATGCTCATTTTTGCTGACCTGAGCTGAAACATACGTTTTTTGATCAAGAAATATGATCTCAGATATTTTCCAATTTTTGCCCAGTTTTTTATCTCTAGACGTAAGGACTGCCCATCTGCAACGTTGTAAAGTGACCTTGAAAGCTGCACAGAGGGACTGCGTTGCCGCCCGCAACACCCTTGAGTCTTTTTCTCCACCGCTTCTCTCTTCTTTGCACTTCTACCTCCCCACTTCACCCTTTTGGGCACCTTTTCTCGTACTTTTTTCGCCTTTCTTTCGTTCATCGTTCCCTTTGAACTTGTTTCGAATATATCTGCTGCCATCCGGCTGTCATCATGAACAGTCTGGTGGCCACGCCTCCCGTTCCTCCTCATTTCTACGAAAACCCTCGGCTTTCTCCCTCCCTAATAAGTACGACTCACCCTGACTCTCTCTTCCCCCGTTCTTTTTTGAAATCCTTCAGGAATCCTAATAGCTGACCGATTTTGGTTTGCAGTGTCCACCCCCTCTTCTTCCTACACCAGCCGAAAGCGGAAAGCCGATGATGATGGCAACGACCATGACGGACGGATGTCCGCCTCGCCCACCAACTCGCCAGCCTTTACTCCTCGCCAGCTCCCTTCCTTTAGAAACTTTAAGCGGACCCGACCGAACATCTCTGGCAGACCTCTTTCTCTTCCTCGCCTGCTAGAGACCCTCGACACAGATGCCTTGCGGACGGTCGTGCGTACCATGTGCGAGCGCCACCCACAGCTTGCTGATGAGGTGGCCCAGACCTCTCCTCGACCAAGCGTTTCCTCAACCCTCCAAGTGCTTCGAAACTACCAGGCTGCTCTGCAGTCTTCCTTCCCGCTTGGTGGCAACACCGAGTCCGACTACGCCTACAATCGAGTTCGGCAGCCACTCACCAACCTCCTCGAGGCCCTGAGTGACTTTACACCGAACTTTCTTCCTCCGAATGAGACCCAGCCATCAGTCTCACTCAGCTACCTTGATGGGGCAACAGAAATTATTCACGCCTTGCCTCGCTGGAGCACGCCACAGAACAATATCGAGCGGGACTCGGCCTATGACGAGATTGGCAAGGCTTGGGTCCTGGTGATCCGTGAGGCGGCCAAGCGTGGCGGAGGTATTCAACTCCAGTACGGAGGCTGGGACCAGAAGCTGGCCAAGCACAACCAAACCTCTGGAGGCAAGCTGCAGGGTGTGGTCAACGAGCTCGGCTCGAGCTTGGGATGGATGAACGGACCAGACTCTCCTTCCCACGGCCCTGGTGGCAATGACATGGGCTCTATACGAGATCAGCTTCTTTCAGGCACTTATGGCATGGGCACGCCCGTCAAGGTTGGACCTTGGTGAACATATGATTCATAACGAATACGTTCCCATTTCGATAATTGGGATCGACTTCCCCCTACAACGATAACACCGCGCTCCTTGCGCTACAATCAAAACTTCGCATTGACTCCACCGTGAGCCTTCTGGCGGTCCCACAACCTTTCGAACCGCACAATTCAACGTATGCCACGATCACGATACCTACTGCATGACCTTTAGAGAATCCCACATGGTCTCAGATTGGCGTTTATACTATGCAAAGGCGAACTACCTGACAATTAACCCTCTTCTTTTTACTTCTTTTTTGAACTTGGTATTCTGGAAGATGATTTTAACCTTGGCTGTTTTTCAACTCTTTAATGATCTCACTCGAGCCCAGCACTGCCCTCTATTCGATCGTTCCCTTTCCTTATGCAAGTTCTCTCCTTTCTTTAAATCCTCTTATCGTTCTATCAAGTTCTTCTATGAATTGGTATTTACCTCCGTCGTTCTCTTCCCTTTCCCTTGTCTTTATCTCATTGCAATCTCGGGTGGTGCACTTCCCTTATTCTTTCGGCGATATCCGGAGTCCTGTACATCCCTTCCCTTTCTCTTTATGTCATTCTTGCCTTGCCTTTCTGATCTTGTCGAGTTCGCATGAATATTGCATTGTTTCGTGTTCCAGGCATAGCCTGATATATGTGGCGGCCATTTCTTTCTATCTCTAGTGCTGCCAATGTTGTTCACTTGTGCACTTTGGCTCTCGCCAAAGCTATCGTGCTTTCCCATCAATGCTCGTGATAGAGTGTGTGTGACGCGCGGAAACAAGGTAGTTGCCTGCACTGCCTCGGGTCGGAAGAATTGGTTGTCTACATTAGCTTATCAGAAATAAGAAATCTATCTGAAGACATCTCGGTGCATTCGCTATCTCAAAACAGTCGTAAAACAGAGCGGGAAACATTGTTTCGATTTCCATATAACTCTTATGATTGATTCTTGCCATATCCAGATCAAACATGGAACATTGACGAACATATATGCAACCAAACAACGCTTTTCTTAATAGATCATACCAATGCTCGCTTCATGACTCGGAACAACCAGCCTGCATCCTCCCAGCCACCGTGGGGACCAGGCTTCTCAACATCAATAATGGACTCGCCATCTGTATGCGAGAAACCATCGGCATCGTCAGATGTAGAATTGCGATCCCCTTCTGAACCAACTGACAAAGTATCATGATTCTCAGCCAGGTCGTCCTGAGAAGATGCAGCCGGGTCCTCAAATGTGACAGTAGTTGTAGTCGCAGCACCACCAATTCTAGCAGAAGAAACAGGCACAATGGGCAACTCATCTACCCCGAATAGAGTCCACTCAACCAAGCGATCAATCCAGCCCCCAAGCCCGAACCCACGCTCTCGCGTAAGACGCTGCAAGTCCGCTTCATCAAACTCCTCATGCGTCTCATCAGAAAATTCATCTTCCGAACTAAACTCCTCCTCTTCATCCCAAACGTCTCCTAGATCATCATCGAAAGAACTCAGATGACGATCCTGGTCCTGATCATGATCAAGACCCCCCTGTTGCAAAGACGCCATCTCCGCCCGGATCTTCTCATCTACAAAATCAGGAACCAGTCCTGCTTCACCACTCCGGCCCCGAGTCTCGGGCGTCACTGCTCCAGTCGTGGCAGGGCTATGAATCTTCCCCGGGACAGAGGCAGATGATAAAGGTGGGATAGTGGTCATAGTAAGACCGGCACGACTTCCATGGCGACTGGTGCCACGCGACCGTGAGCTACGACGCGAATATGCGGCCGGAGTTGAAGCGCCAGAGCGTGACTTCCGCGACGATGCACCGGATTTAGTGCGGTTGTGGTGTCGGTGATGGGGTGGGAAGGCGTCATCAAATGGCGTCTCAGAGACGAGGCTTGTAGAGCTTTCGCGCTTTGAAAGCCAGCTTTGACCTTTCTCTTCGCGGGTTGTGGAGGCGATAGCTATACCAGCGCGGAGCATCCATTCTGCGTCTGATTTGGTTGTCGGTTTATTATTGTAGTCTGTAGCACTGGGACGTTTCTTTTGGGGTCCTAGGTTGTGGTGGAGTGGGAAAGAGACGCTTTTGCTGTGTAGGTTTGTATCGCTTAATGGAGTGGCGCGGGTTGAGCTCTTGCTTCGGGTGTGGTGGCGGGTTCGTGATGAGCTGCGGGAATGAGAGAGGATTGGTGGTGTGCTTGGTACTGAGACGCTGGATAGGTACGATGATGATCTTGTTGTTGTTATGGCGCCCGTTCCGGATACTGAATCTTCTACATGTTGGTGGAAATAGTCTGTTGGTTCTATGTCGTCGTCGATGGGGAATCGAGGAGTAAGTGGAGCTAGGGAGATGTGGTGGAGGTTGGGGTAAGAACGCCTCTTTGGAAAGCCGCCCGAGTTGTGGAACTAGTGGATACAGGTTAGCTGAGTATCTTCATATGGTCATTTCTGGGGCAGACTTACCTCCATGGTGGACTGGGGAAATAAAGAATCTGGAGAAAAAGAAAAGAACAAAGTTGACGTTGAAATGCGGAGGTGCTGCACGTGCGATTGACATGTGAAAATGGCTGTTCGGCTTAAGATGGCACCACATGAAGGTATATATGGAGTTTGTTCGGTATCTGGCGATATTTACGTCAATCGAGTAATCGTTCAGTATGCACCGCAAAAAATCAATTTGTACAAGGCTATCGTATTTACATCGCAAAATCAAATATATCGCTATCTAAAGTCGAGAGTCGTGGAAATCCAGAAGTTCGGCTCCTTTGATCTTCAAGTCCTCCAGCACATTGTACTCCATAATCCACTTCATACGCTCCCCAAGAGCGGTAGGGTTGAATTTATCGTTCATTTCGTCCGGCGACTCTGAGCTACCGAGCTTGCCAGCTTCGTAGCTGGTCTGTGTAACACGGTCTGTCCGGGGCTTGCGCAGATCTTGGTAGAATTGGAAAGCTCCCTGCAGATCATCATTCTTCCAGTGACGCAGCACAGTTGCCAGTGCAACGCCAGACTCGATGGCCATACAAGTACCCTGGCCTATTTTAGGTTGTTAGTCAAGGTCAACGCGTGGAGCACATAAAGGGAATCGTACCTTGGTGGGGAAGAGTGGAGTGAGCAGAGTCACCAAGAAGGATGATACCGGCATCCTTTTGGCCCTCTTTCATTTCATACCACTTATCAATTGGGTCGCGCACGTAAAGCGCCTGCTTCAGCATCTTCTGGTCAGGCGAGCTCTTGCGGAGTCCAGCAATGATGTCCTGAACCTGCGGGCACCAGTCGCGGACGTGCTCTTGCAGACTATCAATATCAGAGCGAGACATCCAGCTTTCCGAGTCCCAAGAATCGAGGGACTCCGACATGAACCCGATAATGGCAGCACGATCAGTCTTTGTCTCCTGATTGCCAATTGGCAAGATCAGGACGTGGCGCTTGGGACCACGGAAGTTGACTGTCTTGCGAAGCAGCTGTGCAGTCTCTTCGGGCAAGTCCTTGTAGTCGACGAAGCCACGGTATACGACCTGACCGGAGTAGTTGGGCGAGTCGCCCAGACCCATATCCCGGCGCACATTAGACTTGATGCCGTCACATCCAATCACGATATCGGCCTCGGCAGTGGTACCATCTTCAAAGCGCAGAGTGTAAGGAGCGGAACCCTCGCTGGTGTTTCGGTCGATCGAGACAAGGTGCTTGCCCAGGTTCAAGCTAGACTGGGGAACGCGCTCTTTGAGACAATCGAGCAAGTGGGCACGGTGCAATAGACGGGCAGGGGGGTTTGAGAACTCTTCGATGTGGCCCAGGTAATCGCCGCTCTTGTAGCTGTGGTACTCCATATAGCAAGGCAGCTTACGCGAGGACTTGCGAGTCATGCTCTCTTGCAGACCAAAGGCATCAAGGACACGGTTTGCGTTAGATGTGATATTGACGCCGGCACCGACCTCGGCGAATTGTGGTGCTTGCTCATAAAGTTGCACGTTCTTCAGCCCGGCGTACAGAGCAGCGTTCAGGAACGCCATGCCACCGAGGCCGCCGCCGACAATGACGACGCGCTTGTTTTCGAAACCCATGCTGAGGCGGGGCTGTTGATATAGGCTAATGAGGGGATTTTTAGAAACAAATGTAATGTGTGAGAATCATTCAGGGGGACCTTTTAAATACAAAGCGAGAGTATGAAGAGACACGATATCTCTTCGGTTTTATGTATGTGGTGGGATGTCGGCTTCCCCCCGCTAGCAGGCTTACGGATCCGATCAGACACCCAAACATACCATTTCGGAGCGTGGAGAGATTGTGGGGGGTGGTGCCTTGGCAGGCTCTTCCGAGTTAATAGTTTGGGTCTGCGGGTATACCGGTAGATCTCAAGAAGACTAGTTTGATGAACTATAGCATATACTCTTTCATTCCTTGTGTAACCATATTCAATATGCATTGATCGATGCAAGCCAAAAGGTCCGAGTGTCGGAGAATTTTCTACCCTATGAGCTTATTCAATCAACCACACGTAAAATTATACTACATTCCTATATGAGAGATTGGTCTTTTTCGAATGTTTTACTATAAAAGTTAATCGCCCCTCGAATATTATGCATATGACCTTTATGTACAATCACGAAAGTGTACTTCACATATTGACTCGAATGTGGTCGGAAGCCCCGCGCTGCACTATTATGTGCAGCATCCGAAAGCCCCACTATGTATCGGATGGGTACAATCTTATCAGCATAGACCGGATGGCAACACCCAAGACATGGAATGCCGAGTCTCCCGAACTTTAAACCAATCATCTTGCTCCTTATTGGCTTATCCAGTATACCCTTAATCCCACATTCCGGATGAAACGGCTTAAGTTGTTGAGGTCATCGGGTCACGGTTTTCCTAACTTTTGCTATGTATGAAATAATTACAATCCGACGACAGATATGTTCCGAAACCGTCATGCTCATTCGAGCACAATTTACTCCACAATTTTGCCCTTGTTAACCACAAAGCCCTCAAGAGCCGAGATAGCCGCCCACAAACGGTTCTCGGCCTCGGGGAACACCAGAGAGCGCGAGCTGTAGAAGACCTCATCGTCGACTTCCTCGGGGTGGCGGGGCAGACAGTGCATGAACTTCCAGTTCTCCTTGGCACCTCCACGCTTGGCCAGATCAGAAGTGATCTGGAAGCCCTCGAACGCCTTCATGCGCTTCTTGGCCTCCTCCTCCTGGCCCATGGAAACCCAGGTATCAGTCACCAGGATGTCGGCATCCTTCACAGCCTCTTCGGGGACATTGGTCTGAGTAAGCTTGCCGGGGGTGGCAACACCCTCGCCGGCACTCTGGATGACCTTGAGCATATCCGCGGGGATCTCGTAGCCCTTGGGTGTAGCGACAGAGACATCGACACCCATCTTAGTAGCACCGATAGCCAGATCGAAGAGAACGTTGTTGGCATCACCAACCCAGGCGATCTTGAGGCCCTCAAGGCCCAAACTGGAAACATCGTGAGCCTTGGGGGTGAAAGACTCGTAGATGGTCACAAAGTCGGCGATAATCTGGAGGGGGTGGTACGAGTCGCAAAGCGCATTGATCACGGGCACGGAGGAGTGCTTGGCCAGGTCGGCAACGTCGGAGTGCTTGGCGACTCGCGCGACAATACAAGAAACCATTGAGGAGATAACGACGGAGGTATCATATAGTGACTCATTTACGCCGAGCTGGATATCTTCCTTGCCCAGGAACATGGGGTGGCCGCCCATTTGGACGGCGGCGGCCTCTGTTGAGACACGGGTGCGGGTACTCCGCTTGTTGAACATCATGGCAACGGTCTTGCCAGACAAAGAGCCGAGGAGGCTCTGCGGGATGGCCCCAGACTTGATGGCCTGCTTGTGCGATTTGGCATTGCGCACCAGGGTCGCGAACTCGGCCGGAGTCAGGTCTGCAATGGACAGAAGGTGACGGGGTGCGAGGGAGGTAGGAGAGGTTTGTGTCTGGTGGGCAAATCGTCGGAGACCATTAGCCTGGACTGTTGAACGCAGGGAAGAGGTGGAGCCGGCCAATTGAGTTACACTTTGGGCGCCATAACGGGTGGCAGCTTTGAGACCGCTAGCCATGATGGGCTGAGGGCAATGATTAGGGAAATGGGTGTTTGGGGTATATAGGTGCAATTGGGGAGAGGGAAGCGGGAGAGGGAACCAGGGACTGTGGAGGGAATGGCCAATGACTATGACTCAACAACCAGAACTCAGAGATGGAAGTGCGGTCACCAAAGATAAAGGCATGCCTTGGTGCCTGAAGTTTAAGGGTAATAATTGCTTCCTGATCTAGTCTAGCGTCGATCTCCACATCCCGTTATCGCACTGGCTTATCGTCATCTCGTCATCCTCCCAACCCCATCGTCCCTCTTCTCAACTTGCTATCTCTCACCAGCCAAGCAGGGAGACAGCTTTCCCTTTAATACCACAACTGTATCTTCATATTACCTGGCCGCTATGGCTGACGAGGCAAGTCGGCCTTTGTTGGACGGGCAGGCCAGGTCCTCCTCCGATCTGGTCACAAACAGGTCCTCTCGTCTGAATGAGCAGCATCGATCGTTTGGATATTCGTCCAACACTATATCCACATCTTCGTCTCACCAGGCCACTATGGCTGATGAGTCAAGTGAGTCATTGTTGGACGGGCAGGCCATATCCTCTTCATCCAATATGGTCACAAACAGGCCCGCTCATCTGGATGAGCAACATCGATCGTTTGGGTTATCGTCCAACACCACAACTACATCTTCATCTCATCGGGCCTCTGCGGCTGATGAGGCCAATGAGTCAGTCCTGGACAGGCAGGCCAGATCCTCTTCATCCAACCTGTCTGCAGACAAAACCATTCGTCCGGATCAGCAACATCGACCATTTGAATTGTCTTCCGAGTCCACGCCTCTTCTGCATCGCCGTGATGATATAAATACTACGTACGGAACAGAACATAGACAATCTAGGTCATCCTCATTTGTGTCTCATGGAGAAGAATCTCCGGATGACGGGTCTACCAAGAGGAGTCGAGTACGATGGCCAACAATCATATCCCTCACACTGTTGACTACTGGAGTCCTGGCGATCCTGGTATTTGCCTTTGCCGCACCAGCAGTGGTCAAAGAATATGGCCAGGGAGCTGCTGTCTTTCAACCTAGTACACTCTCAATTGATTCGACAACTCCAGATGGGGTCCGGGCCAGGATCCAGGGCGACTTTGTCATGGACTCAAGCCGTGTGAAGAGCAAGACGGTCCGCAATTTCGGCCGTTTTATGACTTGGATTGCAAGGGAGGTCGAAACCGGCCCATCAGAAGTCGATGTATACCTACCAGAGTACGGGAACGTCTTGATTGGAAGCGCAGCGGTGCCGAACATTAAAGTGAACATTCGCAACGGCCATCACAACAAGCTTGACTTTTTGACCGACCTTAAGGCCGGAGACATAAAGGGTATTCATGCAATTGCAATGGATTGGATCGAGGGTAGATTGGCTCGTCTTAGAGTAAAGGGCAAGACGTCGCTACAACTGAAATCAGGCTTACTACGCCTTGGAACCCAAGTCTTGACAGATACCATTACATTTGAAGGTGAATATTTTGTTTAGCCCCATTAGGAGAATCCGCACACTGACTTCGATGGACAGAAAACGATTTTCCAGCCTTGCCAGACATCAATCTTGTCAAGTTGAACGTGCATGATGGAGACAATGGAACGATGGAAGTCGAGGCTGTATTGGGTGCCATGCTCCACTCCCCTGTTGCCATCACGATCCCTCCTCTTGGGTTCGATATCCTTGTACCCAATTGCTCTCCGGGTGATCCGAATATCCTCGCCGCTAGCGCACGAAGTGGAGAGATTCACGTCGAGCCGAATCAACTCACCAATGTGAGCGTTCAAGGTCTGGTCAATAATCTTCCCCAGGAGTTGGTCTCCGTCTGCCCTGGGCAGAAAGGCTCTCCCCTGGACTGGTTGGTGACCAGCTATATTAAAGGCATCGAAACCACAATATACGTACGTGGGGCAGACGCACCATCTCCTCAGACCCCAGATTGGCTGGTAGATCTTTTGCGCAGCGTGACAATTCCTCTGCCCTTCACCAACCATGCCCTGGACAATCTAGTGAAGAACTTCACCATGAAGGACACACACTTCTCTCTTCCTAGCCCATTCGCAGACCCAGACAGTCCCGAAGGAAAACCCACCGTGTCTGCGTTGGTCAAGTGTCTGGTGGCCCTTCCAGAGCAAATGAACCTCCACGTGGACGTTCCTCGTGTTCGTGCCTTCACAGACGTCTTCTACAATGGCAAAGAACTCGGAAAGTTGAACATTGATAAATGGCAGGATTCCAACTCAACACAGGTGATAGATGAGGATGGCTCCCCTGCGATGCTTGTAGAATTTGCCGTCAAGGACGCACCGTTGCAGGTCACGAATGATGGGGTTTTGTCACGCCTTGTTCAGGACATGCTTTGGGGTAGCGAGGAAGTTATCTTGCATGTGGATGCAAAGGTAGATGCAAAGGTCTCAACCGGCTTGGGACAATTTGCTGTTCGGGGAATTCCTGCAGATGGAAATGTCCCCGTCAACAGTGTGTTTTCATGAACTTAGATAGGATAAATTTAAGAATGGTATTTTTTCGGGTTTTAAACTGTTCATTGCTTTTGAAAGATCAAAGTATAATGAGTGTCGCCATGATATAGTACTAAATTCATCTCAGGGCTCTGAACACAACCAAATTTCCACAGACTTTTTTGCGGGTAATGTTGGCACGAGAGTTATCGGGGTATCTATAACAAATGCTGGCTAACTCTGACATCATCTGGTGCTGTGGTTTAATGGCAGAATGCCGCATTGTGGTTTCCTTGGTGTCTTGTACCCATAATTCCCAACCTGCGTCGATCCCGGTTCGATTCCGGGCAGCGCCATATCTTTTTTCTTTTTCCACTTTCTTGCTCTATACCTCTCCTTTTTTTGCAGGAAATGGGCTTGTATGATTTGATCATTGTGAAATACTATAGCGAAAAGTTATATCTGATCATGACAAGTGCGTTTTTTGGTGTAAAAAGGCGAAGAGGGCGGACAGCGGTTGTGGCTCCTTCCCAAGGTTGACTCCAACGTCTCCGAGAAAACGCATTGATGGCGAGCTCATCGCGACCACGTGCCTGAGGTAATATTCATATCAGGCTTGTCGGTGGAGCTACCAAAGCCAGTACCCGCGCTGCATATCAGTTGTAAGTCGGCTGCATAGTCTGGAACACAGTAGTAAACATAATATATATAGTACTGTGTTATATAGTCATATGCGAAGACCTGTCTACGAGACTAAGAAGCTCGAGGTATCCATGTACATACTTTCTTTCAAACCGTGATAAACCGCGTGGTACTAGTGAACTTCAAATACCTCTAGATCCTCATTCGCCTCCACCATCGCTTCAATCCCATCTAACCACGCATGTTGGATGTAATCATTTTGTTATTCTCGGAGACTCTTTTTGGCATCTTGTCCCAAGATCACAAGTTAGGACAATCAATGTAAGTCCGAATATGAGATAGTGAAAGGTTGGTCCTCAGAGCGTTCCACAGGCTGTCATATTCTGCTTTATGGCGGCGTGACATGTGTGGTTGGATATCCCTTTCCAGTCTCCACCAGAAGGTCAGGCTTCGGATAGCAGACAGACCTAGGGGTGGAATCTGGGTGGAAAGGTGTTGCATGTATCCCCCTGATATGCAAATCGGAATTCATTGCTGCCGTAGAGAATTAGTAGGCTTTCGGTGTATCTGTTTCTATCATTACTATCATTGTAATCTGTAGAGTCCCTGGTGTATGAATCACGCGGTAGAATACAAGATAGGAAGAATTGTAACTCACACCTTCCAGCACGAAAACAAAAACCTAACAACAATGCACATCCCCCAAAATGCTGCCACGGATGGTCCATTTTTGGACTTAATTGACATTCGTCTTGATCTACTCTTTCAATTTTTGAATAGCATCCATACGAATAGACAACCCAGTTGTCCGTTCCTTCCATCCATTCACACTGGTAGTGCAGGGAACGGTTTCCGAAAAGCAGCTCGTAGATAATGATTCGGATTTCTGTGGGAAGGCTAAATAACACACTTTGGGACTGGAATTTGATGGAAGATTGAGGGGGATAGAGATTCTTTCGGTGGACATTGGATGCCGGATATTTGTTAGATTTGACTCCGCATTTTGTATTTAGTATTTGATCGTGGGCTTAGTGAGGTGGGCTACTCACTTCTCTCTCTGTGCCGTTTCAGAAAGTTGAAGGGCATGGCTTTGGCCAATAATCATGAAAGAGGTGATTGAAAAAGCTGGTAAAAAATATGGGAACGCGGACTCCGAGGCGCTTAGGTATCCAAAGCTAGGCAATTTACTAGCGTGATTTTGGTACATCTGACCCTGGTGAATTTACAGTAGCAACCTCCTCCAGTTTTGAACACCATTTTCCAGCTCGATAACATCACTTCGCCATAGATAAACCTTCCATGGCTTCCTGCCGATAAAGTAACCTGTAAGCGAGCTAAGCCAGCTGCGCAGCCGGAACATTTGAACACCATAGTAGACGTGACACATTATAACAGGATTGATCTCAGCATCCAAAATATATAGGGACTTTTCCTTGTGGCCTATTACTTTTCATAGATATGTATGATAGTACAATATGTACATACTCGAGGAAGTTTAGGGAATTGCTGAAATTTGGTGGTCAAAATATATTTGCGTGGACTGGGGGATCTAAGCAACGTAATTCATCCATTTCCGAACGGAAGGTGAAGGGATGGCGACATAGCTTTAAAAGTCATATTTATATACTCTCCTCTAACGAGACAGCTAGTACATACGACAATAGGGTGTGGAATCCTAAGAGTACCCCGTTAATAGTAGGATACATATTAAGAGTACGTAGGCTAGGCAAGAAGATGAGAAAAGCAGTATGAGACTAATACTTGGGAAAGAAGAAGCAAATTTCCCCACAAGGTAGGCTTTTTGTTGTCAATAACTGGACGAGAATCTTCCACAATCTCAATACGAGAAAGGGTGCACTTGCAAGCGTACATCACGCCTTCAGTAGGCGAGACCACCTCGGTCGAGCTGAACTGCAATGAGAATGTTCGGCTTTTAAATCATCACTCTCAAAATCCCGCATCGTCTGCTGGAAAGCAGCTTCGCAGTCGTCTGTGGATTGGGTGACAAGCCACGCTCAAAGCGAGACTGGTCTCAAAAATAGCCGGCCTAGACTGGGATTTGAACCTCGCCCTAAGCAGACAATCAATGGAATCCCGACTGCAAGCAAAAGGAATGGATATGCTTTTGAGTATGAAGGGCATACATCGATCATTTGTGCTAGGGTCGGGACGAGGACGAAGAATAACAAGGTTCAATGGGCTGCTGGTGGGCCTAGTTATGGTGGTTGTGCAGGCAATGGATGATGGCGGCTAGTCACTTTATCAATTTAAAGGCTATGAGTTAGTATACTTTATTAAATAGTTTACTCCGTATCCATAGTGTGAATTTGAAGGACGGTGCCAGTAATCACATTCATCTTTCAACATCACAAGAAAGACATTACGTGATCTTACATGGGGGGGGGCAACGTAAAGATTAGAATGCTGATTCACTCTAGATATATCGTAACATCCTAAATGCGGACATTCTTGTGGGCATACTAGCAGCAGGATTATGTTTTCACTGGCTTCGACATTTGAAGGTAGAAAGACCTGCAAATCCGTTACTTCGGATTGGGTAACTAATCTCAGCCTTAAAACCGTGGCGCTATCCACCCCGGAAAGTGCGTTTAGCCTGACCCACTCAAGTATTCAAGAATTGTTATGAGGAAAATGCAAGATATTCGCATCTACTAAAAACCGAAAGCATAATCAGACATATAACATTTTACAGATCGATAAAAAGAAGACATCGAGATAAGAACGGATAACTAGGACCGCAGCAAGCTAAGAAAGCGCAACGGAGGACCATCATATTGGGTATGTAAGTTTTTGAATTGACAGATGGAAACAATCAATTTAACCAGGGGGAAGGGTGCTGGCATCGACAATATCACCGGCGTCCTTCTCGATCTCCTCGCTCTGCTCCGACAGGGGAGAGCGGGGCAGAGCCATGAGACCAGTGCGAGTGGACTCAAGGATACCGAAGGGACCAATGAGCTTGAGAAAAGAGTCGATACGGCTGGGCTTAGCAGAGCTATTTCAGAATTAGATTAGCACCGTCTTAGGGAAGGAATATTGAAGACACGTACAGTTCAACAATGCAGTTGTTGGTGCTGATATCCAGAACCTTACCACCGAACTGGTGGGTCAGACGGGTAATAGCATCCAAGTGCTCGTGCTTATGGCGCAGACCCTGGCTGAGCGGCAGGTTGCGAGGGTGGTACTCCACAGCAGTCTGGTTGCCGTGACCCTTCTCCTGATCACCGGGGGTGGTGATCTCACGGTGGTGCTGCAGCAGCTCCTCGAAGAACTCGGGACCAAGTACCGAGACCTTGGCGAGGAGCAGCTCGCGCTGAACCAGAGCCGAGTCGGTGTAGTCCAGCACAGCCCAGACAGGGACAAGGTCATCCAGCTGGCGGCGAGCCTGCTCGACGACACCGTTCTGGCCCTGCAGGACAATGGTCATGCGGGACAGATCCTCGACCTCAGTGTTGCAGACGACAAGACTGTCAATGTTGAAGCCACGAGCAGCGAGGATACCGGACACACGGGACAGGACACCGGGCTCGTTCTGGACCAAGCAGTTCAGGACGTGGCGCTTAGGAGGGTTGGAAGGCGGGACAGGAGTCTCGTAAAGAATGGACGAGACAGCAGTCGGGGCGTCCCATTGGGAAGAAGTCTCATTGACCGGCAAGGTAAGAGGGGACCGGCGGTGCAATGCCTTGTAGGCCAGGGCGGAAGTCGAGCTGGACGAGGCACGGATGGTGGTGAAACGGGGCAGAGCGGCAGCGGTGCGAGACCGGGCAGCAGCTGCAGCCGACGACAAAGTCGACGCTGACGCTGAAGTCAGCGCCAGTGAGTGCCTGAAAGCCATCTTTGGAGTTCAAGAACACCAAGGGTTGTGCGATGAATCACTTCTAGACTCTCCGGATTCTTTTTGCTAGCTCCGACCTCGGCCAGCGCTGACTCATACAAGCTAGCCCCATTTGGGACTAGCCTCACGTACTTCTCACAGTCACATGACCTCGAACGTTTTCTCGATGTGCTTTGGTATCAATTACCGTCTTGGGGAATTTCAAAAGCTTCTAGTTCATCTTTCAGGGAGGTGACACTTCTGCGCATTTGATCACTTGTTTGGCACGCTCCGCAGAATTTTGGTTGCTCTCAGGAGCCTCTGTACCTGCCTTTATCGCGCTAGACTTCCGTTTCCTGGCCCAACCTCCTTCCCGCAATTTATCGGGTACTTTTTTTTTTTTACTCCTCCAATTCGTCCCCTCACCGCTACCTCACCTACATACTTCAAAATGGCCGACGACGAGCGCCGCGCCAAGCGATCTCGCTTTGATCAGACTGAGCCTGAACCCCGTCGTTCCCGGTTTGATCGCCGTTCGCGATCTCCGTCCGCAAGACAATCAGAGTCCACACGTACTCGCAGTCCATTGAGTCGCGAAGCGCGCAGTCCCGCTGGTGATGGAGCACCAAAGCCGGCTGTGGCTGATCCTGCAGCAGCAGCAGGTACGTCTCGCGATGCGCCTACAATGTCTTGCGCTTTGATTCAATGGCATGCTAACTTGTGTGGTCTTACTAGCTGCCGCCGCCGCAAGGATCAATGCCCAGTTGCAAGCGAAGAAGGGCATCCAGCATGTCGATGTGCCTCCGATCCGTTCGGTAAAATTTATCGTTGGCTGGCCCTGGTGATCATTTGAGCTAACCTCTTTCTAGACCGATAGCCCGGGCGCTAAGTCCGACGAGGCCGGCGAAGGTACAGGAAAAGACGTTTATGTTACCGACGGCGACTACATTAAAGACATTGAGATCAACGATTTGCGCAATCGCTATACCCTGACTAAGGGATCTACTCAGCAGATGGTAAATTTCTCCTGTTGTCAGCTCGCTGATCTTCCAGACATGCCTTTACCTCGAGGCCAAGCAATATGCATTGCTCTTGGACCCGATCCCCTTTGAATTGCACCTTTTTGTCTCATATTGTCTATTGTGTGGTTGGACGAAGCTTACTCAAGACCAACTAAACGCATAGCTTCTTGAATCCCCTCTGTTGCATCTGCTGACCTACGCTGCGTGACTTCTAGATTAAAGATGAAACTGGCGCCGGTACGCCTTCTTGCTTGTTATGTTGGTAAAGACGCTCATTGCTTACTTTTATACAAGATGTTACAACCCGAGGAAATTATTACCCGGATAAGAACATGGCGACTGCCGCGGTAAGTGATGGCTCCGAGTCAACGAAGATCGATTGCTGATCACGCCAATATAGCACCCCCCTTTGTACCTCCATGTCACAAGCACCACCAAGGAAGGTCTCGAGAAGGCCATTCAAATCATTGATGATCTCATGCAGAAGGAGCTGCCTAACCTGATCGACGAGCGACGATTCCGCCGACGGGAGCCCGAGCCTGTGGAACGGGATGAGTATGGCCGTGTATGGCATTCTATTCCCAAAGTAGACTCAAGACACCCCGCTAATTAGTTACAGCGCAAATGGCCCGACGAGCGTATTCCGATTGATCTCGAACCCATTCCTGGTTTTAATTTGCGTGCTCAGGTTGTCGGTCAAGGCGGTGCATACGTGAAGCACATTCAGCAAAAGACCCGTTGCCGTGTCCAAATCAAGGGCCGCGGATCCGGATTCCTTGAATCCAGCACTGGTCGAGAGAGCGACGAGCAGATGTTCCTACATGTTGCGTGAGTAATAAACGCTGGCCAACAACGACCATGACTAATCAAGTATACCAGTGGACCTGATGCAAATGATGTCCAGGCTGCTAAAGAACTTTGCATAGATCTCCTGAATAACGTCAAGGAGCAATACCAAAACTTCAAGGATAACCCGCCACAGCACAACTACGGTGGCTACCGTGGTGACCGCTACCAGGGCGGCGGCGGCGGCGATGGAGGCGGTAGGGGAGGATACGGTGGCGGCGGTTACAACAACCGTCGTAACGATTACCAGCAACAGCAATCGCAGTCCCCAGCCCCAGGTGCATCTGCCAGTCCGACCGGTGCGGCTGGTGCCGGTGCCAGTGCCACCAGCATGGCTGACTACGCCGCCCAATACGCTCAGTACTACGGACAAGGTGCTGACCCCTACGCTGCTTATGGTGGGTACCAGAACTATGTGGCATACTACCAATATTACCAGCAAGCCGCTGCTGCTCAGCAGCAACAGCAGTCGGAGACCGCTCCCCCGCCTCCTCCACCAGCTGGCGAGGCTCCCCCTCCCCCTCCCCCTGGATCCGGATCTCCTCCCCCTCCTCCCGGTGGAGGTAGCTACAGTGCGGTATGAAAACCTAGATTTGTGAAAGCCTGAAACGTGTGGCTGATGTGATTTGTTCAGGTGCCTCCCCCACCGGGTCTGTAGTGCTGCTGGACAATGACCTGTCTTTGCCACCGGCAATTTGAAAACATTGGCAAGTTTCGTTTTGATTTTTTGAAAAGTGCAGAAGGGTACAGCGATTTCAATGTTTAGTGCAAGTTCCATGGGTTGTGATATTTTGCTAAATAGCAGTCTCTCTTTTTCTTGTAATCTCTCTCGGTGTCCCTTTACAGTTCACAGGTTTTCCCAAGGCAAACCCGCCTGGAGACGACATATAACTCTTCCTAGGACAATTCTGCTGTCATCGGAGAATATAGTGGAACGCCTCCTGACGCATTCTTATCTTTCTCTAGGGCTGGATGTACCCAAGTGCTTATCTTTCTAGGAATCTAGGCAAGCGGATTTCCTTTGATAAATAACATTTTCATTCAAACTCGGAGATCAGATGACTCAACGTGGTATTGATGCATGGCATCATAATATAGAAAGAGAACGCCCCTCTAGTCATTTCAAATAACATGGTCATATACTCCAGATGCAATGTGCAAAACAACCAACCCCCCGGTAACATAACAGGCATAAAAAAATCGACATGATATACAAAAAATTCACAAAATAAAGGTCAAACATACCCTTCATCAATCATATAAGCAGTCGATGATAACATCTTTCTCTTGCGTTTCCCCAGAGCCACACGACCCTCTTTGCAAAAATCACAAGCGTAGTCACATGGCGTTGAGCCCGGCATCCCAAGTCCACTTCCCCTAGCAGCTTGTGAAGACGGCGGCTGCTGAGACCCCATCTCCTCCAACTCAAAGTCGCCGAATAAGTCCTTGATCAAATCATGTCGACATCGTGTCACGCTTTCACAGTACCGGACAACTTTCTTGAAGCTATCCAGACGAGCTTCCTGATTTTTCATCGTACTGGCAACGAGATGTTTAGGCCCGCCGCGATTGCGCATGTTCTCCGTATCTCTGTTCATGCGGTCGAAGATACGATCCCGTTCTTGAAGGTTATAATACACAAGAGACGCAGCTGCACGGCCATCACGACCCGCTCGCCCCGATTCTTGAACGAAGCCTTCAAAGCTGCGAGGTGGTGTCCAATGGACCACGAACCGGACATAGGAGTTATCAATGCCCATACCGAAGGCATTTGTCGCGACTATGATGGAGAAGGTAGGTGGTGGTTTGCCATTGCTGGTTTGCTTTGATGGTGGAGGTGCAGTCCAAAGTGATTGGATGCGTGTTCGTTCTTGCGGGGCTAGTCCGGCGTGATATGCCACGGCAGAGATGCTTTTATCCTGGGATAGAAGGCTTGCGAGGTGCTCAGATATGGCGCGCAGTCCGACGTACACGATGCCCGAGATTGGTGGTAAGCGAGCAGCTTCTTCTGCGCCCAAACGGGCTTCTCTTCGCTTTTTGATGGCGCGAAGGTATTTGAGTAAATTTTCTACCTGATAGTCACCATCTTCGCCACAGTCCTCAAGATACCGGACCTCGTAGTGGATGTTTGGGCGGGCGGATGGTGTGTTGAAGAGTTTGAGTTGGGTTGGATTTAGGTTAAGCATGTTGATGATATCTGTGCGAACCCTCGGTGTGGCTGTAGCTGTGAGTGCTGTGATGGGAACTTCTGGGTCAATTAGGTTCTTTTTGAACCATCCCAGCTCCTGGTAGGCTGGCCGAAAGTCATGGCCCCATTCGCTGATACAGTGGGCCTCGTCGATGGCAATACGGGCTAGTTGCCCTTGTCGATGCACGACTTGCAGGTTTCGTCTAAAGCTGTCTGTTTGACATAGCTCAGGAGTCACATAGAGAAGGCGTGTGCGTGGGTGCCCTGAGAGCATATCGTCTAGAATCAATCGCCGTTCTGCTAAAGGTGTGTTGGAATTGATAGTCGAAACTGCTACTCCTATGGCTTGGAGAGCATTGACTTGATCCATCTGCAATTGTTAGGTATTGAACTCAGAAGATACCAGTTTCGTTCACTTACCATCAAAGCGAGGAGAGGACAAATGACAATAGTTACTGCACAGTACAGATTAGAATCGAGTTGAAGACCCTGCCCTGAAGATTCTACTTACATCCATTGTTGATGACCGCTGGCAACTGAAAGCACAGACTTTTTCCAAAGGAGGTGGATGCCTGAAGGAATACATCATGGCCATCAACAACTGCTGCAATGACTTCTCGCTGCAGGGGGCTGGTGAATTATCAGTATCAATTCAATGTAACCGGAGTTGGTTCACTAACCGAAATGACTTTTTGCGGAAGACACGGTTCAGGTAGAACTCGAGATCCGGTCTACGCCGTGTAAATGACCCTCGATCAGCCATCGGACGGCAGAGCAAGGGTATTGAAGATGGATGAAGCATACAAATGCAAGGCGTTGGTTTACTTCAGAGCCGCACGTGTTGTCGCGTCTTCGCCTTCCCGCAGACGCGAGCTCACGTGACATAAAACGACTTCCAAATCAGGATATATGCAACTATATCAATGTCTGCGATGTTTTATAAGAGCGCTCAGGCTCGGGAACTAATTAAACACTTGCATACGCTCAGACCCGGAGATAATGCTCTATGCATGCTCTAGACTTAGTATTTACAGAAGAGCTAGAAGCTGACCGGTCCATGTTCACACGTTGGAAAGGGAATTTCAGGATATCAATTGATGGGTCTTACTGCCCAGCTAAGCAGGATGGAGGAGCAGGTGACTGACAGCCGACGATTGGTGAGTGAAAACGAGATTGGCTCGGTAAAGACATGAATTGCACAAATTGCGCTAAATTGAATCGGTATATAGTGTATAATAATGTACAGGTATCAAATCACGGCCGTCAACTCTCCCCATATTATTTTACATTTATCGTGGATTCCGCGACATTTGCTCATCAATCACCTCCTTCACCGCAAGTACATCAATTGCCTTGCGCTTATTGGGTGACCAGAGTTGTTCAAGTTGTAGCCAAGCTTCCATAACTTCCTGAGGCCCACAGCAAGTACCAAAGGCCCGGAGGATGAGAATAATCATGCGTCGTCCAACAAAGACGCCATTCTCGAGACGGTGTGACAAATATTCAAGATTCTCATGGTTGGGATCGCCTTCTTGATCGAGAGATAATGGGCGAGACGTGAAAATGCCCTCTGCGTCGAGGTTCAGATTTGCAAGGTCGTTATCAGGTTGGTCCTCAGAGATGTCCTCGTTCTCGAATTCGTCTTCTTCGTAGACATCATTCTCATCACGAGCGAATTCTTCAATGTGGTCTTCGACGGGATCCTCAGAGGCCTGTGGCTTTTCTTCTGGGGTGGTTGATGAGGCATCTTTGCCTGTGGATGAGAAACTCATGTAGAGCCCATCGGGCTTGGCAGATATATCGACATCCGGTATCTCAGCTTCAACATCCACACTTGTTAATGGATTTTCCCAGACCATAGCTGGAGCATCATGGTGAAAACCTGAATGCCTTGCTTTTGAGTCCCGTACTGCTTGTATAAAAGAGAGCCATGTTAATCGGAGCTTCTCTGCCGTCCACCAGTTCTTTCTTCGGCGTCCATGGAGTCCAAAGCCCTCGAAGAGATAAAGGTAGATCAGGTGACGAGGTGGAACTGAGAATGTGTTTTCCATGTCCCGCAGAACGTTCATGAACATGTCCAGATCGCCAGTGACACGCGTGCAAAACTGAAGCCAGATGTAGAAGGTCCGCGTATCTGGTGTCATGGGTAGAGAGTCTTGTAGAGCACGGTGATAAGCAGGTAGGCTCTTTTTGAGAGCCTTAGACTTCTTCAGTAGGCGACCAAGCTCCCTGGTTTTTGCTCGGTAGAATGTGAACTCTGGAGAAAGGCTTGGTGAAGTTTCTGGAGAACTTGAGGTACCCTTCTTGTGTTGGACTTGTGCGTTTAGCATCCGTCCATACAGCTGCTCAGCAGTCTCGACGTCGCCAGCTCGAAGAAACGAGGCCATGACACAATTCAACACAACGGTATCAACTAGCTCTCCTGACTGGACAAAGTAATCGAACGTGCCACGAATCCCCTCCGGATCTTTGCGCATGCCACAGGAAAACATTTTTGAGACTAGCCCAGAACGTGAAAAGCGAATCCCTCTCTTTCTCATCTCATCCTCCAGACGATCGGCCACGATGAACTGATTGGCTTTGATAGCAACGTCGAATAGAATATTAAAGACTACGTCGTCGGCCTGAATCCCAGCTACATGCTCCATTTGCTGCCAAAGACCGATTGCGTGAACTAGACGTCGTTTCGAGACCCTGCCATTGTTGCTTCGGCCAGCCATATGGATTGCGGTGGACCATAGCGAACGTGACATTGGAAGCCCCGCGGTATTCATATCGTCCACTAAGGCAAGATAACGACGCGCATCCGCCCAACGTCGATTTGGAGGCGATGCAAGTCGCCTCAAGAGACGGCCGCGTGAGGCCTTGGACAAATGTGCAACTCCAGGCTCTGGAAGGTCTCTGTATAATCGAAAAAGAAACTGAGTTGTTGCCTGTTCTTGGCTGGGCAGTGCTTCCACGAGTCTTGCAACCGATGGAGTTTCAATTGCATCGCGTGTGTCGTCCACCTTTCGGACAAACGTTTGTTTAGGCAATATAGCCTCCACGGCGTCTTCCCAATCATATCTATCTCCAAATAACCGCTGAAATATGTCAGAAACGGCATTCCGCACTCTGTCATCCCGCGTGAGGGAAAGATTTTCCGGTTTATAAGCCTCTGTTGCGACCTCTGAAGGTTTATCGTTGATTATATCTTTTTTCGGGGAAACTGTCAACCGACGGACGTCCGGTATTGAGTCGAAAAAGTGTTCCTCGAAATGCTGTTGCGATTTGCCGTCCGGAACCTGTGGTAATCGGGGCAGCGCGTGATCGTTATTCTCATCCGCTCTCTCTCTTGCTTGAAATGTCAGATTGTGTCTCTCTGGATTATCTCTCTCCACCGGCTCCAGGCTATGGCAGAGCCATGATCTTTGTCGCGATTGCTGGGCCAAAGGTCCAGATAACTCCCAGCGTCTCCGTGCTGGGCTTTCACCACGCTCTACCCCCTCTTTGCCCCCGAGCCTCCGTAGATTAGATTCTGATGTCGTTAAATGCAACGTAGACAAGCCTCGACCTCGTGGTGAGTGCTCGTGGCAGAAACCTGCCAGGACAAGGGAGCCAACAAAAAGGTCTGCTATTGACGCGACGGAAGGTCGGGGGCGCCGAGTAGAGAAGCTTCGGACAGAGGAGCGGGAGAGGGAGGGTTTCGGATGAGACATTGAATGTGGTCGGGAGAGGAGAAGCTCATCCAAGGCCTGCTTGGGGGGATCTCGCAGGCCCGGTGAGCTGGGGAACCTATTGGGATGAGGCATGAGATGACAGACATCGTGGCACTGGGTTAGCCATGCGCGTCGCAAAGAAAGGCCTAGGCCAATGGCATGAGAACCAAATTGACTGCTGCGCGACCTTGAAAGCAAAACAGCAGTGGAAAGCACGTAGGTTGATCAACGGGGTGGAAGAAGGTGTTTTTCTGATGGACGGACTTTCTGGCTTTGCAGCGGAGCCGCACTGGCCAATCGGAGCTCGGCATTGACAATCCCATCTTTTTCGAACTTCGGCATCTCTCACCCTTCTGCACCGTCACGATCTCAGCCCGCGTTTCCCTATTCAATTGCCCTAGGGCTATATCTCGGGTCCTTTAATCCCCACGGATAGTCTACACGCAGCTATCTCTGGCTGTGTGTCCCCCCCACCATGGGCAAAATCAACCTCACAGCCCTCCGGGTGCGACAGACCGCGATCAACCAATTCGCAAGTGGAAAGATCAGCAAGCTACCACAATGGGTTGATGTAGTTCGCGATATCCCTCCCTCGGAAGTTTTAGTCCGTACCGTTCCTCACCAACACCAGTTGGTCCGACAACGAGTGAAGACCGACGACAAAAACATGAATCAAATCGTGTTCGAGGTTGAACAGAAGCGCCGGAAGTCCAAGAAGCCTAGTCGCCTGTTCCAACCGGTCGAGCTGAAATATGAGGAAGATGAGCTGCGAAAGCAGTTCTTCAAAGATCACCCCTGGGAGCTTGCCCGGCCTCGCGTGCTTGTCGAGTCCACCGGCAAAGACCATGAACGCTACGATTGGAGCCAGCTCCGGCAGCCCGGAAGGAGGCTAGATGGTGAAAGGTGAGCTTGGAATTCGCCTGTTCATTCTATCACCCAGTACTGACGTTTTCCGTAGTGTGGTTCAACGACAGCTTTATCTCCTAGAGAACACCCCCAACATGACCGTGAGTCGCGCGTACGATATTGCCCGCCAAGAATTCTACAAGCTTCGGTTGCAGGAGGATATTGAGCGACGAGTTGCGGCGGAGGAGGCAGAGGCTACCGGTGCCAAGTTTGGCCCGACCCAGCTTGAGATTGGTATGGAGCTAGAGAACCAACAGCACGAGAAGTGGAAGGATTGGGCCAGATTGGAGGCTCAAGTTCTCAGTCAGCGGACGGTTGCTCTCTCCGGTGCCCCGGAACTTGCATCGGAGAATGACACAGAGAGAGAGGCTCAGGCTATTGATATTGAGCGGCCTGTGGAGCAATAGATGCTCGTCATTTGCATATCTGGCATATCTTTTGTCCCTTGATACTCCAGTTGGTCATGTACATTATTTAGTCTATTTTCCTGTTGAATGTATTCCCATAGCTCAAAACAATATGGTTTCACTTGATTCAAATGCGTCTCGCCACCAACTATATATCTTTCGAGCTGCTAGGTATTGTATCAGGAACTTAGCATCACGCCAGTTGACTGCTTGAACATGAATACACCTAGGTAAAATATCCTGCAGTATTCATAGGATTATAGCTGAAATGAAATGGTGTGCATTTTCAATTGGTTCAAACCAGTGGGCCGTGCAACCGTTGAAACACGAAAACACCGTTGATCGCAAAGCTCGGGCGCCTCTCGTCCAATCACAGCACTTCCAGCCTCTCCAACTTCCCTTTCAATCTGGACCACCAGGACTGTCTTGATTTCAAGAAACAGTTCCGTGTACACATACCTTGCACCAGATAAACTCGGCATATCTTGCGATACATTCCAAGGTTGTTCTTGACCCTACTGTGGCTGAACCTCCGCCACAGGCCAACGTTCCTCCGAGCTTCATTGCGCCATTCCCGCTCCTTCGGTGTTCTTCTCTCCAGCCTTAACGGATTTGACGTTGCCGATCCACTGTCTTATTGATCTCCATCGCTGCACTCAAGTTATCTTTCGCCCTGAACCCCACGCTGTCGCGTCGCCTTGCCCCGAAACCTGAGCCGGCGCAATCATATCCACCCCTCGAGGCCCACCTACCCTTTTGACGATGCTTGGGTTGAGTGTGCTTGCTGCCTGTTGGTAACGGTCGAAAGACAGGAGGATCCTTTGGTATTTGGCGCATTTGCCATTATAAGCTTGCACGCCCTAGCGCTAGCAAGCAATGATGTCTACGATAACCCGACCCGAAGACACGGTCCGTGGTCCCCGGTCATACCCAGACACGGCCGAGGAAGATGATAATGAGAAAGGACAGCACGATTCCCTGGTACCCCCACCACTGTCATACAATGAAGGATTCCCACGACTTGAAGGAGACGGATCAAGGCCGGGCACAGCTATGGGTGACGCGCCTGGAAGTTCTGGGAAGTCGTCTGGCCCGAAACCGTTGACCCATGAGGACACTATTGAGTTGGCAAAAAAAGCAGTGGAGAGTGGTATCCAGGATACAAAACGGTCGCTGGCAGGAAGCGAAGCTGTCACCGATGTCGTGAAGCCCAAGTTAACCATTGATCTGGGTCATTCACATATTGTGCGGATACCAGAGCCAGTAGTGGATATAATCAAAGACGAGGTGGAAAGGTACGTTGTTTGGTGCAGTCTGCATAAGATGGCTTTATGAAGCTATGCGTCAATATGAGGCGATATCACTGACTTTGCATAGACTTTCTCTTTCTAACAACCATCTGTTTCACATTCCCTATCGCTTTGCTGAATGTTCTCATCTTCGGTACCTCAATATCAGAGCTAATAACTTCCGTGAATTTCCAAAAGGAGTGCGTATAATTGACCTTTTCCTCACAATGCCTATACTGATTATTCTCAGGTTTACAAATTACCACTGCTAGAGATTCTTGATCTTAGTCGAAACAAGATAGGCTTGTTACCCGACGAGGTTGGCAAATTAAGATCATTACGAGTGCTTTCTATCATGCAGAATCGGCTTGATGACCTACCTGCGGGTTTGTCAGATATGAACAAGCTGCAGGTTCTCAAAGTTGCAGGAAACCCTCTTCGCTCCCCACTTCGACGTGTCCTGGAGGGATTGGAAGCGGAAATGGCCCCGTCAGCAATGTCTGATAATGAGAAGGAGGTTGCAATCACTGCAGAGTTAAAGAGATTCCTCAAAAGCCGACAGTCAGCGAGCACCCCGGAGCCAGAGTTTAGTGCTGATGCAAGGTACGTCGTATTGATTACTTTGAAGGTATGAGGCTAATTGTACCCAGCGAGAGATCGTCATTCGAAACACCAAGGCCGGCTCCAGTCAAGCGTAAACTTAGCAGTCGATTTCCTGTTATCCCAAGCACTGGTGATGGCTCAGCATCATCTTCCCGGTCTCCATCCATCTCCCGGGGACCAGGGGTGCCAGGTAAATCTCATTATCGCATGGCCTCGGGGCACCAAAGTGGCACATACCATATGGAGGGTCTCCGACGGCCTAGTGTGACGCCCCACGCTGTTAATGAGCGCATTCGAAGTAATAGCGAGGGCATCATCCAAGCATCCTTCGCAGCTCGCAGCAAGCGCATGGGAGTCATCACTCGCAAAAATACGGACCTGGGGACGTTGGATGAGACACGGCCATACCGAAACAGCCATTTGCGGGGTCTCAGCCATGGCTCTGTCCTTCGAACACGCCCAGCAGGGCCTCCTCCTGCAAGTGATAGTAGCTCCTCGAGCCCTAGCAGCCCTAGAGATCGTCGACGCCCAAGAGATGGCTGGGTCAACCGCATGTCGAGTCTCCCTGAGCACAAGGGAGAAAGAGCGTCGACCGAGCCAGTTATCGAGAGCGCCAGGGGCATCTTGTTCTCTCTTTTCCAGGTGCATTCCCACATATCTACACTGATTAATGTCATTCAGCGTGATGACACGCGACGCCACAGTCTTGAACTTGTGTTCTACAATGCTTCAAGTCATGTCGAACGGCTTAACGAAGCTCTTGAGAACGCAGAAAAATATCCTTCTGATGAACCAGATTCGGCTCGGGCACTGAACGAAAGCGTGAAGAGAGAGTGTGAAACATGCATCACGGCCTACACACATGTGGGCACTCAGCTGCGAAATAGCGCTGCTAAGATTGTCTGTAATGGTGACTCACGATACGTGCGTTCGCTCATGTTGATGATGTTTGGTGGCCTGGTCGAGTTGCGAAATGCATGCGCCAGTCTCAACGTTTCGCTCCGACCGATCCAAAAACGGCGGATCTCGGCGCCCAAGCCAATTATCCCCGACGTAAGCAAAGGGCCTTTGGCTTCAGAAAGGCCCCTGCGGCCCTTGGTTACTCCCCCGCGGGATACGGCAGCACCCACACGACGACTGCGCAGCGATACTACTATCCGACACCCTCAAGTTCCTGTGCCACTCATGAACCAGACAGCAGCTACTGGCTCACCTGGCTTTGCTACCCCGGCCTTTAACTACGCGCGCAGTAGATCTAGTAGTCGGACTAACCTGATCAATACTTCCGTGCCCACATCCTTGGCTACACCCCGCTCTGGAGAGTCATTCCCTCCCATGCCTATGGGCAATGGCCCTCGGATTAATCCTTTAACGGGACTAGACGAGATTGAGGAAGAGCGACTCTTTGAGAAGATCTTCTATCAGCTTACGTCTGCATACAGTGCTGCACTCCAAGCACTCCCGTTGGCTCGACGGCAGTTATCTCGATGCCTTGAAGTGGCCGAACAATCCCGAGAAGCCGAAGGGATCCAAATGCTTTGGAGTAATCTCATCCGCCGGTGTCGAAGCTGTCTCGAGGTTTCCGAAGCATTGGGAATGCGCCTATCCACCATGAAAGTCAAAGAGCCAAATGGCGGACTACGGAATCAGCGCGAGTTCTGGCAGCTGTGCAAGGGTTTCATGCAGTCATTCGTGGATCTTATAACAGACATGCGGGAGGTGCGCAGTATGAACCTTCTCCCTCAGGATATCATCATCATTCTACGACCAGTCCAAAAGGCTAGCCGAGAAGCCGGTCGCCTGATCGAAGCATCTCCCTGGTCCTTCCTCGCAGACCCAGCGACCAACGCACCGAATAACCTCTATGGCCCGCCGCTGCAACCTCCACACACCCAGCATCAAACCTCCGTCTCAACATCTGCTCTCGCCTCCCACTCCCATTACGCGGGCGTGGGCATGTCCCCTCATTCCGTCACTGTTCCTTCCACCCCCCTCAGTGCAGCCCTCGGTCCCGCAGCGCAAGCTACCGTCCCCTCCACCCCAGCTAGTGCATATAGCGACAAGTTCTTCGAAGGCGATGTCTTCCAGCGTGCTGACTCGCTTCTTTCGATGCAAAACCAAGGTCCATTTTATGCTCGTCGTTAGCCCGGTCTCCTTGCGTGATTTTTGTATGCCCCTCATGATGATGATATCTACACCCTTCACGCATCAACTCCCGATAGAACACTTCTAAAGTTTGCATCTATCGCTCCATGTGCCCATGTTTTGTCTCATATTAGCGGAACTATGATATGTATTTCTTTTACCCAGGGGATAACGGAACATATGGCGGTGCTCCTGTTTTCGACATAGCGTACGGTCTTATTCGGTTACAAATTCAATATCAATTATTATGAGTTCAATCAGAGCTGGTTGTTGTAGTAGTCTAGTAGACATATACAGCACGGTCCAATCCTCTCTTTTTCCTCCCTACTCACTGTATTTTGCGAAAAACCAGTGAACTGAAAACACCTGAAGATGGCTGCTAAATACAAGGCAAAAATCGTCTAAGCAATTCGATGAAGAAAGTCGTGTTGAGAGCACGTGCGAAACACTCATGATCCGCGCCTTACCTTGTGGGTTCAACTACCCTATTCCGGTGGATGGTCGGCGGGAGGAAGTAAGCTGGCGCTCTGGGAAGATGAAATCGAATACAGAAAGGAATACTATAATGTCGGGTACTGGCTCAAGAAGCTTCGTACCGTGTCACAAAGCTGGTGATTAACGTCAGCCACCTCCCTAGGGGACTGAACTGCATGATATTTTGCATCCCTGGTGATGACTATACCAATTTGGTTACAATCCTTACCAGGCCGAGATTTTGGGATCATGATTTACCGCAGAAAAGCCATTCTGAGGTCAAACAGATCCCTTGGTATAAACAATAGTGCCAAATCGCTCTTCCCGATCGCGCTAATAACCTGCCGTGGAGGGATGCCTTCTGTCCCGACGAGACTGTCGATAGCCTATCGATGACTATTCCGATCTTTAAGCTCTAATCATCTCAGGGGTATCGCAAGAGGCGAGAAACTCTTATCTACGTGTTTTCTGAGCTTCATGAAGGTATATTGTTATGGAAAGATTTACGCATGGTTATCTAAATTCTGATAAAGCGGATTGAATTTCAATAAGATGCTTGCTAGAAAGACACCCAAGACCGAAATCCGTCACGAAAAACCGATCTGGCTGGAATCATAGACGGAAGGCTCTTGTGAGGCTTCTTGGACATGGGTTTTGTTCTGCGCGAAGAGCTTCAGTGCCAAACCTGTGGGTAGCAATTAAGCCTCTATATTTCTTGGCCGTTACTAGCCTTTAGGCTTTCTTGATGAAGCCTAGCTATAGCCTGAGAAGCAAATATCATGGCAGCTTCCCGGCTGGGATACCCCGTGCAATCAACAGTCTTCTCGTCATTCAACCAGACCGCACAGCAGAATTTGTTTTCTAATGTGGGCGTAGTGTAGCTCTGGAAGAATATCTTTGCCTCGGGATACAACTTGTGTAACAAGACCGTCGGATGGTCTGTGACCACGCTATTGCGGAGTAATTGCTTCACACGACTGAGAATTCCCAGCCTACCCACCAGACGCTGACAATCCCTCAGGCTAGCTCGAGAATCCACAAACACCGCCCCAATCACGCTCTTAACAATATCACTCAGGACATTGTGGCCACTCATTGCGGCTAGCTCAGCCCAAGGGTATCGTTCATTCCTCAAGAAGGCTCGTTGAATCTTCCAGCAATCATGCCGGGACGCTGATCGAAATGTGCCCAGAGCAGTTGTCAGCTCATGGCTATGCGATTGTAAAAAGGTCCACAAATAGACCTCATCTTGGGGCTCCACCGTCCGGCTAAGGGTTGGCAGCGAGACATCTCCTTCAGCATTAATATCCAAATGGAACTCCAAGCACAGAAAGGTCAAGAATAGATGATTAGTGACAGCGGCTCGAAGACTTTGCAAGCGATCTACCTCCAAGGTTCTTTTCGGAGCGTAGAGCAGAGTTTGGGTCACCACTAGCTCAAGCACAGCATCGCCTAAGAAGGAGAGTCGCCCGTAGGCACTAGTCCGAGTCAATCCGGACCCGTAGTGAGAAGGATGCGTCAAGGCCTCCACCAGCAGACTACGGTCTGTAAATGTGTACCCAAGTAACTTTTCCGTCTCGCCAAGTGCCAAAGGATATGAGACCATGGAGCTCCGCCGAATCTGCTCAAAGCTGCCATCACTAAGTGCTGCAGCATGCCAGGTCTTAATTGCCGGTATAATAGCTGCAGCACAGTCTGCTGCTTGTTTACTGCCACCATCCACATAGGCAGCCCCCACAATCGCTCTAACCATCTCTGCTAGCGTCCTTGTGCTGACCTTCCGCGGCTCCGCGAAGCTCCGTGGTGAAAGTAGGCTAGAGATCCAAATGGATTCCCACTTCTTCCCGCTGAACCGCCTTGTGATAAGGAATCTCCCAAGGCCACACATTTTGGCCGCTTGGGCCAGCCCACAGTCCGAGATAACAGCCTCCTTGACTTTAGATAGTAGGCCTTCATGCCAGGCATAGTGATGGAGGAACAACTGCTCGCTAATGATATATTTGAGAAAAGTAGCACCCACAAAAGCCAGAGACCGGAAACGAGCAGGCCTCTCGGAGCAAGTAGGTTGAATAGCCAAGGAAAGAAGGCCTATTCTGTGGAATTCCATGCCCGATAAGACCTTTTCCCGTAGTTGTTCGGCCACCATATGTGTACCAATTTCATGGGTGATACTGGGAATATAGAGAGCCAATTCTGCCCATCTAAAGGGCAAGCAATCCACCGTCAGGCTTTGATCATTGAGGACCGTCTTTTTAGCTTCATGGGTTGGTGCCGGATATGCCGATGTCGACCCTCCTGGTGGGCATCGAGAAAGAAAGTTTCTTCTGCGAGGTAGAGGGTATATGTGTCCCTGAAGCTCTTCAATACCACAGGAGTGATCTGAGGGCCACGGATTCATGATCCATGGGTAGAGGGGCCGTGTTGAGTCACGCAGAAGTCCTGGTCCACATGTGCGGTGAACCGTCTTCAAAGCCTCATTGAGGCGAAGGCTGCCAGAAAATGCATCCAAGAATGCCTGCATCGCGGTTGGTGCAGAATCTGGAACAAATAGCGCTACAAAGTCCATTTGATGATTATATTGCAGCAGGCCTCCATGTACAGACTGAAGGATCAAATGAGTGACTTGACGGTAGAGCGTTCGGGTTTGAATGTCAGCGGCGACCAGTGAGCCCGGCCATAGGTGGACCATTGTTGTTGTCTTATCATCCACAAATAAGGGGAAACGGGCTTGCATATTGATCTGCAATGGAATTATTATCACCAACTCGAGGATATCCTTTCGTGGGTGTTGGATCTGCAAACGGTGAGCGTACAGGCTCACTTCACCCGAATCCCATCGAGCAGCCAGCTCAGCCCAAGGATTTATTGGCTCAGGTAGAAGGTGGAAACCTTTGCAAGAAAGTAGGGCCGAGTCAACAAGATCAGCGGGCTTTGTGGGTAGTAGATGATCATTCACCAAGCCTGCCGCCCGCAAGGCCTTATATGCTTGCAGTGCAGCGTCGGCATTCGCGAGCTTCCTACTAGACCACCAGCTTAAGCCATCGATTTCTTGAAGAGACGGGTGTAAGGCACTGGGTAAGAGAACTGTGGCTCGAATTTGGTGATTAGGACGTTCCTGGTAGCGGTATATGGGTCTGTTGATAGTATATGGTTGTTTAAGTATTTTCGCACAGAAAATGTTCAGATGGCTCGCAGAATCCAGCATGCCCAGCTGAGCGCTATTATAGAACAGTTAGCTATCCTGATTTTCCCCTTTCATCCTTTGTAGCAGATACGCATACCCTGTCCTTTCCACTACTAGTGACGGATAAGACTCTGCCTCGCATGGCAGATTTGAAACAGCTCGTGTGTCATCTCGATATGCCTTTTCCAGCCCGTCTTCAGCCTCTATAAGCTTCTTCAACTCTTCCTCATCCTGTTCATCATCCGGGAATATGATAAAGGTGGATTTTCCTTGGCGAGCCCGCCCGCGTCGTTGAACGAAAGACCTAATACTGCGAGGCCGGTCAAAGCTGATAACAGTATTGCATGCAGGAATGTCGATTCCCTCTTCCATTACATTTGTGGTGATGATAAGATCCAAGGCTCTCATACGGAACTTGGCTAGTGTTTCTTCCTGGCCGTGGATTTCAGCGTGCGAGATATCAAGGTCCCTTCGACCGTGAATACTTGACATGCCAATAAAAGTTCCACAGCGTAAGGGATATTTGATACCAGGATATCGCTCGATGAGCGACTTTAGTATTATCACCGTTGCTCGTTGATCCACAAAAATTAGCCCATGAAAGTCACAATCTGCCAGACGGGATAAAGTCTCGAGGAGCTCCCGGCATTTCGGGGACAGATCAGCGGGTACGATAGGTAATTGGGGCTGCTCCAGACAGCCAAGATCGCAGACCATCTGCATGGTAAAGTCTTTGACAGCATGAGGAGACCAACTTGTCTCAGCATGCGAGCGCTGGTGCTCTTTAAAGTGCCTGATAGAGGTGAACATATACTCAGCCACAGCCCAGCTGCCGAGCTCGTGATATAAAGCTTCCGACCTCCGTAAAAATCGACGAAGCTGCGAGGTCTTTGATGCATGGTGACTTTCACTCGCACGTTCGACCATGTCACGCAGTCGACTCAATAGCTGAGGCTCGGTTGTTTTGCATAACCAACCTCCATCTAAGAAGCAGCAGATGCGGATCTCCGGACGGTTGGTAAAATCTAGCAGCTCCTTATAGTGTCTATTTGGAGCCATACACCTGCTGTCGAGATTGATCTCCAGCTCCCTGTTATGTAAACAATCAGCGTCTTCTCTCACACTGTCTCAATTATAGACCTACTGGAGGCTAGATACATCTGAATTCCCTGGAGAGGCTGACAGGCCCAGGATTCGAGGTAAAGCGCTCATTTGTTTGTAGGGATGGTAGAAAATCGTCATGATCTTGTTCGCCGGGCTGTTCTTTGTACAATGATGAGCTGGTTGATATGCACGTCAATATATCAACAACCAAGATACTGCCTACTCATGCTTACCTTCATCAAATACGAGTAGCGAAAACTGGCCCATATTTACGAACCCGTGCGTTAAGGCGTCAAGGAGTACCTGGTGGGTCGAGACCGCGACTCGCACACCCGCCAGAGCGGCATCCCAAATGGCCTTTTCTCCCCAACGGTCTACTTGATCTTTGCCTGTGAATGATCGAGCCCGACTGGAGGGAAGATGGGACCGGAGAGCCTCGGCTTGTTGCTTACATAGCGCAATCGTGGGACAGAGAAACCATACAAGCTAGATGTAGATAATTCGGATGAGCGCTCTTGCCACTGCCCAACGTAATACCAATGAGGGGAAACAAAGGAATGTTTACCTTATCTGGACTCATATTCAATGCTTCCCGGATCCGAAGAATCGCTCTGAGTTATCTGTCAGTGGTTTTAAAGAAGGTGCAACCGAAAAAGGCTGACAGACATGAGCGTTTTCCCTGTTCCAGTACCCATCTAAAGTGCTCCAGTCAGAAAATGATCTGAAATTTCATTGAAAAACTTCCGCTTCTCACCGCAACAATGATGTTTTGCTGAAGGCTAGCTTGCAGCATCTCCAATTGGTACGCTCGCTCCTTCAGTTGCTGGTTTTCCTTGCGATTTGGAGGCATTTTGGGTAGCGAAACACCTGTGGTATCCAAACTAAAAAATAGGGAAAAGGTCAATCTTGTGGTGAAATTGGGGGGGGGGGGGGGGGGGGATTTCCGAAAAACGTAGCATTGCGGGGGTTGAAACGCCCTTTCTCAAGTTGGCATTGTGCTCTCCAATGGAATTCGAGCATACTTTATTATCTGACTAGGGTCATATCCGAAGATCTGCCTATCGAGTTGCAAGTAAAGCTACCAGCTAATCGAGCATTTACTGATTGAAATCTTGACCGCCCATAAGGATATTATTCATGACTACTCACAGAACCACAAACTATGAATCGTCTACCCTTTCCTCTAATTACTAGATTTAAAAAGCAATCCCTCGCAATGGCCTGAATTGAACCACTCAGGCAGTTTCATTTAATTGGCCACAAATTGCTCTGGCGGCCAAGTGTGCCGCTTCCTTCTTTGTCCGAGCCTCTCCAGAACAGGTAACGTCTCCATACTGTACTCTTACTCTGAACAGAGGGGGGGGTCAATTGTAATTGCCTCCTCAATTTTCTGCAGTCTCTTATTCTCTCTCTGGGCCCTCTCATGTAAGAGACAAGTATACCGATGGATAGCAACTGAATGGTCGTTATCTTGGCTAGGCTCCGAGTGAGCTGGACTAGAAGCACTCGACTGGGGGGTTTCCGTAATCAATATCTCTTCGTTTTCTCGACGGGCTTGTCCAGAAGCAGCGGATGAGAAGATATCGGCGAGGCCCCGTAGAAGCGCAAGTCTTCGTGACTCAGGACAGGCTCTATAAGTCTGTCCTATGAGCGTGACCACTTGGTCTCGAGCATCGTTGGCTTCTTCAATAGTTGCCCGAGGAGGACCTTCAGCGACCTCGAGCGAAGTCATCATTCCATTCCAGTTGATTGTTTGGAAAGCATTTTCGAAATAAACCTAGGTCAATGTGAGTCCGTAAGCCAATGAGAGATGACAAGCACACTGGGCTAACCTCAGCCTCATTGCGAGATTTTCCAGAGCCCACGAGGGAGGAAATCACCGATAGACGACAAACGAGCATACCGATGAGATGGTCTTTGTACGATGTATTGTAAGATCAGATAATTAGATAGATGGTTGATTGGACTCACCATCGGGCTCGGTGTGTTGATTATAACCTTGCAAATTGGCCATGCTGGTGCTTTAGGGTGGCAGTAGACTGGAGTATCAACAGGGTCTGTTGATGGTGTGGGACCTCGTCTCTTTTGAAATAGTTCCTACATGAAAATTCCAAGACTGCAGGGAGGGGAATGCTCAGATGTGACTCATTGTGAGGCTCTGCCAGGACGAATAGCAACCTCTGAGCTCGCTATCAATTTTGCGAATTGTAAAGAAAGTACATGCTGGAACCATCTAGTTCGTGACGTGTCATGCTCTCGTCAATGTGTATGTGTTGTTCATGCGGGGTTATCAGCCGCAGAACCAGTTGGCAGACATGGGTAAAGACCACCCTGTAAAAGTACCAAGAGGCGTACGCCGCAACCAACACGACCCTTGCTCAACAGGTTGAAGCAAGGAAATATCCATGCAGAGCGGTGCTTTGGCGCACATTCCACTTTCAGAGACGCAACATTACGTGCTTGAATGTGACATGTCATATAGCGATCGGATGAAACCAACAAAACCTAGGGACACTGATTGGAGGCCGAGGAAGAGGGGTTCAAATGAGAGGAAGAGGAAAAAGAAAAGAAAAGGCAAAAAAAAAAACCGGCATGGAGGTTAGCATTGGGCAGAGATAGTGAACGAGGCTCTCCACGAGTCACCCAGGCGCAATGAGTCAGACATTGCAACCAAAAGGCGAGGCGATATGACTTATAAAAAGATGGATGGTCTCTATAGTATGTATTCAAATCAGGCCTTCAGAGACGATTATCACATTTGACCTTGAGAACTTTTTGATTGTATCTTCGAACGCTCTCCCAAGCCGGACGCAATGAACGAAGACATCTCAGAGGCATCGTTGATGTGCCATCAACCTCGCAAATTACGGTTGCTCTACGAGCCTCTGTGCCTGCTCTATACCTTGAGTCAAGTTCGAGGGGATCGGATCAAACCAAGTGAAATCTTACAGGAAGAGCCGGGACTGACTGACCCCAAGCGCTGCCGAGATTTTGTCGATGCCATCGCCTATATTTGTGCATATCGAAAGGAACCTGGCTACGTCACTGCAGTTGCATTAGAAGAAACCCCCGAGGAGATAGTGATTCTGTTGGCTGCCAATAGTGGCATCGATAGCAAGGTCACCAGCCTTCTGGAGACTATTCAGCGAATTCTTTCATGGGTCATCAGCAACCACACCGTTAGACTGGACGAGAAGGAGGGCCAACAGATCTTTAAATTCTTAGCCGATTGTGTGCTGTCACTCAATGCCCCGAAGATCTTTCAATACTATCAGCAAGTGAACAAAACAGTCTCTTTGGTAATGGATCGGCTATGCACTGAGTCTACTTTAAAAGGTACACGACCTTACTTTTCTTCTTTCCGGGAGAATCCAGCCTTATTGAGGATCAAGGCTAATGTACAATTACGAGCAGATCGAGACAGCATTATCAAGCTCCGTACCTGGTTTGCTGCAAACTTATCGAAAGATGGCATCCCGCTCCAGGAATCCGATATGCCAACTCTAGCCCTCTCCAGCTATCGTGACCAGGATGTTTTCAAAGCCTTGTATGACCATCCCGGGAACGCCGAGCAATCCCGTCATTTTGAGCGACTCTCTAAGTTGCTCTACAAGCTAGGGAAGCACGTTTCTCAGTGCAAACGTCTGATCTTGGCGACCATGGGGTTACGTTCACAGCTAGCACGAGGCCTTCGCATCGAGACGATAAACAGGTCACCGGAGAAGCGTATCACCCTCTCGGCTCGTACTTGTAATATAAAGATGATCAGCAATCGTATGTTCTCTCTGCCTGCCGAAAGGGAACAGTTCTTGCGGCAATTACAACAAATTTACTCGGAGGATGAACTGGACAGGGTGCTGTCCAGAGATCTCTGTAAAAGCAAAACGCGCGTCCATGCGGAACTCCTGGTCCTCGATCATTTTGAGCAGACGCGAGGCAGATTTCTCTTCGAGCAGGACAGGTACATTGGGTGCAGCAAGCCAGCATGCTACCTCTGTCACCTTTTCATCACTTGCCATCCGGGAAAATATGCGATTCCCCCCTCCCATCAGAAGCTGTACACGGCTTGGCGACTTCCGGATATCCATGCAAGTGGGTCGAATGCCGCGATACGCTACCGGGACCAAAAGGATATTCTGTCTCGCATGACTGACACCGTCCGAAGGAATTTAACAAACGACATTGCTACCAGTGCCGGCAGGCGTATGAACCACGCAGACTCGACGGCAGGTGGCACCTCAACCATCATTGACATCGAATCTGATCTCATCTCGTCGACTGCCAATCTTTCCATTGAAGAGTTCATAGAAACGCTCGATCTTCAATATAAAGCTGGGCCTAATCCTCGAGCATCTGTCGTAGACACAGTGTTTCCTCCTTTGAGCAATAGCTCCTCCCCCAGTGAGGATAGCGCAGAGGCTGAGAGTGATGATGAGTCCCCAATTGGCGGGGTGAAACTTTAATTGCTACAACCGATTTTTGTTATGAATTTTTGTCAGCCTTTTATCAAGCACGAATTCAGATTTATTGATGAGCAAGCAACGAAGAAAAAAGACAAAACATAGAGCCCTTTGGAAGTCAGTTGCTATAAAGTTGTCACCTTTATATACAAGTAAGTGGCCTAGCAATTTGTCCATTTCATGACCGGAGACTGTACAAATTGGTTCCTCGTGTTCTTACTCCATTGGTTTCCGCTTAAACAATTTAATAATATGCTCACTTCTATAAGCCGCGGCAACATCTAAACTGGTCCTCTGCTGCGCATCCTCCGCCATAGGATCAAGCCCCAATCCCATTAAAAACTTGAAGCGTTCCACTGAAGCATCTATGCCTTCGTGTAGACTGCCCGGTTTCCACGTATCAGGTTGCCTGGTAGCCAAGAGATGAAGCAAAGTGTTGCCATCATTGTCGCTTGCGAAGAAGTCCGCTCCTGCATCTCTGAAAAAATCAAAGAAGGGGTCATGCCTCTCATCACTTGAATTATCACCGCCTCGGGGAATCCAATCTTCATGCACAGCACCCTCAACATAGTAGAAGAGCGGCGATCTACCCTTCTCATTTCGGGCGTTGATATCAACGCCGGCGTTGAGGAACCGCTGGAATAAGTCTTTGAAGCCTTGGTAGCGAAGTGACTTTGCGAGGTGATGAAGGGCCGTATCACACCTCTGGTCAGGTTGAAGAGGATCGGCGCCGTGGTCCAGAAGTAAATTAGGGTAGTCGGTGAAGGGTACAAAAGGGTCTCGACCGTAGAAGAAGGGTGGATTGGCGGTTGTGAAGCTTGGACTGATCACTGTGGAGCGTTGTTGATAGAGTGCATAGTGCAATGCTGTATTACCGGCCCGGTCAGCTAGGTGGATGAGGCTTGGAGTCTTGTTGAGGTGAGCTTTGAGTATCTTGGAAGCGTCGGTCTTAGAGTCTAAGGCCTTGATGCGATGAAGGATTGTTCTGCCATCACTGTCTTGCGCTGTTACATCTGCTCCACGATCTAGGAGCTCTTGCAAGACGGTTTTGGTGACTCCGTCCCCGTAATCGACTGTGTGGCCCAGTGTCTTGCCGTCAAAGGCAGCAAGGAGCAAAGTGCGGCCTTGAGGATCTCGAAGTTCAAGTCGCAAGGTTGGCAGGTGGAACAATGGCTCGACTACCTCTCCTCGTGCAAACATTTCATGAATCACAATGGGTGATTCTTGTTTCCATGTCGAACTTGATTCCTGCGAGTCGGGGTTCTTGCTGGCTCTGTGAGATTTGCCATCGGTCACTTCGGCTTCAATGAAAAAGGTAGCATATGGATCTGCGCCATGATTGAGAAGTGTCACCATGACCTGCCTCCGGTTCTCTGCATCCACCTTTTTGCTGACCGTTATGTCTGGCCTACGAGTATTCAAAGAGGCTTCTAACACGGGGTAAAGTTGGTAGTCAGCAATCTTGCCTGAAACAAACCTTGGTCTTGTTTCGCGTGCCTCGACTGTCTTATGCTTAGGTATCCTCAAATTGGCATTGTCACCTCGGGAGAGCAGTTCTTTCAAGACCTCAATTTGCCGGTATTCAATTGCTTCAAAGATAGCCACTGCGTTTATCCTGGCCCCGTGATTGAGTAGCAGCTTCGTCATCTCCAGCTCACGTCCGGCTCTGGATAAACAAGTTCTTCCTTTAGAATCTGCGGCATTGACATCTGCCCCGTTCTCAATTAGGATCCTCGTTGCTTCCTTATAGAATGGTCCATTCACAAGAAAATCCAATGCAATGTGCAAGGGCGTTCTCCCTTTTTGGTCACGCAGCTCTATATTTGCACCCATCTTGATGACATAAGGCAAAGCTTGAGCGACATGCCACCAATTACACCCGGCAGCGAGGATATGAAGAACATTGCCACCCAATTCTTTGTATTCCCTGCTTTGCACATCGACATTGACGCCCATGTCCTCGACAAGAAACTGGAGGACGTCCATATTAGGCAGCGGGCAGTTGCAGGCAGCAAACAGCAAGGATTGAATGAAACTTTGAGGGCGAGGAGGGCGACCCGGTGCATTTTCTTCGTCCTTTTCTGGAACTTGGCAACGGTCATGGTCATCGAATTTTAAAGCAGCATCATGTGAACATAATCGGACAAGAAGGTTTCTATAACCGAGTCTAACAAGATGATGCAAGAAAGATCCCTTTTTCTCGTGGAGTCTGGCGAGATCAAATCCTTCCGAGACTCTCTTTTCAAACAGATCGAAGTGCCTTAAAGAAATCAGCTTTTCTGCAAAGTCGAAATCCATTTCTGCAAGCGAAATATCCGAGATATTGTCATGTTTCGGGATTCTTCCACTTGCTCTCAACTTTCGCTTTTTCGCTCCCAGGCGATGAGAGCACAGGAGATAGTCCTCAGTCATCGAGTGCGTGATGGGCTCTACACCAGGAATGCGGTCTGATAGCGACAAGAGGCAATCAACGGTATACTCATGTTGATATGATACGGCAGCGTTGAATGTGCTTTGAAGAGATCCATTATCTCCGTTGACAACGGCACCATGGAAAATCAGCATTTCAAATATCTCCTCCAGACGAGTTGCGTTATGCTCCATTTCCAGATGGTCTTCTTTCTCTGCCTCGAAATAGGCACATGCTCTGAATGGGGAGTGTCCATCCTTGTTTAGCAAATTAGGATCCGCACCCGCCTCAAGCAATGCTTTAACGCTTTCAGGTCGACCTGATCGGCAAGCATAGTGGAGAGCTGCATTTCCTTCTTGGTTTTGCTGATTAATGAACGCCTTGCGCTTCGATTCTTCGAGGCCTGCAATTCTGGAGAGAACAATGCCAATGACACCAGGCTGGCGTGCTCGAGCCGCAATATGGAGTATCATCATACCTTCGCTTGTGGTGCCGAATAAATCTGCCCCGGCATCGAGAAGCTTGAAGACTGACACTTCAGAATTTGAAGCAGCAATATGCAAAGGTTGTATACCATCACGATCACGAGGATTCAAATTTTTAGAGACCTGAAGGACATAGTCGAAGACTTGCAGTTTTGAGTTCCAGCTCTCCGGATTATATTTGTGATCACACAGGATATGCATCAAGGTCCTACCGGCATTGTTTGCTTGGTCGATATCGAGGCCCGAATTCACCAAAAATTCAAAAGTCCCGGTTGTTAAAGTGGAGCGTTTGAAGGCCAACTCGAATAAAAGCGTGTTACCTTCATAATCCACAGAGGTAGGATCTAGGCCAAGATCTATTAGAGGGCCCAGGTTCTTGAAATCAGGTGACTTCTCAATGAACCTATGCAACAGAGTTCGGCCCTTGTAGTCTCGTGTATCAAGACGGGCGCCGTGCTTGATCAGGAGCTGACGATAATTGGCATCAGCGAAGCCTTTGAAGAGCGGCGTTTGGCCTTCGTGATTCCGGGCCTCAATGTTTGCCCCGGCATTCAATAACCAGGATATCCTCTCACGCCTGTGAAGATGCAACGGAGTATCCCCTGCTTTGTTCTGCAAATTCACGTCGGCACCCGCAGCTAATAAAGCATCAAAGGTACCCTCGTTGATGGAACTGGCCATATGTAGCGCACTATCACCTTTGATGTCCGTGGCATTGACATCGGGTTTATACACCAAGAACATACTGAGTGACTTTGGGTGAGCACCCGAAAGCCGAAAATGCAAGGGACTCTTTCCCGTCTCTCTTGAAGCCTTGTTAATATCCATACGCCCTGTTGCCATAAGTAGGGGCAGCAGTTCCTTGTCTGTCGCTCCGTTTGTGTGTAGTACAGTGGTTCCAGAATTGGTCTCCATATTTGGATCTGCACCTGCATCCATCAGCGGTTTGACCAGCTCAATGTTGTCTTGGCAAGCAAAATGCAGGGCTGTCGATCCATCCAAAGCCTTCAAATTGACATCAGCTCCCGCTTTGAGCAAAAGGTGCAAGCTCTTTAGGTTATCCTGGATGTTATGTCCGTAACGATGAGTTCCACAAAGGGCATGCAAGGCTGTAAAACGCCTCTGTTCTTGAATTATGCTAGGTCCAGTCCTAACATCACCAGCCAGAACCCTCCCAGAATTGGAAGAAGGTTTGTTTGGGTCAGCCCCAGCTTGCAACAAAACCTCGATCGTCTTATAATTACCGGATTTACAAGCTTTGAAAATGGCAGTGCCGTCTCCGATCTGCTCATTCACATCAACTGCAGAATGCCGAAGGATCAAATCCACAAGAGCTGCATGTCCTGATTCAGCTGCCCATGAAAGGGCTTGACTGAATATTTCGATGGATTTCAGGTAAGGCAGAAACTCGGTTACTGTCTCGACATGGCCCCTTTTGCATGCATACATGAATGGCGTCACCCCCACACGTGTAGGCATATCCCCGCGGCGTCTTGGATCGCGATTTTCTTTTGTCTTGGGAGTCAGTGGGTCAACCCCTGCAGCAAGCAATATTTTGACCACTTCAACATTTTTGCGTTCGGCAGCTTGATGAAGGGGCTTTAGCCCATTGAAATCCTGCATATCAGGATCGGCTCGATTTTCGAGTAACATGCGGACAATATCTGCATGATTTGATTGCGCAGCGATGAACAGAGGTGTTCTGCCCTCAGAAGTCTTTGAATTGACATCGACATCTCCTTTTTGTAGCAGGTGTGCAGTGTACTGCGAGAGACCATGTTCAGCGGCAATATGAAGAGGATCGATGCGCCTCTGAGCGTTCCACCTGTTAACACGAAGCCAGGCTCTAAGCTTCTTATCATCTTCCAAGAAAGTATCAAGTGCGTCGTGATACAGTGACATGTCTACACCTGCCAGGACAGCGCGAGAGGTGTGGACATACCAATTGCGTGCTGCGTATCTCAGAAACGGGAACTTCAGTTCGATCTGCTTTAATTTCTCCTGTTTAAGATTATGATAAGAAGTGCCACGTTGGACAACTCCCGTTGTATTGAATTTACCTAGACAGCCAGAATTGAGGTATTCTAAGCATGCGATCGCGAGGCGTTGATTTGTTGGACCGGATTGGAGGATTGGATAACCGAAAAGACTATCGGTTGACCGGGTGGCCCCTTTGAGAAACTCGGTGAATGAGTGGTGCACAACGGAGACTGTTTCATCAGGGAGAATTTCCAGCAGCGGGCCACAGGCAGCCCTTACCAGGTCCTTGGTAGTCTTGAGGTTTTGGTCTCCATTTGGAACATAGACAGTGTTCACCATTTCGGCAATTTGGAGCAGGCGAAGAGGATGTGTAGCATAAATGACAAATTGCAAGACAAGTAATTGGAACTCATCAGGGATATTTGAGCGCTTTGCATGCACTCGCAACAGATCATCGTACATCACATTCAAGTCGGCTGGCAGCGCCTCAAGGACCTTGCGCACATCAGCACCCGGTTCTAAAAAGGCATCCATTGAAAGTTTTGCATATAGGAATAGGCCGTTTGCCCGACCAGGAATGGCTTCCACAATGACGTCCCGGAATTCAGGCAGAATAGACGAGCTTCGAAGCCTGTATCGTACGTAGGCAGAAATATCCATATCGACCAATCGTTCTTCCAGTCGAATGTGCGGGATAGGGAATGTTCGTAAGGGATTTTCCACAGCAAATACCGGGCGCGAAGTGATGAGTACTTTGACATTTGCAGGGCGCCACTGGCTGAAGTTGACTAGTGCGTGGAGGAAGTCATCATTCCCCTGGTCCATCTCGTCCAATGCGTCCGTGACACAATAAACCCTGGGAAGCAAGGCTAATGCGAATTTGAGATCTTTCCAGAGGTCACTTAGGGATAGAATACTGAGGGACCGATTTTTGCTCTTCTCCATCAACTTCAGTTGTAAGGCAGGGCTATAAGGCAATATCTGACATAGCCAGTCCCGCAACACAGCCACAGGCTGGTGGTTGGCGTCAATGATTTGTCGGAAGAAGAAATAAAGAACGGGAACTTCTTCCTTGCGCAGTTGATCGATTATTGAGGCAGCCATGACGGACTTGCCCGAGCCTGGGATGCCTTTGATCCACAAGATTCCATTATCACCGCTTTGGTGCCACTGCTGGTAGACAGAGGTAGATGTAAGCCACTTGCCGGTTCCCCCAAGGTGAGATGCGAGATGTCGGGGGAATTCGCTTTTCTCCTGGTCGTAGGGCGTTGGTTGTAGCCATTCTCTAATCTTGATCAGATCTTCGGCTGGTAAGGGAAGGAGGTTCTCCTTGTTGAAATCACGCACATCTTCTGAGCTGACTAGGATGGTGTCATTTGCCTCGGAGTCCGAAGAAGGGGGCATGATGATTCAAATTTGGATGAATGTTTGGGAACCCTTAGTGGGGAAGGCATGTCCCAAGGTTGCGGACGAACCGAGCCGCAACGACCCGAGATTGTGGAGTCACCAAAGACCCGTATCTATTTCTCAAACCAATCACGCATGAGAATAGGATTTAAAGCCATTTGTTCATTGTGAATCTGTGCACATGAGACCTTTTTGTGAAATTTGACTAACATTAAATTCGGCGAGAGCCTTATTCTAGTAATAGAAAGCTTAAAATGACGTCAAAATAGCCGTTAAGGCCCCAAGCGTCACTTGGCGTTGCGGCGTAATAATGAGTAATTATTACAATCCTCTGACCGTGCTATACTCATTGTGAGTCCTTCCACCTCATCTCAGGTCGTTGTACCCGTGAAATCTCAGGTCGTGGTACCCGTGAAAATAGGCAGAGCAATGATTTAGAGCAATCTTATTCGTATATAGTTGAACATATAATAAATGAATTGTTGAGAGATCGTATCGGCTTGAGATTGTAAACGAAGAGGAAGATGGGATGGACAGTCCTACATGCAGAGGAGTAAGTATTTTGCTCGAACTAAGACTAGCAAGTGCTATGCAAAATCCCTATCAAATGACGAAAATACCTATTCTGAACCAGAAAAGTCTGGAATCAAATACTTGATGTCCCATCTGTCGACATCGTCCGAAGCCCTTGAATTTTCGATGCCGAGTCTGCAACATTGATTTGGAATACTAGCTGATAATGGCACGTCCAACCCGACCTAGACACCGTAACCTGACTCCCAGCCTCTTCTACGGCATGATCCGATATACAGATCACCAAGAATCGACTCACTGCCCACAACGAAACAAGATCAATTCGCTTTCCCTCCAACCACAACATCACGCACAAAAGCGAACATCTCTTTTTGTTTGGTCGCAAAAACACTATGACCAGCACCCTCAAAAAGATGATATGAAACGCCTCTTTCCGAAGCCCAAGTCCCAGCCACCTTCTGTTTCGACCGAGCCGTAGGCGCCGCATCATTGGCATAAAATCGTCTAGTCGGCCTCTTCTGGAATCCCTGCAAACCGCGCCAAGTCATGTTCTGAATTGACAACTCGGCACCGATATGATTGATCAACATATCCATCTCGCCATTGTATATGTGCAGTGAGACATTGTGGGCCGTGACAAGCGAAGGCAGAATAGCGTACTCGGGCGGCTCGACGAATTCGCTTTCTGTAAGGGTTGAGAGGATGGTATTGTTGCATGCGGTGTATGTACCACTGTCCGGGATATGCAGAGCTGCTTGGACGTCTTTGCGACTGAAGTACCTTTCGAGTAGCGGGATTGGGTTGATGGTTTTGCAGTTGTGTGTGAGGTCGTACAAGCTGAAGCACGGCGGATTTGAGTCTTCAGCTGATCGGGCATACATGTAGTTCTCAGCAGTTGAGAATGTAGCGCAGGGTCCATAGCAAGAGGAATTAAAGATTGAACTCAGGACCTCATGTGGTGTGGATACGTTGGCATCGCATGATCCATCTAGGATACCGAGATTTGTGTCGCGACGGCGGCGGAGTCGTCGACGATAATTGACGTACTCGGGGTTACCTGGGATCTGGATCTTGCCAACAGGAGGGTATGTTCGGGCGGCTTCTAGGACGGAGTCAAATTTGCAGAATTCATCTGCCAGTGCGAATGTATCCAGGATCTTCTTTGGTGCATCAAGGCGAGATGCCTGGGAGTGCATGTATGTACCAATCGCCACCGAGGACATTGCTGCGGCATTGCCCCATGACCCATCACCCAGGGACATAGAGCGGAGATTGATTGGAAATGAATGGTTGCCTTTCATCAGGGCGGAGGCGAGGTAGGGCACAAAGATACCCGCATATGATTCGCCCATCAGATGAACCTTTTTCGATTGGAGATGCGGGAGCTGCTTGAAAAGTGCACGCAGCCATAGTGCCAGGTCCGCTGTCACCTGTTCATTGGTCCTCACGAGAGAACTGGCGAGCGAGAAGCCCGTACCGACAGGTTGATCAACGTATAGAACATGACCCAGCTTTGTCCACGAGTATGGGTTGGAAACGAGGCGAGTGGAGTCCCCTGCAAAGCCAATGGGTCCATTCCCTGTTGCGAGGCCTATGAGCGATGAGCAGCCGGGGCCACCATTCAGCCAGACTGTGGAGTGTTAGTGTTGCATTTGTGGAGCTAAGGGTAGATCAGATCGGACTTACTGATTAAGTTGTCATCGTATACCGTTTTTTCCGCATCGAATAACCAGAAGAAGATCTCATTGCCCTGGCTTCCCGGAACCGGCAATCGGCCGGCCCAACTGGTTGGTAGGGCGGGGCTATCTGGGAGGTTGGAAACTTGGAATGAGGAATTGGAGTATGTTGCAGTATGAGATAGGACGAGCGTGGGAATTGCCCACAGCACCTGGAAAAGATAGTAGAAAAGGACGATGTTCATGGTGGAGTCTGTCTGTGCTGTACCGCTTGACCGCGTTTTGTGACGATCACGATCTGCAATGATCTAATTTCTGTAAGAGTCAAGGATTAAAATATAGAATTCTCATGATGATTATATATGAAGCTTGAAATCGCATGAGTTTTCCTCATGGTGAAGGGTCTATAGAAGATTTCAAGTGTATAATTTCTTTGAAGCTCCCGATTTGTAGGTCAATAGAGATGAGGGCGATTAGTTCTATAGAACACCCAATTGGGAAGCACTGCTATCCGGTTGGGGAATCTCAGGTTGAAACTGATTAATTAAATCATTCTAGCCTGATCAATATGATTTGATCACACAATTTGCATGATGTTGTCTATTTTTGGGGGTCTACTACGTAGTTGTATAGAGTGGGTGTTCATGATGTCGATCGTTTCTGGGATAGTGTTGATGCCTGGGGTATAAGGCACCACATCACCGAACGCAACCACCTGACTAATCATCTACAGTAATCCTCATCTCCAGATTGCAGTCTAAACGTACGACAGATCAAGTCAAGCATGATTGAACCGATTGATCTGTACCCGAATAAATTGCCAATCTGACCAAGCTGGTCAACTAGCCAGAGTGGCTCCCCGGCCAATCCATTCGGGGTCCTCACGTGGCCCATGCGTCCTCAAAGTGAGGCGTTGAGATGATCCGGGATTCGGAAAGACCCCTTGAAACCCTATTCCCCTTTTCGATAGAAGTTCCTTTTTCTTTCCTTGGATGTGATGTTCTGTGGTGCAGAATAGGGGCATGATCGAAGTTCTGGGTCCGGGTAGCAGCAGTGGAATGTGATGGTTGCGTCCACCCGAATCCGTCATTGGTTTTCTTGAAAACGTTCTGTGTTCGACTATATCAGTGCCAACCCGGTCGCTTTTCTAATCGTTGCTCTTTTTCTTTTGATCTTTTTGCTCTCTTAATGTTCAATCGTGATCTATTTCGACACGGGTCTAATTCGTTGTTGTATACGGGAAATTGCTCCCGGATGTCTTGAGCCGGCCGAACCTGTTCCACATTGTGATTCAACACTTTACTTCTGGAGGAGTCAGACAGCGGAATCTCCCTGAAATCTCTTCATCCAACTATAGGAGTCTGGACCACGAGGGCCGATCGCCCGCAGATCCAAGCTTCCTCGGTGGCTCCACAACGATTGACAGCTCACTTGCATCACTTTGTCGGCAACGCGGATTGGCTGCCTGCCTGAGGCAAACAAGGCGATCAAAACAAGAGGTAAGTTCGAAAAAAAGAGTTGCATAAGGGGCGTTCGAGTTGAGACCAACTTTGCTTCCTTGCAAGTTGGGGGGGGATGGCGCAGGGCGCTGGTCGCCACCCTAACTCAAAAAAAAATAATTGCCTTATCTAACAGAAACTTAGGAAGAGATCGGCCCGTTTTGTCCTTTTGTCTATTTTTTTCTTCATTATGGATCTTCAGGGGACTAAGGAGGCCCGGACCCAAGAGGAGGGTGCCGACGGCCCGTTAGACGCCTATGGTGGAGGCGGCCGCTCCAAAGAGTATCACAAGAACGAGGGGCGCGATTCTCACGGCCATGATAATTCTTCCAACCCGCTTCGTCGACAGTCACCTTTTACATACCCCCCTGGAACTCGTCAGCAATCTGCGCTAGCGCCCGCAACGCCACGCCGGGAGCCCTCGCCGTCTCCAGAGGCCATCGTCATCCCCAAAGCTCTGGGATTAAGTTCTCGGGATCAAAGATTAATATGCAAAGCTCGGCGTCAGCCACCAGTGACCAAGAAAACGCTGAGTGAACTCGATCTGCCATGCATCATCAACAACATCAATCTTCGCATGGATGCCAACTTCGATCGCGACTTACATTTCAAGCCTGATCTAGATGGCGAGAAGGGAAACCGGAAACGGAAAGATGCGACCGCGTACTGGGATTCGATGGCGACGGAGATTGCGATCTATGCATACTACGCTGCTAACCCCGACGAGGAGCAGAGCCGGGGGAGCTCACAACGCACATTTGAGCCGCGGCTGCCTGCCATGTTCGAAACTCTGCAGGAAGTAATCAAGACCCTTGTTCCGGAGCGAGATCATCCCAGCGTCATGCAGAACTTAGAGGTGCCCTTGCTTATGCAGCAGATCCGCAAGGGCGTACTCGATATGGATGCGCTAGCGACGTGGATGGCGGCTTTGCTCAAGACGCATTGTGCACCGATGCGGGATGAGTGGGCGGATCGGATGGCTGAACAGATCACGCAAGGGTCCCAGTCACAAGACCCAAAAGAGATAGTGAATGGCTTGACGACCCTCTTTGCGATCTTGGAGGCTATGAAACTGGTACGGACTCCACTGGCTCCACAATTTAAGCACCACTAATCAAGCCCGATAGGATGTTGCGAACCACCAGATACGTACCTTCCGCGTTCTTCTCATTGAAGACACAGTCCCTTTCCTACAAGAATACTTCGAGGGCAAAATCAGTCGCGGAAGTTTCCAGGTCGAACCCGCCCGTCTCTGGTACCTAGATGTACGAAACCGTGCCCAACAAGAAGATGCGCTCAAGAGCCCAACCCAACCCGACGACGGTCTCAAGCCCCTCGAAGCCCTCCTATGCGGCATCGCCGACCAACTCCTCCAATTCACACCTCCATCGGAATTCCCCGAAACCTTCCTCTTCGACTCCGACAGACTCTGGCAACTCCGCGCCACAATTCAAAATCTCATCAATCTCGAAATAGCCTGGTACATCTTCGAGTCCTGGGTCCACTCCAAAAATCGTTACCTCCGCGGCCGCGAAGAAATATGTTTAACATTCCGCACCCGCATCCAATCCTTGATGGAAGACGGCATCGACCCGAACGGCCACATCCCTAGCGCAATAGATGACGACCCAGACCTCCGTGGCGGCGCACACTGGTACCAAAACATGCGGAGCATAGCGCTTGAAATCGCCCGCTTCGCTTGCTTAGCCTGTGGCATGGACGACGTCGAAGACGAAGTCATCACACCCATTGAGGCAGCGCTGGAATGGCATCTAACCAACGAGTCGGATCTCTTCCGCCATTTCCAGGATGGAATTCGCGAGAAGGTCCTGGCTGCGACTATCGCTTCGGCGAAGAAATTCTTGCCCCTTTCGCCGTTGGCCATTTGTGAGTCGCAGCGCGCTGTTGCACCTTCTGCACCGCTGGTTTCTGCTGCGCCTTCGGCTGCGGTCAATCCTACGAGTTCGACCGGTGGGTTGGCGCAAACTACTACGCCGTCGGAGTACGATATCGAGCGTATTGGGATGCGTCTTGCTCATGTGGGTGTTTTGCATTGGCGTGTTTGGGCTCCTCTGCTTTACCTCCGAGATGAGATTGCGGATCTAGATGTCGGTCCTTCGGCATTTGTCTGATTCGGAGTTGGCTCTCATCTCTTCTTTTTTGTGTTTCATTGTTCATTGTCATTCTTGACTGTTATTCAGCGCCTGCATTGGATTCATTGGCGTTCTCCTCATGGCACCGTGGCGTTACACCGGCGCTGGACAAATATGGGGGGCTTATTACTGCTTTATTATTGGGAATTCTTTACTGCGATATAGAAGGCGCTCTGGATTTCGGTTTCTCAATTTCAGCATTGTTTGGACTTGATCTTACCACAAAATTCTAACTGTATACAAATCAAAATCAACTTAATCAAATCTAAAATAATCTATAATTAAACTCGAAACTAGAGATTGGAAAAGTTGAGAATGTGAGATAAGCTAATCGACGCGTGCAGTAACGGTCCGTGCATCGATCGGCAGATCAACATCAACTTCATCAATTCCGGCGCGCATCCCCATCTTCAATTTATCGAATCTGGAAAAAGCAACCAATGAACTGAGATAAAAATAGCGCCATCCGAAACATTCCGATCACAGATCTCGATCTGCAGAAGGGCACCGGTGTACAGAATGCGCCTCTCAGCCACACTCTTCGCGGCATCCCGGTCCCGGTCTGCAGCCACAGCTTTGAAGAAGCCTCTGGGACCAGCATCGGCATCGGTATCTGAGTTCATGCCTTGGTTGCCATCGCTGAAATCAGTACAATTACAGCGCATTGCTCGCGCGACGGGAATCCAGTCCTCTGGGACGAAGGGGGTCTTGGTTGAACGGATTCGATGTGAATTGTGGAATAATGTTCAAGCTGTGCATGAATCTAAACAGCGCGATGAATCACATTCGCGCGAGTGGCGAGTTTTGAGTATCGATATGGGAATCCGAAATCTTGCTTTCGCGTTTATGGTCGTTCCATGTCCTCTTTCGATCAGTACTAGCTCCATCTCTGGAGAAGAACAGATCGAACGATCAAAACAAGCTATACCAGAGCTACAAGCTTGGAAACGCCTATCTGTTCTAGACGGATTGTCAGACCTCACAAACCCATCCGCAACCTCAATATCAGATTTCGAATCTATTTTAAATCCCATCACAAAAGAAAAAGAATCATACTCCCCAAATACCTACGCCTCAACAGCCTACAACCTCTTAACAACCCTCCTATCAACCTACAACCCAACTCACATTCTGATCGAACGCCAACGCTTCCGCTCTGCTGGAAGCAGCGCAGTTCAAGAATGGACTTTACGAGTTGGTGTTTTCGAGGGCATGCTTTATGCTATCTTACATACTTTACGTCAGGAACGGGGATTGAATGGGATTCTTGTTGAGGGTGTTGAGCCGAAGAGGGTCGTGGGCTTTTGGGATGAGATTGGAGCTGGTGGTACTAAAATCAGCACCGACAGTGGAAGTGAAGTGTCAGATGCTGGGAAAAGGCTTACAGCAAGGGAAGTTAAAAAAGCTAAGATTGGGATTGTGGGTGGTTGGGTTGAGGGTTCGTTGTCGGGGCCTAATGAAGGCTTCACTGGGAAGGTTGTTGTTGGGCAGAATGATACTGTGAAAGAAATCGCGGGTGCTTATGTGCGGAAGTGGAGAGGAGAGCGGGCGAAGAAGAATGGGAATGGGGATGTTGGGAAGTTGGATGATTTGGCCGATTGTTTGTTGCAGGGTGTCACTTGGTTGGAGTGGCAGGTTATGAGGGAAAGGATTGTTAGAGAGGGGATTAAGGCTTTGGAGTAGCGTCTTCCAAGGTTGTTTATGTACATGTCTCATTTTGATATTTAGATTTGATACCCCGATTGTCAACATGCATATCTCCATTCTCTGCTTTGTTGCCTTATTGAATATGATAGACGTAGGACAATGCGACTTACAAGGAGAAAAAAGAAGGGAACCGTGGATAAATAGAAGAGAAGGTTCAGGATTCGATAAGGAGGGACATTTTATATCCAAAAACCGCGGCTTCCTAGATAAATTTCTGACAGACAAATGAAACATTCTATGCAAACCAATCCGACATTTTATGTGTGATTTAAAGCTATTTTGTCGCAAAGCAGAAGAAATTTCGTTGAGGATGTGTAACCAGTAATCGTTGTCATTACAACGTCAACCAAGCCTCGACTCTGCAGCACCGCCTCACACCAGCCTCCAATGCAGGCTCCACCGAAGATCGACGGATCGACAGGTCCACTCACCAGCCTAAGCTATATTCTACGTGTAAAAATATAGAGTACGAACTACGATATGGAGTGTTAGTGGGTAAAGTCATACAATTTAGTACCCAAGTCCAAAACAGAATCAATACCGACAAAGTAAGAATGGCAAATCGCAATTTTATAGAAATGTACAAACGTCGCGCGCAACATCCCCTGCATAAGCACGCACATCTAATAATAAGCAAGTAAACACGACGATCAAACAACTGACCGCGTAATTCAGGCCACGAACCCAGCTGCAATACAAAAAAGATGATAATAATCCGAATCCAAACGAGAATATCAAAAGGATATCTCACTAGAAAGGGCAAGGAAAGAAGAGAAATATAGATAAGTGGACACGAGATTTCCGTAACTTGTCATGATGCACACAGCCTGAAAAAAGAGGAAAGAAAATAGAGACGAAGTGACATCATCGGAAGAAATCCCATGGAAGAAATTAATCAAAAAAAGATCCACGCATGTGGAAAATAGAAGCAGATCTGCGGCCAAGACCCCCCTAACCAGAAAGAATGAAATAGGTACAATCCCAGCATGCAGATGCACGAATAAGTCAAAAAATACAGAACAACCAAATCGAAAGTCTAACTCTCACGATCATCGACTAGCTCATCATGTCCCTCGAACGGATTTAAACAATCGCTTAGATGTAGCGACGGCGGAATCCGTGGGGGAAGCTGCCGGGGGTACCGGAGGGAGAGGCAGGGCCGCTGGGAGCCGGGCCGCTGGGGAAAGGCTTGATGCTGGCCGAGCCGGAGGGGATGGGGATGGAGCTAGTGGCGAAGCCGGAGGGAGTGGGAGTCATGCTGGTGAAAGGGTATGGGGCAGTTCCGTTGCCGTAAGGGGGACGGCTGGTGGTCAGGGTTGCGCTAGGGGCGGCGGCGCTGGTCTCGGACTCGACAGCGGTGGTGGGCTGGGCGCCCTCGCTGTGGTGGGACTCCTCAGGAGCAGAGCTGGGAGTGGGAGTCTGAAAAGGTCAGTGTTCGTCTTGTCTTGATATTGGAGGTTGGATACATACAACGGTCACGGTCTCGGTGGCGGTGACAGTCACGGTGGCCTGGTGGCATTCGCCCTTGCCGGCGGTGACAATGTCGGTGGGGGCCTCGACAACGGTGAGAGTCTTGGTCCGGGTTCCGTAAACGACGGTGGTCTCTTCGGGCTTCTGGCCGTGTCCCTTCTCAATGGGGGCAGTGTAGGCCGCAGTCTATGTGGTAGTTAGTAAATTGAACATGCAAGTAAATTGGGGATTAAACTAACGGGGTAGACGGTGTGGACATCAGTAATAGTCTTCTCAATGGTGGTGGTAACAACGCTGGTCGAGGTTCCAGACCCGAGAGTGTAGGTGAGAGTGATATCAGTGGTGCTGATATCAGTAGTAAGAGCCTCAGATCCAGACTGGGAAGCAGAGGCGGAGGCCACAATGCTGGAGCCAACGGAGCCGGTGCCAAGGGGAACAGGCACGGAGCTGGTCATGGAGTAGGAGAAGCTGCCAGAGGGGGTGTAGGCGGGCTTGCCAGAAGGAGTTTGAGGAGTCTGAGCGGGAGTAGGGTAAACAGTCTCGTAGGTGGTGGGGAGCGAGCCAGAGGGAGTAGTGCCGTTGATACCACGGGCGTGGTTCAGGTGGCGGGCGTGCAGGCCATGCATCTCTGCGCTGCCCAGAGCAGCCAGAGAAGCGACCACGGCAAGAGAAAGAGTGTTGAGTGTGTACATTGTGATGATTCCAGACAGTCAATGTCGTAAGGTTGAAAATGTGAAAAGTGAGAAGCTTGTGAGTTGTAGTAAAAGAAAGTGGGCTGTGAAGTCAATTCACAGTGAAAAAAGAGTGACTGAAAGAAGCTCTGAACCAGAGAGTGTGAAGAGAAGGTGAGCTACAAGCTTAAAGAGAAAGAAAAGAAAAGGAAGAGAAGAGGAAGTTAGAAGTTAATGAATGTGCTCTTGGACTGTATTGGTATTACCGGGTCAAGCCGAGTGGGGCTACTTTAGGCATAATAAATATCGATTCTTTAAGTGTAGAGTGATGGGCCAAGAGGTTGGCCAACGTGTACGTGGTACTATGTACAAGTGGATCTGGAGCAGATAGTATGACAGATGGGCGTATCCAGTACTTAACGATATCTATATCGCCCCACACACGTCTCAGGCACAGGGCTCTGATTGGTGAACCACAGGATACACACTACTGGGTCCGCACCAATCAAACCATTAGACTTTGGCCTTTAATCTCTCCCTCGTCTAATAAAATGACCGGAGATTACGGCCACCCGTCACTGGCGCTGTGGCGCACGTTGACACCATAATTTGATCTCCTATGATCAGTGGTCAACACAGGTCAGCTGTGATAGCATGGAAAAAGAGGAAGGAAAAAAACAGTAAAATTTTCCAGTAAATTCTCCACATTACAAAAACATTCAACCCAGGGGGTAGCGAGTAACTAGTGCGACACGGACTGAAAATTTGAATGGAAAGTGGGGAGTAGGATCAGGATTGAGAAATCCACTCTAAAATGATAACAAGATCCCCGAGCCCTCCGTGTTTCAGGCCGTAATCGGCCCGTATAATACCATACACCTTAATCTACCGAGTGTTTCACATAAACCCCCGCCACTGACACTGGAAATTCAATCCAGGGTCCCTTTTCTCTCCAGCCCCGAGATTAATACTCATCCCGTCCGGTCCCACGATAATATGGTTATATGAAGATAGTCGCCCAGGGAATTCTGGACCTGTCCAAACGGCTGAACTAGATGAAGGTTCCAGAAAATTACACTCGTCACCCGTGCTGAGTGGGGGTGGACGGCACTTTGCACAGAGCTGGATTCTGGAACCTACTGTTTACTACCCTTGGAGCTAGACACGGGCCGTGCTAGGTGGGACAGATTTGATTATGGTGATTAAAGGATGCGAACCGAGTTACGGTCCAGCCACATATCGACTCACCTCACTGATCTGGACCTTTCTTCCAAGATTCTTATTTCTAACGTCTTCGCTTCACCTGCTTCTCGGATATTGGATCTGTCAGATCGTCTATGTAAACACGAGTTATGCTCGAGTCACTTCGAGCTATTTCGTCATTGCCAGGGTCCATCCATGTGCACGGAGAAGCTTTCCATCCTGAAACACCGGGGACTTCACTACTACTCGATTAGGGGTCAACTACCACACCCCGCTGGTTTGAAGAAATTTACAGCAAAATTTATGATGAACGATGGTTCTCTTTTGGTTCGCTTTATGACTATCTTGACAAGTGTGTTTCGAAGACTGCTCTGGGACCCATCGCCGAACCTAGACGTCAGAACCGATGGGCTGGGTTGTTCCGCCACTCCCATCAAATGGCTCCGAGAGTAATATATGTTTAAGCAGGGGTGCACAAGATTTAACCGACCGGGTATGCTCAGATTTGATTAGGTTGTATGATCGCTTACGGCCCCTTATTCTTGCTACATTCTCGACCCCTCGGGCTAATTCTTAATTTCCTTAAGGAGAGGCTAAGCTTTCGAGGGAGCTCCGCACTCTCATAAAAAAGGTAGAGGTAATCCCAGTGTTCTCATTGTCCTCTCTTTTTGCATTATGCACTTCCCAAAAAGGGGGTTTCTATTGATGTTTCTGCAGACAAGTACCTGCCGCCCAATCAAGCTCATGAGGGCTTTCTGGCTAGTTGGGTCACTGAACAGCGCTCGAGCATGCTTGGTTAACTCATTGAATTATTCTCCCTTTTTAACGGCTTCATTAGTCGAGATCAACCATCAGCTTCTGATCTGCCTAGCCATATAGAGCTCTAACTAATCACTTCCATCCCTCATGTTTCGACACCCCTAGATCTTCTGATCAGCACTAAGCGTTTCTGTCACAGGAAGAAAATCGATGTCGTGTCCAAAGGGTATGGTCGCGAGGTATATGATACCAAGGTGTCGCATATTCGTCACTTCGGTGTTGATTTATCTTAGATATCTTTCGGTAAATTCCTCAGCCCCCTTTTAGGGACTGCTCTTCTTTCCCTAAGTAAGCCAGATGCTGCATTGACTCGTTGTACCAAAGCTTCGCTTCTGGTACTCAAACCGCCTGTAGCACCTGTATATCCCAGGCAGAACAGAGCGAACGTAAATGTAGAAATCGATGATTTGCCTCCATTGCTGCCAGCCCAACCCACGTGTGGGAAGTTGTAGGCTGAAGGGTCAATTTGACTGATTGTTTGACATTCGAGTATGTAGCAGTTACCCAATTTTGGCCAATGTATAGATAAAGAAGATTGGGGATGAACAGTCATATTGGACCCTATGCGTGCGATCTCCAATGCGCCGCATGGGCAGCAGTTTCGTTACCATGGCACTCGAGCGGGCCATAAATGCAAAAGATCTCTTCTCCTTTAAAGATTGACTGTCGTCGCGAGTCATTTGCTTCATGGACCCTATTTGGAAAGAGTTTGAAGAGTTAATGGGCTCCGCTCAGATTATGATTGTAGGATAAGGAATGAGGGAAAAAAGTGATGGAAGACAAGTGAAGAGCAGGAGATGATGGGGAGAGATATCATGGATGAGCAGGAGAGGAATGGAGAAGAATAAGAGGAAAGGAAAGGAGATGAGAGAGGTTTAGCGAGGAAAGAGGAGAGGTGGAGAGAGAAAAGACTAGAGGCAATACTAGGAGATTAGTATAGAGATAGAAAGCAGGAGAAAGCTCCAGGGTTATGCCATCGGACTCACAATATGCGTATATAGATTGTCCATGATTCCTTTTTGGTTTGTTTTCAAGGTAGCTGAGGTTCCAAGGTCAATCATTCAGGGTGGAGGCTTATCAGGTTTCACCTGAGCTCACAACTATCTCAATATTGTCGACTATATTCTTCTGATTTTTAAATTTCTATCCAATTTTCAACACGACAATAAAATCTCTACTACCTACAGGCTATTAACTTGCATTCCTCTTGAAGTGAAACATGATTCATTTACGCCCCAGAAAAAGCAGGCACTCGAGCGCGAAAATTTGGAGTAATATATGTACAGTGTTTCCATTATCAATTCATGAAGGACTCAAGTCCAATTCTTGATCCCAATCCCATTTTGGTGAGCCATGATCTGATGGAATCGGGGAAATGACTGGAAGTGGATACGCAACCAAAATGTCCGGGTCCACATCAATTGCTGTATAATGTCTATCCGGACTGTCGTCCATGGGAATCGAAGTTGGAGGAGTCAGGCAGTCCGGACTTGTCACTTGGCGGTCTGCAGATTCTGTTGACAAAGCCTCTTGGAAGACCGGATTCCGAGAATCCATCATTGCCCAATAATCAACAACGTATTTCAAGATAGTTGTCTCTGTTGTGGTGAGTTCACTCGTGCATGGTTCGTTGCGTAGAAGTATCTCGCTGTATCTTGGACAATGGGTGATGAAGTTTTCCAAAGCGCTTGCCTAGAACCAAGATGTTAGCAACGTTATAAATGATCTGGAAGTTTGCGTACCATGATATGCGCATTGTCCCATAGATCAAACATCTCGGAAAGATATTCAAAGGCAGGTTTCAAATTTTCTGCTGAGCTTTGACGGATTGAAGCATTATCGCAATGCATAAATATCCCATGGATCGTGCTAGCTAGCACCATGCTGTAGCTGTACATCGAGGTGATTGGCATATACCCTGCAGCCTTTGCTTCAAGGAGGACTGTGATCAAAGACCCAGCATTGGATAGAGCTCGCTTGCGCGTATCTTCTAGCCATATCAATGGCATATCGGAATGTGAACGGGATTCAATTTTCAGCCCGATCAAGAAGGGATGATTGAGAATACAAAGGCATAAATGATATAGCGTATGGGAGAGGACCATATGTGAGATCTGCTCCCGGTCGGGTTTCGGAGAATTATTTTGGGGCGGTGATTGAATTGGCGCGCCGGGAATGGGACCATTTTGTACAGCAAGCTGCTTCAGATACTCCAGATCCCGGTGTATCAAGGCATGTTCAGAGCCAGAGGTCCAAGGAGGTATTGACTGGCACCTCAACTTGCTCATCATGTATTTGGTAGTGCGGCCCAAGCACGAAACAAACCCAATGCTGATGCCGAACATTCCTGAGCGAGGCGAAAGACTCCGGACCTTCTCGTTGAACAGCTCACTGAGTGATAAAGAGGGTAGTCGTTTTTCAGAGCGATAATGTGTCGGCAGGTTGAGGTGCAAATCAACATCGTGAATAGCGGGTGGTCGTTGGAAAGAGCAGCATACGAAGCGGTCTAGAATGTACAGCGACCAAAATAAATTGCGTCGCTCGTCGCGCTCGAGCTCAGGGAGATTGGAAGGTGGCTCCATCATCATATCTAAGTCTTGGGCGATTCGCACCGACATGCCAATTTTCACCCAAGCCTGTCGACGCCGGCCCGCTTCGACACACCTTAGCATGTCTGGTTCTCTTCAGGGTACTCCAATGGCCAGTTACTCACCGGTCAAATCGATAGCCGCCAATATCACCAGAGACTGTATGACGTCCACATCGTCATCTTTGTCGAGTGGGTTGGAGGATGTCGTAATCAATTCCCATGAGCACCGAGCATAGCTGTCAATCGTACTCCGTTTTCTTTCCATCCATTGTGAGCGCGACGAGTAGCGCGTGGCGGAGGCAATCAAGGCTAGTTTTAGATGGAGAGGGACTTGGTTTTGTTGGACTTTTTGATAAAAGAAAGTGGCATTGAAAAATCCAAATGGTTTGTTGTGACAATGTCTGAAATAAATGTTGCAGGCTTCAAGAAACACTTTATCTGGAGCGGGGGTCTCGCTGTGTATCCGTGAGATTCCGTTACAAGGAAGTCTGGGAAATCTGGGGAAGTCTGGAGAGGTCTGAAGCTCAGAAGGTAACTTACCCTGAAAGATACTTGTCGGGCTCCATCAGGTCAAAAATAAGATAGGCCAGACTTTCAATTCTTTCAATTTGCGGTGAATTTGCGGTGAAAATGGAGGAGAGTTGGAGAATCAAGGAGTGCATGTGATGGTCAGGTGAAGGTCAGGGATTATAAGCCCCACATGGCTTAACCCCGCATTGGAGCTTAGTTTCCCTTTGTCCGCGTTCTGGGCTAGCACACATTGAATACTTTTATTCAGTGCTTCAGTCAGTTGTAAAAATTCTTCAATCTTCAAATCGATGTGTGCCGCCAACGTAGTATTAGCTACGTAAATATGAAAGTGGGTACTGCCGGCTCTAACCGAATTATGTAAAAGAATCGCATTGGAAAACCTATGAAGGGAAAAACTATGGAGTTTGAATCGCTGACGAATATTATGGGCCAATACACAAATTGCAATGGAACCACTCTAGATTATTTCGAAGGCCGGGGGCTGGAGCTTCGGCAGTAGGCACAGTAATCAACAATCCGGGTAGATCATCGACCCACACGTCCCGGTCGCAATTCGGAACCCCTACACTAAAAAGGGTTTTGTCTCATCCATTGGCCAATGACTTTGTGGACAGGCTAACCCGGAAGAGTCGCGTGAAGCGCAACCTATATACGCTCCCAAGCTGGGAGCATTTGTAAATCAGCTGAAGTAATCATGTTGACTTCGAGGACTACAATCGGTTTATATTTGGTGTCACTCCCAAATCCTAGATTCCAATTATCCCCGTCTTTGGTGACTTTTGTGGGAGATGATAACCGTTGACGTGGAACACTTCTCATGGAGTTGGCTATTGGGACTTAACGGTAGGTAGTTGCTGTAAGAACATTCTGACTAAGCCTTGAAAGCACCATTATACTGAATGATTCACTCTTTCATAGCATTAACACATATTGTCTCATCGTTGTCTAATCTTAGCAGGAATAAGACGTAGATTTATGTTGAGAGCGGTAAATTTGGTATCACGAACCAACAATCAGCTGCCTGTCGCGCTACTTGTCAAACAGATATGCAAGCAAGTTTCAGTTGGTATATTTGTGTTTATGAAGCGCTGTTTCCACTTAAAAACGCTGCTAGTTATGAGCGCTATCTGTCATACAGCAAAGGCGTCGATTTTAAGGTGTATTTAAAGCTTTTGCGTAAGGTTGTCTTGGGCGTTGTGATATAGTGGTTTGGTCTAAGAGATAAAGCTGGGATTTCCAGGTTCGCGCAACACGAATGTATGTGATCATCGCCTATATCTGGTATCATTACGTGGACCCAATGGCTCGGTACGGCGCGCTCCGCCCCGTTACGAGGCAATCTCATCCTTCACCAATAGAACTACTCATCTTGCCGCCCAGCTGCTGCGCTTGTCCAGTGTGAGGCTGAACGGGGCTGAGAAGGCTTTCGGTTTGTCTTGATTGCCATGTAATCTCTCTCATCCCGGATATCTTCAGAATCATAGATTTCTCTTACCCCCCTTTGACGCCTCTCCTTTGACGCCTCTCCACAATTCTATCGTGAGCGAATCGAATCACTGAAATGGGCTGTCCTCCACGAGAAAGCTTCCAAATCGGATGGATATGTGCGCTGCCGATCGAATTCGCCGCAGCTCTGGAGATGCTAGATGAAAACTTCGGCCTTCTCGATTCGCAAGAAATTTCCGACTCCAATACCTACACCTTGGGCCGAATCGGGAAGCACTCTGTGGTGATCGCCTGCCTACCCGCAGGGCAATATGGCAACACTTCGGCCACTACTGTCGCAAACAATATGCTCCGCACATTCTCCAAGTCACTCCGCGTCGGGTTTATGGTGGGTGTTGGAGGCGGAATTCCGTCAAAAGCTCATGATGTACGACTCGGTGATGTTGTGATCAGCTGCCCGGAAGGCACTATCGGGGGTGTGGTCCAATATGATATGGGAAAGGTTGTCCCAGGTGGTCGATTCAATCGAACGGGGTCTTTGAATAGTCCTCCTAGACCATTGCTAACGGCACTTAGCTCGTTGAGGGCTGCCGAATTTCGAGATGAACCTCGTTTCCTGGAATATTTCACTAGGGCGACTAAAAGGAACGCACGAACCCGCAAAAGCTTTAGCCGACCTAATATAGAACAGGATCGACTATTCAAGCCAGAGCACGACCACCCGGTGACTGCAGAAAACTGTGATAGTTGTCTGGCAGTATGGGAAGAAACGAGATGTGAACGCGAAAGTCGTGACCCTCAATCACACTACGGTATCATTGCATCTGGAAACTCTGTTATTAAGGATGCATATACCCGAGAACAGCTAATGCTAGAGACTGGGGCATTATGTTTTGAGATGGAGGCAGCTGGGTTGATGCTTGACTTTCCTTGCATTGTGATTCGCGGGATTTGCGATTACGCCGATTCACATAAAAACAAATGCTGGCAAGGATACGCAGCTTTAGTAGCGGCATCGTATGCCAAGGAGCTACTAGGGTATATCCCAGTAGGCCAAGTCTCGCAAGAGAACTTAGCGGTGGATATGTGTAGTAAGTGAAGCAACATTACCTTATTCCTAAAGCACGGTAGCTTATTCATATATTCAGAAGAATTAAAGGATGAAGTTCAAGGAACGAATAAACGCCTAGACTCAGCATATAAGCAACGAGAACAACATCACCGTGAAAAGGCTTCAAGAGCTTTAACAATTCAGCAGCAGCGTTGTCACCAAATTTTCAAGATATCTAATTATACGCAACAAAAGGACATCAATCCAAGCAAAGCAGAAAGTACCTGTCAATGGGCTCTACAGAGCGATGAATATATACGCTGGTTACAGAGCCGCTTTAATGATCTTCTCTGGGTGTCAGCTGATCCAGGTTGTGGAAAGTCTGTTTTGGCTAAGTCGCTCGTTGATGACTACTTAACCTCCTCGAGTTCGGAAGTGGTAATTTGTTACTTCTTTTTTAAAGACAATGATGAGCAAAATACTCTTGCTAGAGCATTATGTGCAATACTCCATCAACTTTTCAGCCAACGCTCTGATCTTCTACACCATGCAATGGCTTCGTGGGAAAAGAACGGAGAGAGTCTACAGCAAGAAGTTGATGAACTTTGGCGGATATTAATGACAGCAACATCAACATCAACAGAGATACAATACAAAACTGTCTGCATCCTCGATGCACTTGACGAATGCCGCGAAGCAGATCAACGCTGGTTGATTCAAAGACTAAAGGACTTCCACAACCAGCCATTTATATCTACCCGGCCTACGTGTTTAAAATTCCTCCTGACCAGTCGTCCATATCAGGCCATTCAGCATGGCTTCCAGGACATCACAGATTCATTTCCGCATCTACACCTCAAGGGGGAAGAAGAGAACGATCAAATACACAAGGAGATAGATCTCGTCGTCAAGATAAGAGTGGATGAACTAGCGAAACTAGCACAGTTACCATGCGATATACAACAGCGGCTTGAGCAACAACTTCTCCAAATGGAACACCGCACATATCTTTGGTTATATTTGGCTATGGATGATATTCAAAATACTTTCCAAAATAGCGTCCGACCTGCCGAGGAATCAATTCGCCTGATCCCGAATTCGGTTAATGCAGCATATGTCAAGATTCTTGGCCGAATCCCGACAGACCAGGTGGATATAGTGAAAAAGATCTTACAAATTGTTGTCGCTGCACGGCGTCCTTTGACGACAAGCGAGATGGCTATGGCGTTAGATATGGCCAGTCGCTCGCGATCACGAGTTCCAGAGCTGGCTCGAATAGACCCGTTTCACTTGGGTAAGAAGCTTCGACAGTTATGTGGTCTTTTTGTCTTTATCAACAACTCGAAGATATATCTCATCCACCAGACGGCGAGAGATTTCCTTGTTGGTAAGGAGACTATTGAGACTACTCACTCGCTTGATCTTGCCTTTCCCTGGAGACTCAGAGACCCCGACGAGCAAATGGCTCATATCTGTTTGCGATACTTGTCTATGGACGACTTAGAAAACAAAAAGACCACGCCATTCTGTAATACTTCAAGCTTTTTGGAATATTCCGCGGTTTATTGGCCAGATCATGTACGAAACATGTCTTCGACTGAAAGCCAAGAGCTACAAGACTTACTACATCAAGTCTATAACACAACGGCCCCGCGGTTCTTTCTCTGGTTTCCTACCTTTTGGAAGGTAGCCATGCCATGGGTGACAATGCCTAGTCCGAGTGCAATACATCTTGCAGCCCTGAATGGGCACCAAAATGAAGTACTATACTTGCTTGATAAAGATGAAAGAAGTGTAAGTCTCACAGACACTACGGGTTCATATCCGTTGACGTGGGCGTCACTGAAAGGACATTATGGTGTCGTACGCCTAATGATTACTCACGGAGCCGATGTCAACGCTCGTGGCGGTGACTACGGCAGTGCCTTAGTTGCTGCCTGTTCTGAAGGTCATTACAAAGTTGCAAAACTTTTGTTAGAGCGCGGAGCCGAATTGAATGCTCAGGGCGGCTACTATGGGAATTCTCTACAGGCTGCTTGCTCCAAAGGGCACAACAAAATTGTATCTATGTTGTTAGAGCATGGAGCCAATGTGAACGCTGATAGGGGACTATGGGGAAATGCCCTTTATGATTCTTCCTCCAGAGGACACACGAAGACTGTGCAGATACTATTAAAACATGGAGCGGAAGTGAATATCTTTGGAGGAAAACACTACAGTGCTCTTCAAGCAGCTACTTTTGAAGGGCATGATGAGATCGTGCAGATGCTGCTAGTGCATGGAGCTGATTTCGATGCCCCGGTTATTCTCCAGACTGCCTGTTCTAGAGGACACGACAAGACCGTACAGATGCTGCTCGAGCATGGAGCTGATGTCAATGCCTCGGATGTGCTTTGGCTTACCTGTTATAGAGGAAATGTTAAGATCGTGCAGGTGCTGCTCGAGCATGGAGCTGATGTCAATGCCTCGAATGTGCTTTGGCTTACCTGTTCTAGAGGAAATGTTAAGATCGTGCAGGTGCTGCTCGAGCATGGAGCTAATGTTAATGCCTTGGATGTGCTCCAGACTGCCTGTTTGAGAGGACATGACAAGGTCGTACAGAAGCTGCTCGAGCATGGAGCTGATGTCAATGCCTTTAAAATGCTTAAGACTGCTTGTGATAAAGGAAATATTAAGATCGTGCAGGTGCTGCTCGAGCATGGAGCTGATGTCAATGCGCGGAGTGAAGACTACGAAAGATTGCTCCTGGACGCTTGTTATCAAGGATATGATGAGATCGTGCAGATCCTGCTAGAACATGGAGCTGATGCCAATGCCTTGAATGCGCTCCGAATTGCTTGTTATAAAAGACATTTTCAGATCGTGCAAATCCTACTAGAGCATGGAGCTGATGTCAATGCCTCAGACGTGCTTTTGACTGCTTGCGATGAAGGACAAGTTAAGATCGTGCAGGTGCTGCTCGAGCATGGAGCTGATGTCAATGCCACGGATGTGCTTGGGACTGCTTGTGATAAAGGACATGTTAAGATCGTGCAGGTGCTGCTCGAGCATGGAGCTGATGCCAATGCCCAGAGTGGGTACTACGGAAGCCCGCTCCAGGCCGCTTGTTCTACAGGGCAAGACAAAATTGTGCAGATGCTGCTTGAGCATGGAGCTGATGTCAATGCGCAGGTTGGGACTGATGGAAGCGCGCTCCAGGCTGCTTGGTCTCAAGAACATGACGAGATCGTGCAGATGCTGCTAGAGCGCGGAGCCAATCAATGTGAATCGTCTTACTCTCCTTTCAAAAGGCCTAAAAGATCATGAGACTTACAGAATACACAATCTTCACATATAATCAGAGTCAGGGGACTAGCCTTTGTAGACAGATCAGCGATTCTCGCTCTTCCTTATTCTCTTCTCCATTCACCCACAATACCATACTGATTGCTCTGTCCATCGTTGTTCTAGGTGACAGTAGACAAAAAAACATTATGAAAATTCGGATAGAAGAGACGTTGAAATGTGGATAGTAGATTGATGATGGACATAGGAGACAAGAAAAAATCTATCTATAGTATAGTCAGGACATCATGTGCCTCGAATCTTTGTTTTATTGGGCACTGCAACCACAGAGTAGGTATCATGCTACATGTCTCTATATTGGTTTTCGCCAAGTATCATGGAGCTTTATTGCGGGTAAATTTCTTTCTAGGTTCAAGGTCTAATCAAATTGAGCTTAAGCCACATGACTCTTTGATTAAGAGAATCCTAAACACACTCAGCCATGATGCTGTAAAGAGTAACATCAGCCTCAAAGCACTGCTTCTCAGTAGTCACGCTAACAGTCTCCGACAGATCCGAATCAGCACATCCAGCAGCAGTGTAGGTGTTGAAAACAGCAGAGGTACCGTCGGCACAAGAGCCAGACTCCACATAGGCGGTGAATGACTTGATGGGGAAGTCCTCGACATTGACGCAGGATCCAGCGTATGCGTTAGCGGCATCAATGCTGGGGACGGTACAGTTGGTGTAGAAGTAGCCGGCGTAGCCAATGGTAGGGTTTGCTGTAGCAGCAACGGCCATGGCGGCGATGAGGGCGACGGTCTAGTAGGATGTTAGTTGGGTCTAACTTCATCGGAAGGGGTTATGTTGACATGCCTTGCACATCATTTTGTCGGTAGAATGATTTGATGAATGGTAGAGATGTTTGAGAAGAACGTCTGCTGAGTTGATGTTGTTCTATCTAGGAAAGGAAATCTACACCCATTTATACTACATTTTGGCCCCCAGATACCAAATTCCAGCAGAAGATGAATTTGGAAGGCGTTACGACGCTCTAACCACTTCTTACTAGCTTGGTGTACAGCCTAAGCCGAAATCGAGATAGTCGAGCTTTCTTCAACTGAGTTCAAGGGACCTTACGTATGCTGCGGCAGTGAGATCTCCATTCTTCAGAACTGAAGTAGTTCACGTCGGCAAAACCCACTTTTACTAGCCCGTTAAAGTTAGATTCTCGGCTTGTGTGATCTATTCAGTCAGCTTACTGAAGGTGGCGTGGATGGAGGGGTTACACTGGTTTTCCGCGGAGATTGATTAAGATTGATGGGTATAAAGCTCAAATCATTGCTTTGCAAGGCTTGAATGTATGGAGTTGATAATTGAAAATCTTTTCAGTAATATGATGTATGTATTTAGCAGCTTCAAACCAGTAATATATCGACAATTTGTTGTTATGCAGACCTGGCTGGACCAGGATCCAGGGACATCGAACTGACAGTGGATCTAAGTGGGGCACAAAAATGTCAAAAGCCATTTGCCATTTTTGGCAGCGAATTTCGCTCGATGTGCCGCTTCTACTCCACAACATCTATATAACTGGTGGTCTTACTCAATAGGCGAGAATTCCACAGGTCCGGTCCTATGCCAAGACACGCGGGTTTCCTTGGCAGGCTGTTAAGGGACGCGCCGGCACAGAGTAGCTTAATTTGGTCTGATGAGTTGGGCACCATTTACAGGGTGCAGATCCTGGCGATTGTGTGGAGGGGAAGCCTAAATATTTCATTGTTGCTTTTTTTTTATTTATTGTTCTTGTCTTCCTAAAGTCTTAATACTATAACTGCAGTCTTTTGTGCTGTGCCTTGTTGCGACTGACAAGAATGATCCCTGAGCAAGTAGGGCTTATTCTTCAGGCGTGCTATGCTGAAGTCCCGCTCGGAGATGCCGATAGATGTGACTGTGGCTTGCTTAGCGGTGTCAATGATTTATTAAAAACTTCCCATTATTAAGAGCTTACGAACTCGGGAAGTTCTTGCTAACCATCCCAATGTGGAAGTTCGTACATCTTTAGTCATTTTGTTTTGTGTTGATACATTATTCATGTCCGAGGTCTCCGAGGGGCCATTAATTAGGAAAACATGATAAGAAATATTGCTTTAATTCTTGAGACTCAAAATGCAGCTTTTACATCCATGCACACCCAGGGACAACTGCTCCACGTCCAGCAACTCCCTTCTCCCCGAACTTCTCAACATACCACTTACGCCCCCACCGGGCATGAGGCAGCATATTCGCAACGGCATTGATGACAAAGAGAACAGCTGGCAACGGGAACGGAATGCCCAGGAGATCCGCACTCCACACCGCAGGGATAACCCATGGTGCAGCACGAAGAGGTGGAGCAACACCCCTTCCAGGGAGCGGGAAGACGGCTGTACCAACAAGTGCAAACCCAACCCATTCAAGCCACTCGAATACGTAATGCGGGTACAAGATCGTACGGAAGACTCCCTCAACTGGGGGAATAACATAGACCTTGTGGAATTTGTTACCATCCTTCCCAGTTTTGTCCGCAATCACAGTGGTGGCATCCGATTTCTTAGAAGAGCGCTGCTCAGCTGACTCTCTTCGGAGCCGGAAAAGTTCCGTCTCGGAGTGAATGTTCCCGGCCATCCCCAACGAGAACAAGATCGTTCCGATGAAAGGGAGGATCTGCACGAGAGTGAACCCGAAGGAGCCCGGGTCCAAGGCTGGAGTGCCCTCTGTCTGGAACCCTGGGATCGGGATCGCGTAACCCATTAGCCAGCCTGCGATGCAGGAAGAGTTGAGCCAGTTGAAGGCTATGGCGCTAAGCATGATGAATACATGGATGGGGGACATGCTTGGGGCTGAGAAGAATGGTGAAATGATTGCACGGTTCAGATAGTGAGTGCAGTAGAGCGCAGCAACGAGCTGGTTAGGAGCTGGTAGCTCGAAGAAGCTCGGTGAGGCTTGGGAGAGGTTGTAAATTAAGACAACTGGGCCGGTAATTTCCATGATACACCAGGCTAGCCTGCCGGGTAGGTTGAAAATGGAGCTTTTCATGGAGGTTTTGCCGGCTGGATGCCATGATAAGAACCATTGAATGACTGAGAACTGTTGATGATGTGAGCTAGGCGCATATGAGCCTGGCGGCTTGTTTACTTACGACTGGGAAGTACTGGAACGCGGCTAGCACTCCTGTGTAGGCTGCTGGTGATGGAGGGGAAAAGTCCTGGATTGGTGGCATTGCGCTCCAGATTGTAGAAAGAGAGGCCCCCATAGTAGGAATGATATGAGGTGGAACAAGAAAATCCTTGGGGAATCAAAGGGGGATTAAGCTTCAGTGGAGAATCTAGGTCCAGATTTAAAGTTGCAGGGATAATGATGTAAGTGTCCCAAACAGGAAAGCGGTCATGATGACTTCAACATTTAACTCTATCATAAGGCTATGTATTCATTTAGATTTAAGCGGATGTATCCATCTCCGACGTGGCCTTCCGCCCGCGATTTTCTGCCTTGAACGCTTCAATCTTGGCTTTGAGCTCGGTGTCTATAGAAGTTAGTGATGCGTGTGGGGACAAGATAGATGCAGGTCTTACCGGGTATCACGTCCTCCATGGTCAAGGGGACACGATTGAATGGATCATTGGGGTCACTGAGCAGATGGGATCGAATAGTAGCACGATCGATCGACATCCGGGAGCTGGGGAGAATGACAGGGTCTTCCATGAGAGTGTACATGAGGGGATCTGGCAAGGTCAGCATGCATATCATAATACGTATCCTCGATAAACATACCCAAGTACTCATCGGGGATCTCGCCCAGGTCCTCCTCTGCTTGTTCATCGGCTGCCTTGGCCTCCATGACCTTCTTCTGGAGTTGGCCCCAGCGTCGCAACTCTTCCGGAGATTTCAAAGACCACTTGCGTAGAATATCTGCCGCCTTTTCAAAGTTCGCTGGCTTGTAAGATCGGCCATCACGGGCAACAGCAGTAATAAAATTCTGCTTAGACATCAAGTTAAGATAAACGTCGATGATCTCACTCAGGAGGGCACGGGGGTTGAATCCATATTCTTGAAGGTTATCCACACGCAAGGTAGAGCTCTTCGGGCCCACCATAGCATCAAGGTTGTAGTCCAGCATGTCAGCCAAACGCTGAACAATCTCCGGCATGGTGAACGAATCGGCCAAGGCATCAGTAAAGAGTTTGAGCATAGAGACCGTCTCATTGGTCAACTGCATGTATGATTTCGCACTGCGCTGCGCAGTCGCGAGGTTTTCCTCTCGCTCCTGTCGTGTGGTCTGTTCCATTGTGTGGCCTTCTCGGGCCAACTCCTGCTGGGTTGTGTTGATGGTCTTGAAGGCACCAAAAGACTCATCAAGCACGTAAGTCACATCATTAAGTAGCAGGTTCACAAATTGGACGAAGAAATCGAGGTTCTGGCTGGCCTGGATGGACAGCTTCTCCCGGTAAAGAGTGTTGGGCCAGATGCACTTGATGATCTGGAAAATCTCATATCGAATATTGAATTTGTCAAAGAACTGGGTGTGCGTACCAGTATGCTCTGCCTCAATGTAAAATTTCATAACAGCGTGAAGCAGATTCTCATTGGCAAACTCCATCGAGTTGAGAAGATCCACCAGAACACCACGGGCACCACCAGGGCGGTTCCATGTACCACGGAACAAAATTGAAACGAGGCCAGCCTTGAGGTATGGGTTCTTAATATAGCTAGAGCTCTCCAAGAATGTAATGCATAGCATGACTAGTTCATCTCCCTGGGTAGCAGTAATGATCTGTGGCAAACACCACATGATAAACTTAAAGTTGCTCACGATATCATCCAAGAAGTATTCGGGCAGGCACTTGAATATCTCGGGCTGTTGCTCGGGCAGAGGCAAGGTGATTTTCTCTTTGGGGAAGTTCACGCCCGAAACTAGTCTCAGCAGCCAGACTGTCACATAACGCATGAACAACATTGAACGTGCTTGCCATTGATCATCAAACATCACACCCTGTAGACTGTACTTCAAAGCTATTCCAAGATCGAGCTTGTCCTTGTACTTTTTCAGCGCTTGCTCGAACATTTGCAGTTGCCTGGGGTTTCCAGACCACCGATGGCGCTCAAGCTCAAACTTTGTGATAGTAGATTCCATATGCCGCAGGTCCTTCTCAAGTTGCTCAAGCTTAGAGGTTAAAGATTCACTACCGTAGTGATGCGCGGCCACAGTCAAGAAGAAGATCTCAGTGATAAAGTTAGACGTTCCCTCAGCCTTCTTCGCATAAAAGGCATCCGATTCATGCTGATCCGCATTGATCTTTGTTTCATCACTCATGTCAACCCGGGAATCCCGGTGAAGATACTCCGCATCGATGCGATCGATCTTACTAAAAGAGGCATCCATGAACGGTTCACAGAGTTGATCGAGACACGTTGTGAGATTGAACATGAACCCGTCGGACGAGACCTTCTCAGGATCAACCTGCATGGCCCGACGTTTATGGTTGATGTTCAAAGCAGCAGCAAACCAGTCAAGGACCCGATCTCTAGCCTCTTTCGAGGCGCGAATCAAGTGATTGATGACATCCAGAAGGTCAGAGCTCACCAATTGTTGTGTCATGCGAAGAGAACGCTGGGCATTCAAAATATATGCTTGGTCGCGAGTCTTGGGGCTCGAGAAATATGACATGGTAACGTTGGCTTGCAGCGGTGAAAGACGGAACCAAGGGCCCAATAGAGTGGCCTTCTCAAAGTTTGCTGGGTCTTTTGAATCATTAAAGATGGTTGATTCTGTGATTGCAGCAGCAATAGAGGCATGGCGAACGAGGTTTCGTAATGCCTGTCAAGATTGTTAGCACGAATGTTCATATCGAGTAAAGGTGTGCACAAACCGTAGAATAGGGCTTGTAATCGTCATTAATGTCCATGCCGGACAGACTTGTGCTGAGTTCCTCCACAGCAGCAATGAAAGCGGGCTTGACACTCTCATCTTCCTCGAAACGCTTGACTGCCTCGCTAATGAATTCAAAATCAACACCTCTTTCATCCTCTGGGTCCACCAGTAGATATGGTGCTAATGTAGAGGTCTCTGGGGAATCAAGGCCAAACATCTCTGGCATGGTAATGCCAAAGATGCAATAACTCATGCAAAGCCGACGTGCCTCACAGAGGACCTGGAATTTGGGATCGTCGTCTCTTGTCCGTCGGAACCCCTTATGCAACTTTGTGATACGCTTCCAACACGGCAGCAGGTAGTCCAACGGGCGTCCTTTCTCGGCCTTAGATGCGGCTTCTAAAAGCGCTTGATCCAAGATTTCTGTTCCAATGAGCAGTTCTTTTCCTTGGCTCAGCAGCTCGTTGCGCAATTCAGGGAGGAACACGCGTTGGCCCTGTAGGTCTCGGTGTCCCTCCTCCTTCAACGTGAGTTTGAACGCAGCACTCAAGATCCGGTCTCCGAATGTCTCAATGGTCTCGACTCTTCCGGGCGGTGGGGTCCCCGGAGTGGACGGTGCAGTCGAGCGTGGTCGCTCCGGGGCAGGGGTAGCGGGGGTTATCTTGATCCGCTTTCCTTCAAAACGCTGGGGTGTCTGTGCGGTGGATGGTGAGGCTGGTCGGGAATCACTGGACGCATTTTGGCGGATTGGCGACCGTGAGGGTGAGGAAATCGCGGAATTTGGGGGCGAGTCAGATGAGCCCTCTCCAGAGGAGGAGGGAACGGGATTTGAGAGTTTAGCAAGTCGCTTATTGCGGATCTAAATCGTGATTGAGAAGTGTTCATTAGCGACTGCGGAGTAATAAAATGACGGCTCTGCGGAATGGTAACAAACCTTGTCCGCGTCAGAGAGGGTGTCCGACATCCTAACCCTGATCAAATTCTCGTCTTGTCACAGGTTGGAGCAAATCAGCCGAGGACGTTGTTGTCCCTGTACGAACAAGCGTAATCGCGTAATGCACTGGGACAAAGTGTGCGGAGGGAATCGTCTGGGGCCAGGTCAGAGAGAGATCGCCGGTGGCCTAGGACTGAGCCCAGTGCAGGCGATAAAATTTGCGTCGGGGTATAAGCCTAAGTGCGGGGAGATGGGGTTGAGGCTGGACGTTCTGCCATGTTCGAGATTCCTATTCTTCACTGGGGGTTGATACCCTTGACTAAGCACATACACATTTTCAACCACTTAAACCACGCTTAACATGGTTGGTATATAAAATTTGATCCCATGCACTTTCTGGTCTTGATCAATGAAAAAAAAAATCTATTAATATTTACCTAAATAGAAGCAGATTCTATGAGAACAATCCTCGGTTAGCTTCGCATTCAAGTCCACAAGAGAACCGGATGCATTTGGAAATATACACGAAGCCAAAAAACAAAGAAACCCGACATTAAAACGCCGCTTGTCGCATATGTGCTATTGTCCCTCAAGAAGGCTAATGCAGAACTCAAAAATCCGACGCATCATCTTAGATTTTCCCCCTAAGGGATTCCAGCTTGCGACAGCTCTTTAATTCCATTGCCCGGGCCTCCTTCATCTTGTCCACATCGGGGAAAAACCAACCCTGCGCCTCTTGAATCTTTCGGTCTCGCAAATTCACCTCGCCATTGCATTCATACTGGAGCGCTGATACGTAATCCACTTCCACTCGCTGGTCCAATTGCCGGAGTTTGCGAGGGCTTAAGTCCTCCACATCTAGTGGGTTGACAAAGTAGTTGATATTAAGCTTGGGAGTTGTGCGGCCCATGGTGTGAGGCGGCTTGGCTGTATCATATCGGTAGGAGGGGCCAGCGGGAGAAGAGCCGGAGAAAAGAGACGAGAGGAGAGGAAGGACGAAAAGAATGAGGAGAGGCATGATTTGGCGAAGAATAGACCATGCATCAGGAGCAGGCTGTGGCTGCCCCGAATTAGTTGTGCGAGGTCGTCGTCGTGGCGTAGCTCCCCCAAACTGGTGCATGCGGACATTTGGACCACCACCCATGTTGAAGACAAACTGGGGGCCTCCTAGTCGTGATGTTAGTTATGATGTCGAATAGTGATCGATTTATGCAAGGACCCGAAAACATACCGAACCCACCGCCACCAAATGCGCCGCCACCGCCGAAGAACTGATTGAACAGGTCCTCTGGAGAAATCTCGCCGTCGAATCCTCCCCCTCGAGGGAATCCACCACCTCCGAATCCACCGCCGCCAAATGGTGAGCGACCACCACCAGCAGAGGCGCTAGGACCGGGGTTAAATCTGCTATCCGGATCTTGTCCACTGACGTTATACGCTTTTCTCTTATCTTCATCCGAGAGGACTTGGAACGCGCGCGAGACAACTGCCCGAGGAAAGTTAGAGGCGCGACTCAAGAGCATGTAGACCTGACCTCTCACGCACCTTTAAATGCTTCATCCGCACCCTCATATCCGTTCTTATCCGGGTGTGTCAACAAACTCTGTTTCCTGTATGCCTTCTTGATTTCGCTATCTGTGGCGGTGCGCTCGCATAAAAGGATCTCGTAAAAGGCAGTGGGTTTGCATTTTCGGATCCGCAAAACAGCTTCTTTCTGCTCGGGCGTGAACTTGCGGTCCTGGTTGCCCTGATTATGTTCACGCGACCGCGCGCCATTGCCTTTGGCATCGGAGCCGGATGCTGTGGCTGAAGGCATTATTAACAATGGAGAAAGTGGGCTTTGGTGATCCGCGTGTTGAGGTGAAATCGGCGAGGGGTGGACAGTGCCCCGATAGGGTAGCGTGAAACGCGGGAAAGGGGCCTGTTTCCCCAAGAGGTAGGCAATGAAGTCAAGCCCGGGTGAAAGCGCTCGGGGCCGTGAACCGGAGCACTCGAAGGGGTAGAGGGAAGTGCGGGCGATGAAGACTGGGAGGGGGGCGAAGCGGAAAAAGTATAGTCTTAGGTGTCTTTGCCAAGCGGGAACGACATGCGCTTATCCGTTAGATAGACACAAATCTCCCCACAGCAACCAAACCCATATCTTCTCCAAATTCTCGCGCATTACTCAGGACAAAACGGGATCCTGCGGGAAACAACAGCTGATATCAAATAAAGCTGTGTGTATTTCATCTACATCTCCAAGTTCACCATGGCAAAGGATTCGAGCATCGAAGAAACCAAGCAGACGCTCGTGCAGCGCTTCAGAGCATGGGGTGGTAAGTACTTGTCGATTCCAAGCAGTTTAAGCTTTCTATTTCTTACCACAATTGACCTTGATATGTACAATTCAATTTTGCTAACTTATCGTGCTGTTAGAAAACTCATTCCCGCCTACTCTGCTCGCCTCGCTCATCACCGCGCAACATGCCCGCCCTTTCCAGGTCTTCCCCATGCTCTTCACTCCTGTCCTTCTCTTCACCAGCTATGCCAACCTGCAAGGCTTCAAGACTGATACCGCCGGTATCAGCGCTGCCTGGTCAGGCCTATACTTGCTCCTCGCCAGCCGGCGGCGCCAACCACTGAAACAGAAGTTCGGAGCCCGCGGACTCGTGCGCGGTGGAACAATGGCTCTCTGCTTGGTGAATATGGTCGGTGGTGGACTTGCATACACACTTGGAAAGCGTGAGCAGGAGGACTCATGAGGAAGCGGGATCTACGAAGAAAGCTTATCTCTGGAGTGTACGATATATGTTCTATAACAAAAACGGTGGTCTGCATCGGAGAAATCTGGACGGAAAACCCGGCCTGAAGACTAGCATGGTTATTATGCCAAAATAATGTACTATATGTTTCCAATATTTCCCGAAGATTAGCATGGTCCTCGTATCGCAATAATCTACTATAATATTGGGACAAAAGCAATACACAAGCATTGATAAAGCCCAACACTGGGTCAACAACAGCTCGAAGGTTTCATTTGCAGTGCTGTGAACACTAAGACCCAAGCAGGGTCGAGCTACAGGGAGCTTTCTGCAGAGTATGGCTTTTCAGAAAGTAAGAATTGGTGCACGTTCTCCGGAACCAGCCACTCCAAATCATCACTTGCAGACTGTATGGCCTCTCGTGCTCTGGTCGAGCTAACCGGCTCTTGATCTGGTTTTCTTCCTTCAACCAGCTGAATTCTTTCCGCCCATTCTCTCCTCCCGCCCTCACTCTCCTGATCTCCGCGGGCGAGAGCGAGGAGAAAAGCCTCCTGCTCATCTTTACTCCCCCACTCATCACTAGGCCTTAATGTCACCCGCAAGCGATGCTGCGAGAAAAGCGGCGCCAATGGTGCCAAAGTATGTTCGGGCGGGTAATACTTTGGGTTAAAAATACGGATCAGTGTATCATAGCCTGTGAGGTGGACCTGTTCAAGCGGTGTGGGGTAAGCCCCCGAGTTCTCAATAGCGGAGGCCTTGTCAACGAAGTATGGCTTCTTGGTAACCCCAATGTCAATGGCGGGGATGTTCCCTAGAGATGGAGTGTGCCCTGGAGCTGCGGTACTGGTAGCCAGGTGAGAACGCAGATCGTGTGCGAACATCTCCATCATGGCAAGCCGGTCCTCGAACAAGGCCGGCTTTGAAGGCTTGTCTGCATTTTGAGTGGCAAGCAGTAACAGTAATCGGGAGCTCGAGTCGAGTCGCTCAAGAAGTGCAGAGCTGGCTATGCGGAGATGCGCGCGGGTTGGCGGGTTAAATGATGAGTCTAGCACATATAGGATCTTTGGTGCGGGGCAGCCATCGGCGGGGATAGTGGCGAGGACTTCAAAGTCCCGGGATGATGCGGTAAATTTTTTCAAGAGTGACGCGTACTGAGTCCTCAAATTGCGAAACGAGGCCATGATGGATGCATAGGATAGCAGAGCAGATAAAGTTATAACCGAGGTGACATACCTTGCCGATCAGGCGGCCCACTTTTCACATCTATATTCATTCCTGTTCTACATTATTTCTCAAACTTTTCATCAATCACCCTTTTAATCTCCCGAGGGGGCCTAATGTATTGCATTAAATAAGTACTACTGGATGTATTCAGGGAATGTATGATTAGTCATTATGGCGCTTGAAACACGCTCTTTAACACAGCACACCCCGCGCCTAATCTTACCCCTTTTGATTTCCGCCCAACGAGCAAGGTAATTTGGTCTGTATTTGGCTATTGACGTCTGCCAAGCTCTCTGGTAGTCGGTATGGCTCAGAGTTTCAGGCGTATGGATCAGATTCTGGAAAGTAGGGCCGATCAGATGGCTTTGTTTCATGGCTCTAATTCCGGGCTTCAGGTGGGGGTCAATAATGGCACAATCACTGCTGAGTCCCGAGTTCCTCGTAGTAAGCTTTGAAATTTCTTACATGATATACTGTCCTAATATCTAAATAGGCCTTGATAAGCTTCCCTTCGTGCACGATGCTGTGTATGATTCATACGCAGATCAGTATGATGGTGAATATCTTGAAGGTACAAGAACCGATCTTCTTCGAGACATCAGAGAGTGGGCTGTCTCGCTGCACGGGAAGTCTATATTCTGGCTCCAGGGAATGGCTGGAACGGGAAAATCCACAATATCTCGAGCGGTGGCAAGGTCCTTCAAGGACTCCAACCATTTAGGTGCCAGCTTCTTCTTCAAGAGAGGCGAAGAAGACAGATGGAACGCGAAGAAGTTTATTCCAACATTGACAAATCAGTTGATCCTCCATTTTCCTGCACTACGACATGGCGTGCAAAAGGCACTCGATCTTGACCCTTATATCGCGTCGAAGGTGCTTAGGGAGCAGTTTGAGAAACTGCTGCATCAACCGCTGTTGAATCTTCATCATGATCAACTCGGCCAACGACCTCAGAGTGCCATTATAGTGGTCGATGCTTTAGACGAATGTGAAGATGATCGAGAAGTCCAAAACATCATTGCCATGCTACCTCTTCTACAGGAGGTAAAAGCGCTTCACCTTCGGATCTTCTTAACTAGCAGACCTGCACTTCCAATCAGCCTCGGCTTTTCGAAGATTGGGGATCATGAATATCAGGACCTTGCTCTTCATGAAATACCTAGGCAAGTGGCAGAACACGACATACGTTTGTTCCTACGGGACCGATTCACGAGGATCCGACATAATAGACGCATTTCTCAAGACTGGCCAGGCGATGAAGTTATCCAACAATTAGTCTCGATGTCTGTTCCACTCTTTATTCTGGCTGCTACTATATGTCGCTATATCGAAAACTCGAGATTAGAGCCAAAGTCACGCCTTGCAGAGCTTCTAGCGGACCATACCAAGTACATATCGAAGATGGATAAGACATACTTACCAATCCTAACTCGACTACTCGACCTAGAGAGCGATGAGCCAGATCAGCAGAAGCTTCTACAAGTATTTCAAGAGATAGTTGGTGTTATTATCCTTCTGGCTACCCCGTTATCTATCAATGCGCTGTCGCTACTTCTTGGGTTAGAGGCAGACCAGATCAGCGATTTATTAGATTCATTTCGATCGGTGTTAAATGTTCCCAATGATCGAGACCAGCCAGTCAGAATCTTACACCTTTCGTTTCGGGATTTCCTAGTCCAATCTAGAACAAAATTCCATGTGCATGAGGCAAGAAAACACAAAGACATTGTCAAGTCTTGTCTCAAATCCATGCGCAGGTGTTTACGGAAAGACATATGCAACCTAGGAAGCCCTGGAATACGTCGGGCAGATATCGAGTTTCATCAAATCCGCCATTATTTACCACCGGACCTACAATACTCTTGTCATTACTGGATATACCACCTTGAGCAAAGTCAGATTCATGGATACTCTGAGGTAGAGGATGTGCAACTGTTTCTTCAGAAGCATTTCCTTCACTGGGTAGAAGCAATGAGTCTGCTAGGCCTTATCTCGGAGGTGGTGGGAATGCTGAATCCCCTTGCTAAAATTATATCAGTAAGTTATATAGTAAACCCATAGACCCCTCTTGACGTTTCATACTAATAGGAATGTAGAGCTACAGTGATTCCATCATGTCTAAATTTTTATATGATGCCAAACGCTTTGTTATGAAGAATCGCCAGATTGCCGATGAAGCACCACTTCAGATCTACTTGGGATTATTATTTGCACCTCGAACAGCAACGATATATTCAGAGTTTAAGCAAGACATCCCTAGTTGGATACGTCTGTTTCCACAAGTGAACGAAACATGGGATACAGAACTACAGGCCCTAGAGGGCCATTCAGAATCGATTAGTTCGGTGGTCTTCTCGCCCGATGGCCGGCTGCTAGCATCCAGCTCCAATGATGGCACCGTCTGCCTCTGGGATGTAATAGCGGGTACGCTCATACAGACTCTCGAGGCACCTTCAAAAAGCGTAAATACAGTGACCTTCTCGCCTGATGGTCGGCTGTTAGCGTCTGGCTCTTTCAATGGTAAAGCGCGGACATGGGATATGGTGACAGGCGCGCTCGCACATACTTTCGAGATCCCAGGATCAGATTATTTGGCTGCCCAAGTGACCTTCTTGGCGGACGGTCAGCCGCTCGTATATAGCGTGGAGAGACAAGTAGATAGTATAGTGCGTCTGTGGGATATAAAGACGACCACGCTCGCACAGACTCTCGAGGTCTCGGGGTGGGTTACGTTTGTGATCTCCTCACCTGACGGTCGGCTGCTGGCGTCTGTCTCAAACAGTATGGTGAAGCTATGGGATATCAAGACGGGCATGCTCACACAGATTCTCGAGGTCCGTTCGGCAAAGGTAGATTCGGTGACCTTCGTGACCTTCTCGCCTGACGGTAATATGTTGGCGAGTGTCTCTGACGACTTTAGTATTCCACTCTGGGATACGAAGACGGGTGCACTCGCCCAAACTCTCAACATTTTTCCAAAAAGCGTTTCGTTCATGATCTTCTCGCCGGACAGTCGGCTGTTAGCGTCTATTTCTGACGACCCTCCAGTGCGACTTTGGGATATAAAGACAGGTGCACTCGCATATATCTTCAACTTTACAGCGAGCAATGTTTATTCCGTCGCTTTCTCGCCTGACGGTCAGCTGCTAGCGTCTGGCTCTGAGGACGGCATTGTGCGACTATGGGATATAAGGAAGGGCTCGCTTGCACAGACTCTCGAGACCCAGGAGATTCATTCTATGACCTTCTTGCCTGACAATCGGCCGTTACTGTCCATCTCCCACCCTTTAGTGCGACTATGGGATGCAATGACGGGCGCACTTGTGCAAACTCTCAAGGTCCCTTCAAAATGGGCCAAGTCAGCGACTTTCTCGGCTAACGATCAGCTGCTAGCGTCTGGCTCTGACGGCAGTGTTGTGCCACTATGGGATATACAGACGAGGACGCTGGCACAGGATCCCGACGCCTCTTCTGACTATTTTCATGCTGTGTCGGTCACTTTCTCCCCTGACGGTAGGCTACTATTATCGACTTTCTCCTATCACATGGTGCTATGGGACACAGCGACAGGCACGCCCAAGCAGGCTCTCGAAGGTCATTCAGAATATATTTCCTCGGTAGTCTTCTCGCCTGACAGCCGACTAGTAGCGTCAGGCTCCCAGGATCAAACAGTCCGATTATGGGACACAGCGACGGGCGCCCTGCAGCGGATACTCGGCGACAAATCGGGTTCAATTTGGTCTGTGGCTTTCTCACCTGACGGTCGATTACTCGCGTCTAAATCCGATCATTTACTGGGGCTATGGGACACCGCAACAGGTGTCTTACAACAGCGCCTCAAGAGCCATGAACACGATATTAAATTGGTGATATTTTCGCCTAATGGACGGCTGCTAGCATCTAGCTCCTGGGAAGCAGTATATATATGGAACACAGAAACGGGTACGCTGGAGCAAACTTTTAGGCCCTCTTGGCCGGATATGATTTCCTCTTGGCCGGGCAAGGTTGGATCAATTGCATTCTCGTCCAACAGCCGCCTACTAGTGTCTAGCTTCGTTGGTTGCACGGGGATGCTGCTATGGGATATAGAGACGGGCGCTCTGCAGCAGAGATTTGTGGCCCGTTCGGACTGGGAGATTACTTCTTTGGCCATTTCACCTAGTGGCCAGCTGCTTGCTTCCAGCTCCAATGATACAGAAGTGCGCCTATGGGATATAGCGACTGGTAGCCTGCAGAAAACTTTGACTACAGATGGACTAGTCACCAAACTCAAATTCTCTGAAGATGATTCACGCCTCAGCACTAGCCGAGGAACCCTTCATATAAGGGACAGCCCAAGCTCCAATCCTCCCAACACAAAGCCAGACATATTTCTGGGGCAAAGTTGGGTATACCTGAATGGAAAACCAGTATTGTGGCTTCCTCCGGAGGCTCGACCAAATTGTACATCCGTTAGAGCGAACAAAGTCGCCATCGAGGATGTAACAGGTCGGCTTTTTTTCATTGATTTCGCATAGATGACTTCAGGTTCTTTTTTTATCTTCTTTTGTACATTTCTTCATCAATGTGATAGAAGCACGAAGTTATAGATAATAGAGGTCATGTGACTACAGTCGAAGTCAATTCAATGCTGACATCCTAGTCCAATGTCAGACCTCCTGACTCGAGGATCCGAAAATCCCCGAAAAACAACAAATAGCTGCATTCTGCACTCATTAAGTAGCGCTGGAGATAAGGTCCCCCAAACCAAAAGGCTATGTCACAACAAGCTCAGCGTAAGAGCCTCTGGGCACGGTCCCTGTACTGGACAATCTCCATACTCGCGCTTTCCATGTTCTACAGAGCCTATGTGCAAAACATCTTATTCATCACACTGGGTGTCGGTCGCCAAATTCAGCCTCTTGAAGATTTTCCATGGACATGCACTAGGCAATACCACCCTCTCCTGGAAGCCTGCGAGGATATGTGGCTAGATCACCACGATCGGAAACTTTACGCCGCATGCTCGACGATCGAATCCCGGCAGGGATGGAGCCCCGGTGGAAACAAGTACAATGTCTCAGCACGCACTTTGACCGATCATATCACTGTGTTGGACATTGACGATGTGGATTCCGATGGCCTGTCCGTTCCCCGCCAGTTGAAGATTGGTGGTTACGAGGATGCGTTAGATCTTCATGGGTTCGACGTGCGTCATATTGGATCTACGGTGCGATTTTGGTTGATTAACCATAAGCCCCCGATCGATTCGATTACAGGCGATGTTTTGGATGCCTGGACTCATGGTGCGAATTCCACAGTCGAAATCTTCGATTTGAACAAAGAGACAGATACATTAGAGTATGTCCGGACTATCTACAGTGATGCTATTATCTCGCCGAATAATATAGCTGTTGATGATGATGGAGTTGGATTTGTGATCACAAACGATCACAAGGGCAAGACTGGACGCTTTCGTGAATTGGAAATGCTATATGGCGGCGGGAGTCTCACATTTTGTCGATCAGATACTGGAAAGTGCAATATCGCTGCGACAGAAGGGTTTCATATGCCTAATGGTATAGCCAAGGGCAAGGATGGTCTATACTATGTCGCGCATTCTGTGACGGGGCTGGTGACCATTCACAAGCTGGAGAATGATCAGCTGAAGCAGGTGGATACCATTTCGACTGGTTATCCCGTGGATAACATCTCATTTGATGAAGATGGAAGTCTCATTGCTGCTGCCATACCTGATTCTTTTGCGTTTGTGAAGTCTGTAGATCATCCACATGACTTTGTTGCACCGGCGACGGTGTTAGCCAGTCCCATTAAAGGAGCGGACGGGAAGTGGGAGGTTTTGAAGGTTGTGGAAGATTCCCTGGGGGAAAAGCTTCCATCATCAACAGTTGCAGTTCAAGATACTCGGTCACGCCGTTTGTTTCTGGCAGGAGTGTTTTCTCCTTTCATTAGCATTTGCGAAAAGCGGGAGTGACGTTTCTGCCTAAATAAAAGACCCATCTCCGCTCGTTCTTCCGTCGTTGATCAACCATATAGCAAGCTTGGCGGGATCTTATATAGAAATGTGAAACTGCAATGGCTATTCTTCTCTGACTTTCGGTTCCTAAATGATTTGGGGTAACAGAAATTCAAATCTTGCCAGAGACTGTTATTTTTAACATGAAGACTCCGTTCAATGCCCTTTCCACTGCCTCAATACCAGTATTGCAACCCACAAGTACATCATATAAAGTAGAGATGACGAATTATGGAGGCTAACACTTCCACCAGCCATTCTTGCCGTGACCTGCCGAGTGACAGGCGCGTATTGATCTTGTCCATATGTGGAGTTGAGGGTGACATGTGCGGAGATAGTCCCATCTTCCAGACGAATCCATGTTTCCACTTCATCTGCAATACTATCCTTATTGAGGAGGATCTGCCTTCCACCACGAGCAGCATTGCCATATCCGCCATAGCCAGTATGACGACCATAACACATGTTAATTCCGTTGCCAGATAGATCCTGAGCAATGGTTTTGCCGTCCCATTTAAAGCACCTACGTAGATGAATTGTTAGAACGTGCAGAAGTTATAAGCTTGAAACCTCACGTACCAGTCATTATCATGGTCATGACCACTAAATGTAGCCATGAGTCCCGATGTATTCAAAAGAGCTTGCATAAATGGTACGTCCTGTCCAGTGTATGGACTGGCACCAGATCCTTGCTGAACCACTGTCTCCCCATTAAGACCAGGGGATTTGTGAGAATCGACCCCATTGTCTTGATACGCCCGCATAGCATCGGCGGGGATATGATAGAAAGCTAATGAAGGGATGACCTTCCCATACTTGTCCTTTAGATCGGACTTTGTCTGCGTGAACCAATCGACCACCTGACAAGTTAGTAGTGTTCATAGAAGTGGTATATTAACATACAGAATCATCAACCCAGTCGCCCCGTTGTATTGAAGCGCGTTTCGATACTCGGTTGGTTGGCTCGTGTCCACCTTTTGAATCGAAGAACCAAAGCAGAAGGACAGGCGTATCGCCTTCGGATCCACCCTGCGAGAAAACTGGCAGGTAATAGTTCGTGACTCCAGCCGCTGAATCGGAGACCAAGCTCTGCGTCAGGCTGTTCTTGTATAGTTTTTCCTTGTCGTATATATCCTTTCTGGGGTCCAGGTTCAGCTCGCTGTCGTGATTCCCGTAGGTCGAAGCCCATAGATATCCCCCGTTGACCAAGGGGGAAACGACTTGGTCTAGATATTTGCTCGAGTTCGAGGCTTTGGTAGCTTCGCCAGAGATCAAATCCCCATTTATAACCACAAGTTGCGGCTTCTCTTTGTCGAGAACATAATCCATAACCTTGTTGGTATGGACATCTTTATTTGAATCTAGCACCGAGTCAGTACGTGTAGACACAAGTTTTGGGCTTTGTCACCTTCAGCAAAATGCAAGTCTTCAAAAACACTAATCTGAAACGTGCCATCCTTCGTCAACCGCAACGTCCGATCAGGAACAGATACCGTCTGATCCCGTATCGTCCGGCCTAAAAATCGAGCAAACATGTCCGGAATACCAGCCATCCACAAACCAACACACAGACAAAGACATGCTAGGCCTTTTATCTCACGGCGTAGTAGCGTCGCAGTCGGATTTGCAGTTGCAATCTTAGTCTTCCCACGTGGAGCAGCGGTACCTCGATTAAATCTGTGGCTAGCTTCGTCCACGTCATGATTCACCGCTATACCGGATTTCTCCGAGTATCCGTCAGGAACGGGGGTGGGCTGCCGGAAACGGCGATAGGCGGAGACTCCGGAGTGTGCCAACCGCCAGCGACTCGGTCGCCGATCCAGGGTTTCTCACCCATTTCTCGGAAATTGCTGACTTGATACGGTGCCTGGTTTTTAATATTTGGTGGTAGATTGGAGGTTGAGGTTGAGGTGGAGGTGTGAAGTCACATTCTGGAACCTGTGTTTAGCTTGGCGGGTGCATGTGCATCCCCGCTTTCTATTCAGGGTCTGGAATGTGGGGGTCTTTTAGCTTTGCTGATCAGTAAGCTTTTCAGTTTGGACTTTTGATCAAAGGATTTATCATTCTACTAATTTGTGTTGTTTTGGCTTCATTGGGATCTTGCTATCGATGCTACTTTTGTGGGGTTGTATAGATAGATTCTAGCAACTCCACAATAGACATTCCAAATTTCAAAGAGATTGAGTGGGCCTGAAACATCTTTAGCAACGTCGTGCCTGGAAACTAATATGCAAATCAATAATGTTGAAAGTTAAAATTATACATAGAAATGAACTGGCAAGTAGGCACAACCTCACAGCGCTGAAGTCCTCAAGCGCAGCCACTAAAAACCTCTCACCTACCATGTCTTTTGGGCCCAGTCCGACTTTTAGTAAGCAAAAATACAGAAGTCTAATAAGTTAGTCTGACCGCGCTAAATCTTGATAATGTAGATCATAGAGTCTAAGCTATGGTTCTTTAGAAAACTAATTTCTTTTTGGGTGGAAGCGAATGATCCATATCAAATGGTGTGGATGGGGAGCTACAATATGGGAGACTGGCATACCATGTGATCTATCATACCCTTGCTGAATAGCTTCAGCCATTATGGACTCTCCACAACTTACTTCTACTTAAGTGCGAAGCTATTAGCCTAGACCTTCCCATCAATTGTTCACATAGCAACACAGTAGGACGACTCGGATTTAGATCTATCTCCATCTTTCTCAAACTTCTCACCAACAAGATACCACCTCGACGGACCCCACCTCGTCATCCTAGTCTGATACGTCTGCCCTCTCAAAAGTGAAATATTGCGTTGAAGCAGTTCGTTTTCCGTCAAAGCAGAAGAACACTGAATAGAATCAACCTCAAACCGAATCCGAGGGTCTCCCACCAGATCATGGTTCTCCAACATTATACCAGGCCCATGATAGTGGTGTATTCTCCACCTAGCATCTTCAGGCGTAAGACCAGGTCCCAGATCCACCCAACGCGTCGAAACAAGACAGATGTCATTGCCCAATTCCCGAATCTCTAATTTCCACGACGTATTGCATGATTGACAGCGCTGCCAGTGTATTGGCTTATCGGAACCATTACCCGAATATTGTGCAATAAGAGAGGTTATTAGATCCCTTAAGCCAGTGGTACGGAGGTCCAGCATCGATAAGGCGGAGGGAAATACGCCGTTATGTCGACAAACGTACATAAAGTCCGAGCCAGAATTTTGGAATATCATCGGTATGTTCTCTCGTCTTGCTACAGCCATCTCCTGTGTCCGTAAACACAAACCGGGACCAGGAGCTGAAATACAGACTCGAGCTTCAACGGATTTCAAAGAAGTCATATGATGGAGCTCCGGAGATATAGATTTAGACTTAGAAGCGGTCGAGACACGATCATTGTCTCCAAGAGGCCAAGTCGCAACCTCAGTATAGAACAGCGACTCAACAGGGATCCCAAATTCCGCTCCATAGTAGTACCTCCGCATAGCAAGCTGGAGGTGCACGAAATGGATATCATGGAATGTGCCGTAGGGGTAAACTCCTCGGAACATGGGCCACCTGAGATACCATTTTTCACGAGGCAGGCTCATTGAACAGTCAAATAACTTGAATGTAGGACTTGGTGACCCGATCTTTCGCCAGGGGTGAAGACGGGCGCACATGAAGCAATTGTAGTATTCTGGTACGTCTCGCGAGAGTCTTGTGATGAACTCCATTCGCAGATGGGAATCGTTTGAGAGGTATTGGGCTACTGGTTTCAAGAGATGCTCTAGGCCGTGGTTGCACAATGCTAGGCATGCTATGTCGATTGGTGGTAGATACTCTTTCACCATGTGAATCAATTCTGATGGAAGGTGTGAAAGCGTCCTGTAATGTTGGGCGTCTTCCATCTTTTGGAGTTTGTATAGAGTAAAATAAACTGATTAAGTTGATTACTGAATCCGGGTTTCGATAGCTAGACTTGAGGATTTTAAGCCGCGAAACGTGAGGAGAATGGCTTCGAGGTTGGCGTTTACTGGCTTGTTGGTAAATCGCAGTCTAATGACTAGGGAGCAAGCCAAATGCGAGCTGATGAGATAGGATCGATCATCACCGACTTGGGTATTCAACGGCCGATAGGCATATGCTATCCTTCTTGCTCGTGTATGTAGACAGGGTGCAGCGTGAGAATAAAGAATGCAGGTGAAGCTGACACGAGGCTGAGATGGGGGGGAACGGTCACAGATCCTCGGCAGCCAATGGGCCTGAGTCGAAGCATTCTCCGGACCGTTGAGCGAATAGGAACAGAGGGTATAGACCAACCAGGTCAACCTTGGAAGTTAAGCTACCTCCTAGACAGCTACGACAATACAGTTACTATGTTCAAAAATGTGTGGAAGAATACATAATATTCACATTCCGTATCTACAGTTGTAAGAACTGTAGAAACTACTTTCGTCTCCAGGTCCAGTGCAAATGCAAAGGACGGGATCCGAAAAAATTGTTGAAATAATCGGCGCATTGTGGCACCCATGTTGAAATCGTCAGTCATGTTGAAACTCCGTAAACCCGCTTTTGGTGCCCTCTAATCAGCAAACCCCGTTGAAACCCGTATGTTGAACTTTTGGTATCATCGTCATAACTCATCATTAAAAAGAAAAAATCCCCGTGCCAGAGGCGGCAGGTTGATTGCCGCCCCCATAAATTAACACATTATGGGAAGAAATGGAAAAATGTTGCGCATTTACTGCGAGTACTTCTGGCGGAAGTACTTGGCAGCCTGGACCATGTTGGTCAGAGCAGCCTTGGTCTCGGGCCAAGCACGAGTCTTCAAGCCACAGTCGGGGTTGATCCAGAGCTGATCGGGAGACAGGTGGGCGAGCATCTCCTCGACACGGTCCTTGATCTCCTGCTCGCTGGGGATACGAGGAGAGTGGATGTCGTAGACACCGGGTCCGATCTGAGCAGCGAACTTCTCGTCAACGAAGACCTTGAGCAGCTTAGCATCAGACTTGCTGTTCTCGATGGACAGGACATCGGTGTCCAGCGCGGCAATGGCGTGGAAGAAGTCCTGGAACTCAGAGTAACAGAAGTGAGAGTGGATCTGGGTGGTATCGGCGACACCAGCGGTGGAGAGCTTGAAAGCCTCAACGGCCCACTTGATGTACTTCTCACGCTCGGCACCAGTGCGGAGGGGAAGACCCTCACGGAGAGCAGGCTCATCGACCTGGATGACCTTGACACCGGCGGCCTCGAGGTCAACAACCTCGTCACGCAGAGCAAGGGCGAGCTGCTGGGCCTGGACGGACTGGTGGACATCATCACGGGGGAAAGACCAGCGCAAGCAGGTGATGGGACCAGTGAGCATACCCTTCATGGGCTTCTGGGAGATCGAAACGGCGTACTTGGACTCCTTGACGGTCATGGGGGCAGGGCGGCTGACGTCTCCGACAATGATGGGAGGACGAACGCAGCGAGAGCCGTAAGACTGAACCCAGGCGTGGGTGGTGAAGACGTAACCAGTCAGGCGCTCACCGAAGTACTGGACCATGTCGTTACGCTCGGGCTCTCCGTGGACAAAGACATCAAGGTCAAGCTCCTCCTGGATCTTGACAACATCCTTGATCTCGTTCTCAATGAACTTCTCGTACTCCTCAGGGGTGATCTCACCCTTGGTGAACTGGTTGCGAACACGACGGATGTTCTGGGTCTGGGGGAAGGAACCAATGGTGGTGGTGGGGAAGAGAGGAAGCTTGATGTGCTCGGTCTGGGCAGCAATGCGAGTAGGGAAGGCAGAGATACGGTTGTGCATCTCAGCGGTGACAGCAGCCTGGCGGGCCTTGACGGCGGGGTCGTTGGTGCGCTTGGAGGTAGCGCGGGACTGCATGGACTTGGCGTTGGCCTCGAGCTCAGCGGAGACGGCAGCGGGGCCCTCGGTGACGGCCTTGGCAATGACAACAACCTCAGCAAGCTTCTGGACAGCGAAGCTGAACCAGTCACGGACCTCAGCATCGAGGTTCTTCTCAGAGTCCAGGGTGTGGGGGACGTGGAGGAGGGAGCTGGAGGTGGCGACAATGACGCGGTCCTTGCCGAGCTTCTGGATGGCAGCCTCAACCTTCTCAATGGCGTTCTTGAAGTTGGTCTTCCAGATGTTACGGCCGTCAACGACACCGGCAGAGAGGGTCTGCTTGGGGCCAAGGGCAGCGACAACGGTGTCAAGCTGCTCGGGGTTGCGGACAAGGTCCACGTGGATGGCGTGGAGGCTCTGGAGGGAAGAGAGGACCTCAATGTTGTGGACGATGTCACCGAAGTAGGTGGCGAGGGTCAGGCGGGGAGCACTGGCACCCAGGCTGCCAAGCTGCTCGTAGGCGGGCTTGAAAGCGGCCTTGGCCTCAGCGGAGAGGTCGAAGACGAGGACAGGCTCATCAATCTGGACATCCTCAGCACCGGCAGCCTTGAGCTGCTTAAGGAGCTCAACGTAGGCGGGCAGGAGGTCAGCCAGCTTGGTGATGGGGTTCACACTGGCACCACGGTCGGCCTTAGCCAGGACCAGGAAGGAAACGGGACCCAGGACAACGGGGCGGGTGACAATGCCAGCGGCCTTGGCCTCGAGGAACTCGCGGACGGGCTTGGGGTCGGAAGAGAGCTTGAAGACCTGGTTGTCGGCCAGAGCAGGCTTAACGTAGTGGTAGTTGGAGTCGAACCACTTGACCATCTCAAGGGCAGGAACATCAACACCCTCCTTCTGGAGACCACGGCCCATGGCAAAGTAGGTGTCAAGGGGGTCGAGGTTGTACTTGCTGTAGCGCTCGGGGATGACACCGAACAGCTGGATGTGATCGAGGACCTGGTCGTAGAAAGCAAAGTCGTTGGAGGGGATGGCGTCAACACCAGCGTTCTTCTGGAGGTTCCAGTGCTCCAGACGGAGACGCTTGCCCTCAGCGAGAAGGTCATCGCGGGAGATCTTGCCACCCCAGTAAGCTTCAGTGGCCTTCTTCAGGTCACGAAGCTTACCCATACGGGGGAAACCGAGAACGGATCTTCAGCTGTAGTTAGTATCCAGCAATTGAACGAGATAGGGTGAAAGACATACGATTGGACCATTCTGACGGATGTGTGTGAAGTAGAGAGAAAAGGGTAGACGGGGTCTGTAGATAGAATGAAAAGAACCCGGAACCTTGAAGAGTTAAAAGAAAAAGAAGAAGAGAACGAGGGAAATGGCGAGAAGAAAAATGGAGGGGGATCAGAGCGGGTCTAACCCCAACGGGATAGAGGGGCAGAAGGTGGCTTTCCTGACCATACGTGGAGCGAAACAGGGGATTAGGATTTGCATGGAGATTAGGCAAGGGGTGGGGGGTTTGGAACGGTATTGCTGGTAAGTTACAGGTAATCTAGTTGTCATTACCCTAGTCAATAAGTCTCCACTGCAAACTTAACACGAGGGCTCCGTGATCGGCGTAGATCACGCCATCTCGACACGGGGTGATAAGCTTCGATAAGGTGTTTCTACTCAGTCTTCCGCGTATATTGTATACTCCGGTGGATTCAAGAAGAGACGAGAATACAATGGATCGAAGTGGACTTCCAATTTGCCACTATGGGACTGTGTTGGCCTGGCAATCCTCCCCGCTGTAACCTCCGGAGGCCGAATAATTCCTCGGGTTCCGACTGCAGCATAAGATACAAACTTAGTGGACCAATGGCAAAGCTTCTACATGGCATGGATTACGCAGAAATAACAACGTACAGATCGAGGAGCTGGGGGCCGTATATGACAACTCCGAGCCACCGGTTTTTGTCGGGAACCGTTCGGAGATTTAGTAACGCCGATGATGATTCTCCGGGAAGAACAAGATAGGGGCACCGCGAGGATAAAAGGATATTATGAAAAGGACGTGAGAAGAGCTGTGAGGTAGTACATGATACATGCTATGTACTATGTGACATGTACAGTATGTATCATGTACCCCGCCCGAGTATGCAGTGTTCAAATTTGAGATAACATCGCGAGTAGCGGTCAAGGATCATCTAAGAATATATCGGAACTATTGAAGACTGTACTATTGATTCGATTGTTGGCTCAAAGCGATCCATGACCAAGCTTGGAAGGAGCCAGGGACGCTCCTTCTACAGAACGCTACAGGGAACACCACATTCGCAGATCACAATCATGGTCTTCTTAATTCATCCTCATGGATATGAGTCATGACATTCCTCGTTTGTCCTCGCTGGCGAAGGGATCGCTCTATTTCACCGTCAGGGGCTGGCTCCTACAACCAAGCTCAACCGGAGAATTCTTTCCCTCGTCACGGTCAAGGTATGCTCTCTGAAGTTTAGATGCTGGCTAGTTCGGCGCTAATGGAAGATCACAGAGCCAGCAATTTCATTCATAAATGAGTTACAGAAAAAGCAACCAGAAAGCTTCTCTCACAGGCTTCGACGTCGGTTTTCCCGAGAATACAAGTGGGCCAGTGATGCCCGGGAGTATAGAAAATTTATGTTTCCTTTCCCGCGGAAACCATCGAGATCCGCCCCGTCAAGGCCAAAACCAGTTCATGAACTGATGTCGCCAGAGTATGGAAACAGCCTGATGAGTGAGAGAGGGTACGATAGTGATGCACATTACATTACAACACCAAGACATGACCTGGCAAGATCTCCTGCCGGTCGAGGATTTCGCCGCATGGAGCTGAGCGATTTGATCGAACAGAGCCAAGAGCGCTCGGAGGCCGAACGTTGGGCTCTCTTCAACAACATAACAGCCAATGACTCACAAGAATCTGCCTTCGGCATGCATTTCATTCCAACCCCACCGGGCACTCTCAGAGGGCCTCCGACTGCCTTCCACACAGCACGTGAGACCGATGAATCTAAATACCAGCCATTGACTCATTCGCCTTTGAGGGTTGAGCAACCTCAGGGAATCCCCGTCTTAAACAAGATTTTTGGGCGTTCCCTTCCATCTTTGTCTTCAAACAACGACCCTGGAGCTACCCGTTCTGAGCACTCGCCCGTTCTCGATGTCCCAGAAAACTCCAGTGGCCGGGATCTCATGTCTGACTGGAAACAGTTCATGAAAACGAGCCGGGACAGATACGGAATGGGGTCGTCAGGGTCACTCCCCTCTCCATTGGCGGATCTTGTGGTGTCCAAAACAAGACAAGCTTCCAATTCAGACAGGTCCTTCACTGACCCTCGTGACCCCCGTGCGATTCATCTTAGTGAGTTGGGTATATCGAATCGACTTGTGGCCTTCTCCCATTCATCTCAAATAGGGTCATGCAATCCATCAACTACCGAGCTGTTCCACAAGAAAAGAGGGGCCATTGGGGGTTTTTCGGAGGAGAACGTCCAATCTCCCCATCCAGGTACCTTGACCATTTCTGGAAACGAGACATCAAGAAATGCGAACGGCCAGCGAGATGCATCTTCATGTTACTCGAAAGCCAGTCCATCTTCGGGAAGTCTGTCGATTGGGGGATTGTCGTTCAAGAAGCTCACTAGCAGAACCATTGATACAAAATCAAAACCAGCACTGCAAAATATACTCACATCTGACAGCGAAGCTGTGAATGTTCCAGCCCCTCGAAACACACTTATGAGCAGATTTCAGGAGCATTGTGACTCTGGCAGCTCTGACTCGCCTCGGTTCCAAAGCCACCCCACGGGCATATTTGCACCTCGCAAAGTTAGTGTCGGCTGGATGTCAGGAGGCCGCCGTGTTGGCTATGGTTATAGCCCAGTCCTAGGTAAAGAGGGAGGTTCCCCGAAAAAAGATGATCAGAGCCTTCCACAATTGAGTCATGCACCCGGTTTGAAAGCAGAATCTACGACGAATGGGGTACATGGTTCACCTTCAAACTATCTTCAACTTGAAAAGGTGGCACAGTCATCACCCCGAGAATACGGTATTCTATCCCCCAGCCATCCACGTCCCCCTCTATACGAGGCTCTCACTGGTCTCAGGTCTATCAATTCTGCGAAATCTAACGTCGAATCTGCCGCTCCATCTCACTTTCGAGCAGTCCTTAATCGTTCCAGCCAAGAACAGAATACAATCACCTGTCCCAGCGAAGGCGGCTCCAGGCTTCTTTGTGCAACAGAACTGACACCTACAGAACAACCAGAGTTATGCCAAATGCCACAGAGTGCCAAGGATACCAGCCTAGCACAGGGCAAGGACACAATTGCTAATAAATGGGCCCGACTGAGCCGATCCATGAACAAAAAATCACAATTCCAAGATCGAAAGACAGGGCTTGATGGTATAACCAACTCTCAAAGGCTACAGGAGATTGTTTTCGAAGATCGTTCAGATGAGACAGAGCCAGAATTCCTTGACACTGATGATCGCGACGAGAGCGAAGACCAAGCTCGACCTAACACTTCACGAGTGACCCGTTGGGCAAACAGATTTTCCAGGTACAGAGAAAGCAGACGGCCCACGACCTTACGCCAGCAAGAGCCTTCACAGTCGTCTTCCGGTGGCTATCAGGATTGTGAATCGGCCAGTATCAGCCTCAAACGAGCTGTTTCTACGAGAAGTAACACGGCAGATGACCCGGATCATTTCGAAATGCCTGGTTCCTTTGAAGGGAGCCGTTGGGCCAGTCGACTCAGCCGCCTGCTGTGAGGCAAGAAATCGGAAGAATCCAGTCCGAGCTTATATATCAGGGTTCTGCCGTTTAATACTCAGCAGCACACATATTATTAACCCTTAGTGAGGAGTTAGTTTTCAATTATAGATATGGATGTATTAGTTTTCCAGCAGAAGAATGTCATTAATCGTACAAGAGGTATCAGGCCATATTATACAGTAGCAGTAACAGTAGATCCCATGCCCAGAAAATCAAGTCAAACTGATCATCGAAGCATGTAAATCTACCGTCGCTGTCGCTTCGAGCTCTTATCACTGACAGCACTGAGAACGCTAGCAGATCGCTTGTGATTCCCATCACGCTTAATAGTCTCAGCATCGCCATCCTTCTGATCATTCTCTGCATCAGCAGTCGAATCAAGCATCCCATTCCCATCCTCAGCCTCAGTCTTCACCTCCGGATGACCATTCCCAGGCGCAGACTTCTTCTCCCGCTCCGCCTTCGCAGCCTCGAGAACACGGATCTCGCTATCGACTTTCTCGGCGACCTTACGCGCGTCCAGGAGTAAGTTGACGGCTTGGATGAGGCGTTCGAATTCCTTGCAAACGCGCTCTGTAGGCATGAAGAGACGGACAGGGATCTCGAGTTCGGCGAGAGCACCGGCCAGTTTGAGTGTTTGCACGTTGGACTTGGCTTGTGTGAGTTTCTGGGCGCGGTCGCTCCGGAATTGTACGCCTGCTGTGACGCGTTCGTGGTGGTGCACGCCGTAGCGTGCTTCTTCGGCTGGTGTGAGTGTGCGGATGGGTTGTGCTTCGCGGGCTGGAAGGGCGCCCTTTTTGCTTGCTGCTGAGGCTGTGGTTGGTGTTTCGCCGCGGCTGATGCCGTTGTTGGCTTGTGTTGGTGTTTGGCCTGCCGGACTGGCAATGGCGCCTCCCTCTGGACCGAGGATGGAGCGACGTTTCTTGCTCTTGTCTGCTTGGAGGAGGGTTTGCAGGAGCTGGGAGAGGCCTGAGCTTGATTGGTAGGCTGCTGTGTTGCCGACGCTGATGGGGACTTCGAGGCGGGAGTAAAGCTCGCGACGTTCGGTGATGAAGTTTTGCTCGTTGCTGGTGATGCGCTTGAGCTCTTCGAGGAGCATGGCTTCTTCGCGGACCTCGTCGGCTGTGCGGTTTATTTGTAGGGCGGCGAGTTCTTTGCGGTCTCGTTCACGGTCTGGGTCGAACTTGAGCATCCGCTCGTGCAGCTCGAATTCGGCTTCGGACATCTCGGATGGTGGGTGTTCGATTGCGAGGATTGTGGCTGCTACGAAGTAGTAGCGTGCTTTCATTTGCTCCATTGTTCGGTAGTGCTTGGCTGGTACGAGTGCGTTGGCGTCGGCTTCAGAGTTGACTTTCGGTTGGTAGTCGTAGCGATCTGCAATAATCACCCAGCGCAAGTCGTATTCGTGTGCCAAATCCATCAGGTAGTCTGTTTCTTCGCGGTCCCAGTCTTTGCTTTGCAAGGACCGATTGTATTCTTCTTCCGAGTATTTCTTTGGTACCCGTGCCTTGATGTTGTACTTGGCGAATGTGTATTCTTGTTCCAGTGGCTTGGAAGCTTCCTCCTTGTCCTCTTGCTTAGTCTCTTCATCCTCTTTTTTCTCGTCCACGTCCATCTGGGTTCCCTCCGGGACAGGTGGGCGAGTTGACTCGTGTTTCCGCTGCCAGTGATTCAAGACCAAGCCATCGGAGCGGGCATTGTTGGTGAAGGGAGTCATGCGCCTAAGCAAAATCACGTATTAGTTGAATACCCATTATACTAAAAAGCTGCTGAATGCATACCATGGTCGCACGCGCAACTTGTTCATCCATTTTGGACGCCCCTTGTACTTGTTCTCGTTGATCGCGATAGGCGGCGCCCGCTCACCTAAAAGCGCGTATAGTTCACGGGTAATACCCTCTGTAAATCAAATTGTCAATAAGCTACCCCAAAATAAATGGATATCTCAACTAACCTGGTCGTTTTTCGACCACCTTCTGCTTCTTATGCGGTCTAGGCTGGCCCACCTCAGCGGGCAAGTCCAGCATGTCGCGCACATCGGCGGCAGCCATGGCTATCTGATGCCGATAGTATCAGACGAAACAGGGAAATGGGTACAGCCAAGATTAATATTGGAATAAATCAAACAATCACAATCTGAACCAGAGTTAAATGATGACGATGAACAAGTTGTCGAGATGAAAATCGCGACGGGCAAGGGAGACCGACGAAACCAGCAGGCGGTGTGGGGCCCGCGTGGATGCCAGGTTGTTGATTCTAGACAATTAGGGAGTTGCTTCCCCAAGGACGTTAAGGCCATAGATCCTCTCACTCCTCCAGTCATGGCTCTCACAGCTCCCTCGTCATGGCTTGCCGCCACTCTGGCTCTTTTCTCTTTCCTCTCCCTTCTCCTCCCCGCGAATGCCTTGTACTTCTACGTTGATGGTCGCCAAACAAAGTGCTTCTACGAGGACCTGCCCAAGGACACCCTGGTAGCAGGTATGATATCCCCTCCTGTCCTATTCTTATCAACGTCGCAATAAGCAATTGCATCATCTTCAGTTACTTTAACTGACATCACTGCTGCCTATAGGCAACTTCGCTACCTATGTCGTCAACCCCCAAACCAACGTTTACTCCATTGACCACAACCTCCGCGTCATGATCACCGTTGACGAGACCTTCGACAACGACCACCGTGTCGTCTCCAAGCGCGAGCACCACTCTGGCCGCTTCACTTTCACCGCCGCCGACGCTGGCCAGCACAAGATCTGCTTCACGGCTGACACCGATGCTCAGACTAGTGGATGGTTGTCCAGTGCCCAGGGCGCAGTCAAGATCTCCCTTGACATGGCCATCGGCGAGACAAGCAAGATCGAGACCGAGGACAAGGACAAGATGAAGGATATCGTGCAGCGCGTTAAGGATCTGAACTCTCGTTTGCATGATATTCGCAGGGAGCAGGTGTACCAGCGGGTTAGTATACTCCATCCCATCACCCTTGCAGCTTTGATATTGCATATCGCAGCAAAGAAGCAACCAAGAAGCATTTACATCGCAACTACCTGCGGCTTCATTAAAGACAGTTGCTAACAATTTTTCTCTATAGGAACGTGAAGCCGAATTCCGTGACCAGTCTGAGACTACCAACTCTCGCGTTGTCCGCTGGACTCTCATCCAATTGGCTGTTCTGTCCGTTGCGTGCGCTTGGCAACTCTCGCACCTGCGGTCGTTCTTCATCAAGCAGAAGTTGACCTAGGTTGGACTGATTAAAAATTGCCATTTGAATGTCTTTTACAGCCCTTTCCTACTTTAAACCTTGCATTTTGGTTTCCACATACGCCCGGTTCGATTTCAATTGCATGGGTTGTTGATTACTTCTTTTATCTGGGTATTTGGTTTTCTTCACGGACAATATTTACCAGTGATGTTGACAGAGATGGTATGGCGTATCATACATGTATCTCAATGGAGGCAACATTTGGTTTTCATCTCCATATGAAAAGGAGCGGGGTCTGGGACCGCCTGGTCAGCGCGATGTCGATTTTGATAATGGATGTAATGACAGCTTTATTTCTTTCATGTTGTTCTTTAATGTACTTGGTAACCTGATGAAATGTCATGGACGCTAAAGTCCAGGGAAGCGAAAGCTTCCAGAAAGTGACGACAAATGCAGAAAGGCCCATCCCCTGAGAAACGTTGGGGTTCATCATTCATTATGTCCAGGGGCAAAAGATAATAAAAAGAAGTAAAATGCAAATGCCCAATATGCTGGTATATGGCAGGGAAGAGAAAAGAAGGTTAGCCCGGAAAAAAGAAAACGCCAAATAAACATGTCGAGAGTAACATGACTCGCCAGATGGCGTCAAGCACCATCTGAAACTGCAGGCGAAGCGAAGGCCACGCAAATAAGAAGAAATGAGAACGCAAAGGTCCTCTGGGTATATAACAGCCCTTGACGTGGGCCATAAGAAATGGAGATAAAAAGACGTGTGCCAATTAGTCAAAATCGGCTTTTTAGGTAGTCACCATCGGAATTGGGTCGCCAGGACTACCACAAAATCCGAGGATCAGTCGTTCAAGGTCGGAGAGTTTGTATGGTTTTGTCATGTAGCCCTTTATACCCACTCTAGAGGCACGATTCAAGGCCTCATCGGTGACATCCGCGCTCACAGCAAGAACAGTTGGAGGCTGTGGCATACGCAATGTGGTCATGTTCATGTCCACATCCATGGAGTCGGAGTTATTGGGTGTTTCTGGAGATGCGTTACTAGAACCAGAAGACATGCTCTGGTGATCATCAACCATCTGAAGAATCCGGGAAGTCGCCTCGTAGCCGTCCATTTCTGGCATCCAAAGATCCATGAGCACGATGTCAATGGGTTTCATCTCTAGAGAATCTGGCTTTGTAGGTTTGATGGGCACATCCACGTCCGCGTCATTTGAGCTGTTGGCGAGAGTTGATGCAGAGAGAATCTCTTTCACGATTTGCACAGCTTCTCGGCCATCGGCTGCTTCAAGAACATCGCGATAGCCCAGCTTACGCAGCATGTTGACCAATACGCGTCGGTTGATTCGGTTGTCTTCTGCAACAAGGAAACGCAATGGGTATTTCTCCCCAAGCTTCTTGTCATATGAATCTCGGCAAATAGCGCTTCGGTTAAGCTGAGGTCTTGTCAGAGTGCGAGGCGGAGTTGGACTCTGTGACTTTTCATCTGAGGTGCTGGGAGTTGGCTGCTGAAGCGTCTGGTTTTGCAAATGGGAAGGCGAGCTTGATAATGTGGGTTCCCAGATGAAGCTGCTCCCACTACCGGTCCGGGTATGATCTGTGAAGAATGGCGGGGTCATGATTCGATCGTTGGGGGTCCCAGGACCACACAAAGCCTCACGTTGGTTCACAGGAACCCGAATCTGGAATTCAGAGCCGTGGTCGGGGCCGGTAGTGGAAGAACGGACACAAATCAGGTCACCTCCCATCTTCCGAGAGAGTCCCTTGGCTACAAGGAGACCAAGCCCCAGACCATCTTTACTGCGGGTGGTCGAGGCGTCTTCGCGTGCAAAAGGCTTGAAAAGATTCGGTAGGAATGCCTCTGGAATACCTGGACCGGTGTCACGCACACGAATCAAGACATCATTGTTCTTGGAGTCGATGGTCGCACAGAGGGTAATCGTGCCATTGTTTGTGAATTTGATAGCATTCAGAAAAACACAGGAGATCAGCTTAGCCAGGTCTCTGTCATCAGCTAAAAGAGTGTCGGGCAATGCCGGGTCAACAGACCAATCGACAGTCTTCGTACGCATTTCACCATTTGAAGATCGTGATCGGATTTCAATCTTCTCGCCAAAATCAGTCGTCTTGCTCTCGGCAGAATCAGGACGGCCGCCAACATGAAGAGACTCGTTGATGACCAAACGAAGAAGGTCTCGCAACTTGGTGAAGCGCAAAGCCGGGCCCCGTAGGTTCATGTTGATACCTTCTAGAAGTAGATGCGGGGCAGATCGTCGAACCGCGATTGATGGTTGTGGATCTACCATGCTGGCCATCACTTCTTCGATCTGGCGGGCTGGGGTGGCGTGGACGATTTGATCACTCTCGTGGACGGCGTTCTTGACTTCTTCGCTGCGGGGAGACAGTTCCTGCCGTGAAGACGCTGCACGAACTCTCTGCCTCCGGGTCGGACGCGCGGAACAGGAGGCCATATCCAGAGGCAGACTCCGTCGTCTCTTGTACGGATTCACAGCAATGTTGCTTCCTTCGATGAAAATACTTGGGCGGCTTTCGATGGACTGGTCTGACGGTGCGCTCGGAAAAAAGCCATTATCTTCCTCCGGTTGCGGCGTGGGTGTTTTGGGCACCTGCATGTTGAGGTCGTAGGCGTGAACAACATTATCAGCAGCTTCTACGGCCCGCCGTGCGCTATCCTGAACCATCTCAATGCCCTCTTTCAGAGCCTGGAAAATCCCACCTGACTTAACGGGTGTCTTGCTTTCCATGGCCTCCCGCACTGTGGCATGCATCACATCAAGCATACCTACCACACCTTGCATCGGGGTCCGTAATTCGTGCGATAGACTTCGAGCGTAGGGTTTGAGAGGTTGAGAGTTGAAATCAGGGGTCGCGGGAAGAGCGACAGTCGCTGTATTTTGCACAGATAGAGGGATTGGCGGAAAAGCCGAAATCTCCTGCTCCGAGAAAACGTCATCTTCTAGCAGCTGCCGGACGATCATATCCTCCAACGAATGCAAAACGACCTCCAGAAACGACCATGACAAATTTCGATTCCGGGTACCCTCTTTCGACCACATCAAGCCGAGATGCGCCAGGCATTTACCAGCGGAGAAGAGTGGAATGGCGAGATACGCTTCGGCAGCAAAGGGTAGTTGATCGTCACCGAAGGACATCAATGATTTCAGATTGTCGGGAATCAAACATGGCCGTTCATGGTCCATATGTAACAGAGGGTTCCCGCCTGCGAAATACCGGTTTCGCTGCAGTCCAACGTTCTGGTAGCCATCGTTGTAATAGAAGGCCGCACCGAAGAGCGACGGCCGGCGCCCGCCCAGTTCGGACATGGGCTCCCCAGCATGTACCCGGCGAGCCACGAAGCCATATTGTGCTTTGCTGATCGATGTGAGATCCTCCATCAACCGTTTCCAGAACAGCTCGGTGTCGGATGTTCTCAGGCCCTGCTTGAGCGTGACCAGGTGTTCAATAGCGGCGGACTGGCCGGCGTCGTGCCAGCTTCGGCCAGACGCGTCAAATTGTATGTTCCCATCTTCCGGTACGATAGCGAGTCCATCGGTGAGGCATTCGGACTTGCAAGAGGGAAATGGCATGGCGGGACGAGAATGGAGGGTGTTAGGGGCATCTGGCTCGGGCGAGTCGGTCATGATCCATGTGGGATTTTAGCGGAAGAAGGTTGCAGTGCTCTGGGTGTGTGTCTCTGTCTTCTTTGTTGATTGTTATCGTAGGACACACACCATGGCCCTCGGGGACACAATGTAAATCCAGGTGTCGTTAGAGCGAATAGCAAGGATTGGTGTAAGGGAGGGGGATCAGGAGGGGATTTTCCGACTCGCACTGGGGCCACCGGGCGGTCTAGACAACAGTGGTTGCTCAGGCTGAAACAGGAGGTTTTCGTGGGTCAGGGACGAAGGCAAAACTATAAACATTCCCCAAGTTCCACTCTAATTTGTCTTGTCTAATTCAAAGAGCATACATATCAAAGAAACAAAGTACTATTATTTTTTCATCTTTCCCCTTCTCTCTTTTGTTTCGCTCAGCGGAGACGCACGGAGGCCCTGCACGATCGGCGGATCTAGACCGAGCGCCGTGCGTCGGTACCGGGTACCTGTGCGACCCGAGCATGGGGCGCCAAAGGGCTCGTACTGGGTACAAAGGATGCATGAACACCCTCGCCAAAAGAACAGTCTTACCCAATCTCAGGACTTGGTGGCTTGAATTCCCCGAGATTGGCGGGGATCGATCAACTTTTTTTTACTTGACGTAGCATCTCCGCTAGGGGCCGCCTCAGCCCTTGCTTCATATAGCTTGATCCATGGTTATTTAGCAAGGCTCTGCGAAATTAAAATGAATATGCCCAGGTGGCCTCGGGGACTCGTGGGCTCCCCCCATGGCTTTGTCTCACCTGCTTCGGTTTCGTTTACGAACACCTTGCGGGGCTTCTGATCTGGTCTAGTTAATATCTCAATGCTGCTAGACTAAAACGTACCCCTAAAGCGGCAGGCGATAAGTCACCTATTGGTTGGAAAATCCTACCGTATAGCGTCTTGAACAACGTATGGCTAGTTCATTTAGGGCCCACTACGACGTAGACCTTCGCTCCACAGTGTGGGACACCCGATGTACCGACGCAAAATCCAGACAAAACTCTTTTACATTTTCAAAGCCATTAAGCGTCATCTGACGCTTTTTTTCTTCTTGGCGTGCACCACATTCAGTGTTTCCTTCTCTCTCCTAGTCCTTGGTGAAGCCCGAATAGGAAATACTGACGCCGATGGTGGCGGTGACCCCAGTCATTGCAATGCCAAAGCTATTATTGTACACCAAGACTGGAACAGCTGCGGGCCGATGGACGCCACCGATTCAACCAATACTGATCTGGACACCCCAAGCGAAGGCTCCAGTCATGGTAGCCGAGTCCCAGGAGGTGAACGGAATGTACTGAATAATGACGGACTTTTCTCTTAGTAGGCACGCGACTTAGCCCCGCAGGCGCTGAGACACTCAAAAATCTTAGAATAGGATAAAGGATGTGACAATTCCAGGATTGTATATCCTATCGATTAGGTTTCAGCATGACATCGAGAAAATTACATATATTAATTGAATCGGGCTAGAACCTTGGAGATCACCGCCACTCGCAGAATAGTCGACTCCAATATGAACCAATGGACGCGCTTAGCAAGCTGGCAGAGCGCTTATCAACTCTTTAGCTGATAGGGAAGCTGAAGCTGGTAGGGGGTTGGGTAGGAGAACGGGTAGGCACCACTGTGCACATATTCCGCGAATGGTGGTGATGTTCTCAATAATGGGCACCCTGAAGATGGCATACGCGGTTTGTTATCGATAGGGTATCGACATTGAACAGTAAGACAGACACATGAAATGTACACAGAGATACACGGTTGTACTGCCCAGCTGATTGGCAGGCATGTCTAGCTCAGTTAGGATGTTCGACGGATTTCTTCCTGGCGGACTTGAATTCTGGGGAAATGGTTCGAGTTGATCTGTCAAAATGACTGCGCATTTGTTTAAGTATAAAGACCGGAATAAAGACTGCAATTCAAGTCTGGAAATACAAGCTTTGGAGCAATCAGAATAAGCCAAACCTTCCAAGTCTAGAGGATTACCGATCGGAATTCTGCGTTCTGATACTCGATCTTTCATATTAGTCAGGGCTGAAGTTATCCATGGATTCAAACCTCTTGGAGCTTCGGGGGGTAGGTAGACAGCGGTGTAGTACTGCAATTAGTTGATTGTTGTTTACACAAGCTGTATGGTTGATCATGACGATCCCAATGGAGATCCTAGACCTCGGTGGTGACTAACCGAGAAATATATTTTAGCTCATTCCAATGCCCACGAATACCGTGAACAAATATCACCATTCAATGTTCGATGAATCATCATCTAAACCCAACTTAATATTTGCCCAGTTCAAAGACCGATAGGTAATTTGCTTTATCCATTAACTGTGATTTATTTTGCATGACGCCAGCCTGTTGTTCACCGCTCCCCGCACATGTGCGTGACACCGAGGTCCCCCGCCAATCATAGTCTAAAGGATCCAAGCGGGGGCCATGGAACTCAATCCAAGCCGAAACCTTAGCTATCCATGCCTATGCTTCGTGTATAGATACAAATTGGAACTCCAGTCAAAGACAATATTGAGAAATAAAAGGCAACATCAACATGGCCATAACTCCTTTCACGATAGCCGTCCCTGACGAGCAGATTAACCAGCTAAATCAAAAGCTCCAGCAAGCAACCTTCCCCGATGAACTCGATGCCGCAGGCTGGGACATGGGTGTTCCACTTGCGGATATGAAACGACTGGTTACCACCTGGCGTGAGAATTTTGACTGGCGTGACCAGGAAAAGAAGCTTAATGAACAGCTCAAGCAGTTTACAGTACCCGTCTCCGTGGATGATTTTGGGGAATTGGAGATCCATGTTCTGCATCATCGGTCTGGGAACCCGCGGGCTATCCCGCTACTGTTTATGCATGGGTGTATATCTGCATTCGTTTGATATAAAAAAGACTATCATCGACTAATCTGATATCGGCAGGGCCTGGAAACTTCCTTGAAGCAACTAAGTTGATTCCATTGCTCATGAAGGATGATGGTGGACCCGCATTTGATGTTGTCGCTCCTTCACTTCCTAACTATGGGTTCTCACAAGGAGTCCAGAAGGTATCAGCCGAACAGTATACCAATTTGGGTTGTAGCTGAACTATGTTTAGAAAGGATTTGGCTTGGCCCAGTTCGCTGAAACCGCCCACAAAGTCATGATAGCCCTAGGCTATGATCAATATGGTATGAACTCTGTCTCCGCCCAGAAGTCCCACCATGAACCTATAAAACTGAACTATCAAGCTAACTTCCACTAGTCATACAAGGAGGAGATTGGGGTAGCGCTATCGCCCGTACAATGACAGCCTACTACTCCAAACACATCCAAGCCATCCATCTAAACACTATCCCCGTGTCCCCACCCTACCCGTGGCACAGCCCACTCGGCTTCCTCAAATCTCTCATTAGTGTCCCATTTTCAGCCAAAGACCGTGCATGTATCAGCCGCACAATCGAGTACGTGACCAAAGGCAGCGCCTACATGTTACAACAGGGAACCCGGCCCCAAACTCTAGGATATGGACTTCAAGATAGTCCCGTTGCGCTACTGGCATGGATATACGATAAGCTGCACTCGTGGTCAGATGCATACCCGTGGACAGATGAGGAGATTCTGACATGGGTGAGTGTGTATTACTTTTCACGGGCGGGACCGACAGCTTCGACTAGGATTTACTACGAAAGTTTGGCGCAGAAGCCGGAGGGCGTGAGCAAGTGGATGAGTATGGCTCAGATGTTCGATGCTCGGGCACCGGCGAATGTGCGGTTTGCGGTGGCACAGTTTAAGGGGGAGATTCTTCAGTGGCCTATGGCGTGGTATCGGGCTATTGGGAATGTGGTTAAAGAGACGGAATATGAGCGTGGAGGTCATTTTGCGGCTTGGGAGGTGCCTGAGTTGGTTGCAGGTGATTTGAAGGAGCTTCTGGGTAAGGGTGGGCCTGCCTATGCGGTTATAGAAGGTAAAGATGGTTATTGATTCTCTGCTGGGAGTAACCAGGGTATATAACGTGGTTTATATTTCGGGATTTTATCGTGAATATGCAATACTGCTGTGACATTGACATTGATGACGGGGCTTGTATTATCGTGATAGGAGGAAGAGAAGTATAGTCGCGACAAACGCTATCTTTCAGCTCAAATGTCAACTGGTCTCACGTCACTGGTGTAGTATTCCATCCAGGCCGTCCATGGCACCCCGTCACCCAGAGAAAACCGCAGACGCCATACCCTGTCTTGAATCCGACAGAAAGCCCAAAATAATCAGCTCGAACATCCGTGATCCCCTTTAATCCTGTCGTCCCTTGAGTAGCCTCTGGGTGACCTTGTCTTTCTCAATAATCCACACCTGCGCACCCCAGCCTGATAAGGCATCTCGGTCGACGGCGGCCAAGAGGGCTTGCGAGATGGTCTCGAAGAGATCCTCGGGCTCCTTTAGAGTCACAATGTTAGCTCGGTTTCAAAGAGCGACACATATAATTCATGAACCTACCATATCCGGCTCCCACAGACCCTCACAGGTACCAAACAGCTGTTCGCTAGCGGTTCCGCTCACAATGAAGTCCTTGGCGAAATCGATACATCCAATGCTGTCAAATCCACAGATGAACGGCTTTCCAGTTGTCTCGTTGATACCAGCCAACACCGGGCTGACAAAGAAAGGACCGAAACGCTTCTCATACAACGATGAGCTGACTAGGTTGGCCAGAGTCTGGGGTGCGATATTGCGTTCCTCGCGCAGGCGATACATGTTGACCTTGTAACGGAGAAGATCGGATACGGTATTGACATCGGTAGCGAGACCAGTGAGGCCGAGGTAGGTGGATGGGGCGTAGTTGAAGACCTTAGGGAAATTGTTGGAGATGGTCAGGGCTTGCATGCCCAAGCGGAGGTCGCAGGCGATGGCGACGCAGTCCTTGCCGACCATGGCGACACAAGCACCACCATCTAAGAAGATTGTTAGCTTATCGGCAGATTTGTTGACACCAGAAAAGGGTTGATCGTACTGATGTCGAAGGGAGAGCCCTGATGATGGGAAGGAGGTTAGCTTTAAGGTCCTGGCCAGCAAATGGGACAAGGGGACCATCTCCATACCATTATTGCGGATTTCTTTTATTCAATGTAGACCGAGACGAGGTTTCTGAAGCTCTCAAGTGAAGAACACGCAGAAAAAAGACGGCTGAGGAGGGATGTGGAGGGTGAGTGATGGGGGAGAGGTGTTGATGACGGGGAGCTGTGAGGTGCGCGAGCTCGGATGACGCCGCCGCACCGCTGCCTGTTTCGTCTGTGCCCTTCACCTTCGACTGCTTTCTTCCCATTCCACTCAACACAGCTTTTTCTTCTCGCACGGTTTTGTGTTTGGAATTGTCGTTCTTTCAATTTCATAGCTTGTTCTACCTTTTTTATATCCCTGTCCGAATCTTCGCGAGCTCTCTTGCTACTAGTTTCCCTCCCCGCCCGCGCAACCATGAGCGCCCACGTCGTGGTAATCGATGCTACAGCCAAGCGGGCAACCATCAAGACAACCCCAGGCAAATATTTAACAGATATTTTACAAGAGGCATGCTTAAAACTTGGATATAACCCAAGCCAGTATGGCCTTAAGTATGTTCTTTTTGACCCCGCCGAGATACGATGATGCTGACATATTGCTTCCCCAGGCACAATCGCAAACAACTGGACTTGTCCCTCTCATTCCGCCTCTCCGGCCTCAGCTCTGGTGCAAAGCTGGAGCTTGTCCAGGCATCTCGCTCTCCTTCCGTTGTCACAGTCGGCCTCCAACTACCAGAATCCGAAGCTCAAGGTGCACCAAATGGACGCATACAGGACAAATTCCCAAGTACAACCACACTCTGGCTAGTGTTGCGCAAGTTCGAGGCGGGAGTAGCAGGAAATGGACAAAAGCGAAATTTCACGGCGCGCGGGGTACCTTCTACGACGGACGGCGACTCTGGCTCTGGTCGATTATTCTACGAGATCCCTGTTCTCCGGATTTTGGAGCGCGAAATGTCAAGCTTCACGGATCTACAAAAGTCACTTGCCCAGTTGGGCTTCAATAATGGCAATGTGTTGATCCGACTCGGGTTTCGAAGAACAGACGAGCCGCTTGAGGAAGCCATGGTGAAGATTGCCGAGTACTTCAAATCAACTGGGGATGATACTCCAATGCCAGCTCAAAACCAAGCTTCTCCAGCTCCTGCTATTGAGAGCAACGTGCAACAAGAACAAGAAGCTACTAGTGAACCGACTGCCGCGAATACTGCCCCCGCAGAAGTTCCTGAGCAACCAGTGCCGACATCTACCCGATCCGTCACTGTCTTCTCTCCTCCATCCGCCGACACACCATTTTCGGCACAAGCACCATACAATGAAGAAGACTACATACCATCTATTGAGCACGCTACAGCCCACCAACGTCAACTTAACCAATCTTCCCGCCCAAAGCGTCTACCCACAGACGCCGAGATCGCCGCCAAAGCTGCCGCAGAAGAGCAGCGACGCGCAGATATTCGCGAAGTAGACGTGAAAATCCGTTTCCCAGACCAGAGCCAAGTGGTCGCCAAATTTGGCCCATCAGATACCGGCCAGTCTCTCTACGACTTCGTGCGCAGCTGTCTGGTACCAACATACTCGGACATAAAGTTCGCTCTGAACGCTTTCGCCAGTTCAACACCAGCACGTGCTGGACATGTGAATGTCATCCCGGAAAACCAAACACTTCTGATTAAGGGTCTTAAGTTGGAAGGAAGGATTTTGATCAACTTCACATGGGCTGATAATGCAAGCTCAGCTACGCATCTGCAACGAAAGGATATTTTGCGTCCGGACCTCCGCAGCCAGGCTCAGGAACTCAAGGTTGAACAGGTACCGGAGCCTGTACAGGAGCCTTCTAAGCCGGCAGAGGCTGGTCCTAGTGGCAGTGCGGATGCAAGTAAGGCTGGAGGAGCACGGAAGGGTGGTGTACCCAAGTGGTTCAAAATGCCGGGAAAGAAATAAATGAAGTGAATGGACTATGAGTGATGTGATTTGGATGAGTATATCATGACTTGATCTGAGTTGAAGAATCCATCGAGTTCTTACTATTGCTCTGACATACCGATAGATCTCGTTCTTCATAAGATAGAATCAATGCATGACATGGCATGGCTATTGACGGCATTGAAAAGCACTACTCAACTGTAGAATGTACATAGTAGATACACAGCCGGCAGATCGACAACCCAACTGCCCTTAATTACTCTGGAAGAGTATAGAGCTATAGCTGGTGGAGTATCGAAAGCTCCATATCAATGAATCCTACAAGTCAACTTACACAGTAAGAAGTTGGACATCAGGTAGTGCAACCCATGCAGATCTACAAGATACAGACTACGAGAACAAGCACAAATCGTGAATTGGAACAAAATTTTCATTATGGTTTCTCTTCCTAGAGGGGAAGGGATCCCACTTTTGCCATCCCCATCATCCACCGGTAGTCACAAACAAAACCCCCGTGGTCTGAAGCCATACGCCATTCGGCAGTCCTTAATGATAAAGCAGCCAGCGTGAGGATGAAACAAGACTCGGGTAGTTTCAATTTTTTTCGTTCGTTGCGCGCGCCAGGTATTCAAGTCGTTAAACGAAAGAGAAAAAGGGTTCACGGTATTGAGACATTTAGTGACCCTGGGCACGGCGGGACTCGGCAATGACCTTCTGCATGTCCTCGACCTTCCGCTTACCGCGGGTGAATGTGCCGAGCTAAAAGAAAAAGTTAGCTTTGGTTCTGTGGGTTGCGTGATTCAATTGCTGATGTAGATCGTGGGAGTAGTGCAGGGTTGGATTTCGAGATTGGAACGAGTGCGCAACTGCTGTGCAAGGTTGATGAAATCTTCCTTGGGTGGCAAATTTGCGAAAGCACTCATATTGTCTCCGAAATCCAGCTCCATGTACCACTTCCGAAATCATACCAATCCAAGCAACGAATTCAAATATCCGGGAATGTGGTGGCAGGTAGACGTACGCGCTTCTTAGCGAGCTTACGGGCACGCTTGTCCTGAGCGTTTCTCAACAACTCAATGACACGGCGCTCATAGGGGGCAAGACCGACGACCTCACGAGCGATCTCGCGGACGAACTGGGTGCGGCGGGAAGACTGGCCCTTGGAACGGCTGATCTTGGTCTTGGGGGTGTTCAGCGCGGTGGTTTTCTGTATAACCAAGTCAGCTGGTTTGATCCATAAAATGCAATTGCCGTGCAAGTTCCTCCTCCGTTGTCATCTGTTTGAGATATCGATTTCTTAAAGTCGGTCAAAAGTCGGATCGGGGTTCATATTGTAGTCAAGGCCTGTGTCCATGTCGATCTTCAAATGCCAGAAAATTTCCACCACACGTGCTTTCCTCATATCGCGGCGTTTCCTTTTCCTTCTCTTGATCCCACCAATGGGTCCTTGCTGACACTCGCTATTCTGGTATTCACAGGCCTTTTCCGAATGACTGTCCGAGAACCATGATCGACTCGAAGAAACCGATAAGACAAAACAGAGATCCGGGCTTCGGGGGTTTGCAGGTAGGGAATTCAGAGCACACGTACACGGCCGCTGTTGGTGCCGACGATGATACCGGTACGTTCCTGAGCCATCTCGACGGTTGGTGACTGAAGGGGTTGGCGGCGGTTGTCGAAGAAGGGAATGAAGAAAGTCGTGTGGAAATCCCCTAGTGTCCTTGGAACCGCACAATTGCGGGTCTTGGCACGGGACTCTGTGTGTAGGCGAAGGGCTAGGGCTAGGGCTATTATGTAAGACACTCTTGTGACTCTAATCCTAATGTGGCTTAGCTCCCGAGTGCCTGGACCTTGGTGCCTTGGTGCCTTAGTAAAAGCATGAAATGAACTGACATTCTCATTGGTTGCGGTTTACTATGTACAGAACAGCAGAGCTGGATTCCAATCTTGCAATCTTAGAAATTCATGATCAACTATGCAGTCGCTAAATTGTATCTCGATCTAAATATCCCACTTTTTCTATTTCGTGTATCACATCTCATAGTGACCCTTAGTGGTATTTACCATCACAGCCTCACACTCATCACACCGTCCAGGGCCTCCTCCCAACTCTCCATCAAAGAACCACAGAAAAGTTCAAGATCAGACATGTCTAAAGTAGCTTCTAATGCCGCCTGAAGTTCTTTGCTGTGCGGCGAAGATGAGGGTCCCTGAACCACAACGTCAACCATTGTACTCAAGACACCCGATCGAGAGATGCGCTGCTTCAGGCTCCGAGTGTTAGATCGAATAAGCTCGAAAATTTGCGGCACCAAGTCAGATAGCCTATCAACACGCTCCTTTGACAGCTTTGCAGACTTGGAAGCCTTGCGAGAAGCCAGAGTAACCAATTGAGATAGGGCCTTGAGAGTTTCGAGAAGGGTGAAGATGTTGTGAAGGTATTCCCAAGTTGGGGCGGTTGGGTTATCAGCCAGGAGATAGACTGAAGTGGAAAGAATAAGAGGAGAGATCTGGGACTCATTCAGAGTCAAGCTGATCTTCTTCGAGTTCAGCCAGTCCTCCACTTCTCCAAGAGCTTTATCGGCTTGCTCGGAGGTGGTAAGCTTGGACCCAGCCATGTAAGTCGCCACCTTGAGCAGCTCGGCATGGATCTTCGAGTTCTCCTTCTCGGTCTCGGTCTGGTCATTGGAATCCGAGATGGACAAAGCACTGAGGTCGGGAAGATCGGTCTCGGGGGTCAATGGCTTCTGGATGGAAATACCCTTCAGCACGCTGAAGAGTCGATCCGTAATCCTGGCGGAGGCGAGCCAATTGGCCTAAATGACATTTAGCAGGTTGGTAGATGAAAGAGAGGAGAGTACTAGGATAGCTCACCTTGGGGATAGGCCCCGGGCGCACGTTTTCCTCAAAGCTAGACTTTCCAGGGAATTCGCAGTCCATAAATGACGTGTATTCACGCTGATCATGAATCGGCGTGTCTTTAAGTGCTGGAAGTAGTAATTAATCAGCAAGAGCATTCACGCAATGTAGTAACCGGCAAAAGTTTGTTTTGGCCTTACCGAGCTCCTCGAACCGAGTCATCGGGTCTCCTCCCACCAGTCTCTGTGCCTGTCGCACATCCAAGGCCATCATCCGGCGGCAAATACTGTTTGACAGTCGCTGTCGGAGCTCGACGATCTCTTCCACATTTGTGTAGCTTCCTTCCTCCAGACCACGGGTTCGGAACTTCATGGTAGTAATGTCGGCATTACGGAAGAAGTTAAGACCCTGAACAAATGCTGCTTGGGGGTCAAAGTCCTTACGCTCGACGCCTTCAGTTGGTGGTGCTGAGTGGGGGTGAATAGTAGAAAGTCGGGTGAAGAAATTGTGAGCAACACTTTCATACTGCATCTGCTTCACAGACAACTTGTTGAAGCTGCTAAAGGCAAGAGAGCCCGCTCCAAAGAGAAGGTAAATGCGCACCACAAGCAGGAGAGCCTGGTAGGTGTGGGGCGAATCGCGGAGAAGGCTTTCAAGGATTGCGATAGCACGGAGAACAGAAGTATGCGAAACAAGCGATTGCTCGTTGGTCTCACTCAAAATGGCCATGGCCGCAAGAATGCACAGGTCATCGGTGGACTTGCTCTCAATCGTGGAAGACGACCCATTAGCACCAGCCTTTTCTATCTCACCGCTGGCAGAAGCTTTGTATTGATTCAGGCAGCGGGCGACGAAATCTTCAACCAGTTTCTGGGAAGGTTTGCCTTCGGCACCTGAAATGTTCAGACAGTATTCCAGCTTAAGAGTATTGATGATAGCATTGACGGCCTGTGTTAAAGTCAGAATCAAATATAATGGACTGCAGAGTCATTTGAGATACTAACATTTTTGCCCTCATGCTTGCCCTCGGACAGGTATTTGAGCATCTTTGCCATTGCATCTCTATTGCCGGCCAGAATTCGTCGAAGGTCACTGAATGCATACAGCTTACCCTTGTGCTGGTCAATGTACTGCTGGCAGGCAGGGAGCAAGTTATCTTCCACAGTCATTTCACCCTTCTCAATGGCAGATGTGATAATATCAAGACGGGCTAGGGCTGCATTTCGGGACTTGGGTTGGAATTCCATGAAGCTTTCAACGAATCTCTGTGTTTCAGCAGCAGTTCTATGCATAGGGTTAGTTTATTGCAAATACCACAACGGTGTTGTAAGACTAACCCAGGAGTATCGATATTCTTCACGGCCTCAACCAACAGGTTCCAGATCACCCAATCATCAAGCTCCGGGAGAGCTTTCCGCTTCTCCTCGTCATCGGGGACGGTGTAGAGCTCTTTCACAAAAGTGATCGCATCGTCCCATAGCTTCCCAGCTTCCAGACTCTTAGCTTTGCTAGCAAGGAATGTCTTATCATTCTGTAAGATGCGCGAGCTGATACCCACGTTATCACTTCCCAGGATCTTCACAACTTCGTCAAACCGCTGCTGGGATTCGAAAATCTTAACTAGCAACATCACTTCTTCGGACTTTTGGATGGCTCGAGGTTGACTCAACAACTGGTCCTGTGAATGTATCAATTAGCCTTTCTCCAAGCTGACTAGAGCGAAGCTGCCAGTAATGTATAGTGTTGTATAAAAGCACATATATCTCAAAAAGACACCTACCGGATCGGTGGGAACATCAGCAGCCGCTTTAGCAATCATGCGGTACGCCAATGTTCCAAACAGCTTGCGGTCCATTTCTGAGCTCTTGGTATCAGTCGCAAGCATATGAGTGCAAAAGATGGCCCAGAAATAGTATGCCCGCTCCCGGGGGAAGTTCTTTTGGAGACTCATAGTAGCCTACCGTAGAGATAGCATGTAGTTAGCATCCACTGTCCGGTTGCCAAGACAGAGCTTCGCCAAGGGCTTACCTTCTGCGCTGACTTCCAGTCATCATCCTCGAAAGCAGATTGGAACCATCTCATCTGTAGTTCCAGATCCTTGGGCTTCGCCTTCGCGGCCTTCTCCCACAGCATACTCCGAGTTTCAGCATGTCCGTCCATCTTCTGCAGGGTCTGGAACAGGATGTCGAGGGTATCAAGATCGGTAGTCGGTGGTTCGGCCTTGCAGACCTCGAGAGTCTCCGCAATACCGCGCTGGTGGTGAGCTTCGTCCGCCATGCGGAAAAGGACATGCGCCTTCCATGCCTGTGTCGTGAGTGTTGTTAGCGGAGGAGCTCAGGAATCGGGCGTTTGAGGATCTCAGTGCGAGCAGAGGACATCAATTGAGTAAGCAGGAAGGATAGACTCACCTTCAGAAACCGTGTGTCTTCACCTTTCTTTATGCGCTTCTCGATCAATTGCAGGGCCTGTTTCAAATTCTGCCCGTCAATGGCATCTTGGATCTGGTTGTTGCGCCGGAGGAACACGGCATCGTTGGAGGGAGCCATTGCGGTGAGCTCTTGCTTGAGCTTGATTTAACCCACTCGGCTAGTAAGGTATTCGGAATCCTGTGCTGACACAACTAAATAACAATTTGAGAACGAGCGTGGGATACTGCTTTTTTGGCGGGGAAGCAAGTAGAGGGCGGTGAGGAGAAAGTCGAGGTCGGTGAAAGTGGACCTTCAGTCATGGGATCCAAGGAACCTTCCAATGTTGTATTGTTTGACTCATCATATTGAATGAGTAACAAATTGTTTACCTATGTCTCATTCACCTGGTCTTCCTCCAAGGCTATGGTTTTCTAGCAATGTTCTGCTACTTGTAAGTAAAGACAGAAGAATGAATCTATCCACCTGGCCTACTTCAAAATATATACATTTGCAAACACCTGAGTATTGACCATTGTGACATGGATAATTTTACATACATACATAGATCAAAGCCACCAATTGATTACATACAGAGAAAAAAGGCCCAGACAGGTTTCAGGGGAACTTTTGCAGCGGTGATTGTTGACGTAATAAACATATCGGTCAACTGGCGGGTAGTGTATGCTTAAATGATATTCCACAAACAAAGTGAACAAAGCGCCATGCCGGGGAAGGAACAGTAACGAATTGACCAGGCTAATTGGAGTCGGACGATCCAGGTGCTGCCTTCTTTTGATTCAACTACAATGGTTGTTAGTTATGTGATCGATGCCTATACTCATCGGCACCGTCCGAAGGATCCGGAGGATATAATATGATTTCCGGCAGATGAGTAGATGTGAGTGATAGTAAGACTTACCCAATTCTTCTTGCAATCCCGATAAGCCCTGGGGAGTTTTGGGTCAGTAAAGGATGGTTCTCAATCATGACCGATCGCGAGCATGGAAGCAAGGCTGGCTCAAACGGGAGTCCATGATCGTTTCGGGATAAGGGATAATAGAAAGAGAAAGCATACTGGAAGTAGTCACCACACATCTCTCGATCATAACCATTGCGCTTCAGACATTTGAGACTACGATCCGCGAAGTCCTGGCAAGGGTCATAGAACTGGCTTGCAGTTTTACTGTAATCACCAAGTCAGTCAAGGAGACAGAGAACAGGACAAATAGTTCGGCAAGAATAAGCCTCAGTAAACACCGAACTATTACAGACAGCTCTAGTCTGTTTTCTCCCTTGGTCACCGGCATAGCTGCACGAATTGAACTTACTGGGCGAATTGGCGCTCCGCTTTTTCCCACGCCTTGTCGTGGGTCTCGGGCTGAGATGGTTCCGTCATAAGTGTCAAAGAGATGAGAACGCACTTTTCATAGGGGTGCCCAACGAGTATATGCCGAGGCGTTCTGTCGGCGATGAGTTTGGAAGGAGCTAGAGGTTGATTGGAGGAGGTGGTAGCGTTTTGCCGGGCAGAATTGCGGGTCCATTGTCTTGGCGCAGAGACGATCGCTTTGTGGAGTACAGTATGCCTTCTCCTTTTGTCTTGTTAATTGGATTGATTGTATGGTCATTGTCGTAGACAAACCTCTTGTATTAAAGTCAAGAAAGATCTCTGGTAATGAATAATGAGAGTAATAGGATCTGCGTTGATTGCAAAAAGAAGAAAAAAGGGTTCTGTGGACACTGGTTCAAACCTGGTCAAGCCTGCAACTCCAGGGCTAGGGAGAGTTGCTTCTGTGCCGACTGGAGGGTCCTCGCCACGGGCATTAAGCATCAGGGCATAGGGTGGAGACGAATGATTGGCTTTTGACCGTATCCATACCTTTCCTTTATGTCCGCTTTATGACTGTTTTTAGCAGAGAAAGCGCCATTACTTGTTGGATTTGAGCTGCCTACAGGAAATTGTATACAGAGCTTTTTTTAAGGCGCTCAACTCTGTACCGAACTGCATGGGAGCTAACATTCATTGGCTAGGTCATAAATCATTCCAAAATTTGCCCAGACCGAACCTCAACGTGATGAAACTGGCTGGGTCCGTTTTTAGTATTTCGAATGGCTTACTAGTAAAGGACATCTTTTGCTTGGTATTTACCAGACGCCAGCTGGGTGCTTTGAAGCAAGTTTCAGTCTTCCCGAAGACCAGACGGCAAAAGTCTGATCCCATATCTTTAGTCAATGCGAGTTCTTTGATAAGAGAGATTCGACCCAAGACGATTCGTTGCCATCACCTTGACCCCCTTGATGAAAGTCATAAGTGTTACGGGTACAAAAAATCATCGAGATTGGCATTAAATGTGAGTAGTGTAAGATTGTCGATTCTTCCTTGTAAGGCAAAAAATTTAGTGGAGTCCTCTTCCCGTAGGAGGGGCCGGCCCGCCAAACTAATTTCCATATTGCCACGGCACTGGTTGTGACAGGACCCGTAGCGCTAATCTGCAGCAATTGCAGGAGTGGATATATCACACTATCACTACAATTAGTGTGTGCTTGGGTCTGAGGTCTTGTCCTATTGGTCCCTCCACCCAACGGCGCAAGGAGTCTGGCGGGAATAGCGGTGGTGTTTTGATCAAAGGTCGAGATCAGGAAATGCCTGATGAGAGTCCTAAAAGAAGGAATAATCAACCCCTTGAAATGTCTCACTTGTGAGAGCAATAGGACAGGCACAGAGAAGGTATGATAAAAGAACAAATGGGAATAATGATTCATATTCCAACACAACAATAAGTTGGGTCCATAGTCACGTGAGGAGCAGCAGGAACCGCTTATTTAATTAATGCCTGAGGCCACAAAACAACACGATTGCCCTGGGTTCCTTCACTTCTCAGCGCCACGGTTTTCCCGGCTTTGGAATATCGTGGCCCTCTAATACATCTGATTTACTACTTATTCGCGCAATCCGCCTGCATCTGCGCTGTGTTCCAACATTCAGCTCTACGCCTGATTGTGGGCACTTCCATCGAACTTTTTTCTCTGACCCCCACCGCATCGTAACGAGTTCGCGCCCCCGCTCGACACCGGCCCAAAACGCAAGTTTGACAACGTCGGAGCTGCAAGTGCAGCTACAGAAAACACACAGAAAACCGCGGGAGGGCAATATGGCGATGATAGGTAGTTCTGCGGCCGAGTCCTCCGGGGTAAGCTCCGACCATTCTGCAAGGATGTGGAAAAAGTTAAGACTGACGCGTTTATAGCTTGTCAATACCCTCCAAGGCCATGTGGATGATATTCGAAGCTTAATACAGTGTGGGATTTGCATACGACCATTATACGAGCCTTTCACCCTTGCCTGTGGACACACCTTTTGCTACTCCGTTAGTTTTCACCATATCTAATTTGCGCCCTCTATGAGCTGGTTGTCTGACATCGCATAGTGTTTATCGTCATGGTTTGCTGGTGGAAGATCGAAGAGGACATGTCCTGATTGTCGAGCACCCGTCAAAACTCAGCCTGCGCCGGCCTACCTTGTTAGTCTATCTGATGCCTCTCTTGAAACTAGTATCTGACTTTTTCTTCTTCACTTATTCTAGGTTCGAGCTGTCGTTCAAATGTTCACCACCCGTGCAGAGCTCTTGGATACAGAAGAGACAACAGCAGAACATTTGAAAAACCACAAAGAGGAAATAGCGAAACTGGACAACGACAAGGCGAATACAGATCCGCAAAATGGAGGGTTATTTGGAGGACTTTTCACACCGAAACCCCCTCAACCGAAACCCGTTATCGACATAGATGATGGTATCATGCGCTGTCCAAATTGCTCTTGGGAACTTGAAGATGGCCAGAATTGCGCCGGGTGTGGCTACGTCTATCGGCCAGATTCCGAGGGAACATACTCCAGCGGATCGGACTTGAGCAGCGGAAGCGATTATGATTCTATTCTAGACGGAGATGATGACGACGAGGACGGGGATGAGATAGAAGATCCAGACGCACCGACAACCCAATCCCGAGTCGGCGCACCATTCCACTTATACGACAGACCTATCAACCTCGGTCCGATGTTTCACGACTTGCACCCACATCCGTTCTATCTACCTGGTTTTCGGCACACTACCGGCACTGGACACCCTCCTTGGCAAGCACGGGATGCCTATAATGGCAATGTCTCCTATGATCCCTATGGGGAAGAGGAAGAGGAAGAGGAGGAGGACGAAGACTACTACGAAGATTCATTCATTGACGACGAAGAACATACGCAGCGCGAGAGAGAGGGGTCTGAATCCGATCGTTCTACAGTTGTTGATAGTTCTCGTGCTCGTAACCAACCTTCTTCACGGGGGCCGCCCATTGTACAATACCCCCAAGTGTTTGGCCCGTCTTCGGCAGCCGAGCCCGAGGATTATGACTGGGAAAGCGAAGACGAGGAATCAGTACCCGGGAGACTCTCGAGGCGAAGAGGGCAATGGGTCGTCGATAGTGATGCCTCTGAAGCAGAATCTGGCGAAACGCCACATGACCTTGGGTCCAATGATATACCCGACGGCCTCGATGAGGACTCTAACTCCGAGAATTCTGATTCTGATTCTTCTGATTCCGACGATTCCGACGGCCCCCATATAAGTGCTACCCGTAGCCATTACCCATCAGTTATTCTCCCGTCGGATGACGATGAGATTGAAGATGGCTCTAGCTCACCTCCCAGGCCCAGAACTTCAAGGACCACAGGCACAACTGCCAATACTGCCATCGCCGTTGATGATTCGGATGATGAGGAACCTGTTGGCCCTGTACGAAGAGCAAGCCAGAGAAGACAAGCCCGATTCTCTCCGTACTGATTTTGGCCAATTAATTCATGGCACCGCTGATTTGTTCAACTTTTGGTTTATTTCTATCTGCATACTCGGCATGGGTTTCAATAGCGTGGCGCTTCGGATGGGATAGAAAAATCGCTTGACGCTGCCTGTTATTTGCAGGCCTCAACCTATACTGGCGCAATGATTTATACCTTTTTACTATCTTGCTTTTATTTTTCAATAACTCAACCACCCAATATACCTCTTGAATAATGCGCTACTTTCTTACCGCTAGTTCTGATTTTCATCGATCTCTATCTCTTATACTTTAGACTGGCAGGAGATCAGTAACTCTCATCATGGCTCAGCCCCATCATAGCTTCTACTAACCCGGGCAAAGTGGCTCCTAAAATGAAACCAGAAACGGGGATGCAATGCTCTTCGGCCACCTTGATTGGGTTGAATATAGGTCCGTGCTCTACATATCATGGCTCAGCACTCAGCCTCATTAACCATCAACCCGGGCAATCATATGAAACCGAGGATTGGGAAGAGGTTCTCTTGGAACATCATTATTGGTTGTTTGTTCTTGGTCATCATTGACCTTTTGAATACAAATTTAATTAGCTAGTGAAATATCCATTGAGATCCTGTGCATCCCAGATACTTTGAGGAAAGTTTTTAAGCTTTTGCTCACCATTATGTTCTAACCCTTCATTTAAAAAATATAGGGTATAATTCCTTTGCTGTAGCAACCGTTATTGCCAGTGTACATGGATGAGCATGTTGCAACAAAAGTTCGACAGGAAATCAAAGAGAAGTTTCGAAGTCGAACTCAATCCACTCAGTAATAGAATGTACAATTTGGGGAAGTCGGGATCAATTTTCATATCCAGGTACTGCCTGAACCAACATCTTGTTGAGTGCTCTCACCACGACAAAAATTTTTCACATTGCGAAGAAAGGTAGTTTGGCGGCTCTCAATTTTCAATGATGAAGACGCGAAAAAATCCCACAAACCCGTGAACTGCTCCTTGCCGAAATAGCTGTAGGATCCAGTGATTTCCACACAGTTCACAGCGTTGGCGCTATGAGCACGCTGGCGCACGCTGCTTGGCAGGTGCCGAAGGCCGAATTACACGCGATTATAGAGGCAGGTGCACTTGCCCCCATAGTAGCGCCCCAAGTGCAACCTGCAGCTGAGTAGCAGGCCATGACAACCGCTGCGCATCCTGCTTGGCAAATCCCATAGGCAGCGGGGCCGGCAGAAACAAGTCCGAAAAGGTAGAAAAGAGATAATAGAAATTTCATATTGTCTGGGATGGTCTCTGAAATTTTACATGTCAACCAGGATGTGGTTATTTGAATGATGTCTCGAGAACTTGCATCTGCTAGTGCGAATACTTGTCAGAATCATACTGACGTTGAAATTCCGTTAAAGCGTTTGAGAGTCATTGAATGCCAACTCGTATCGCAGTAACCGTGATTCCCAGCCGCATGACCTCGGACCGGGGGATCAGTATGCCCATACTCACGGATACTGCTATTAATTGGCCAATATCTTTCGTGGTGATGTCTTTTTGACAAAGGCGACATCCTTCGCGAGTTATGATTAGCTTTCTGTGAGATTCGTATTCGTGTACTGTACGATACATATCGTGTGTAACTTAAATCAACAGAAAGACCCTCTAGGACTATGGGTGATATTGAGTAGATATTCAGGTACATATTTCTCATACAATACCGTAGGCTACTCTATAATATTTTAATTGAGTCTGTGCCTTCTCTTGCGTATATTGTGGCTCACATGCGAAGTCATATGCTCTTTGATGCATTTTATTGGACTTACAATTGCTGCGCCAAATGTGGATGGTCTTCAATTCAACACACTTTTGAATTAAAGGGAATATGACTCCTAACAACATTGATCTATAGCAGGTTATCTAAGGTTATCTAAGTGCGTATCGTCCAGGCAACTTCGTTCCTTGAACATGAGTCATCCAAGCAATGTTACCCCACGTCTTTTTCTATCTTCTTCCATGTAAGCAATTTTGCCGTCTTAATTTATTCTATCATCCATAAAATGGCAGCTCAGACCGTCCCCTACGGGCACTGGACTAGTCCCCTCACCGCGGAGCGTCTAGCTACAGATAGCATCACACTTCATGAGTTAGCAGTTAATGTACGGAACAACCAGCACCTTATCCACGACCATTCACTAACATACCACAGGAATCAACGGGAGCCATCTACTCGATTGAGTGTCATCCAACAGAAGATGGTCGTTATGCAATCGTCCAGCATCTTAATGGGAAAAGCCAAGACGTGCTACCCAAAGACCTGAGCGCGCACGCAACAGTGCAAGAACTCGGTGGAGGCTCTATCGACATGCGACACGATGGACAGGTTCTATTCGCCGACGAAGAGTCTCGTAACATCTACCTGCTAGATTCAGTATCGGGCGAAACTAAAATTGTTCACCCGGCTGTTGAAGGGATCCGGTATGCAGACTTCTGTAGCCACCCCTCTAATCCGGAGTGGATCCTTGCTATCAAGGAGGATCATAGAGAGGCCACACCCGAGACGCAGGCGACGCATGTTCATAACACCTTAATCGCGATCAATATTGAATTGGGTACTGAGACGACGATTGCTCAGGGAGATGATTTCTACTCACATCCTAAATTTGATCCTACGGGCAAGTATGTCTCGTGGATTCAGTGGTCGCATCCTGATATGCCTTGGACCGGGACGGTGCTTTATTATGCCCAGTGGAACAATGGGACATTGGAAAATGTTACCCGCATCGCTGGTCAAGGACAAGAAGAGAGTATTGCTCAGCCAAAGTGGAGTCCAGATGGGCTATTGTACTTTGCAAGTGATCGCACCGGCTTCTGGCAGCTTTACTCCTTCAACTTGAACAACCAGCAACAGTCCGCGCTCTCATTGAAGACATTTGAGAATGCCGATTTTGCTACTGATGAATGGGAACTTGGAACGTAAGTCTGCGTGTGCTTTGGTTTTTTCTGGCTATTGTCTGACGTTTGGTTAGCTCGACATACATTTTCCTTGATGCGCAAACCATAGTGGCAACGGCTATTACCCATGCCACGGCAAAGCTCGTCCTCATTGATGTTACCACCTCATCTGTTCAGGACCTCGATCTGCCATATGTGAATGTGTTCGAAATCCGTCGAGTATCCTCAACTTCCTTCGTTGTGGTGGGCACTTCAACCACCTCCCCAGAGGAACTAGCATTGGTTACAATCACACCAACATTCAAAGTCGAAAGGACCATTCTCACATCAACTGCGACATTCGAATTGCCTCCTGAATATGTCTCCGTCGCAAAAGAGCTAACAGCCCCTCAAAAACACGGTCCACTGACCGACGGCCACGTTCACATGTTCTACTTCCCACCTCGCAACCCCAATTTCAAGGCCGATGGCCTTCCTCCTCTACTGGTATATGTCCACGGAGGCCCTAATGGATCCACAACCCCCGCCCTGGACCTGGAAATCCAATCCTGGACCACGCGCGGGTTCGCAGTGTGCGCCGTCAACTATACCGGTTCCACCGGGTTCGGAAGAGAATATCGGGAACGACTCTCCGGTTATTGGGGTCTGGTCGATGTTGCCGATGCCACTAGCGCAGTCGAATACCTTGTGGAGGAGGGCTTAGTCGACAAAGCTCGTGTCGGAATTTACGGCGGCAGCGCCGGTGGCTACCTGACGCTTCGAGCACTGCATATGTATCCCGATGTCTGGGCTGCAGGCATCAGTTCTTATGGAATTAGTGATGTGCGCGCTCTGCAAGCAGACTCCTACAAGTTCGAGAGTCAAGACGTGGACCGGTTGCTGCTGAGCAAGACTAAGCCGGAAGATAGAGAGTCTGAGCTTACCAAACGCAGTCCTTGCAACTTTGCTGATCGGATTCAAGGATCGCTGTTGCTGCTGCAAGGCACTATTGATATGGTCGTTCCTGTGGCACAGGCAAGAATGATGGCTGACGCTATGCGGGCTCATGGACGAGTCGCGGAGGTTGTTGAGTTTGAGGGCGAGGGACACGGATGGGTTGGTCAGAAGGCTATTTTGGAATCTTTGACTCGAAAGGAGGAATGGTGGAAGCGTTATCTGACAACTACTGCCTAAGGCACTTAGATAGCAAAGACTCATGCGGACTCGACAATTCCGAGACTTAGTAAAATATAGAACATATCAACAAAATTAGAAATGAAGTCAACCAATCCTATAATCGTCTATCCATAAAGTACTGTAAATAACGCGCTAACTTTCCTGATCTAGATTTAAGTTCAGGGGTGGTATACCCCGACATACCCCCGCCTTTGTCCAAGGCGGGCGACGATCTTCCCCGGTCTTTAAACCTTGGAGTTTGCCGGGGTCTTCACTCGGACTGCACCACTCCGTTCGATATCTGAACTTCCTGTGATTGTGCTTGCATTTCCGGAGTACTGTCTTCCTGTTATCATATGTTGCTACTGGGATTAACGCTCGGCTTGTGAGGTACAGAGCAGAGTATATAAGGCTTTCCTTGCTCGGCCACCACGTCTACCAAGAATATCCTGATACCGTGACTAACCACTGTCACCATGGCTTCAATGGTGGATAGCCCACCAAAAAGCGGGCTCTCGCTGGTTTTGCAGAATCCCTATTTATGCGGCGTGGCTTCGGTAAGCCTTGAACATGGGTTACAAGATACTAAATGATACATACTGACATCGCGGTAGTTCTCTACCCTGGGCGGCTTGCTATTCGGTTATGACCAAGGCGTAGTCAGCGGTGTGATTACTATGGAGTCATTTGGGGCTCGTTTCCCTCGAGTCTTTTCTGATAGTGGGTTCAAGGGATGGTTCGTGTCGACGCTTCTACTCGGTAAGGAATGTCCAAATAGTTTCTGATTTGTACAAGCTAACACCCATCCAGCTGCCTGGCTTGGATCCCTAATCAATGGTCCCCTCTCTGATCGGGTTGGCCGGAAAATCTCTATAAATCTAGCCGTTATTGTTTTCGTGATTGGGTCTGCTATTCAATGCGCTGCAGTGAACATTCCAATGCTCTTTGTCGGTCGAGCAATTGCCGGGTTGGCAATTGGGATGCTTACCATGGTAGTGCCATTATACATCTCCGAGGTATGCATTACGGCCATGTTATTATCATGAAAGCTCACATGTCTCCAGGTTTCCATTCCAGAGATCCGGGGCAGTCTTGTTGTGATACAACAATGTTAGTCTCTTGCAAAATGGCTTTCTGGATAGTACTTGCTAAGCTCATATTAGTGTCGATTACCATTGGGATTCTTATTAGCTACTGGATCGACTATGGCACCAACTATATCGGTGGTACTCGTTGTGCCCCGAATATTCCCTATACAGGAGGAACAGCTTCATCACCCTCTTTCGACCCTTATCAAGATGTACCTTCTGGTGGCTGCACCGGCCAGTCTGAAGCTTCTTGGCGTCTTCCACTAGCTCTACAGATCGCCCCAGCAATCACCTTGGGCATCGGAATGTTGTTTTTCCCAGACTCACCGCGATGGCTGTTAATGAAGGAGCGAGATGATGATTCGCTTGCTGCGCTCTCACGGCTGCGCCGCCGGCCTCGCGATAGTCCTGAACTGCAGAATGAGTACCTAGAAATTCGTGCATCCATTATGCTGGAGAACTCGTTCGCTAAGGAAAACTTCCCCAATCTATCTGGTTTCAAGCTTCATGTTGCGCAGGTTTGTGGTTTTACGTACATCCTCGGGTTGACATACTAACATAACCGCCACAGTATATGTCCATGTTGACTAATTGGGCCCGGTTCCGAAGATTAGCTATAGGCTGCATCGTGATGTTCTTCCAGCAATTTATGGGCTGCAATGGTGGGTGTCTTTTTCATCCTATTCGATACCCTGCTAATTACTCCAGCCATGATCTACTACGCACCTACGATCTTTGCCCAACTCGGTCTCAGCGGTAACACATCATCTCTCCTTGCAACGGGTGTATACGGTATCGTGAATTGTCTAAGTACGCTCCCAGCTCTGTTCTTTATTGACAAGGTTGGACGCCGTGTCCTGCTTATGGCTGGTGCCACGGGTACCTGTATCTCACTGGCTATCGTGGGCGGTATTCTGGGAGCTTATGGGTCCAGCTTGCCAGATCATAAATCGGCTGGATGGGTTGGTATTGCTTTCATCTATATCTACGATATCAACTTTTCGTACTCTTTCGGTGAGTTTGACTTTCTTGAGGCTCCAGCCATAACTATAAGGACAAGCTGATCCTTTTTACCAGCTCCAATTGGTTGGGTATTACCTTCGGAGATATTCAATCTCTCTATCCGAGCTAAAGCCATGTCTATTACAACATCTGCAACTTGGATGTGTAATTTGTATGTTTTCTTTCTCCTGAAATTCCACGTGAAATACTCTAACACACTATGAACAGTATCATTGGACTTGTCACCCCAGACATGCTTGACTCCATCACCTATGGCACCTACATCTTTTTCGCGGTCTTTTGTCTCCTGGCACTCGGATTTACGTTTTTCTGTATTCCCGAGACACGAGGAAAGGTATGTTCGCACTGAGCTTTTGCTCCTGATCTCTCTAGATTAACCACTGATCTCTTCTCAGACTCTTGAAGACATGGATCTCATCTTCGGAGATACCGCTGCACATGAAGAGAAGAGACGCATTAAGCGGATTGAGGCACGCCTGCGTGGTACCCCTGTTGATGACGATGTTGATTCCCTAAAGCCGGCAGATGAGCATGCGGAGATTGCGAATGATGTTTAAGTAGCAACTCAAATCTTGGATGTGTGCAGAGACTTCTAGACTATAGGTAATATTCTACTAGCGGAAGTTCCCCCTCCAGGCTTAGTGATAACTCTACCTATCGAGGCTACAAATCATCTGGGCAGTGAGCTGCAATGTGAAAAGGTACTTAGCCGGTCGAGATCCGGTACTTATGTATGCAAGATATCTAGATGGTAAAATACATGTAGAAATTGACTCCAAGACACCACACCCCGAATGACACGCCACAACATGCCCCACATCTGAAAATGCAAGGTCAAGTTAAAATCCGTAAACTTTTATACATCGGCCTCGGCATCAACGAGAGATGTGAAAGGGACCTCGAAGACAACTGCACCGTTGCGACCATCCGATGGAGTAGCCTTGTCGTAGTTGGTGGCAAAGCACTTCCACCGGCCAAGTCGGTGTTCCTTGCCAACTGCTGCAACAATACACAGACCACGAGGTTGAGTGTTGGTCTTCGATTTGTAATCCTTTGACTCGGGCTGGTCTGACTCGGGGCGACGCTCGAAAACGGCGATATCATTAATCACACCCTTGATCAAGGGCTCCGCCTTTTGCTGCGAGGTTCCATCAATGTCCATGTCATCAAGACCAGGGGTGCCACTGGCGAGAGTTTGGTTGAGCTGCTGGGAAGGTGTATCGGGAGTTGACAGGCCAGAAGAACCAAGACCCACCGGGCCCAATGGGATGATACTCTTCTTATCTTCTGGGATGCGCCATGCGCGGATGGAGCCATCCCAGCTACCACTCAGGACGATATCGGTACCCGGAAGAGTGGCTAAAGCGGTAATCCAACGAGGCATAGGGCGCATGTGCCGGGTATTATGAGCAGCAGTCTCGCTGTCAACCTCTTGAGACAATTCTTCCAAAGGCGGGATAGGGTCTAGGCCGTGTGCCAAGGGAACTGTGTAAAGGGGCTTCTTCTTATGCATCGACCACAGACAGATGGATCCACAGTCGGAGCCAGTAACGAAATGTGCTGGTGGAAGAGCGGCAATGCAGTCAATGTTGCTCTCCTTGTAGGGTGCCTTCTTTGAAGCACCACCACGGAACACGAGTTGTGCCTCTTCGACAACCTTCCATAATCTCGCTGTTCTATCTCTGGCACCAACGCTCAGAGCCTGGTCAATTGTCATAGCGGCCACTCCAGTCACATGGTCTTGGTGACCAAAGAGAGTTTCAACGTAAGCATGGCCAGCTCCGCTGATGGACCAGGTTTTGATGGTACGATCGTAACTACCAGTAAAAAGCTGCTCTCCGGAGTTCATAGTCGAAATATGGCGAGCAAAAGCGACACTGCTGACAGAGTCACGGTGCTGGGTGAAAGTCCTGGTTGGCGTCAAAGTCTCCGCATCCCAAATCACAAGTTTCTTGTCCGCACCACCTGTTGCCACGAATCTTCCTGAGGGACTGACAGCAACAGACAAAATGCTTCCCGTATGGCCGTGTTCCTCGCCAGTCTCAGCAATTTTGCGCACACCCCGAGCGTACTTCACTTGCTTCGGCTTCCTTCGTTGGGGTCGGGGGGGTCGTTTCGAGGAAGCATCCTGGACGGGTCCATCAGGACCACTTGGTGTTGCCAGTTCCCACTTAATCAAGGTTTTGTCCTTCGAGACTGTGTAAACATATGGCGAATGAACGGCGATGGAAGTAGTAGACTGGGTATCGGCGCGGAAGAACGAATGCGAAGCCGTGGAAAACGAGAGTTTGTCGGCAATTTGTCGGAAAGCTCGTCCTTTGAATTCGTCCTAAATTGTCACGGTTAGTCGCAGTCTCCACTCGTGAAGAGAAAAGTTCCACATACAACATCCTCCTTCAATCGCTCTGCGATCAAGTCTCGATCAATTTCTTCCGCATCAAAGCCGACCTCGTCGACAACATCTTCGCGGACATTGTCCAAGTAACGTTCCGCAAGTTTCAATCTTCGGTCTGCGGCCGTTTCGCCGTCGTCCGAGTCCGATTCAGAGCCTTCTCCAGAGATGACCGAATTGATCTCGTCATCGTCCATATCACTTCCTGAAATTGATTCCTCCCGTTCACGGGGTCGTTGGGTCTTTCCGCCATCGTTCTTTGCATCCACGCCTCGTTTCTTAGTTGCTGGGGGTGCAGCGCGGTCGTCTCTCTTGCGCTTGCGCTGCGAGGCAGGCACGGTAAAGAAAGAAGACATGATGGATCTTCAAAATAGTAGTCCCACAGCAAGCTTTAATTAAAATTTGCTGGTGGAAATACCCCGGCGACAAATGGGACTTAGTGGTGGCCGATGCTAGATTCAACTTTTTTTTTCGGGGAAAAAAAAGGCGGCCAAGCGGCGGCTGACTCAGCGAGGTAGCTGAGAGCTCCAGGCGTCAAGCTCACCGCGCGGTCATCACCTCAACCACATTCCCTTTCATCGCCTTTTTTGAACCTCGTCTTGATTTATTTCTCATTTTCCTGACATACCGCCAATATGTTCGTCTATCCCGGTCATCACCCCACATATTAATTGCTTGCCATGACTGACCGCGCTTGCTAGGGACGTTCTCTTGGGTATTACTGGCAAGGACTTCGTCCTTCTTGCCGCATCCAAGGCTATTATGCGAGGCCCGACTATCATCAAAGCAGAGGATGACAAGACCAGAAGTCTGAATAAGCACACCCTTATGGCTTTCTCTGGAGAGGCAGGAGACACCAGTCAGTACCCTGCATATCGGTGATGGAACTCTAGACGCTGATGGCTTGTTTTACCCAGTTCAATTCGCCGATTACATCCAAGCAAACGTTCAACTGTATACGATGCGCAATGACACCGAGCTCAGCACCCCTGCTGTAGGCAATTTCATCCGAGGAGAGTTGGCCCGCAGCTTGCGATCACGAAGCCCGTACACAGTCAACCTGTTGCTGGGTGGTGTGGACCCTGCTACAGAGAAGCCTCACTTGTACTGGATCGACTATTTGGCTTCGTTGGCCCCTGTACCATATGCCGCCCATGGTTATGCCCAGTATGTTTGGCAGGATATCTGAAGATGGGAGGGTTGAATACACGAGCATTGCTAACAAGCGTAGATACTACTGCCTTTCTCTCCTCGACAAACATCACAACCCTAACATTTCCCTCGAAGAAGGCATGAAACTCCTTGAAATGTGCACAGATGAGCTCAAGCGTCGGCTACCAATTGACTACAAGGGGGTACGTTCGGGTCATTTCTCTGTTTAATGTGGTTATACTAATTTATTATTTGTAGGTACTGGTGAAGGTGGTGACAAAGGATGGCGTGAAAGAGGTAGACTTTGATAACGACAGGATCGCTCGGGCTGCGTAATGGTCAACATGCCTGGGCGTTTGTTGTATCATATCCTATGACGTTTTAACATTGCTTTACGGGATACCAACAAAGACTCCGAGATTTCCTTAGTAGTCCGTAAGAAAACCTCAATAATTGTAATGGATATTCGTCAAATACTGCTTATTATTTTGGCATCTCAACCCAATTGAATAGACCTGACTGTCGTTTGGAAGAGCTATCACCTAGACATGACGATGTTGGATGTTTGATAGGTTTGCACCATCTTCAAGAGCTCGCGGGACTGAAGAACTTCGGCGCTTCGATTCCTTCTTTACCACCGCAACACTCCTATCGCAATGCCGAAAAGACTAGCAGAGCTTCCTCTGGGGGAGAACTTCCCAGGCCCGCCGGCCTCGAAAAAGGCGCGAACGGAAGACGGGATTGACGAAGACACCAGCAACGGTGCAGTACCCGCGCAACCAACCGAAGAGCAGCAAGACGATCGCAATGGCGCCAATACCCTAGCAGCTGCCGATAAAGGAGAAGAGGAACTGGGAGAAGCTGCGCAGGACAACTCAGGACTCTCGGATATTGACGAAGAGGCCTCCGCCCTCAGTGCACCCAAACGACAAGACCAGCCAATGGAGGGCTACGGCGACCTCTACCTCGACACGGTCAATAGAGGTGTATTGGACTTCGACTTCGAGAAGCTGTGCTCCATCAGTCTCTCGAATATTAATGTGTATGCTTGTCTCGTCTGCGGCAAATATTTCCAGGGTCGCGGTCCCAAATCGCATGCGTATTTTCATGCGCTCGAGGTCGGGCATCATGTGTTCGTCAACATGGGCACCAAGAAGGTCTATGTGTTGCCAGAAGGATATGAAGTCAAAAGTAATAGTTTGGACGATATTAAATATGTGGTGGATCCGCACTATTCGAAGAACGAAGTGGTCAAGATGGACAAAGAAGTTCATGGCGCCTGGGATCTCCATGGTGCCAGGTACAGACCAGGTGAGACAGTCTGCCTAATAAAGAGAGCTTTTGAATACTAATGGTATCACAGGATTTGTTGGCATGAACAACATCAAGGCCAACGACTATATGAACGTCGTGGTTCAGCTTCTGGCGCACGTCCTCCCCATTCGCAACTTTTTCCTCCTCCACGAGTTCCCCCAACTGGGCACTCCGCAACTCGCTCTTCGCTTCAGTACGCTTGTACGCAAGTTGTGGAACCCCAAAGCATTCCGATCTCACGTATCTCCGCACGAGTTGCTTCAAGAGGTCGCCCTGCGATCATCAAAGCGCTTCACCCTCAGCCAGCAATCCGACCCCGTGGAGTTCTTATCATGGTTCCTTAACAACCTCCATCTTTCTCTGGGCGGCTCCAAAAAGCCATCAAAAACACCCACCAGTGTAGTCCATGCGGCCTTCCAGGGCCGTGTTCGGATTGAATCGCAGGCTATCACAGCCCACTCCGACACCCAAAACGCACGTTTGGTCTTCACAGAATCCGGCGATATCAACAGCCAGGTCACCCCTTTCATGATTCTCACCTTGGATCTCCCCCCAACCCCCCTCTTCCAATCGGCAAACCGGGAATCTATCATCCCACAAGTGCCTCTCACCACCCTCCTCAACAAATACAATGGCCTCACAGCATCCGAGAAAATGGCCCATCGTGTCAGACATCGCCTTCTCCACCCCCTTCCCCCTTATCTTCTCTTCCATATAAAACGATTCAACAAAAATCGCTTCGTGTCAGAGCGAAACCCTACCATTGTCACTCATCCCAGCCCCCGCTCCCTCGACATGTCACCATACGTCGAGCCAAACCCGGACGTATGGCCTCCGTCAGAACCGATCCTGTACGACCTTGTAGCGAACATCATTCTAGACCCCTCAATCGCCGCCCCCGGTGCTACTGAAGATGCAGCTGACAAGGGCGTCAACGCCGCGTCTGGCTCATCCACTGGAGCTGGTGGCGGCAGCGAAAAGGTATCCTGGCTTGTTCAGCTCCACGATAAGGCTTTGTCGGCCGAAAACTCAAGCCATCAAAATGGCGGTGCTGCGGAACAGCGTGGTCCTGAGTGGCTCGAAATTCAGGATCTGTTTGTCAAGCGCGCTGAGAGTGAGACTCTCTTTACCCGTGAAGGATACCTGATGGTTTGGGAGCGCAGGAAGGTCCCTGGTCAGAAGGGCAAGAGTGCTAAATAATGAGGACCGACTGAAACTTGAAACTGTATTATTCACGACTGAAAACTTGGGGAGTTTGGGTTGGTGAGAGATTCATAAATTCAATCTTCTACACAAATATCTCTTTCATCTTTATTATAGACCGGGAACGATTGCAGTTGGGTGTATATGCCTTGCAGGGGACTCAATCACCTAGGCACGCCTATTTACGTGTGTAGCAGGGCAAAATTTCGAGATGACTGAGAAGAACACGACCATTTAATTCCATCTATAGAGTCCCCCAGCCACAAAACTTCCGCCCGATTCTCATTGTGGAACCGACCAAGAAACCCCACACACCTGCTCTTAGCGCAGCCTGCATACCTCTCATAAGAACCAGTCTACCACAGTAGGCAAAAATATCATGCCAGGATCGTCCGCCACCCCATAGGCCTATAGAGTGTAGGTCCGAGGGTCGGACCGTAGAAGAAGGGTGCAGAGCAATATACGAATGAGCTAGAGACCGGACGTAAAGCGATTCGATGGGCGATAGGATGATGGTGCTTATGAATGACGCGAGATGTGATGCAAGTGAGTCTACCGGGTGGGCGGATAGGAGCGTCACTCTGTGAGAAATGACGGGTAGTCCAGGTGCATGTGTCATGGGCTGGAGTGCAGAATTGGAAGGAATTTCGCCAGCTTCGGCTATTTCCAATGGTTGGAAGCTCACTTGTTCTTCGTCATTAGGCTCTTCAACGCCGTCTGGGAGAATATTTGGCATGTTGGAAGCCGGGGTTTCTTCAAGAGGTGCAGGGTCCACATGGTGATCAGCCATGGCCTCTTGAACAATATTTTGAGGCTGACTTTCCTCAGCAGGAATATCCTGGCCTGTATCAAAGCTGGCACCGGCAGTGACGCCAGATACGCCGTCGGTTTCAACTAGTGGCAATTGCTGTGTAGCTTGTTGCTGGGCTTGGCTCAAGATCAACGCCTCGAGGAAATCGGCTATAGACCTTCGGTCCATGGCAGTCGCTGGGTTATTACGACCGAAGAAAGGCGGATTCCGCTGGGAAGGTGTTTCGGTTTGAGGGTTGCGATTGCGGTTACCCAAAAGCTCCAGCTGCATTGTGATGATGTCGGAACTCTGATGAATCAAAGAAGCTCTAACGCGAGGTGAGGTGGGTGGCGATGTTTCTGGGGATGATGGTCGGGAGAACAGAGTGTTGGAGCGAGAGTTCTGACGAGGTCTTGCTGAAGGCTCAGCTTGTTGGACATTGCTTGCTTGGCTCTGCGAGCGTGAGGCATTTGAGGGTGCGCTTGTTCGTCCAAGGGTAGCTATTTCTGAAAAGAAGTCATTGCTCATCTCACCAGGAGATTGAGACATGCGGTTCTCGTTTGTAAGGACTTGGTTCATGTCTGGACCCAGCTCAGCATCAGGTGTTTGATTCAAATCCGCAACAGGCAACGAATTTGGCGACGCAATGCGGGCATCACCACGAGCGATGGTTTCCAAAGGTCTAGCTAAAATATCACGCGCCTCGACTCCAGCGAAATTCGCACGAAGTTGAACTTCTTCGAGCTCATGTTGTAGTGACTCAATCGATTGTCTAAGGTTGTTTTCAATGCTCTCAGGGTCTTGGCCATCGATTCGCGGCTGATCTGGGGTCTTATTGGACAAAAGTCCGAATAGAGAGAATACCCATCCTCGTAAAGCGACAAGCTCTTGTTTGATATCTTGTGCCAATGTAAGTTTCGCACGGCGAGTTTCTTCTTCTGATCTGCGTCCCAGGGTTGGGGCGACCCACTCAAGAAGGTTTTCCTCGTAGGCAACTCGAATCGAAAGCTCGTCTGCGACGGTAGGTTTGGGGATTTGGCGTCGGATCAGTCTATAAATGCGCTCCTCTAACTCTGGGCGCAGGTAAAATGCGTAAGCGAATGTCAGAACTCCAGGGGACGTCAGAAGTTGCATCACAAAACCCCCAATTGATGGGAGAGAAAAGTCCACAGGGAGAGGCGGGAGTCGGAACAAAGAAGCCTCGCCAAAGGGGATCAACATTCGAAGACTGGGGATGGAGTTCGAAGGCACTAATGAAAGTGTTTGAAGCACAGAATACATGTATGCCTCGAGGGACAAGATGAGAACTGAATGCTTTGTCCTATAGCCATCGTCAGCATCGGTGTATGAATGGTGATATGAAAGCAACCTACACGTGGTATCCCATAGAAAAGAAAGCACGAATACTCAAGGACAGACTACCGCTGTCGGTGAATCCCAAGACATAATCACGGATCGTGAGGAGAAAGCGCCTGAGAGGATTTTCGCGGGCAATTGCTAATGTGCTAGAAATTGCCCAGCCAGGAATACCAGCACAATAAAACCCTAGAATTCCCGTGGTCTCGCGCTCAGAGCGTATGACATCCAGCAATGGTGCGTGAGCATAGTGCTTAAATGTCTATATAGCTAATGTCAGATACCAGTGCATCACAGATGGTTATGTTTGCACATCTTACCAGAATGCGTCCTGTAAGGGATGATGACCACCAGGTGCTGAAGAACACGAATAGCTGATCTAAGGTAGTTATGACCAAGCCGAAGTCATTCTCGGTTGCGATTTGGTTCATCTTCTGTTCTTCATTGGATGTGCTGGCATTTCGGTCCTCGCCACTAACCACGATCCCCATAGTAGAGAGAATGTCATTTTTCGCTCTGCGGAGCTCTCGGCCCAGAGCTTTGGACTCAGGGTTGACATGATGCCCTCGTGCATCATACTGTTGCATGTAATTGTCGGAATGTATGTTAGAAACCCTTCTCACTGGATTTGAAGGGTCGACTGTCGCTGTCTCTGGAGGTTCGTATGGTGACCGACCCTTGAAAACGGTTAATAATGCCGGGTTTTGAGGGACAAGGCATGAAATTGAAGAAGAACAGGCCAAAGGAAAGAGAAGTCTTGTGAAATGTGCTATGCATTGAGAAAGAGAATCATCATATCACAAGTAGATATCGGATGCAATACCAAACATGATGCTCGAGTGTCGCAAAGATTTCCAACCAACAAGACAAAAAGACTGAATAATCCATATTATACCATGGGGAACATCAACAGGAAACAATATACTATAGATCAAGACAAGGAGGGATCAATTATGAAGGGGGCTTACCAAAGCGAGCCGGTTTAAATAAGCCTGGCGGCCCATCACGAATGAGGAACACCTAGTACCGGGGGTGATCACATCACCTCCCTGTTATAATCTTCAGGTTCTGTTTCCGACGATAAAGAGGATTAAACAAAGAAAGATGAAGGATAAGAGTGAGGTGAGACACGTGTGACGGCGTCTGCGGCGCTTCGTGCACGGACCACCTGTATATTATCTTATCGTATGAGCAAACACTGCAAACACCCAAAAAAAAGTTGCCCGAGCTTTTTGCGATTCTCGACTTCTAGAGAAAGCGCATGGGTTAAAGAGCTCACAGGCGCAATTTTCAATAATGTCGAAGGCTGTTGTGAAAACCACCTTCGAGGCGTCTCGGACCCTCCGCCCCATCTACACCGGTGGCAGTACGGCGCTGGATGCCAGCGGTCGCATTTTGCTTTCTTGCATCGGCGAGGATGCCTTGATCGTGGATCTTGAGACTGGGGACCAGCTCGCTAGTCTGGAAGGTGTAAGTATTACTGCGATATGAAGAGTCTTCATGAAAGTGCTGACCAGATTCCTTCTACAGGATGGGGAAATTATCACAAGTTTAGCTCGTATGTCTCAATCTCAATTTTCGGAGAAGATGAATACTCATGCAGTCTCTAGTCACACCCTCCGCATCACATGCCATTGTTTGCTCTCGCTCTATGTCTATGCGCATTTACCGTCTTTCACCTTTCGACGAAGACTCGAAGTCAATTGAAGCAGAGCTTCTTCGGACCCTCAAGCCCCACCCCTCCCCAGTGGTCACAACTACGATCGATCAGACCGGCACATTGCTTGCCACTGGTGGTGCCGATGGGTCGATTAAGGTCTGGGATATTCGAGGTGGCTTCGCTACACACACCTTCCACGACCGCGGAGTCATCTCCGCGCTCTGCTTCTTCGAGGTTGCCTCTTCTGCGGACGAGACCAAATCCTCGAAGAAGAAGTCCAAGCGCAAGGATGAAGATGAGGACATGGATGATGCCACAGAGTCGACTGCTGGATTCCGGTTAGCTTGCGGTAGTGATGAGGGCAAGGTTAAGGTCTTCGATTTGCACAAGAGGAAGGCGGTTGCATCGCTCGACTCGCATGTCTCCCTGGTGCGCAGCCTGTCGTTCTCGCCTTCAGAGAACGCATTGCTGTCTGCGAGCCGAGACAAGACAGTCATCATTTGGGATGCTAAGACTTGGAAAACTCGCAGAATCATCCCCGTTCTCGAGAGCGTGGAGGCTGCCTCTTTCGTTGCAGACAGCGGTCTGTGCGTGATTGGTGGTGAAAATGGTAAACTGCGTGTCTGGGACTGCAACCGGGGTAGCGAAGTCACCGAAGAACAAGAAGCGGGCGAGGAATACGAGAGCATTATCTCTATCCAGTACTTGCCTGGCTTGCCTTATGTGATGACTGTTCACGCAGACCAGACCATCCGCCTGCATTCGATTGAGCCGCTGTCAGACTATAAGCCAGGATCAGACTTGCCTCCGCTGACAATTACCCGCCGCATCTCCGGAAATGACGACGAGATTATTGATTTGGCCTTCGTTGGACCGGATCGGTCAATGCTCGCTTTGGCCACCAACACGGAGAGTATCCGCGTGGTTTCTGTTGCTCCGTCTGAAGACAGGCCATCAGCTGAGGGTGAGCAGTTCTTTGGTGCCGATATTGCCCATCTTGAGGGCCATGAAGACATCATCATCGCAATTGATGTAGACTGGTCTGGACATTGGCTCGCAACTGCGGCAAAGGACAATACTGCCCGACTTTGGCGTCTTGATCCCAAAAACTCATCATATACCTGCTTTGCCACCTTCACTGGACACGCTGAATCTCTGGGAGCCGTTGCTCTGCCACGAACACCACCGCAAACTAGCAGCGGTGCTTATAAGGACCCGCTTAGCCACCCGCCTGCATTCATGATTACTGGTTCGCAGGACCGCACCCTGAAGCGTTGGGATACCGGCAGACTGAGCCCGCTTAAGGTCGGAAGCGACAAGACACACACCCCCAAGGCAATCTACACCAGGAAAGCACACGAAAAGGACATCAATGCTCTAGACATTGATTCAACAGGTACTTTGTTTGCCTCTGCCTCCCAAGATCGGACCGTGAAAATTTGGGACGCTGAAGAGGGTACTGCGATTGGTGTTCTGCGTGGTCACAAGCGAGGTGTTTGGTCCGTCAGATTTGCTCCTAAAGACACACCTATCATCAACTCAGAAGCCGGAACCAGCACATCTCGAGGACTGATCGCCACTGCTTCGGGTGATAAGACCGTCAAACTCTGGTCTTTGTCTGACTACAGCTGTCTTCTTACGTTTGAAGGCCACACTGGAAGTGTCCTGAAGACTATTTGGCTGCCACCCCCACAGATCTCCAAGCACAACGACGATGACGACGAGGAAGAAGACAAAGCCGCGAAGAACGCTATTCAAACAAGGCCTCTTATCGCCTCGGCAGCCGCTGACGGTCTGGTCAAGATCTGGAGCCCGTACACCGGCGAACAAGAGACCGTACTGGACAACCACACAGACAGAGTCTGGTCTCTTGCCAGTCCCACCCCGTCCGGTTCACGCGCTGATGTCAAGCCCACCTCCTCCAAACTCAAATCTCCCTACGCCCTCGCCTCCGGTGCCGCAGATGCCACCGTCACCATGTGGTCCGACACCACGTCCGCCACCTACACAGCCGCCGTGAACGCTAACTCCGAGCGTGTCGAGCAAGACCAGCAACTCCAGAACTATATTCGCGCTGGTGCTTACCGTGAAGCCATCACCTTGGCACTCCAGTTGAACCACCCTGGTCGTCTGCTCTCGCTCTTCACAAGTGCCATCAACGCTGCTGATGACCTTACCCTGCCCGCGGAGGAACGCGCACTCGCAGCAAACAGCTTGTCTGGTAATCCCTCTATTGATGAGGTTCTCCAGTCGCTTGATGCTGTGAACCTGCGCACTCTGCTTCTCCGCCTGCGTGACTGGAACACCAATGCGCGTACCTCGCGCGTTTCCCAGCGCATTATGTACGCCCTGTTCCGGTCGTACCCTGCTTCTACATTCGTTGAGCTGGCAACACAGTCCGTCCGTGGCAAGAATGGACGCGCTGCCGCTGGATTGAAGGATATTCTGGCTGCTCTGGCTGCCTACACTGAGAGACATTACAAGCGCGTTGAGGAGCTCACCGATGACTCTTACCTGGTGGAGTGGGTTCTGAGCGAGATGGATGACGGTGTTGGACTTGGTGGATTGAAAAGTCTTGATCTGAACATGGCTGATGCAAATGTTGAGGAGCAAGAGAAGGATGTGATTATGTTGGAAGGTTAAATGTGTATTTACCTCTTGTGTACATGACGGGCGCTTTGTTTTATGGGAGTATCATTGGGGTGGGATCAGATAAAAGCCATCTACTTTCTCATAGAATTGAAATTCTTCTTCGTTTATGCGTTTGATATCCAGCTAATTTACATTGTATGATCCAGGGTATCTCTATTGTGAAGGAGTCATGGCTCTTTTCGGCAGTCCATCATATACAAGAGCTTTGCAATGTAGTCATTCATATCATTTCATGAAGATTAATCGTCCCGACGGCTTCGCCGAGAGTCGCGGTCCCGATCTCGGTCCCGGTCATGTCGAGACGAATGAGACGAATGCCGTGAGCTGCTGTATCGGTCATCTCGGGACCGTCGGTCTCGGTCATGGTCTCGGTCTCTGCGATAATCTTTCTCATCGTCCCGGTCTCGTCGACTATCTCTGTCACGGTCACGGTCACGATCCCGGTAGGATCGATCATCCTTCTTGCGGTCACCATCGTCGTAACGCGAGCGTCTAGAAGAAGATTGGCGGCCACTCGAACGACTTCGGTCGCGACGGGAAGTTCCAGTCCTCCGATCAGAGCGATAATCATCGTCATCATAATCGCGCTTGCGGTACTCGCGGTCCTTGTCTCGTCCACTCTTCTCTAGGTTGCGATCCCGTCTCTCACGCCAGTCGTCCTTTTCTGGCGGTGGTGGAGCAGCAGCCTTCTTCTTTAGCTCAGCAAGCTCTTCCTCGGTCATGTATTCGCCAGTCTTTTTGTTGCGCATTGTGACCGGCATATAGACACCCTCGGCATTGGCATTGCCGTTTTCTTCACCCTGTTTTCGTGACGCTTTGCGCATAGCTGATTTTCCCCAAGCTCCAAGCTCAGCTTCGGCGCCTTTCCCACCTGAAGAATCTTTGGCTCCAATTCCCAGGAATCCAGGGCGTCGTACTGGGGCAAGTGGCTTCTTTTCTTTGTCTGTTGGCGCTGCAGAACCATAGTTGCCCCGTCCAATAGATTGGCCATCTTTCCATCCCATTCCTCGTAATAAAGCAGCGCCAAATTCCTCGACCGGGATAGCATTGTATTGGTCCAATGTCGCAGGTTCAGGACGAGATTCGACATCCGATCGGAATTGGCTGGCTTCGTCATAGCGAGAATACGCTTGTTCCTCCTCGTCGCGAGGTTTCGAGGTCTCGATCACCAGATCTGATCTCCGCTCTGGCTCTCCCTTGGTCTCCCGAATCAGAGCTTGTAAAGCGATCTCATCGTCCGTGAGAGGCTTGCTCGCGGCGGGGGGAGGCGAAACCGGTTTCGCATCTTCCATAGAATGATCTCCATCGGCAGCATCAGGGCCATCTTGTTCGCCCTTCTGCGCAAAACTAAGCCCATATGCCATACTGGGCCCTTCGGTTTCAACATTGCCTCCAGGAGCTTTTCCATTCCTTTGGGCCTCTTGCATGGCCTGCACTTCAGCTGGTAGCAGGTTTTTCCCTTTCTTCACATTGGCACCAGCGCGATCGCGCCAGTTATTCTTGCTCGTGACCGGGATCACCAGCGGGCCCTGCTTCTTGACAGCTTCTCCGTCGGCGGTGATTGCGTCGCCCGTAAGAGTGTCAAACCCGGACACCTCCTCGTGCGTGGGTGCGCGCTCATCTTCGTCTGAGGAATCCCCGTGCCCAAGTTGATGTGGTCGGCGAGGGAGAGCGCGACTCTTACCTGCTAGAGAGTCGGTGGGACGGCCGCGAGCTGCTTGGAAGTTGAAGGCTGTTTTTTGGGGGGCGCCGTTGGAGTTTGAAGCAAGAGAGAATGGTTTCGCAGAACCATTATTACGATTTCCGGAGCCCCCTGATGAAGACATCTTGAGAGGGTCGGCGTGTGCTGTGAGTCTGGCAGTTGAGGCAAGTGGAATTCGATGTAATATGAAAGCTCCAGGTAGGGCGGTGGCAAAACCGGTGTCAAGCGCGCGCTAATGATGTTAAAGGCGGTGTCTCGAGGTATAGCATCGTTACAACTTGTGAGGAAACCAAAGTAGCTATTCAAGCGTATAATCAGGTATAATTGGAAAAGAAAGAAAAAAGTAGCGGACTATGCATATTTGTGATTTATTCTTGAAGGATTGCCTGAATCTTTTCGTGAAACCTCAGACTAAATGCCTGTACTCTTGTTCTGTTATGCTTTATTAATTACATTCATGGATATCTCGGTATACCGAGTGGCGGACTATTATTTGCAAGTCTTTGAAGAACATTTTGCTTTCGAGGCAGATACTGGCAATTACGCAAGCACTAGACAAAGGTCCGGCTGTGATTGCTAAAGATTCAAAACTAATCATACAATTCATATTCATCAATTCCTGGGTTCTAACCCTAAGCCCAGAGTTTTTCGCCATCCCAAAATAATACATGCCCAAACTCAAGGGGTTGATCACTGGTAACAGGGAGCCAGTGTCATATCAGGTCCATTAGTTTAATGAACTCGCTAGAAAGTTCGGACATAGGATAGCTCGCAAACGGTAACGGAATCAAGGGGCTTTGAAGAAGATAATAAAGAGAAAATCAAGGTGCGCCGCCGCCGCCCGGACCACCAGTGCAGTAAAGAGAAAAGAGTCATGGGTTAATAAATCAGAATAGGGGGTGAGGGGGTAAAATATGTACAGTCGAATAAAAGGGTAGAGAAGGTGTAGTAAGGTGTAATAGGATGTGGGTGGGTGATGACAGGAATGTTAAAGGTCCAAGTAAGAAACTTAACTGCTCGCTGTCTGAGCTGGAGGTGGGTGTGGGCTCTTATTAGAGCCTTGCACAGCGCCAGCCTGTGCGCTGCCGCTGCGCTGAGTCTGAGGCGTAGCGCTTCGACTGGTCTGAGGAACAGCTCCATTCATAGCAGGTGAACTAGTAGGAGCAACCCGAGTCTGCTGGTTTGTTTGGGGAACACGCATCATCGGGGAGAAACCTTGGTTCTGAGGGACCTGCATGGCCGGGTTGCCGTTAGGCATGCCCGGCTGCTGAGGAGTCTGGAAGTTTCCATCATGCGGCACTTGGTAGTTGGCTTGGACATTGTTCATCCCTCCAGCAGCAGCATTCATGGCCGCCTGCTGGGACATGCGCTGCTGCTGGTACTGGTTGAGTCGATCCGTCGCCATCTTGTTTATCTGCTCTGCAGAGAGATTAGGATTGGCGCGTTGAATCTGACTTTGGAAAGTGCTGATGGTTGGAACAACGCCACTCGAGAGAGGGTTGGGCTGACCCATGCGAGGAGAAGGTGTCGAAACACCTTGAGGTGTGCCACTGTGGAATGAGGGACTTTGCATTCCCCCTTGGGCCTGCAGCGCTGCAATCATTGCAGGGTTATTGGGACCACCGTTAACGTTCGGCATATTGTTGAGGTTGGGCGAATGAGACCCTTGAGGCGCAAATTGCTGGTTGTGAAATGGTGGTTGTGCCTGCTGGGGCTGGCCCTGCTGAGGAACTTGGGTCTGTTGTCGAGATTGCAACAGACGCTGCTGCTCCTGCAGACGATTGGCCTCTCGAATGACACGTGTATTGTCCGGAGATGTCTGCATCGCCATACCGGGCCTTGCGCTTGGGGGTTGTTGCATTTGGCCCTGAGGCATCATTTTCAGGGCCATCGCGTTGGCAGGCAATTGGCCATTCACTGGCGCCGCTCCAGCAGGCATTCCCTGCATCGGCTGGGTCCGAGCTTGATTAACGCCGGCACCAGGAGGCATACCAGCAGGAACTCCATTCGGCGTTCCATTAGGCATGGCTGTATTGGCAGTGTTGGGCGGCATACTATTCGGCGGTCGTGCTTGGGCATTCATTGCTGGTTGTTGCTGGTTAGGCAACTGTCCAGCACGTTGAGCAGCAAGGCTGGCTCTTTGCTGGGCAATCATCTGCTGTCTGTATTGTTCCTGTCTTTCTTGCATTTTCATTTCCCGTTCATACTTAAGACGGCTGAATTCCGCGGGGGTAGTGATCGGGGGCTTGGGCTGGTTGGCTTCATTCGCCTTTCTCAGCGAAGCGAGATGAGAGGCATGCTGTTGCTTCTGAATCATTGTCTCCCGCTTTTTAGCCAACTTGCGCATACCATCCAACAATGCAAGGTGTCGTGAAGACCTTCTCCTGTCTACACGTAGAGGTTGAGTGGTCCGGCGACGAACAGGTGGCTGCACTTGACCATTGTTGGCTTGCTGCTGCGCCTGCTGTTGCTGCTGGGCAGCCTGCTGTTGAGCCAGCACAGTACGCTGGGCTGTTTCAAGTCTCTGGTGATAAGCTCGGAAGTACTGGGTTTTTGACATATCTGCTGGAAGGCCTTCCAACCCTACCCAGCGCTCGAAGCATTCCCAAGGAGTTCGTCTCTCGGCGCCAGAAGTGAACAATGAAGGCGATGTCAGACAACTAGAGATTAGAGACCAATTGTAAGAATATTCTTTGACCAAATGGCGGAGTTCATCATCCTCGGACATAGTCCATTGTGAAGATTGTCGAGACTCAAAGAAACCCACAGACGGCATGGGATGTTCAGTTGGTGGTCTGAAAGAGTGGCCCGGGTGAATGCGATCACGAATAGGTTTGTTCTCAGGCCTGAATAAGGCAACATTTGTCTGCTCTGGGGGAATTTCGGTAATGCGATATTCCGAATCGGAACCATATTGAGAATAGTCGTAGCGACTTCGCTTGCGAGGCCGTTCACCGTCGCGGAAGGTGATTTTCGTCGAGGCAAATTTAGAAACAGGCAGAAGCTCGGTTTTCCAGACTGAATCCGGCGGTTGCTTGAAAGCAAGCAGTTGAGTGCCCGGTGTAAATCGCAGCGGTTCGTATAGTGGTAATTCATCAAGAAGCTTCTCTGCTGCCGGAGTCATATCAACGGAGAAGTTGAATTCGTCTGAACCAAGAGAAAAGATAGCAGCAGGGGCAACAGTATCTCGAAGATCATGTCGAGACTCTTCGTTGAAGCCATCACTAACTGATTCTTCCTCGGCCGATGGTACAAGGTCTGGGGTTGGATGAAATGCTGCAGCTTCATCGCTCGTATCTTCCGGAGAAGCACCCTCTGTCTTTGAGATATCTGATGCCAAAGCAGTTTGCGTCGGAATCTTTGCGCTGACTCGAAGTAGATTTCGGTGTTCCTCATCACTGTTCACGTACTCCGCGCACCAATCAGCACAACTTTTGGCGGCTGCAATTTTCCACTTTCTTTCTTCACGAAAATCTGTTCGCATCCACTTCATATGATCCAGGACGACATCCCAATGGGTACCCTGTCGGGAAGGTTCAGGAGCTCGCTTCATTTGTCGGAGTGGCCACCGGTTGGCGTTCTGCAATGCGTATATGCGTCGCAAGGTACGGCAATTCATTTGCTCCTTGTATTCCAACGAATGATTATCGGTGCTCAAAGTTTTATGGGCAGATGCAAGAAGGGTGCTCATATTCATTCCCCTAGGAGGCGCATATGCCCGATTCAAGAACAATGTAAAAAGATAGTCTTGCTCCTGATTCAGCTTGGCAATGGCATCACCAGAGTCTCCATGCACAAGATCCATCGAATCGGTCTTATCCTGCTGCGGAGTCATATTGGGGAACACCACAGTCGCAAGCCGAGTCCTCTCCTTCTCCCGGTCCTTGCGGTCCTTGAACCGCATTCGGGCCACACTATCAGGGGCGTCATGATCGCTGACAGTATGGGGAGTTCGGGGTGTTTCTCCAAGGATTTCTGAAACAGACTTGTGCCGAATAGCTCCTGATGACACTCGAGTTGTCATTCGTTCGGGCTGTGAAAGACCAGGCTGCGTTGACGGGATAACTTGTGGCTTTTTGCTTGCCGATGGGTCGTCAGCATCCTTAACGGGCTCGATTCCTTCAGATGGGTGACCCGTTGGTGACAGATCTTCAGCTCCAGCCCTAGTTGATTGGTCTTCGAGTTTCGCCTGGTCTGTTCTTTGGACAGATTCCTGATCGACGTCCATGGCATCCTTATCGGCATTTGGACCCACACTCTCCACAATCACCATATTCGATGAAGGTACCTCAGTCTTGGGTTCTTCCGTAGTCTGCATTGACTGTGCTTCCTCCATTCGTAATTGCTCATCGGGAGTCGATGGAACCAAGCTTCGACGGGGTTGCATCGATCGTTCATGTTGCGGACTTGGGTGGCCGCTCTTCCCAGCTTCTGCAGCTTCCTCTCCAGGGCTGGTGACGGGGGAAGCAGTGACAGGCGCGGGGGTATTATTAGAATATGGATCAATGGAGGAGGCGGGGGAGAGTGGTTGGTCTTGGTTCGACGGGCCTATAGTGAGAGAAGGTCGTGACTCGGGTTTCTTTTTGGAGAGACTTGTAGGTGGAATTTCCAGTGAAGGGGTGGTAGTCGTCGCTGCATCGGGAGAAAACTTGCCCTCTGTTCCATTCCGTCCTTGGGAACTGATGGGGGTTTCTGGTACTGATGCGCTTGACTGTTCAGCGGAGGGATTAGATGGCGCGGTGGATATTGGGATGCCCTGTCCTAGGGATGCCTGTGGGCTAGTGGCAGGTACAGGAGACTCTTCGAAGCTTGTTGAATCCTTTTGAATGGATGCGACAGGCTTTGTGGTTGCTAGCGGAGCAACAGCAGGTGTTCTCCGTGGACTGGCGTCGGTCGGGATTGAAAGAGCGTTACCATCTAATGTCGGTGATGGAGTGATACCAGGAGCCTGTTGAGATTTTGGCGCAGTGGTTGCCGGCGATGCGATCACTTTTTTAGTGGCATCGCGAGTGCGCGCATGGGCAGGCGACGGTAAGGTGGATTCATCAAAGTAACGACCTCTGCGCCAGTGATAAGTAACGCGCCATTGGAGTTTATAATGACATGCGTATACAAATTGGGTATGGGATTTGTATAATTACAGAGAGAGGAATGAGGTGAAAGGACTTACTTGGAGAGGTCGTTGGCGTCGAGAAACGCCTGTTCTTTTTGATGATAGTGAGAATCGGCGGTCGCACCCTCAAAACCCACGGTCGCATAATACAATTCGGTCAGTTTTCGCTTGCGCGACAACAAACAGTTTCTGAACGGAGATTAGTCCCCAAACGCGTCCATAAGGTCTGGACCCAGGCAAAGGCCAATTTTCAAAATTAAAACTTACGCGATCTCATCGTTCTTAGACCGGAGAAGCTCGTCGCGGAGCATGAGGTCTAACTTTGGAACACAGCATCCGATTAACGCGGGGAAAAGGGGAGTGAATTGACCAAGGTCATTCAGATAGAAAAAATCGCTGATCGAGATGAAAGATGATGTGGTTGTCGCGTGAGGCGATGGAGGGCAGGAAAGGGAGGACTTTTCAGTACGGGTTGGCGCGGGAAAAAAGGGAAGTCGTCGGCGAGTGCAGGTTCAGTGTGGTTGAAAGTAATGATACCGTAACATGGTTACTGGGGTTTTTGCCCGTTGGTTTTCATTAATAGGGATGTTTTTTAATATGGAAAAATGTCAGGCATATATAAGTTAACAACATCTAGCAAGGGAACAGACGCATAATAGATTCTTTACAATGGATGTACGAGGTATATTATTCTCATCCTGAGTCAAGTGGATGAGGATTATGTTCTTTAGTTTCAATGTGTTGGCACACTTGTGATACTGAGTCAGACGCGTATTGTGTATTGATACACATTCCATACGAGGAGGTCTGGTCTGTTTGCAGCTCAGGCAACGAGGCATCAACAGGGCAAAGGAGTATTCAGGCCACAAGGCATCAAGAATGTCTCCAGGTATCAAGGCATCCACTTTGCTATCGATAACCAGGAAGAAAAAAAAAACCTCCGCCAGCTCCAGCTTGTTCATCACCATACCATCCATACTTCACCTACATAAAGGAAAACCAGAAAAATGGCCAAGAGAAAGAGAAATGACCCTCCTAAGGAGGAGGCATCTGTCCAATCCCCTTCCAAGGCCGTCAAATCCACAGCTACCCCATCGCAAGCTCCAGATGCAGCTTTGACCGTCCAAGTGATCACGGGCTCCTATGAACGGGTGTTGCATGGTTTCACTGCCGGCATTCCCGCATCTTCCCTGCAGTCCAAGAAGGATGCCTCAAAAGACTCTGTTACCGACATTCAATGTGTCGATACCTTCTTGTTCGAAGCCCATGGGTCCGCTATTCGTTGTCTTGCACTTTCTCCACTGCCCAAGCCTACGGACAAGGGCGACGCACAGAAGATTATTCTGGCCAGTGGCTCCACTGATGAGCGTATCAATCTTTACTCGATCTCCGCTGCCCCGCCCGCCGTGAACGATGATTACCCCTCTGTGCCGACCCTAGCCGGAAACAAAATCCTCGAAAACCCAAGAAACCGCGAACTGGGATCCTTGTTGCACCATACCGCCAGCATCTCCGCCTTGAGCTTCCCCTCCCGAAGCAAGTTGCTCGCCGCTGGCGAGGATAACAGTATCTCGGTATCAAAAACCCGTGATTGGACTGTCGTTTCGACCATTAAAGCGCCACGCCCTAAGGTTTATGGCCGACCCAGTGGTGACACAGCGCCAGAGGGCGCCACTCCAGCCGGAGTGAACCACTTTGCTGTTCATCCTAGCATGAAGCTGATGCTGAGTGTTGGCAAGGGAGAGAAGTGTATGCGACTCTGGAATCTGGTGACCGGTAGAAAGGCCGGTGTGCTGAATTTTGATCGGGAGTTACTACAGAGTGTGAAGGAGGGCAAGTACAGCAAAGGAGAGGGACAGCGCATCGCTTGGAACGCCGCTGGTGAGGAGTTTGCGGTGGCTTTCGAATGGGGTGCGGTGGTATTTGGAATTGACTCAACTCCCAAGTGCCGAGTGGTCCCCAGTCCACGGAGCAAAATCCACCAGATGAAGTATGTCCCACGGCCCACAAAGGACGATGAGAAAGATGACTTGCTGGCTGTTTCCACTGAGGACGGTCGTGTCATTTTCTATTCGACTCAAGAATTGCAGGAGGTAGAGGAAGACGCCGACTCGACCATTCCTCACGCGACTCCGGTTGCTCAGATTGGTGGAAAGCAAGCTGGTTTCCCAGGACGCATCAAGGATTTCGAGGTCTTGAGTCTGGAGGACCAAGCGAAGGACCTTCGTGATGGCGTTCTGGTTGTGGCCGGTAACAGCGATGGTGTGGTCCGTGTCTGGAGAGCTACCAGCAAAGACCTTACTCTTTCCAAGAAGTCTAAGGGCTCCAAGGAGGCTCAAGAGGGCATTCCCCAGGTTGGCAGTGTATTGAGCACCTATGAGACCGGAAACCGCATCACCTGTTTGGCCGCCTTTGTGATGCTACCGGCGGAAGATCCAGATACTCTGATTGACTCTGAGGATGACGAGGATGAGGAACTTGAGTCGAGTGATGAGAGTGATGACGAGTAAATGGTCGTGTCCATGTTTGCCCTTTATACCCACTGTACTGTTAGACCAAAATATATTTTAAGGACAAATCAAAAGTTTTGCACTCAACTTGAATATTACGCATACTTATTGTGTACATACTGTATATATAGTTTATTCATAGCGATATATACTAACTTAGATATGAGTTTAGGGTCCTGATCAATTATACTTAAAAAACTTTATACTAGTGGGCCTCTAAGTAAATTCTGGATGTGCTGTACTCGAGGTGCGGCTTTCACCGACAAAGGGTTTTCTCTGTGCGAATGACTCATGAAAGCCATCCACCGAACTCTACATGGTCAGAAAATCCAACAAGGAATTTCAATCACAATATCTCACTCCAAATATTATCCAAATTGATAGCTTTAAGCTTCGCTGTATAGAAATAATTAATTGTAGGGGCGAGCGTTCAGTCACCGCCCGCTCGCTCTCCACTGCACAAACCCCCCACCATTACATTCTTCCATTATCATATCGCCCTGCAATTTTCATCCGGCTCTTCATCACTCCACTCTCCGCCACTCCCCACCACCTTCCACCCCCTTACCCTTCGCCCCGAGACGGAAAAGACCGTTGTCTAACGTTTGCGACTCGAAAAATCTGCAAATATGGCTACGAATGGAGATTTCTCCGACGAGAGCCAGCCCGGCTCGCCCATCTTGGACGGCAACAATGCCCAAGACTTCGACGACCAAGAGCCCCTCGACAAGCCTCTCAAGTCTTCCATGAAGAAGGCCGAGCCTGTGCCCCAGAAGCAGCGCCCTGAGCTGCCAGAGCAGCCCGAACCCAGCGCCCTGGACCTGTCAAAATTGACTCCTCTGTCGCCTGAGATCATTGCTCGTCAAGCCACCATCAACATCGGTACAATCGGTCACGTCGCTCACGGAAAGAGTACAGTTGTCAAGGCTCTGTCAACTGTGCAGACTGTCAGATTCAAGAACGAATTGGAGCGGAACATTACCATCAAGCTCGGTTACGCCAACGCCAAGGTCTACAAGTGTGACAACCCTGCTTGCCCCCGGCCGACTTGCTACAGGAGTTACGGTAGTGAGAAGGAGGTTGACCCGCCTTGTGAGCGTGAGGGATGTGAGGGACGTTACAGATTGGAGCGCCATGTGTCTTTCGTCGACTGCCCTGGTCACGACATTCTCATGTCTACCATGTTGTCCGGTGCCGCCGTCATGGACGCTGCTCTGCTTCTGATTGCCGGAAACGAAACCTGCCCCCAGCCGCAAACCTCCGAGCACTTGGCTGCTATTGAGATTATGAAGCTCAACCACATCGTTATTCTGCAGAACAAGGTCGATCTCATGCGTGAGGAGGGTGCTCTGCAGCACTACCAGTCTATTCTGAAGTTCATCCGTGGTACCGTCGCCGATGGCTCGCCTATCATTCCCATTTCTGCCCAGCTGAAGTACAACGTCGATGCCGTCTGCGAGGCCCTGATCTCCCGCATCCCCGTTCCCGTGCGCGACTTTACCGCTCAGCCTCACATGATGGTAAGAATCGGTTTCCTTACGGAGGGACTGCAGAGATGGTATAACTAATGATTTTTCTTGTTATTCAGGTCATTCGTTCCTTCGACGTTAACAAGCCCGGTGCCGAGATCGATGAGCTTAAGGGAGGTGTTGCCGGTGGTTCGATCTTGAACGGAGTCATCAAGCTGCAAGACGAGATCGAAATCCGTCCAGGTCTCGTTACCAAGGATGCGGATGGAAAGGTTCAGTGTCGTCCCATCTACTCTCGCATTGAGTCTCTTTTCGCCGAGCAGAACCCCCTCAAGCTCGCCGTTCCCGGTGGTCTCATCGGTGTTGGAACTCTCATCGATCCCACTCTGTGCCGTGCTGATCGTCTCGTTGGTTTCGTCCTGGGTCACCGTGGCCAATTGCCTTCTATCTACACTGAGATCGAAGTCAACTACTTCTTGCTCCGTCGTTTGCTCGGTGTCAAGACCGCCGATGGCAAGCAGGCGAGTCTTCCCTTCCTCGAGCTTTTGATATGAAGTATGGGGTTGCTAACAATTTCCACAGGCCAAGGTTGCTAAGCTCGCCAAGAACGAGGTTCTGATGGTTAACATTGGTTCTTCGGCCGCTGGAGCTCGGTAAGCCACCCTGAAGACATGCAACATGACTCTCGAGATCAGTGGTAAACTAACAGTTCTTTTCTAGTGTCCTTGGTGTCAAGGCTGATGCTGCCAAGCTTGCCCTGACTAGCCCCGCATGCACAGAAATCGGCGAGAAGATCGCCATCAGCCGAAGAATCGACAAGCACTGGCGTCTGATTGGATGGGCTAACATCGTTGCGTAAGTAATGACCGAATATCGCCTTACTGGGGACCTTGGACTAACCCTCGATATAGCGGTAACATCCTGGAGCCCGTTCAGCAGTAAAGCTGTACATTTCAAACGGCGTCCAGTCCTTAGGAGACCAGCAGGTATAGGAGTTCTGTCATCGTATCAAGAGAAATGAGCGAGGGAAGCTTTGCATCACTCTTGCGGGCCAAACTCCGACCTGCCGGGCCCTAGGCTTACGATTCGCGATGTATTTCATCACAGAAAAGTTTTTACGGTCACGACGAGTCGGAAAAGTGAAAGTATGACATTTACAGATATCCCCGGCTTAAATAGAGAGGAGGTTTTCATAACCCTGCCCCGTCTCCCTGGTCCAGTACTCGCCCCCACCCTGTTTTGAGATGCCCTGAGTGTCTACCAGGCAGGTGGGGCGGTTCTGGACTAGAGGATGTACGGAGGGAGGATACGAGTCACGATAAAGAGAAGAGGTGCTTCTTTTTCTTGTGTTCTAGGGAGTTGTGTTTGAAGAGGTTTTTTTTTGTTTTAACGATTTTGCGTCTGCATGGACAAGCCCTATGTAAATTGCTATAGGTTATGGTCGAAAATGTAGAAGGAAAAGAGTACTCATCTGTTCAACCTCGGACCCTTAATCTAAATAAAATTTAAATTCAATATTGTAAAGAATTCTTGAAATAACAGAGAGATCTTTGGAATTATTACGGATAGTTCTTCTATAGTTATTGACGTAAAGCACAGGGATTGTCCCTGCATTGTTGATTGCGGCCCCATGTCGATCCGACTTCTGACTAAGGCAGCCCCGACAATAACACCTGTAGCTTTCTTTGACCCTCTTTTCTCTTAACACACGCGTCTGCACCATGTGGATTCTCGAGGTAAGTCTCTAAGGAAAGCTGATGTCCTTCATAATCCCCTATTCGTCTCATCTATTTGGGATTTACTTGCTGACAGATATATTAGCAACTCGCGCGTATCCTCGACAGGCCGCTCTTCCCATGGAAGAACGTCCTTGTGGGGTTCTCCCTGGGTCAGTTCCTCCTTGAAGGTGTTCTGTCCTTCCGTCAGTACAAGGTTTTGCAGCAGAAGACCCCTCCCAAGGTTCTCGCGGGTGAGGTCTCTCAAAAGGTCTATGACCAAAGTCAGGTATGGAGTTGTGCAACGCCGAAGCATGAACACAGACAGGCTTACATGAGGTTATTTCAATCTAGGCATACGGTCGCGCCAAGTCCAAGTTCGGTTTTATCTCAGGTCTCTACGGTCAAATCCAGAATATCGCTTTCGTCTACGGTGATGTGCTCCCTAAGCTCTGGAGCCTCAGCGGCTTCATCCTGGCACGGTACCTCCCCGGTCAATTCCAGGGCGAAATTACCCAAACGCTACTTTTCATCTTCGGTTTCAACATTATCTCTACTATCCTGTCGCTTCCTACCTCGTACTACAACACCTTTGTGCTTGAGGAGAAGTTCGGTTTCAACAAGCAGACACTTGGCCTGTGGGTGACGGATATGCTTAAGGGCCAGATGCTAGGCATTGTCCTTGGAACTCCCATCATTAGCGCTATCCTCAAGATCGTCCAGAACACTGGCAACTCGTTCTTCTACTACCTGTGGCTCTTCGGAGTCTTTGTTCAGGTCTTCGCGATCACCATCTACCCCATTGTCATCCTGCCCCTGTTCAACAAGCTGTCCCCTCTGGAGCCCGGTACCATCAAGACTGGTGTCGAGAACCTGGCCAAGAAGCTGAAATTCCCTCTTTCTGAGCTGCATGTCATTGACGGTAGCAAGCGCAGCGCCCACAGCAATGCCTACTTCTACGGTCTTCCCTGGAAGAAGCACATTGTGATCTACGACACCCTGCTTGAGAAGAGTGAGCCGGAAGAGGTTGTCGCCGTTCTCAGCCACGAGCTTGGCCACTGGAGTCTGAGCCACACCACCAAGCTTTTCGGTATTGCACAGTTCCACATGTTCTACATCTTCGCGCTTTTCTCTGTCTTCGTCAACAACAAGTCTCTGTACCAATCCTTCGGATTCGTCAAGGAGCAGCCTATTATGATCGGTTTCCTTCTATTCTCGGATGCTCTGGCCCCCATGGATGCTGTTGTAAAGCTCCTGATGAACATTCTGAGCCGAAAGTTCGAGTTTGAAGCTGGTATGTCGCTCTCTGACCACAGTGTAGCATATTGCATCGATACTAATTATATGACAGATGAGTTCGCCCAGGGTCTTGGATTCTCCAATGAGCTTGCCTCTTCGCTCCTCAAGCTGCAGATCCAAAACCTGAGCACCATGGACGCCGACTGGATGTATGCTAGCTATCACTACTCGCACCCCATCCTTACTGAGCGTCTCGCCGCGCTTGGCTGGAAGGGTGGCAAGGTCACTGATCTCAAGGCCGAGGACAGTGAGAAGCCTGTCAAGGCTGCTGACCGTGAGCTGTAGAAAGCCAGGGCCCAATTCTCCACATCATATGGCATATTGCTATTTTTAACCATTTTCACAATCTTCGATGCAATTTTTTGAATATTTATGCCAATGCGGTGGAGGTATAGAGGGTTTCAAGACCAGAAATAAAAAAAATGCAATGATATGCGATTCCTGGATGTTTGAACTGGATACAAAGTGCTATGTAGAGCGTGCGTAGACCCCAGAAGGAAAGACAGAATAAAGGAAAAGTGAAGTATTAGCCATTGGAATAAGATTCGGGAATCATTCTATCGACAAGTGCTCTGCTGGCGCAGTGGTTTGTCTGTCGGTGCCATGGAAATGACCAATACTTGAAGGACGCTTGGTATCTAGCGTGAATCATGCTCCTTGATGCCGTATCATGAAGTCTATATTGGTATTTATAAAACACTTTTTATCCAGACATGAATTGCGAGACTCGCAGATTCAAGTCCAGGATACTATATATACCAGAAACATTTAAAAAGAACTCCGACCCAATGCGACAACGCCTGACAGCTGAAGAAATCAAGTATAAAACCCCAGAAAACGCAGATTACTCGTCATTTCCCTTCTGCGCCTTTGCCTTCTTCTCCGCATTCCGTCTCTCCTTCTTCAATCTCTTCCTCTCCTCCTTATCAATAGTCGCCTGTTCACCCTCCTGCTCCTGATAAGCCTCCGCCTCCATCTCAAAAGCGGGCTCTGTCATCTCGAAATCTTCTCCTCCGTTCTCAACGCCCTCTTCGCCCTTTGCACCCGAAAGTCCAGCATCCAGGTACTCCTCGCCAGGGTTCTGCTTGGCGAAAGTAAGATCCTGACCGAGGACTTCGCCCGCAAGACCGGCCTGCACGCGCTTGAGGTTGTGGAGAATCAGGTTCGGCGCGGCGGCGGTTGTGCGCGAGACGGGACCGTGCTCGCTGATGTTGGCATTGGGTTGCAGGGCTGGGTCTGTTGCTGCGCGGGTGAGGTATGCAGCGAGGAAGTCGTGTGCAGCAGATTGGCTAATGCTCTGCGTGCTGTGGATGGTGGTTGGTGGCAGGGAGGTGGGACCTGGGTTGTTCATTTTGACGAATTGAGTGAATTTTGTGGCGCCTAGGTATTTGAACGTGGGCTATTGTGGTATTGGGTGTGCCTTGTTGCGTAAATGAAGGCTGGTGGTGTGGTGGAGGTTTAGAGCTCTATACTTTTTTTTTCTTGATCGTTAATCGCGGAAAGAATTTCGGTGGCACTAGTCCCGAACGGGTATGTCTGGAGTCTCCAATTCCATATTATTGTTTATATATCGGCCAATTCTTGTAATAAAGGGGACTTTAAAGAGAGAATATTGTACATTGTGATTTGAAGAATTCCATACTTTATTCTCATCTCTCTTTAATTAGATTTTTTACTCCGTTTGCTCCTGTTGTCTCTCTCAGGCGGGTCCGTGCCTGCGGCTCCGCGCTTAATTTTCTTCGACTTCCGAACATCGCGCGAGCATCAAGCTAGACCACCTCGAACATCCTACCGACTACACCTCCCCACCGAAGTCACAGACCAGAACCTCGACTCCGGCCTTCCACCATGTTCTGTCTCCGCTCAACGGCCGTGCCCTCCCTCCGGGCCCCCGTGTCCAGCACAATGAACAGGTACGCAAACCCAGAACGAATCCAAGCCGGCAGCAACACCACTCTACGCCACTCAATTCCTCCCAAGAACCGACTTGAGCTACATGATTTCGAAAAATGGATTATATGACTAACATATGTCTTTGGCACCTATCCAGAATCTCCCAATTCACACAACAACCAACATCCAGATCATTCTCCTCCCTCCTCACCACCCCAACCCGCCACTTCCAACCAATGCAGCGCTCGTTCCCCACTATGCCTGCTACTCCCACTACAACCATGACCACTGCCACTCCTTCAATCACCTCCCTTCTCGCCCAGCAGACCTTCGGTCAGAGCCAGACCCGCTCTTTCTCCGCATCTGCCTCCCTCGGCGTGCGCCGCGTGACTTTCCGGCCGTCGCGACGTGTCCAGAAGCGGCGTCATGGGTTCCTGTCGCGGAATAAGACACAGAAAGGTCGTCAGACTATCACTCATCGCCGCTTGAAGGGACGGAAGAATGTCAGTTGGTAGATTTTGTTTTTGGACGTTGCGTTTATTCCGGACAAGATCTGGAGTCATTGGAGCCGGCTACATACTGGATACCCAGGTCGTTGAGATAGATGGGTTGGCAGAAGTCCTTGGGACTGAGTTAGGTCGGATTTGACCTCCAATTGTATCATAAGTACTTTTTTCATCTTTCCTCCTAATTATAGGTTGTGAGAGAGTATATTTCTGTTCAATTAAGCAGTTGATTCTTGATTCGGGTTTGGTTATGTGCGTATTTCAGCTTGCTTTTTCCTGGCTATTAATATATGGTCATGGTGGACAGCAAGAGTTCATCACCATCTCTACGTCCGTAGAGATAGAAAGGGCCGAACCAACATGGGCGAACGGTTGACATAATTTTTGACTTCTCGTTGCAGGGTTCCAAAAATTGCTCTACGATAACCTACGTAGGTTATTTGGAACTTTGATGTAGCAAGAATGCATTGCAATTGTATTCTTCTAAGGTGTCTATGCTCCCTTAGGATCTACCTGCTTACGGAAAGCGTTCACTCATCATCCTCGTCACTCTCCTCTTCGGATCCGGACTCGTCATCCTCGTCATCATCATCTTCGTCTTCGTCATCGTCATCGTCTTCATCTTCTTCCTCAGCACCAAGCTTGAAGCCATAGTCATCCTCGAATTCCTTCAGAGGCTGGACTGTGGGCGTGAAACCGACAGACTCGAAGCCTGATTTGATAGGCTAATATAGAAGTTAGTAAATATGGTTGATACCACGGGAGAAACAAAGCTTACCTCTTCAAGTACAGTACCGCAAGTAACAACCAGGTTAGCCTTTTTGGGATCAAACAGCGGCAGGATGATGTCCCGGAGAGCATCCTTGACCTCGTCAACGCTGATATCGCGCACCTTCTTGAGCATCTTCTCCTTGTAGTCTAGGGGCAGGTTGCGCACGACCTGGCGGATGAAACTGCCCTGAGCAGCGCTGGCAGCGGTCATCTGCTCGTTGGCGAAGCTGACGACAATGCTGCTGATGGCACCTTCCAGCATCAACGGATCAAAGGGTGACGCGCCAGACAGGTGGTCTTCGACAATCTGCTTGCTGGACTCGAATGCCTTGTGTGCGTTGGGAGAGCGGTACACATCGAAGTTGACGAAGCCGGTGTCGATGTTGTGGGCGAAGTTGGTGCCGTAGGCCAGGCCCTTGCCGCGAACAGCGACCCAAAGGGGACCCTCGACAGCGTTCATGTAGGCGGTGGCAACCAGTAAAGAAGGGAGCTTGGGGTGATCATAGGAATCAAGACCACGGGCGGTGGCGTAGGCGAACGACGAGTCGACGGTGGGCATGGGGACGATGAAGGACTTGCCACCAAGTGTCTTTGCGGCATCGCTCAGCAATTCGCGGCGGTTGGTGATAGGTTTGAGCTCGGTGCTGGTTCCCAGGCGCTCGGCAAATGGCTTCCAAGCAGAGACGGGGTTGGTAAGCTTTTCTAGGTCGGCAATAACGACAACGCGGACGTTCTCGGGCTGGAACAGAGCCTTGCGGACCTCCTCCATGCGGCTCACGATCTCCTCGGGCTTATCGGCAAGCAACTTCTTAACGCGCTTAAGGTAGCGGGCCTTGACCAAGGTGGATCGAGCGCGGGTGATAGATTCCTCCGCATAATGAACCATCACATGCACCGCAGCGAGCATGTCATCACCGCTGCGCTTGGAGTCGGGCACGTCGGCGAGAAGTCGGGAAGTAATAGCCCGCAATCTCTCGACGTCAAAGATGGTGTTCCAGGACAACTCTTGGAGCCAGGCGATGGCAGTTTCATACTTCTCAAGTTCGACCTGGAAAGAAACGCGAAGCATCTCTGAGTTCCCAAGGGCCCGGGCATTTTCCATTGAATAGCCGACAGTGTCCTTCTCCAACTCGACGACCACCTGCTCGAAGTCGATGGTCTGGCCATTTCGTTGAAGAGGGATGTTGAAGAAAGCTTCAGTGAAGATGGACAGCAAGGGACGCAGTTGGATAGGGACGGACTGTGCGGAAAGAAGAACAGACAGCTGCACGAAGCTGCTGGGGATATGTTCGAAGTGCATATAAAGGGGGAGACCCGCCTTGTTGGCATCAATATCGATGACCTTCTGAAGGGCATTTTCAGGGCGTCCAGCCTTCAGGGCAGCACCTGACCGAGCGGTGACAGTATCCATGAAGTGGATAGACTCGGTGGAAGGAATCTCAAAGTCGGCCAGCATTTTCGTGGGGATTTCCCTGTCGTTCTCTGCTTTGGCCTTTTCGAGCTTGTCTGCGAGCTCTTTCAGCCCTTTCTCGCCAAGGCGCTCTTTCTGGGCAGCGACCCGTGCCTCTTCATCGTTCTTGAATTTATCAGAAAGCTTCTGAGATGGAACACCCAAGATGGTAACGTGGTTTGCGTCCGAAATCCACTTCTTGATGAAGCCACGCCACTCATCTTGCGACCACTTCTCGAGCACGTCGTATTCCTTCAAGGATGCCACATCTCGCATGGTCGAACCATCTCGCTTTCCGAACAAGAAGTCGGTGATAACGTACTCTGCAAAGGATGACGCAGAGCTCTCCGTGGCAAACTTCCAGGTACGGCGCTGGCGGTCAATGCATTCCTTCAAGTATTTCATGTCAAGATCCTTGTCCATTGCCTCTTTGAGAATTTCAAAGAATCGCTTCTCTACCTGTTCGAGCTTCTCAGTCTCAACGCTGGTCATGGTGAAGCGAATTTCAATGCTGGGGTGCTCCTCCGTTGCATAGTAGACAGCACTGGCAAGCTGCTCTTTCTCGACGATTGCGTTTTCCAAAAGAGAGGCAGATGATCCAGCCAGGTAGAGAAGGGCCACATTGAGAGCACCAGATTGAACTGAATCATTGCAATCAGGTCCCAAGAACCGAATTTCGATTTCACCGAACGACTCGTCTTCTTCGGGGAACTCGACTCTCTGGATGACAGACTTTTCCAAAGCTGGGGTCTGCTTGGAGTCCACCCAGGGTCTCGTGAAAGGAGCAGTCGGGCTCGGGATCACGTCCAAGATGGTATCTTCAAATTTGTCCAAAATATCCAGCATGTTCTTCTGGTCCACTTCACCAGTGATCACCAAGCAAAGGTTCTTAGGCTGGTACATCTCACGGTGGAATTCCCGAATTCGCTCGGCACTCAAGACACGGAGCTGCTCCATCATACCGCCGGTTTCATACCGGAAGCCAATACCAGGGGGGTATGTCAGCCGTTTGGCCGCCAGGTCGATCAGCTCGGCCGCGTTGTTCTGAACACCCTGCATCTCGGAGTATACCACACCAGCATCGTTTCCGGCACCATCGACGTGGTGTACCTCAGTGTAGCAGCCCTCGTCAGTTAGGGTCGGAGCAATGACATGCTCCAGGTAGACGGGTAGGATCCGCGCAAAGCCCTCCCAACCTGCAGTGTCGAGAGTGTAAGCTGTGTGATCAGTGGCTGTCCAGGCATTGGTACTGGAGTATACACGGGTCGCTAATTTATCCAGGAAACCCTTATAGCGGTAGTTGCGGGATCCCATAAAGCAGAGATGTTCTAGAGTATGAGGAGCGCCCGAGTCATCGTGAATCTCGGTAGCAAGCACAAAGTAGCCGTTCACTTTGGGGCCTTTCTGGTCGATCACGACTACTCTCATGCCAGTTCGTTGGGACTCATATTCTGCGAACTCGCTCGGCGAGTAGTCAGGTTTGAACTGCTGCAGCAGTTTGAAGTGAGACATGTCGATCAATGGGGCTAGCCCAGTGCAATTATGTTGTCGAAAGCTTGTCAATCTAGCCTTTCGTTAGCAAAATTTATTGACGCATGTCAAGTATGGATCCTTAAAGCGGCGGTGACTATTGTCCCACCACAGCCCATGACCATCATTCCCACCGCGGGGTGTTTTTGGGACGAAAGAGCTCCAGAGTAGCTATGACAAGGAGGAGTTATAACTGTGTGCACCAAGTCCACAGCAGAAAAGTGCCAGTTGGGAGTAATGCAACGAGCCAAAGGCACACTGGCCAGCGAGATCCGCGAGCACACATTCTTGAGGGCTCTCTCCCGCGGCGAGATGTGTGACATGGGCGGGGCAGACAGAATTTGAGGGATTGAGGTCATGGTAAAAGATTCGGGAAACAACTCACAGGGATCGAGTAGTTTTCACCCGACTCAATCCACGCTGGCACAACCAAGACACGGTGGGTTTGAAGCTTGGTTTCTGGGTGCTGAAGGGAAGTTTGGGTCCCGTTCCTTACAAAGCGACGGGCAGTCTGGTGCATATATACCAGGAGTTATTTTATCGGCAGCCAGTCATTACTGGCGAATCAGCTTGGGAAATTTGAATTATTATGGAGATTTGTGATGATCTTGGGAAAATTTGGTCCGATCCTCTGCTTTTTCAGTCTTTTAGTCTTTTGGTTCTCATTATCCAACGCAGAGACGCAGCTAGCTACGCGGGGCGGTGACGCCCAAAGTCACGCGGTTGTTGACAGCTCGCCGGTTCCCTTGATTTGACCTTAGCAAGTACGAAAGTACGAACTCTCTTTCTGTTTCCGCCAATCCTTTCATATTTCAGCAGTATGCCGCATGCTTCCGAGGGTGAGATATGCCAGGCGGTCCTAGGATTCGTCACTGAAGGCACTTACCCTGAGGAGAAGGTGGTGGCCGCCAAGTTTCCGGCCGCAGCTCTGGCGAAGGAGTTGGAGCTCATTTCACAAGCCCGAGAGCAAGTAGAGGTGAGTCATCGTACACAGGTCTTATTTTGAGATTGACTAACAAGCACCAATTCAATAGAACGAAGTTAGCTCCCTCAGTCGTGAGAACACTTTCGATGCCGACGATTGGATCGTCCAAGCACAGCAGCTGCACGCGGATATCGAACGCTCGAGAGTCACCGCGCGGGAAATCGTCTCTCAACATGAAGAAACTAGCCCACTACGAGAAAAAGTGGAGGACGCCAGCGCGAAAGTAGCTTTGATTGAGACGGAGATCGCATTCAACCAGGCCGTCGCGGAAACCCTGGAGGAGGTACAGCGATTATGCGAGCAGTTGGAGTCGGGACGTACAACTTTGGGGACTGGTCACATTACTGCCGCCATTGAACAGCTGGAGTCTACCAAGACGGCCATCGAAACAGATACTCCATTTTCAAACACCAATGTGATGGGCATACTTTCCGGTGAGGTAGCACGACTGCGGGGGGAAATTGAGGACGCATTACGTTTGCGCTGGAGCGAACAAGTGACGCTTGATCGCGCAAAGGGCGAATTCCGCATCACTGATGACACAGATTCCTTGGATGAGACTATTGCGTCACTCTCACGACTGGGCATTTTCTCATTTGCCAGCGAGAAATTCCAGAATGACTTTATTGCGACAGTCATCGACCCGATCTTGCTGCCGCGTGTAGACGGTAGTAGTCGCGCTGTCGAAGTGACAGAAACAGGTGTCCGCATCGACTCCGCATTTTCCAGGACAAGTGTTGTAGTGACACTCAGTCGCATTACGGATGTTCTTAATTACTTAAGGCAAAAACTTCCATCGTCAATGTTGGTCACCCTTCCTCAGTCCTTGATACCTGCTGTCGCTTCGAAAGCGATAGCAGGATGGCTGTCTTCTGCAATCCCAACCACTCTGGATGGCCTGGAAGACTTCGAAAACACATTGGAATCTGTTCTGCATTTTACCAAAACAATCCAGTCGTGGGAGTGGAGTGGCCAGGAAGAGCTAGTATCTTGGGTGAATCAAGCCCCTCGGCTGTGGTTGACCCGGCGCCGGGTTGATTCACTTGATAGCGTGCGGAAAGCAATTGCTGCTAGCAAGGGTACAACGAAGCAAGTCGAAAGAATCGAAAAGGAGAATGTTTCTCACGCGGATGAGGCTCTCCTGGAGAACGCCACAACCGATGATTGGGATGCAGACTGGGATGAAGAGAAGGAGGAAGGCCCCGCGGTCGCTCAGCCCGAAGAGGATGAAGAAGATGTCAGTGCATGGGGTCTTGACGAGGATGACAATGAGGTGCCAGCCAAGCCAGACGTGCCCGATGCACCTGAAGAGGATGATGCCGATGATGCCTGGGGCTGGGGCGATGACGATGAAGAGAAGGGCGACGAAAACAAGAAGCCTCCGGTTGTCACAGATAAGAAGCCCACTGGCGGAGATAACTCTACTCAGCCCTCGTCTGCGAAGGAAGTTGTCCTTCGAGAAGTTTACACGGTTACCGATATTCCCGACTCTATTATTGAAATCGTGCTCCAGCAGATCTTCGATTCCAGAGATATTGCCCAACCTGCGTGAGTATTCAACAAGTCCATTTTCTCTCAGCTCCATTCAGCTAACGGACTCTAGGCATTCCAAGTCTCGCGTGGCTTCATCTGGCGCTGGCCTACTTGCACTGCCTACTTTGATCCTGGCCATGTTCAAGGCCACCTCATCGGCCTTTTACTCACTGAAGCTTAGTTCGGGGCAGATGTATCTTTACAATGACAGCCTGTACCTGGCTAGTCGTGTTCGAGAGCTTATAGAGGAGTACGAGCTTTCCAGGCTCAACCCTGATGTTGAAGCTTTAGAGAAGTTTGGAAAGATTGCTTACAGCAAGGAGATGCAAACCCAAAGCACCATTGTCAGCGACCTACTTGATGGTACTCAAGGATTTGGACAATGCTCCGATCAGCCCTACAAATCAGAGTGTGAAAATGCTGTCAGTGCAACGGCTGACCGGATTCGTGACGTCTACAAGGAATGGCAACCCATCTTATCCCATTCCGCCCTGCTCCAATCTATTGGCTCACTTTTGTCCACGGTGATTGGGAAGATTATAATGGATGTTGAGGATCTCGGTGACATTTCCGAAGACCAGTCCAAACAATTGGTCTTGTTCTGCAATCAAATTTCTAAATTGGAAGATCTCTTCATGCCTGAAACTGCAGCTGATACAGAAGCCGTCCCTGTCACCGCGGTCTATGTTCCGAACTGGCTTCGATTCCAGTACCTGATCAACATTTTAGAGAGCTCATTGGCAGACATCAAGTTCTTGTGGTTAGAAGGCGAACTGGGTCTAGAATTCTCCATGGACGAGGTGATCGACTTGATTGTCGCACTGTTTGCAGAGTCTGACTATCGCCGACGAGCTATCGCAGATATTCGACGAGCACCTCGGGAGTGAACCCTTTTTAATAAAGTTATAGTCAATAGATAGTACAAATAGCACTGCATATTTCTTTGGATTTCTGGGCACGGTTCTAGTACTTTATCTGATCTCCGCACTTTGCGCTAATGTGCCGCACCGGCTACCGTAATTTTTTCTCACATTTCGCAGACTTGCTCAATTTGCGACAGCCACCAAATTAGAGTCCCCGACACCAATTCTGGACTAATCTTTGCCCATCATGAGTGACGAACAAACCTCATCTGCCGTTGAGGCCACGCAGAGACAGGTCCGTGTGCAGCTTATGAGCAAGCAGGAGGATATTGCTCTGCCTGAGAACACTGGTCCCATTCTCGTTCCCACCGGTATGTATACACTGCGCCATCAAAAAATTCAAATGGCTTGGAAAATACTCATACTCGATTATTACAGGCCTGCGTCGTTATGCGCTTTCCACATTGGTGAACAACCTTCTGTCGAGCGAGAAGCCCATCCCGTTCGAGTTTTTGATCAACGGCACATTCCTACGCACCTCTATTGATGAGTACCTGACTGCCAATGGCATCTCCTCCGAGACCACCCTCGAGATTGAATATGTTCGAGCTTTGATTCCCCCACTTCACATTGCGTCTTTTGAGCATGACGACTGGGTTAGCGCTACCGACGTGCTCTCCGAGGCCTCACCTGCTGCATCCTGGGCCTCGGGCGCCAAGTTCTCCAAGGGCCAGGAAAGAATTCTGTCTGGAAGCTACGACGGTTTGCTCCGGATATGGAACATGTCATCTGAGATTGTCGCGACCTCAATCGGCCCCAGCGATGGAGGACACACTTCATCCATCAAGGCCGCCAAATTTGTGTCGCCAAACCAGATTGCTTCGGCCGGTCTCGACCGTACTGTTAGACTGTGGAAGTACACCGAAGATGCCAGTGATTTCACTGGCAAGATCACTCCTCAGTTGGAGCTTTATGGACACAAGTCTGGCATTGAGTCATTGGCTGTCCACGCTTCGTCCAACCGTCTTTTGACCGGTTCCTCCGATAACAATGTTGGTTTCTGGTCTACAAAGAAGGCCGACGCCCCTGCCGCTCCCGAAAACCTGCTTCCATCCAGCAGTGCCCGTAATGTCAAGCGTCGCAAGCTTAATGCGACTGTCTCGGTCAGCACACCGCAGCGCGGACCTCTGGCTCTTATGTCAGGACACACAGGAACCGTTTCTGCCGCTATCTTCGACGCAAAGGATTCTACCGTTGGATACTCCGCTTCTTGGGACCACTCCCTCCGCACCTGGGATTTGGTCACTGCTGCTTTGGTCGACACCCGCACCACCTCTCACTCGCTTCTTTCCCTCGAGCACCTCCCCGAGCACAACTTGCTCGCTGCTGGAACCGCCGCTCGCCACATCACCCTGATTGATCCTCGTGCTTCTGCTACCACTGTCGCGGCGATGACTCTTCGCGGCCACACTAATGCAGTTGTGAGCTTGGCTCGCGACCCGCACAGCGCATACGGTCTTATTAGTGGAAGCCACGACGGCACATGTCGCATCTGGGATATTCGGTCGACCAAGACCGATAAAGATGGTGTTGTGGGTGAGAGCGTTTACTCGATCACTCGCAAGAGCCTCGAGGAGGAGGGCAAGGCGGAGAGCAAGCGTGTCGGTGGTGAGGGTGTCAAGGTGTTCAGTGTCTGCTGGGACCCTACGGTAGGCATCGTCAGCGCGGGTGAGGATAAGCGTATCCAGATCAACCGCGGCGAGGGTGTTCTGTCCTCCCAGTAGATTGCACATATGGGTTTGGCGTTTTAGATGTGGTTTTGTCAGTTTAAAAAGTTCTGTTCTAGTTTTGTTTTATCGAAGATTTCTAGCCATGTTCCTTCCACTCTATGAAAGTGGATAGGTAGATATCGAGTTCATCAACAAAGCAGTATTATACTAGGCTTCTTTTCTTGGTAGTAATAGGCTTCAAGCCACTTCTAAAGCTCATATCTAATATATAATACATTGGTAAAGAGCGGAAATATTCACAAGTATGCTAGCGCCAGTATAAGAACAAAACGCCGATCCTATGCCTGTCGCAAAAGAGGCGACCTTTCCACAAACCAATATACAGGGGTGTGCCCGGATCCAGCACCTCAACCGCCCTAACTTAGGGGCTCTAGGGCGTGCTGGGGGTAATGTTGGGAATGCTGGGGGCCATGCAAGGGAGCCATCGGCTTTACAGACGACGCTCCATGCGGTTCAACCGAACGGGAGTTTTAATCTAAAATCACCGCATTAGCTCACATGCTCCATATACCGATCAATGATCACCAGCTCCGCAGACGCCTGAGGTTCACAAAGAAGTAAAAACCTACCTGTGTGCGCGTCCGTTGTCCCCGCACAGGCAGACCTAGCGCATGGCGACGACCACGGTAAGTGCCCGTCTCCTTCAATCGCTTAATATCATTCAGCACCTCTCGGCGCAGATCGTTCTCAATCTTCATATCCGATAGCACGGCGGTTAAGTCGAGGACCTGCTTGTTGGCTAGCTCGCCGACACGACAGGTAGGGTGGATATTAAAGCGAGCGAGAAGCCGAGAGGAGGTATTATCTCCAATTCCGAAAAAGGAGCCGAGACATTTCTGTTGGTTTATGTTAGTCCCTGTTCGTCTGTGCTATGCGGTGGAGGTTGCTTACCTTTAGTAGGTTCCGCTCAGGGAAATTGACACCTAGGATGAAGACCTAGAGGATTATTGTTAGGTTAAGGGTTCATTGAGAGGTTCGGAGCGAAAAGGTGGGTTTACCATCTTGACGGGGCTGGATGGCTGTCAATTAGGATATCCTTGCTGCTGCAGTTACTTACTCTGGAGTAGATTAGATAGGATGATTGGCAATAATGTTTATCCGACGTGGGATGTACAACTCTATGTGAAGTGAGACAGCAGGGGTACCAAGTACGGGGGTAATGACTATTGGTATTTGGACTTAGGGTAACTAAGCTCATAACGGAGGTGTATAGATCTGCACGTGCACTACATGTATATCGACATGTGTCATAAAGATGACGGTGAAGTAAGCCATATGCTACTCTAGATCTAAACTAACCAGTCAGCATGCAAATCTCTCGTCTTAGTCAGAAAGTCCAGACTCCGTAATCAACTGGTCAATGAAAATCTTTGAGAAAATTTGAATTTTCCAGCTGGATCGCTGTTACTGTATTATAACCACACATGACCTCATAAATCCCCGCCATTGACTTGTAATTCAGTCCCTGATGACAATACCGAACATCGCTACCTAAGGAGTACCTGAGCACACAGGCCACTTATGCTGGGCAGACCCTGTACCTTGAAAGTAGATCATTTGCCTCCTTCCCACAGACGCAAAACCTGCCCTCACTTTCTTCTCTTCTAATCCATCCATCATCCCTTTTTTTTCACTCCACTCATCCCCCTCTTTTTTTCATTTCTTGGTGCTGTTAAAGTTCTTAGAAGTGGGAGATTTGCATTTTTTGTCTTTCTCTCTGTGTGTCTAAATCTCAGTCGTTTACACGATCTTTTTTTTTCTTCCTATCAACTGGGAAGGCAAAAAATAAAAAACTGAGAGCAACAGTTCTATCTTCTCCATCTCTCTCTCTCTCTAAAGGTATTATATTCTTTCCAGCTTTTGATTCCCGCAATATCGACGCGATATATCTTTTGGTGCAGCTTCAAAAAAAGCTTTGCGCATACCTTTGCGTATTCAACACTGCTCTACACCTCCGAGAAGAAAAAACGACGTATACTGACTCGGAACCATTAGACTACCTTCAAAAACCGCAAATATGGCCGACGGTCTCCAGATGGGAAACCTTTCCATTAACGAATCTCAGCACGCGCCCCAGGGAGCCAGCAACCCCCCTACTGGCCGCGCTGCCTACATCCCTCCCCACCTGCGCTCGCGAGGTGGTAACGCTCCTGCGGCCGACGCCGGTCCAGCTCCCGGCCCCGGCTTCGGTGGCCCTCGGTATGACTTCCCAAATCACCTATCATCCCTCTCCCAATCATCTAACCCAAGTTGCTTCTTTAGCAACGGTCCTCGTGGTGGTAACTGGGCTAACGCTAATGCTCCCGACTTCAGCCCTCGCGGCCCCGCAAACGGTAATCGCAGCTTGAAACCCCAAGGAGAAATCCGATCTTTCAATTCCCATGCTTACGAATACTCAGGACAAGGCTCGTACAGCGGCGGCGGCGGTAACTACAGCAGTGGTGGTGGTGGTGGTGGTGGCAGCGCTCCTCGTGGCTCCGGAGATGGTCAGTGGCGCGATGGCAAGCACATCCCCGGTCCTGCCAACGCCCGTGTTGAGCGCGAGCTTTTCGGTGTTCCCAACGACCCCTCCAAGCAGCAAACTGGAATCAACTTCTCCAACTACGACGATATCCCCGTTGAGGCTTCGGGTAACGATGTCCCCGAGCCTGTCAACACCTTCACCAACCCCCCTCTTGACGACCACCTCATCTCTAACATTAAGCTGGCTAGCTATGTCACTCCTACCCCTGTGCAGAAGTACTCTGTGCCCATTGTCATGAACGGCCGTGATTTGATGGCCTGTGCCCAGACCGGTTCCGGAAAGACTGGTGGTTTCTTGTTCCCCATCCTTTCCCAGGCCTTCCAGAACGGCCCCTCCGCCGTCCCTGCTCAGGCTTCTGGCCAGTTCAGCTACGGCCGCCAGCGCAAGGCCTACCCCACATCCCTCATCCTTGCTCCCACTCGTGAGCTGGTCTCCCAGATTTTCGATGAGGCCCGCAAGTTCGCCTACCGTTCGTGGGTCCGTCCCTGTGTCGTGTACGGTGGCGCCGATATTGGCTCCCAGCTCCGCCAGATCGAGCGTGGTTGCGATCTGCTCGTTGCCACCCCCGGTCGTCTGGTCGACTTGATCGAGCGTGGCCGTATCTCCCTCATCAACATCAAGTACCTTGTTCTTGACGAGGCTGACCGCATGTTGGACATGGGTTTCGAGCCCCAAATTCGCCGTATTGTCGAGGGTGAGGACATGCCCCGTGTTGAGGACCGCCAGACTCTCATGTTCTCGGCCACCTTCCCCCGTGACATCCAGATGCTTGCTCGTGACTTCCTGAAGGACTACATTTTCCTCTCGGTTGGTCGTGTTGGTTCCACCTCCGAGAACATCACTCAGAAGGTTGAGTACGTTGAGGATGCTGACAAGCGCTCCGTCCTGCTTGACATTCTCCACACCCACGGTACCAGCGGTCTTACCCTGATCTTCGTCGAGACTAAGCGCATGGCCGACTCTCTCTCCGACTTCCTCATCAACCAGCGCTTCCCTGCTACTGCCATTCACGGTGACCGCACCCAGCGCGAGCGTGAGCGTGCCCTGGAGATGTTCCGTAATGCTCGTTGCCCCATCCTGGTCGCTACTGCCGTTGCTGCCCGTGGTCTCGATATCCCCAACGTTACCCACGTCATCAACTACGATCTTCCCACCGACATTGACGACTACGTCCACCGTATCGGTCGTACCGGTCGTGCCGGTAACACCGGTATCGCCACTGCCTTCTTCAACCGTGGCAACCGTGGTGTCGTCCGTGACCTGCTTGACCTCTTGAAGGAGGCTCACCAGGAGGTTCCTGCTTTCCTGGAGAGCATTGCTCGTGAGGGCTCTGGCTTCGGCGGCCGTGGCGGTCGTGGTGGTGGCCGTGGTCGTGGCTCCTCCAACGCTACCCGTGATGTGCGTCGCTTCGGCGGTGGCATGGCCGGTGCTGGTCCTTCTGCCAACTTCAGCAGTGCCTACGGCGGCGGTGGTTCCTCCTACGGTGGCAGCAGCGGCGGCTACGGCGGTGCTGCTCCCTCCTACGGCGGCAGCGGTGGTGGTGGTGGTAGCTACGGCGGCGGTGCCTACGGTGGTGGTGGCGGCGGCGGCAGCTACGGCAACCCGTCTGGCCCTACCGGCCCCTCTTCCTGGTGGTAAATCAGTCGTGGTCTGATGACGAGGCCGTCGGGTCTGATTGATCCCCAGTTTCCTTATTTCTTTATTGTCTCTCGTTGACGGGTACGATCAGAAACGAACCCTGGGTTCTTTTCTTCTTAGCTGTTTCTCAGGGACGGCTTTGTCATGACTGCTACGACTCTCCTAATCGTGGCTTTAGATTTTTTTTTATGCCGACTCTATTATTTTGCCCATTTCTGTTCTTCATGTTTCGCTCATGCGTCTGCTATGTTTTACGGTTTTATTTTGTCCTGTATCCCTTATCTGCTTCCCATTTCTTCGGGGCTCTCAATCTGGCCTTGTTTAGACATGGGGCGCGTTCGAGCAGTTCTGATCCCCAATCTCCTTGTGTTGCTCTGAGTCTTGACCTTTTTTTGTTTGGAGCAACCGGTGGTCAGCATTGCATGAACATGATAGAATGCGTTGTCTTTTTCTTGTCCGCTCTCATCAGATACCCCTTATGTTCGAACGTTCCCAATTGTGGGGACTACGTTCGAATGACGCGTTCGCGCCGAGCGAAGAGTTTCTTTCTTCACCTCTTCGAAAAAGTGCTTTTTCTTATATCGCATCACCTCGGCGCTGTTATGGCTGCATTTTCGGAATGTGCAGCATAGACGTCTGACAGCGTCGGTATCTTATGGCGGACAGTTCTTTGCGTATCTTTTTACTCCTTTCCGCGTCTTGTTCTGCGGTCACTTCCGTCTTTTCCAAAACTCAGAACCCGCGTTTCTCTTTCTCCGGGCTAATGGAATGGTTGTACACTTCAACGGGCTGGTTATTTGTGTTGTATCGGTGTCCGTGGCAGGTGAATTCCGCATGGGGATTCTTTGCATTCTGTATGGCGTTCTGACCTGTCACTGTGCATGTCCTCTGGGGTCCGTGGAGGCTGATTTCCAAAACAAAATTTCTTGTTTTCCTTTCCTGCATCATTTTTCTCGGATCCGGGGATGGGACGCTGTCGGCGCTGAATGTGGTTCTCGCATGGTTTCAAGTTATGACGAAAAGCAGAGGGACCTTAGATCTCGATACCGCGAGAAGGAAAGCCCTCCTAGTTCAATGCTATTTGAAAAGTATTTCGATGTTCAGTTTTTGTAGTACTGTAGTACTCTAGGTCTTTCTGTATTGTGCTGAGTTGTAGACGGTTATATTTCTATATTGGTGTATTTGATGTTCCCGGGTATTGATCTATTTTCTAAATTGTAGCGTCCACGGGAATAATTCAAGCATGAGAATGGTTTCATAAGCATATGGTCTAAGAAAGTCTGAAAAATCGATGCTTTTGATCATAAAACTGGAAATGTCGGCATAGAAGGCATAATCCGTACACGGGCATGTTACGCGGATCCTGGATGCGGGTAGTTATCACACTTCACCACAAATGGATACTTCATTCGTCCCTTCTTCTTTCCTCCTATCCACACCTTCTTTACGCTTTTTCCTTTGTTCTTTATCCCTTTTTCTTCAATCCTATCTCCGTTCCCTCCCCGAATCTATTTCTTCAATACCTCCGCATCTTCTTTAATCTACTCGCGCCTCCTAGGGGGGCCGACATTACCACAGGACCCTCGATCCTTCGGACCTAGGACAGTTGGCACAAGGCGCCCTCCTTGATCGCAAACATCGCCTCATAATGGCCGACGTCGAAACCCCCACAATGGACGAATCCCTCGCGCCGTCCGAGACCGCGGACGACCAGTCCCATGGTATAACCGCCAGCGCGACGGTCGGCACAAGACGCCAGGCGAATGGTACGATCGGCTCCGTGTACTCGGGCAATAAGATCCGACATCTGAAGAAGGAAGACGGTATCCCGCTGTGGCGCAAAGATATTCAGTACCAGTTCCTCAAGCTCGTTTTTGAAGATAAGACACCCGTATTCACGCGGTACCCCGACGGCGAGAAGAACCTGGACTTTGCCGACATCTACATCGATGCCATGGCTAGGAGCAGCAAGACGAGCAAAATCCTCAAGGATAAGCTGCAGAATGATAAGCCGGCAGCCATTAGCATGGCGATGGTCTGTTTGTTGGTCAATTTTGGTCGCATGAACACCACTCTCAACTGTAAGCTCTCATTTTGGACCATTGTTGCTTGATCGCAAAACTGATAATTCCATCTCTTATCTCTAGTCTTCCCTGAAATGCGTGCTCAGTTACGAACCTACCACTCCATTCCTTCGCTGCAAGCTCATCAGGACACAAACGCCTACAAACAGCTGCAGGACGCTCCGCGCCTGAAGTCCATCCTGAAGGGCGCCTCGGAGGATGTCGATCAACCGAATTCTTTGGAGAAGATCAAGCGCATGGCTATACCCCGAACGAACCCCGTGAACCTCATCTTCGTTTTGGCACAGTTTGCACCCAGGGTTTCCGAGACGCATTTCTTTCCTCCACGTGACTTCTTCGATCTGGTGATGCGCTCCACGTTGAGCAGTAAAAGCCGAGCCAAAGCATTCTTGTGGCTGATGTGGTGGTACTTGGAAAGTGATTTCAGCCGCGAGGCTGCATTAAACAATCCATTTGGTCCCGGACTGGAAGGCGAAGGAGCTGAGGGCTTGCCTTTGAAAGTGCCTGTATTCGACAGCTTGACGGAAGAGCAAGCCAATGAGGAAAACGTAGATACACCAGAGGAGCTGGAATATGGAGAAACGAAGAGACTAGAACGCAAACGTGAGTATTGTTTCCTTTGCGGTTTACTCAAATATGCTGACACAATTCATAGGCATTCTTGAAGAAGACGAGCCTCTTCCCAGGGTTGTAAAGCGCCCCAAAAAAGGTATGTTACTTTGGTCAATCTTGTGCTACATTCATTGGAGAAATTCTGACCGTTTGTGACATCCATTCTACAGAGTACGGCTTCGATGAAGAATCCTTTGCAGGAGACTACTCTGGCTTAGGAGGCCGTAATTCAGCCATGTCTACGCCCCTCCATCCATCTGCTAAACGAAGCTTGGATGACGATGATGACGAATTAACACCAGGGTCATCTCGACCACGCAACAAACAAGTTAAACGAGAAACCATCAGCAGCCAGGCATTGGGCCATCAGCGCCTCATCTTGAAAACTAGGATGGAACAGACACCCAACGCTTCCCCTGCCCCTTCTGGCTCTGGACTCATGGACCGCTTCATTCCTGAGCCTTTGCTAACTCAGTCCACCAGCCGTCGACCGCGTCCTTTGACGCAGCACCAGATTGCTGTGGAGCAGAACCGTCGACAGCGGATTGAATACTTGCTTGCGAAACGGCGAAGCAATGCATATCGTGTGTTGAGTGCCAAGCGCAACAGCGAAATTCCATTTGCTCGATATGGCCGACTTCTTCAAAGCTTACCGGAAGGATACGATACAGAGGATGAAGAGGGTTCGTGGGGCAAGGGAGGTCTGCTTCCGAATCCCCAGGCTGAGGATGACTATGGCGAGTGCGCAAATTTCTTCCTCTCTGTTGTCCGCAAGGCCACTCGACGTCTTGATCGCTGGGACTATGAGGACGCCAATGGACCAAAGAAGGACCGCCAGAAGGAACGTGAGGACAGACAGCGGACCAAGGCCGCTCTTGAGGCTGATCTTCGGGCTGCGAGCATTCGGTCTCGTCCTCGTCCTTCTCGTGGTGGTGCCGCCGCGAAGCGCAAGTCCACCGGTCCTACATCTACCCCCGGAACCGCCAAGAAGTCTGCTGCGCGCCCCAAGGGTATTAGCAGCGGACTTGCAGGCGAGTATGCTGGTGGTGACGAAGAGGTGGATGGGGAACTGGATGACCTCGACCGTGAGCTGCTGGGAGAAGCCTCTGGCGAGGAGGATGGAGCGCAACGAATTGGCTCTCCCGCTGACGGAGATTCCTCAGATGACTCTGGAGACGACGATGATGCAGTTGATGGCGATGAGATCTCATCTGCTTATGACGGCCCCAATGGCTATGCACGACACCACAGCTCGTCCCCCGTTCCCGGGACTGGTGAACCTCGTGGGGACGCCATGGAAGATTAAGGAGGATTTGGATATCAATTTCATCTGTGTTATGACGTTCTAGTGTTTTCAATGTTTTGGGATTTACTTCGGGGTCAACTGTGATTATTCTGGTTAATATAGGGCTTGTTTTTGTGCTGTACTTGATCCCCTGCACTGTACACTTGGGCGAGAGAGCCCCAATACATCAAAAGGATTGTTACTCGTTTATTCTTGACATCATATTCGCATCCTATCTATCTATAGGCAGTGTATATTAAAAAGTTGCCAATTGCTACCCCTAAATATAAATCATGTCATGAAGAATGTAGCTTACTATGCTTCTCTGGAACGGTTCAGTCCCGCCACGGTACCAGAATCGTGACGACCGAGAAATGGTTAGAGTCCGGGGTAAACCGTCAGAAGCCCAACAAGCTCTTTACTGGGGCTAAGCCGATTGCGTCCAAGACAAACCCCTCCAAGGATCCAAGGACAGAGCCGGTATAGTTGGATAACCGGGTGATAAAGCGTTATATTGGGGATATGATGCCGAGATGTACGAGTTCCGCGAGACCACCTGGGACCACACAAAATCGGCTGCACATGCTGGGGCATCATTTGACGACTACCTACGGAGGTGAGCGGCTCGGAAACTCAATGTTTATTTGGGGGTGATTTTTTGAATGTGGGCCCTTAGGTCAGGACGGGTCTCCAGTCATTTTGCCTCAGTCTTCGGTGTCCATAGGAGCCCAAGAACCGTTTCACAGAGCATGGAGAGCTTCATTGACAACCCGAAAGGCCAGTCGAGTGATCACTGGGCTGTCATGAACGAAACTTGCTTTATGCTCTCTGGTGTTCGATGTATGCGGCCTCTAATTCTGCGGTGAATGCCGAATGCCGCAAACAAGCCACAGCAGCCGAACGTGTCTCACCGAGAGTCCTGCAACTGTTATGGCATCTTTCTCTCCATTATCTCGAGATTTTGTTTAGCAAACTTTAGCCGCAAAGTCCGAAGCTAACCCTGATCAGAATAGAGTCCTCAATGCGATTTATAGAGGGGCCGGAGTCATGCCAATATGGTGTAGAATAGAAAGAAAGCTTAGGAGTAATAATCACACATGTAAGTTTATATATCCTAATTCTCTAGCCTTCTGCTTGATTAAAATAGAGGAAAGTTAGGTTGGTAAAAGGGTGTGCATTTAGTAATATACCTAGGTATATTGTCCACCTGGTCGTGTAGTCCTTTGTACATATCTTGCTTATACTGGTGCCTCTTCAGGGCTCGACCTTGGAAGTATATATACATAGGTATGAGAATGTCAACGGATCAATCGATGCACCGACAATCGACCTGGGCATGAATCTTGAATATCTGCAACAATCCAGCCCGTTTTCTAGTTCTCAGTAACAGCAAAACAGTAGGTATCTCGCCACTTTAGTTTTGGCAACGGGAATGATCGCCCCGAGACAGCCCCGAGCCACAAGCCCCAGTATGACCTCAACTACTCCAGCAGTTTTAGCCACGCCCCACCATTGGTGGAGTGATCGGTGTAGGAGATGTACGTCTTTGGTTCAAGTGCACAGTAGCGACGGGGTCTGAGTGGTCTAAGTGAAGACTGTGTCGTATTGCAGCGGGCAACCCCATGTTTTACGACGCGCCCAGCATTGCACCGGAGGGTCTGTGTTGCCCGAGATTGTATGACCTCGTAATAAAGCTCCGAGTTGTGGAGAGCTTGCCACAACACATGTGATGGCCCCTCTTTTCAACATTCCCCTCTCTTTTGTACTCGTCTTCCCTTCTACTTTCTCTTCTTTCCAATTACACTTTGTGATATACTTGTATATCTCTGAACTTGAACCTTGGAACCAACGTCATTGACAGCATCGCGGGAGCCGAACAGTGAATTCCCCACTTCATACCCAAAAGCAAATCAGATCGAAGCTGCAGAGTCCTGGGAATTTCTAGCCAACGGCGTCTAGTGGATTCCTAAGGTTTAAGGCTCAACGACTAAAAGGGTCCAAAGATCCTCTTGACGTATCCTCAACATTTTGATCTATTCACTTCTTGATCTTGTTTATTCCACACAGTCCCATTGTTCATTTACTCAGAAATTAAGATAATTTTATATTACTGAGTACTTTGGTAAGCAACTCAAGGGGGCAACTGGTCTCTGCGGTGGAGTCGCCATCGAGAAATTTCGCTAATAGTTCTTCAGGCGTGTCTCACCACTCAATTTTCAGTCATTCCATCATTCCTGAAGAATTCCTCCTCTCAACGCTAGAAAGCTGCATACGGAATTCAAATACAACGGTCTCCGACCTTCGGAGGCTCTGATACCACCCAGGAACTTAAAGTTTACCAAACCTCCCTTTCCCCATTCGAACCGTCTTCCGTCACACGAACACCAATTTAGACCACCCGTACACGATGGTGGAACAACCTCGCATTCTGCGGCCACGCCCTCGTCGCGCATTCGAAATTCCTTCCAATGACTCCTCTGGCCCCCCGACACCCGCCGAACCCTCCAACCCAGACCTACTGAATCCCCTCGGTGTCAACCCCAACTTTCAGGAGTCAGCTTCCACAAGCGTGAGTCGCACTGGCTCAATTCTGAACCTGACATCCTCGACCCTCTACGGTATCTATCAGCCCACCGCATTCGATAGCCTGCGTGATGAGTCCAGCCCCTGGGGCACGGAGGCCAATTCTCCTGCAGCAGAGTTCCCACCAGAGCCGTCACAGAGTGAAGCTTTGAAATCTGCCATTGAGCCTCGCCCGTTTGCTTTGCGGCGCACACGCTCGCGACTCAGTCATGGAATGTTTCGGGGTGTCATCTTGCCGCAGGTGATGAGCAGTGCCTTGCTGTTCGGATTCGGCATTGTCTACGGGGTTATTACGGTGCATTTGCATGACAACCACTGGATTACACCTGTCAAGCTGGAGAATGTCCATTATTACGATTCGTGGCAGTACTTGGGCCTTTGGGGAATGGCGGGTATTGCGTTGGGCAATGTGCTCCCCTGGCTGGATAGCTGGCGGGATACAGAGTCGGTGCGCGAGGAGCAGTCGAAGCGCGCACGCAGTGTCGAGAGCGAGGATCGCACTCCTTCGTGGGTGGCTGTTGCTCGCAGTGTTGGTGCATTTGTTGGAATTGCTTTTGCCATGGTAAGTACTGTGCTACAAGACTCGTTTGTTTATTTTGACGGATGTTGATTTTTTTTTTTTCTGAAAATTTAGCGGCGCCTCCCCTGGGAATCTACGACTCAAGCCTCGCTCACCCTCGCCCTCGCAAACCCTGTCTTGTGGTACTTGATTGATCGCACCCAGACTGGTTTCTTGCTTGCCACTACTGTCGGCCTCGCTGGCATGAGCGTTGTCCTGGGCCTGAAGCCCGAACTCATCCCGGCATCCACTGGCCCATCGGTGGGCACTACTTTCCTCAACGGAACTGGATGGGAGAATTCATTGGGAGCAGGCATTACCCAGGAGAGCATTGCTGTCCGCACCTGGGTCGCTAGTGTGATTTTCTGCGCCTGCGTGTGTTTTGGCAACATTGGTCGCCAGCTCGCGATCGGAGCCACTGGCAGAGACGTCCTGAAGTCGTGAAGCAGATCAGGAAAACTTTGTTGACAGTTGCTAGCTTTTCCATCCGTTGAACAAAGTGCGCTTGTCTAAGGAAATACTTGCTATGTGAAAATGCTTATACAGAAAATTTCTTTCATATGGCACAAAGGCAAATAGAATTGTAATAGAAAATAGCTCGAATTATAATATTTATAATATATTCCACTCATACAGTCATCATGCCAGCATTAAGACAGATATTCTACGACCTCAAAAAAAAGGTCAAGAGTGTTGAGAGATTTGTAGAGTCGATCATTGCAGTTCCTTCCATGAGACCCGTAGGTCAGGCAGGCACTGCACCCAAGATCAACACTGTGCGTACACTCGGTCTCCATTCTTTATACGATTTCCATACTTCATGAGACGAATCCTCGTAGGAACGCTTTTGAAAGAAGGTGATTTTTTGCGTTGTTCATGAAGAAGAAAAGAAAAAGAAGAGGAAAGCGCGCGCGCAAAATTTGCTTTTGAAGTGCCCAGGGGTCACGTGATGACCAGCTACAATGAGTCAGCGTCTTCTCTGATTGGCTTTTGTCCAATACTGCTCGTGGAGCTTTTATTGCGTATATTACGTATCTATACGGGCGTACTGTAATTCGCCGTCCGATTGCGGCCATGAAAAAAGACCCCGCGGCGGGACAAATTGTTTCTTTTTTCCACCCTCGTTCAAGCTGTTATATACCTGTACGCTTGGATTTAGGTACGTGGGAACACATTTTCAAATAGATTGGATTGATTGGAAGCTTCATTGAAGTTTTATTGGAATTAGTCTTGCGTTTGCTGACCTTTCGTTTCTAGTGTCGACATCATGTCTCAAAAGTCCGGTAGGCGCTTGGCCTTGATACATTCCCCGGATTGAGGGTCTAGTGGCTGATTTTTTCAATTGCGCTTTGATATAGCTATTATCTCCGTCTATGACAAGACTGGACTGCTTGACCTTGCCAAGGGTCTGAACCAGCAGAATGTCCGTCTTCTTGCGTCTGGCGGTACCGCTAAGATGATTCGTGAGGCCGGATTCCCCGTTGAGTGAGTCCTTCCAGAGATGCTCCAAGATGAGCAATCAGTATAAATTGCATGACTCCAATACTAACGAATCTTCTATAGGGACGTCTCTGCCATCACTCACGCCCCCGAGATGCTCGGTGGCCGTGTCAAGACCCTCCACCCCGCTGTCCACGGTGGTATCCTTGCCCGTGACATCGAATCCGACGAGAAGGACCTCGCCGAGCAGAAGATCTCCAAGGTCGACTTTGTTGTCTGCAACCTGTACCCCTTCAAGGAGACCGTCGCCAAGGTCAACGTCACCATCGACGAGGCCGTTGAGGAGATTGATATCGGTGGTGTGACTCTGCTCCGCGCTGCGGCCAAGAACCACAAGCGCGTTACCATCCTGTCCGACCCCAAGGACTACTCCGAGTTCCTCCAGGAGCTCGCTGCTGGCCAGATCACTGAGGCCAGCCGCAAGCAGTACGCCCTGAAGGCCTTCGAGCAGACTGCCGACTACGACACTGCCATCTCTGCTTTCTTCCGCAAGGAGTACGCCGGCAGCGGTGTGCAGCAGCTTTCTTTGCGCTACGGCACCAACCCCCACCAGAAGCCCGCCTCTGCCTTCATGCCCCAGGGCAAGCTGCCCTTCAAGGTGCTGAACGGTTCCCCCGGCTACGTCAACCTTCTGGATGCCCTCAACGCCTGGCCTCTGGTTAAGGAGCTGAAGCAGGCTCTCGGCTTCCCCGCCGCCGCTAGCTTCAAGCACGTTTCCCCCGCCGGTGCTGCCATTGGTGTTCCCCTCACCGAGAAGGAGCGCAAGGTCTACATGGTCGACGACATCAAGGACATCGAGACCTCCGGTCTCGCCCAGGCTTACGCCCGTGCCCGTGGTGCCGACCGCATGTCCAGCTTCGGTGACATCCTCGCCCTGAGCGACATCGTCGATACCCCCACCGCCAAGATCATCTCCCGTGAGGTGTCCGACGGTGTTATCGCCGCTGGCTACGAGCCCGAGGCCCTCGCCATCCTCTCCAAGAAGAAGGGTGGCAAGTACCTCGTCCTCCAGATGGATGAGAACTACACCCCCTCCCCCGAGGAGACCCGCACCCTGTACGGTGTCCAGCTGACCCAGCACCGCAACGACGTCGTTATCTCGCCCAGCAAGACCTTCAACAACATCATCACCCCCAAGGAGCTCAAGGCCCTTCCCGAGGCTGCGCTCCGCGACTTGACCGTCGCCACCATTGCCCTCAAGTACACTCAGTCGAACTCCGTCTGCTACGCCTTGAACGGCCAGATCATCGGTCTCGGTGCTGGTCAGCAGAGCCGTATTCACTGCACCCGTCTTGCCGGTGACAAGGCCGACAACTGGTGGATGCGCTTCCACGACCGTGTCATCGGTATCAAGTGGAAGCAGGGCACCAAGCGTGCCGACAAGAGCAACGCCATTGACCTGCTCTGCTCCGGTCAGACTCCCCGCAGCGAGGCCGAGACCATTGAGTACGAGCGTGTCTTCGAGGAGGTTCCCGCTCCCTTCACCCAGGAGGAGCGTGAGGCCTGGCTGCAGAAGCTGGGTGAGGTCGCCGTCTCTTCCGACGCTTTCGTGAGTTTTCCATTTTCACTACCATCCTTGAATTTGAATTACTAACCACTTTATAGTTCCCCTTCATTGACAACGTCTTCCGCGCTGCCCGCTCCGGTGTCAAGTACATTGCCGCCCCCACTGGTAGCCAGAACGATACCCCCGTCTTCGAGACTGCCGAGAAGCTGGGTATTACCTTTGTTGAGCAGGGCGTCCGTCTGTTCCACCACTAGAGTGTTCTAGGATGGATAGAGGCGTCTGTACGGTATTTCGGGAGTTCAACACAAAAAGAGATATCTGGTTATGATGATGATAGCTTTCTTGTTTATGATTAAAATTTACATATGTTCTATATACTTGTTGATCTGTAAATGGAGTAGTCCTCGGTAGATGGTTGCTTATACGGACTAGCTTAGGAATGTACCTACGAACGTTCCTTTCCACAAAATAAGCGAATTGGATTATTGAGTCACGAAATCGTCACTGCCGTTGTTTGATTATGGAATCCATGCATATTTAGTTGGCTGCCGACCTTCCGCGTATTCCCTATTCTTTAGAAACCCACATAACCAAGATTGAGTCCTTACTCCCGTTCTCCCGTTTTGAATCCTAAATTTTGACAAACGTTGCAATGGATACACAAAGCCAGATCAGACGCTATGAGGCTGTCAAGCACCTCTATCAAAAATTCGGGAGGTCTATGCCCTGGTTTTTCTCCCTGGTGATCTCCAAGGCCTGGGAATTCAAGTCCTTTACCCCAACGTCTTGGATGATGGTGCCTTACAATTTGATTCATGTTTCTTTCGTCCTTACCCCGAAAGAGTCCTCCAAAAGTATCCACTAGACATTGTGCAGATGGCTGCTATAATTCCCCCCAAGACCATTCCCCAGCTGTCCGGTCGCCCCGAAGTCACTTCCATGATACAAATGGAAGAGGAAACAGGGATAAAGAACGAGGCTGCGAGAGCCACTTACAAGTCAGCTAATGGGCTTTATGGGCCGGACGAGTGGCAAGACCATGCTAGAAATACACATCGACATATCGAGGCCCATCTGAAGTGTTATCGAATCGGACTACCCGAAGGCTATTCTCTCTTCTCTCTTGGATCTATACATCGTCGTCGGTAAGTGTGCCCTTTCCTTATATCGGGGTTCTATTTAAGGTCTTGACTGTTACTAGGACAAAAGGCACGAGTGGTGATCCTCCAACAATCGAGGGAGGTAATCCTGAACGGGTTGAATGGCGTATCCACAATATCTTCGAGGATTGTAATGAGAGCCTACCTAACCCACATGCAATCATAACCCTTACCTCAGATGTTCCGGCAAACAACGCCAAGAACTGCCTTACTCTACATGAAATGCAAGCTATCCTGGGCATCATGGTTATCCGGACACTCCATAGACCATTCTGTAGCCATCCCCTACATCCGGTTAGTAATGAACATTTAACTTTATCACATCCAAGGCTTTACTGACGGTTTTTCTTTCTGTAGCTCTTGGTCCTTTCCTACACAGGAGAAAAGCACGGAAGAATAATTCAGGCTTCTTTACATGGACAGCATTTAGTTCTGCAATGTTCCCCACTATGGAGTTTTGCAGATGACAAAAAAGCACCGGTTGAACTTTTCTTGCGCTATATGATAAGCCAGCTAGCCGAAGTGGCTCGATGGGAGAAGCCAAATCCTGCAATTAATTCCCTGGTGGACCCTATTGCGACTATGCAGTTGAAATAGCCATCGACACTACGTCTTTTCACCTTGGGGTGACTGACTACTTCTGCTTGGCTTTGGGTAGGTGACAGGATTCTTGATTGCCTTTGCTGGTCAAAACTGCGGCATTTGACCAGCCCTTAACCCTCAATGTGTAGCATTGAATTCTCATAAGACCACATGAAATCAGGCACTAATGCAAATAACGTTACCACACTGAAGGCCAATAAAAAAAATATTTGAAAGTATTCATCGAAGTTGATCCCACTCACGTTAAATTGAGAGATCTACTCCCAAATAAAATTCCCAACCCCAAGAGCCTGATTCCACGCAATAGCAACATCCTCCGGTAAACCTTCCCAATCATTCGCATCCCCCGGCAACTCCTCCCTCTCCCTCTCACTCAACCCAAAGAACCACCCCTCCATCTTAACAAGCAACATCCTCGGCAACTCCCTCAACATCCATCCATTAGGATCCTTATAAGCACGCATCACATGAACAAGTAAAGCCGCAGCGGGCTTACCCCAAACATCTTCACCCGGATCCACACGACAGTATTTGCGTTCGAGCATTGTGTTTCCTTGACCAGGTGGGTGACCATCTTGTAGTTCGGCCGCGGTGCGTAGATCTAGGATTCTGTGGAGGGATGCACGGCTATTCCAGGGTGGGTTTGGGGTTGCCCAGTTTATGTGGCGTTCTAGTTGCCATGTCACTAGTTTTTTGGGATCGCGGGTGTCCCAGTTTGGGGATATGAGGAGGGATGTGTATTCGTCTTCTTCTTCGACTTCGTGTTTGGGTTTGGCTTTGCTTTTTCCTTTGTCTTTTGCGTTGGCTGTGAGGGAAGTAGAGGCTGAGGCTGAGGCTGAGGCTAAGGTTGAGGTCGAGAAAGGTGAAGTTGGATTTGAAAGAAGTTGTTTTTCTGCTAGAGCAGAGATCTGGGTATGCTTCAGGGCTATTCTCGTTTGGAACTTGTTGATGCGTTTGTTTTTGCGGACCTTGTAGCGGTCGAGTTTATGGGTTTCGCGGAGGATTTTGATGTCGAGATTTTGGATTGCGGTTTGGATTTTGTCGATTTCTTTTTCGATTGTTTCGTTTTGGAGGTCTGATTCCATTGCATTCATTGCGTTCGTTGGAGACATGATTATTGGTGAAATATTGGTTGTTGATAGTGGAGTGGTTGTTTGGTTGGAGATGGATGGTTGATGTGGATGGTTGATGTGGATGGTTTGTTGATGTTTTGAGGGAATGAGGTTTATATGGGAGTACTGTGTACTTACGTATGGAGATAATTTCTGACTGGAGAAAATGTTATACATAGAGTTATCAAGTGCCTCGATCCTGCTTCGACAAGTTTATGTTCGGTATCAAGTTGACCTTCTACTGTCTTGATCTGAAAAACTGGTGAAATGCTCAACTATGCTTCTTAACTATCGAAACCAAGATGAATGTAGCAATCAGAAGCAGCAATAGTCTATTGAAATGTTTCTGGTGGTTGGTCGGGGAAATGAGGTGCACAAATTGTAGATACATGCCTATAGTACCTTGTGGCCTTTGAAAGGAGCAGAAAACAGGAACTCGGGCCTGTTGCTTCCTGGAAGTTGAACAATCGGTATGTGGCTACTCCAATATATTCGATACTTGCTTGTAGTAAAGATAAAGTCTTGCCAGGAATCGAAACAGGGATCTTGCAATTACAACCATACAAAATTAAGGCTTAACGGCACTTTTTCATGGCGTTGAGGTACTTCTCCAAACATCAGCAATGTCCTCACCCTGGGATCCCAAAAGCCTCATCAATCAACCTTGAAACTTCTAATATAATCAAGCACGTCAAGCACCAACAATAACAAGTTGATGTTCTTTTCTAATTAACCAAAAAAAAAAAAATTATTCGAATGCTGTTTCGAATTGTTGTTCCAAAGATTAGTACCAGTCTTCCGTGAGCCATTCGCGCAGCCAGTGGCGCCCCCCTCTGTGTGCCAGAAGCTACCCCAACTGCCCACTGCCCCTACAGTGGACGCGGACTCTGACCTTGTACGTCTCATCCTGCCTTTCGGCTTGGATCTAGAGTCGGCCTAGGATTTTAAACCGGGAGACGGTTACCCTGCAGTTTGAACCTGCCGACTAACCCGCTGGGCCATGGGAGACTTGGTTAATATCTTTTCTTTCTTTTTTTAAGATAAGCGAACGAATGTAAGACTTCTTTCCCCTTCCCCCTTCCTTGCCCCTTTGTATTTTCTAGATGATCTTGCATACGGGATAGGTGTCGGATGGCGGCTCAAATGTTGGTGTCTTTGAGATATGTATGATCAGGACTTCTCTACTGTATTCAAATCTGAATCTGTATCTATATTATTGCTTTCCATCGTGCTCGAATTTCTCAGAAGGGATTGGTATGTTCCTTCAATGTGAGACATATCAATGTTAGACATATTGGAATTCTAGCTGCTACAATCAGCCTCTTGTGCTCGGCTATGTTCAAATAAGGTAATCTTCTGAATATGTGTGCTGCCTAATTCCACGTTTAAGAAGATCCTTGCAAATTTTGTCTCGCTCCTGCCTCATTTGGTCTCGAACCTCAATAGCCTGCATGAATGTCATTGAATCGTCCTTCCGTGTGTTTTCCATTGATGGTGATGTCTCGACCCAGCTTCGGTCCTGGGGGGGGCACATTCTGAGTTGAGCAAATTCGATAATGCGGGTCTACCAGCCACAAAGTCGCAAATCGAAGGTACCCTGGCCGCAATGGATCTGCGAGACTCAAAGGCTCGGCCTTAGACCGCAGTGTATTCGGCCAAGCAAGAAACTGCCCATTCTGTGAAATCGGGATAGACCCCATGGTCTGTAGAGCATCCGGGTAGCAAGGATGATCGTCATCGCATGACCACTCAGGAACATCAAAAAGCCGATCCATGGCCGTATATTCCGAAATGTTGAAATCATAGCTATCGATCAGCGTCTCTTGTTGGAATGAAACCTTTGCATCTTTGATATTGTCCATATCTAAGTAACATACGGCTGCAGAAACGATATGATCATTGAGGATACCAGCGACGTTGTGATAGGAATCACCACCATACAAAGGCTTTTCTGCGGTGAGCTCAATAGCTGACACTCGAACTATGATCTGTAGGCCCTCAAATTGATCTTGCAGAGATATCGAGTAGTACTGGTGATCTGGATCTGGAATTGAAAGAGTTTCAGGCTTATCAGGGTCACTCCACTTAGGGTCACTCCATTTGGGCATGATCGCGTGGCCTGTATTTTCACCAGTCTTCCATTCATCGTATGTGAAGGATATTCCCGGCTCAACACCTTTCACGGAATACAACCGGTTATACTTCGCGATGATCAATTTTTCCAGCTCTTCAGAAGAGTTCCATTGCCATGGCTGCATACTAGCGAGAATATCATGATACCCAGTATCGGGCCATATGCGGTCCCGCTTCTCAGGCTCAGGGAGATCAAGATATTCTCTTACTCGTGATCGAACGTCAGGCCATTCTTCTTCTGAGATGGGCGGTGTTCGTTTGTTCCTGGCGTTGTTCAGGAGATAGTATAACTTAGGATACCAAACACTACCTTCCACTTGGAAGTCATAGGTTCTGATTCGAATTGGTGTCCGACCTTGATCTCCACGGATAAGCATTTCGTTCCACGGTTGGATGGCGGCCGAAATAAGCCCTTCGAGCGCTTTATATATGCGCCTTTCCTTTGGATGCACACCATTGATATATGAGGTAATTTTAGCTCCTCCTTGCTTATTCAGAGAAACCTCACAGGGAAGATATTGAAAGGTAGTGGACCAGTATTTTCGCTTTCCAACATACCGGCTATCCTTTCGGGCTCTTCTTTTTCTCTCTTCGAGATGCATCTCTTCCTGTTTGTCGTGTGGTTTCTCAGGAATTGGGGCAATCTGGGACTGCGATAGTCTCCAGGACTCAGGTCTCTCCATATCAACTTTGCCCCCGGCGGTAAGGACTTGAGTGCGCCCGTAAATGAGAGGATACATAAAAGGGTCAACCACAACTCGAACCAGACTCTCAGAATCACTCATATGAGAATCACCCGATGTAAAAGACGAAACAGATCTCGACTCCGAAAAAAGCGGCGACATCGATTCGCGAAGCTCTTTGAGAAGATGGTCATGAACTTGAGATTTGATGACTCGCGAGTCTGCATCAAACACTGCAACATAGCCTGTGCGTTTGAAATCAGACGCTTTATCTCGCAACTCCTTTACACACCACTGCCATGAGGGTTCATCGAGATCAAAGACCGAAACGGCGTGCTGATGCCATTCTTCCAGTGTCTGCGGATCTTCGTGCTTGTTTCCCCAGTCTGGCTGTTCCGTGACATACAATATAAACTGCAGCATGCAAAGCTCTCTTAGAAATAACTGGGGAGTTTGTCTCCAATCGACAATTCCATGGGCAAAGCGATTATCTTTTGAATGCTCATAGAATATAGGTACACCACTGAAACCAGGGACTCGCAAGGGGCCGGTGCCGCTGTTGTCCAACTCAATATGTGCAGGGCTCATCTTTATCATCCCCGAGTAACAGCGAGATGAAGAGAAAGACAATTGGGTTGTTCTAGCTCGACCAAGTAGTTGAGGATGAAAACGGATCCGTTGGAAGACGGTGATCATTCCGAAAGAGTGATAGGTATCAATATGAGCATACTGCTATGAGAGTTCGGAAGCGGCGGAAACGAGAGAGGGAGGAGGAGACAAAGTGAGAGCTGTAAGAGTCTAAGTCTAAAGGGGGATTACTCGGATCGAGTAGGCCAAGCGAGTGGTAATTCTAATACAGGGCCTGTACAGGACCCTTGGGATCTCCCGGTCTTGGCGTAGACGCTAACTGTATCTATGGCTTACTTAGCAAGGCACTAACTAATCCCGTTCTCTTATATAACCTTCTAGACTAGATTAAACTATTCTTTAATGATCTTTAGATCCTCGTATTTAGCGCGTTCATAATTATAATATCTTAAATATCGTATATAGATTTCTAGGTGCCATTTAATATAGTTCGAGAACTAGTTAACACAAACGGTCTAAATCGGGGTTATTCCACGCGTTACGAGTAAAAGATTAGCCATATCTTATACTTACTCGGGTCGGGGTGCCGCTCCACGTATATCTATAGAGATTATCTATTTCTTTAATGAATTCTCCTCGATTTCGGTCAATTTGAACGAATTTGCGCGTAATTCGACGCGGTTTTGAGTCTTTGACGTCCGTTGATACGTGCTTATAAAGTCGTACGTGGGATATCATATATCTTTGCTGCTTCGCGAATTGACAATTTTTCTTGCTTTTTGATAGCTTGGATAGCAAGCAAGATACGTCCTTCTTGTTCTATCAATTTCTGACGCTTTTGGGAGCGAATTGGTGGCATGGTGGCTGGTTGAAGATAGATAGTTAGATTAATTGACGCGTTTTGGTTGGGGTGGCCCGGCCGACCGTGTGGCCCGCTCGCTTGTGAAATACGTTATATGCTTATGCTGAAATACAAATGAGTGATTACGCCCGGGCGACAAATGGGCGAGGGCTGCTTAGCATCACGCGGCCGGGGGTGCAGCTATTTGCTCAGGTAAATACTCGTTTCACTCCCCAAACATCGTCATAATTTGCAACACACCATCTTCCTTATACATCACGTTTTCAAAACTCAAACTATCCAGAATACTTTCATACGCCCGGGGGCGCATGTCAGCTTCATAAGCAACAATGGCACGCTCCAATGCCGCAGCATCATCCTGTGCATAATACCCGTCGCCTTTACCACCCAACTCAGTCATGATGTGCTCGAACAGCACCTTAGCATCCATCATAGCATGGTTCACACCCTCTCCATTCGGTGTCGTCACATGCGCTGCATCGCCGAGTACCACAACCCCCGGCGTGCGGGTCCAAAACTTCTCGCCCATCTCTCCGTGTCTCAACGCGGCAGGCAAGAAGAGGTCCTTGTCGAGTCGATAAAGAGGCCAAGGACGCCAGGGTCCTTCAGCATCCGCCACAAAGGCCCGAAGGTGCGGAGCCCAGTTCGCATAAAGTCTGTTCATCGTTTCCCGCGCCTTGGCCATATCGTTCACATCAGCCTCACCACCAGGTTGTGTGAATGTCTCGGGTGTCTCAACGCCCATGTACACGCGGTACGACCGGTCAGACATTTGCTGGACACACAATGCTAGACCAGCACCCATGGCAATCGAGTTCCCGGCACCGACCATCTCGAGCGCAGCGCCGTATTGCGGATTGTCTTGTGATATCCGGCCCTCGATGAACATCTTGCCCGAGTACTGGGGCTTCGCAGGAGTGATCTATACCAACTCGTTAGCACTGGGTCTATCAAGTTGACAGTGAACACAACAGACTCACCAATTGTCGCACCTTACTCCACGCCCCATCAGACCCAACAATAAGTCTGAATCCGCTCTCACTCGATCCATCGTTGAAACGGAGTATCCAATCCGCCGCCGAGGCAGGACCATCACCCCCAGACGACAGTCCACGCTCAACACTACCAAGCACCTTACCCCATCTCACTCGATTCTCAGGAATAGAACCCAACAACAATTTGCGCAACTGCAACCGATCAATTTCGGGACGATCATTGCCCTCGCCAGCAGAAATGCGATTCTGTCCTTGCGAATCCTGCATCAAGATCGTCGTCGCGTCTCGACGAGCCAGCTTCTCAAAGCCAGACGATAGACCTGCGAGTTTGAGGGCTGCTTGCCCGCCTTCGACTGTAAGGTCTAGCGTTCCACCTTGGAAACGAGTTGTTGTTTCGGGACCTTCATCGCGTTCAAAGACTGTATAATCAATTTCGGCGCGTTCGAGGAGTCGTGCGAATGTTAGGCCGCAGGGTCCGCCGCCTACAATGGCTATTGGGGCTGGTTTGGAGGGTGCCATTGTGGTGTGGAAGTGTCTTGATGGAGCTTTTTGAATGGAGCGGAGGGCGCTGACAAGGCGTCTGCTTGTTTGGTGCATACTCTGCTGGTGAAAATGAAACTTGGGAAGCTATACTTTTGTCCGCTTGTGGTGGAGTCGGAAGACAAATGGAGGTAATTAGACCTGGGGCTTACACCGCGTCTTTATATGTACTTTTAACATGCTGCTTATGCTCCTCGGCTTTTAGGGCGTACAAAATAGGTCTTCAACTGCTGATTTTTCAATTGTCGGTGTTTAATATCTGATGTTGAGTGCTTCGGGAGTTAGTAATCCCCGTCAGCTACTACATAGGGGAAACATTCGGGGATTAGAAATTCCCGAGATATAGCCCTATCTGCCCCATAGCTTGGAATGCCTAAGTGAGGCTGAGCCCAACAAGGCAGTCCACAGGTCCGTAGATCCTACGTTCTCTATGAAGTACTTGGGACAAAAAAGTGGAAAAAATATTTCTTCGTCAGCGACGATAGAGCAAAGCAGATTAACCAGTTGTCGATTTTGGTCAAGCCTTCTCCGCAGAGTCCTGTTCAACCTTGAAAATCATCCCAACCAGAATTTAGACTTTGGTGGGCAAAAGAACGAATTTGTCGTTCTTGAAAGATAAGGAACCCCATTCGGACCTTGAAACGCCTTGATGAAGGCTTCTCTCATATCATCTTTATCTTTTTGTGGAAGTTTCGAAGCCTCTATAGGTGGAGCAACACCAGCACATTGTGGTGCAATGACCTCCCCCTTTATTCCTGTTAGACATGTGTCTCTTTGCACAGCATCCACAATTGCGACTGCAGCAACCACCAAGATCAGAACATTCCCGAATCAGCTCCTCTCGCATAAAGCATGTACTCTTGTCCCGCATCCGATCATAATTTGCCTTCAAAATCCTATCAATCATAATTTCTGATGGGAAAAGTTCATGTTCTTGGCGGTGATATAGCACTTGGAGCTCAGTATCATTAGACTCTATGTTTGCGGCCTTCTGTAACGCGTTGATCTTATGTCGCATCGCTTCTTCGCGCTGTACTGTTTCACAGATTACGCGCTTGGCGAGGATCACGTTTCTCAGTACCGTGGGGTAATATCTATGTTTTCCTATGTCGATCAAGCTTTCCTCATTCACCGAGGGATAACCCATGGTCTAACCCCAATAAGTAAGTTAGCTACAGACAGAAGTGGAACAGATTCTGCACAGTCACCTACCGCAATAGTAGTAGAAAAGATATCTTTGATCAAGGAAGATTAAGTTACATAGACGTGAAGCAGATATATATGAATAGAAATGCGAATGTGAGCAGTGCATGATGCGATTAAGTTTTGACTTTTTTATTCGACCGCCGCCACAACTAGCTATCAGAGCCTTTTTTTTTTATGACGGAGCTCAATAGTAGCCTTTTAGTAGCCAATGACGTAAGCCGTAAGCCGTAACGTATCACTAATATTAAGTCTATCGTTATAGTAAGCCTAGAAACATGAGGCTCGATCATTCTATTGGCTATTATGAATATGACTTTCAACAAAATCAAATGGTCGATCTATGGAACGATGCATCCTGATATGCGCCAACGCCTAGTGATTTCTGTCGTTCACGAGCCTCTCTTCCGATATCAGCTATTCTAATATCAATCTAGTACCCTTGATTGATTACTATATCACTAATAACCATAAGAGCTTATGGTTATTCGGTAGTGTTAGATCCCCGTTGAGTCTCTATTAGCCAAAAATGAAGTATCGCACCTATCATGCTTGACGCCCTCTATGAGCCCCGCGCTGAAAAGCCTGGCCTATACGTCGAAGGAATGGCTATGTTTCTATGGGATGGCTAGACGAAAAAGAAAGCCCAGCATAAAGCCAAAGAATAGAACCCTCACTTACAAGATTTCCACCAGCATAAGCTATCTGATTTTTGGTCATATCGTCTTGTATCTATTAATGAACCCGGATGCGATAAAAGGATTGGATATAAGTGGCCGGACAGCGCTCGGCGTGACACCAGTCCAAGTGTCAATTGCATCGTGTGTAATGGCTTGGGTGGAGTAATGACTTTCAATAATTCGTTGATCGTCAGGGTTATCGATCCCGCAGGTGGATCTCTTATACCAACCAAGAAATATTAGCTTTGAGGTATTTCAGTTCTCTCTACATACCATGGTTGCACAATTTGTACAGATAGGCACACTACTGTAGTGATGATCGACCGCTACGTTACACGTTACACAGGATTCAATAAAACTTGCTCCCGAACATCGCGATTCGCAGCCCCTTGCTTCACATCATAATATATATAGGTCGCCCTTTCCGTCCATATCTACCAAGGACCATTCCATTCGCGGTTACAAGAGAATCAACCATGCGGCTTACACTCCTTCTGGTTACCCTCCAAGCTGGCCTTTTGATGGCCCAGCCATCTAACTCCGGCTGTGAAGGAGGCTGTCCCAACAAATACGAGTGCCTACGGGGCTCTCTTTGCAATGATCCCTACGGCTGCGCTCCGGATTCATTAAAACCGTATTACTCCTGTGTCAGGACGGGAACGTACCAGCCATCTGATTCCGGCTGTGGAGGAGGCTGTCCCGAGCTATACGAGTGCCAGCGGCGAGGCTCTCTTTGCAATGATCCCTACGGCTGCACCCCTGGTCAAGGAGAGTCGTATTACACCTGCGTCCAGACGGTGAAATACTGTGAGGATCCCCATGGCTGTCCCGGATGAGCCAATCAAGGATTTCACCTCGTTGATCCCACAATCTGTAAGGCATGATCTTTTCTGATATAGCCTTGTCACGCGTGCTTACCAGTGATAACCAGGTTTTTCTAAATTAATTCAAAGACGGGTGGCGGTCCCATTAAGAAGGAATGGAGTTCATTAGGCCTCCCAGTCTACGTTATGTCTCGGTCTAATATGTCAACATATATGTGTGCGATTCTCGCACTAGTTAATTAACTAAGCGCGTGTGCCTGAATCTTATAGCAACCTCATTCCAAAAGTTTATTCCTGCTAAGAGAACTTCATGTTTGCCGCTCTTGTATCAATTCATCTGATATATCAGATTGACCTGGTGATCTTCCTGAGTCTCAAGAGGAACTGCAAACAACAACCTCTAGGCTAAGTTCAACACTTACATTCCCTCCGAAACCGAAGTCATTATATCCGTCTTCACTTCTGGGGTTAGACATGGTTGCAAGAGGAGAGGTCAGATATCTTATCGCTTCTCTCGCACAAAGCCAAGGCATGTTCGCAAGTGGGTCATCTTCTGTCCGGTTATCATTTGGGCGATATCTATTTGTACGCTTATTGGACCTATCTGTGTTAGTACTCTTGTCAGACGTGTGAAAAAGTTACAAGAGAGCGGAGAGAGCTCTGACTCAGATCCGTTAGGTGTGTGGGGTATTTGAATATGTTACTGTTCTTATATAAACCCGATATGTAACCTGCTCTTCTTCTACCGCTCTTTGACTCTCATAACAACCGCTATATCATCAGCATTGACCCTCATTCCGCAAAACTTCCTCTGGAAGGCTTGTCTGTAGCGATTTTCCCTAAGAACAACTCCCAATAGGCGCTCGAGCCCAAGACCAGTCTTTTGAATATAGTGTACACTACGGCCTTATTGTTGATATTGAGACGCCATTCTATGAAGGAGTGGTACAGCTTGATGGGTCCTAGAGCAGCGGTACGGTCTTTGGTCGATGTTGGGTTGTGTTTGGATTCAGGTTCGAATATAGGCGGGAAGAGCTAGGCTATGATCACGTAGCCAAAAAGGGCTGCTGAAGTATCTGGGGATATTGTACCCTGCCCCATTCGGTCGAACTCTCAGGGCTGATCTACAACGTCAGTCTAATATGGGCTGTTGCTCATATTTGCGCACGATCAAACGCCTGGAGATCTGCCAGCTTACTTGGCTGGCCCAGGGATACGTAGGCAGACAATAGGAACGATTGAAGGCGGAAGCGCAGAGAACTACAATAACCATGGAAAGAGGAAAAGAAACCATATTGGCCTACCATAGATAGCAGAAGCTAGGACTTCGTCATGTAAGATGCAAATGAAGACCAACGGCTGCGAATGAAAAGGAAGAAGGTTAGGATGTTTGGTGGATCAAGCCACAATCGCCAGATCTTCCCCACCTTTTCGAGAACTCTATTTAGAACATTCTTAAGGGATTTACAGTATTTTGCAGTGATCCGGGAAACCCAATACATTCTTAGACACGACACGGTCATGCGAGGATTGTCCCTGACATAACTGTTGTTATTCAAAGGAAGACTAATTCTTATCATTTCAGAGGTATACAAAGAGGCTATATATACAACGTGAAGTCCAAGTTGGTTGTAAATCAACCTGGTTCTTCCTATACATAAAGCAGGAATTGATTCCGATATTGCTGCTTCATTCCTGAACGGCAACAGACTCAAATCACAACAATAACCCAACTGTTCGTCAAGGAATACTTTTGACTATTTCACCCATATTATACGTCTTGCTGTCTGATAAAGGACCACCCGATGCGAAAGCTGTATCATGTCTGCACAATCGAGCCCTAGCGTAATTGGCGCATTCTTCCAGTAGTGCCTTGGGGATGCTGTACATTGCTCTATGTTCCTAGAGCTTTGTAGTAATCTGCATCGTGCGTCGTTCAACCCTGATAAGTTTTCTCCACCTGTTGTTCGGTCGGCTGGTCTTCCCGGGTCCTTTTGCCAGCTTCTTGAGTTTATGGTCACCCTGAATGTCTCGTCGAAGGTCATTTCCAGCCCAGGTACCTAATGGGCATTACTTCCCCGACAAGTTCTATAGCGAGGTTTTGATTAGCTTGTTAATATTGATGGTGGAGGGAGATTCAATGCTGACATTCGGGGGCGATCCGTTGACCGAAACTCACGGTCTTGATGAAGGCCAGTCCTAGTTCAAGTATGTCTGGCTTCCAGGGCTCAGAGCTCGGCATCATTATCAGCCGTAGCCACTGAAAGCCATAGCATTCCTTGTGGCTGCACAACGTCTGAGCAACATCTGCTTCCAGGAAATTGGTCCCAAGGAGGCCGTCGAACATGAATCTGCCATGGCAGAGTGCGCATCCGGTGGCCGGATTAATACGTGGGCTCTCACGTAGATTTCATCCCGAAGTACACCTTTCTTGACGAGATGTTCGCACCTTTTGGCAAGCCCGCGTACCACGTAATATGTTTCAACAATTTTCTCGGCCCTGAGCAATCGAGGCTTGGCTCGTTAGACATTTAGGCCAACTGTGGTTATTATATAATATCAGGATATAAGGTCTATAATATATTATTCAAATGCAATATGCTGATGAGGTCGTTATAAGATGCTTGGGGGTGAGAAGAGAAGTGCGTGGAAAGGACTTTGGGCCGCTTTATTTATATTTCAGAGCACGGCGTACTACAGACCTGGTGCCGCGATTTCACAAACGTATATTAGTCATCGGTATTACCACGGTTTTTGGTCAATTAACACGCACTTTATCAACCCCACTACGGGGTAGATTTTTTATTTCAACGTGAGTGGAGTCTACTTCAATGATTACTTTCAATTTCTTTTTATTGGCCTTCAACGTGGAATTGATTCATTTACACTAGTGCCTGATTTCCTGTGGTCATAAGAAGTTAATGTTACACCTTTGTATAGTACCCATCTCATACCGTATTAACATCTTTGTCGTCAATTTGGCTATATTTGGTGAGGGCATTGTAATTCAATTTGACAATGGATCAACACATACTCTAGGTAGACCCTTTCAGCCTAAGTGGATCTTCAATGGAGTAGATCAATGGATCTGCCTAGGTTCAGCAACCCTGCTATTAAACGCATAACTTCAATAAACAAAAAATGTACACAATCAGTATGGAGTATGCAAAATATATATCACCTTATTTTTAAGCGGAATGGAAATAAAACCATTTTAACTAACATATAGGCCCAGATTTTACCACAGGTAGCATAATTAATGTCTATATGCCCTAGTGATCATGTAAACCACATGACTGACTCCCGAGGTCCAATACTGGAAGTAACGGATCAAACCTCGGACGTATATCGTGCACATTGACACATATTATGCCGTGATCCACGGTCCGCACGTGGACCGTCGATCAACCCTTAAGGCTGAGCATAAAAATGTGCACGAAAACCTCCGACCCACGGATCGCGGATCCTCGAACGGAAATTTTCTTCGACTCGGATTCGGAGTGCCGTTGTGCCGCTTGCCCCACATTTGACTTTGAGTCACAAGGACGTTGAACGGGCCTCGGTGCTAGCTTCGGTGATTCGTAAATGCCCGAATGAGGAGATAAGCTTAGTTCCAGCAAAAAATGTCTCTGCTTTAAGCAATTACCTGTGCACATGCATAGGGATGAGGGATAGGATAAGCATAACGCTCAGTTTGTTTGTATATTAGTCATGACCGAAGAGGTTACCCGCTTAGGTAATGATGATCCCTTCAGCCTTCATGTGGGCTCGTGGGATCGTAGAACCTAGGGCTGATTACTGATCGAATCTTATTATTACTTATCTCTTCGGTATACTTCCATCCTCATACTCTTGAGCTGTATTAGGAAGTTGATCGTGGTCCACGAGTGTTATACTGGTGCACCCAAACTTCCCAAGCTCACAGCTCCAGACCTGCGATGACATGCTCTAAGAAGTATACTATTTGTAGATGTTTATTCACCATCCATCCATGTTTACTCAGTCTCGGTCACCAGGGCTAGTTGGCCGAAGGGCGGTGGTTGATGTCATGATCTGTCAAGAAGTGGGTCGGGGTTCGGAAACAAACGACAGCAAACGCCGAGTGACGAGCCGCACGATTGCGGCGCCGAACGACCGGGACGTCAGTGGCACCGGATATACCAGGGAATCCATGCTCAAGCTCCTCGTGGCTGCATCTGGGCCTGCCGATGGGTTTATCGGCCTGATGATTAGATCAGAGGATGATAACCATAATGCGAATTGCCCAAATGAGGTGTTTCGTATTCGCCTTTCTAACGTGAGAATGCAAATTGAGCCAAGCGGGCGGGTTTCATGAATCATAAACCATAAACCCACAATGGGTCAATTATAGAATATTTCTTTTACCTAGTGGGGGGGAAGGGAGAATACGAGCAGTTTCGTATTTGGTTGGCTAGCAGAAATAAAGTATAAGATTATTCTTTCATTTGCTACGTGGTTCCTCCTTACATAGGCTGCCTAATACTGGAGTGGAGACAACGTTGGGAGAAGACGGACGAAATGGAAGGAAAAATGGAAATATAGGGCGCGGGCTCTAAACCGATTAGGAAATTGGGCTGAAAATGGATTCCACCGCGAGACAACAATCCACTGCGAACCATGATTTGCGATCGCCGTTGACTATTTTCTAGGCGGTCACCTAGCCAAGCCTTGAGGCTTGGCTGAATAGGCAGTAAATTAGGCATTCCATGGTGAGACATGTCGGTTATAGAATGTCAAGCGCAGCTTGGCAGGCAAGTCATAGCGAGCTACACCGTAGAATGATGAATTCATTATGTATTTCTACATCATCCCTCTCGCCCCTCTCTGCGCCCTGCAAGGAGCACGACGCGGATTGGGGGAGACAAGGCAGACAGGTAAGAATGGCCAAGATAGCCAAGATCGGCCAACATGACAGGGGTTTAGATAGAGGGTTGTGACTGGCCCCCGCGCAAGTCACAGCCCCCCTAACTGCCAATAATTGTTAGGCATCTTGGTTTCCTGGGGAATGCTGGTCCTTTCACAGCCGCATGGGTCATACAGATACGGAGTCATGGTCCGTGTGGTGTATAATTGCTGTATTGAGTAAATGGCGTATTCCCCAAATTGGTCATATTGATCGACAATTTAGAGCTTAGAGCACCCTTGGGAAAGATTGTCAATAAGGTGTGAAAGTGTGATTATTGATGGGTGATTGGAAATCACGCCCAAGAGTATCGAAGTCATAATCGGCATTAACAGAGTCCGCGGTGTTCAATGTCCGCGGTTGTTCCGTGGACCGGAGCTGAAGTATTGGTCATCCGAGAGTGGGTCCAGGGTCTTGAACGGGTCTTGCGGGAAGAGAGGAAAAATTTGCGAGACGGACTTAACCGATGAGTCAGGTTGGATCCGTCTTAACTGCGAGATAGCTCAATTCCCTTACAATTGCAATTAATGGAAACCCAATAAGAGTAAAAAAAAAGTATAGTCATGATGAGTGTCAATTGACTCAAGGTAGCGGTGTAGGCAGAGAGTATCTGAGCACCTGAGCACCTGCATGGCACCTGGGCATGTAATTCGTAATCGGTTGACAAAACAAAAAAAAGCCCCCGCTGAATAATGCTCGGGCTCGGATCCACTCGCGCATAAACATGAGTGGGGATCGCCCTCCGATCGGGGTCCCGGACTTTAGCAGAACGGATACACGGGAGAGCGAGAAAAAAAAAATTATAAGCAGATTGGATTTTAAAAAGTCACTCCGTCCCCGGTGGAATGAGAAAAAAAAACACAACTGATCTACATATAACATCAACGTGAAAAATCATCCTTACTCCAGACATCTACTCGGTCTACTATCAACCACTATCAGCCTATCTACGCATCCTTATCCACATCACAACGGATCTGATTTACGTGATTGACATTACCGCCTGCACTACCACACCGCCTGCTCCGATCATCGCCTGTGACTGGATGAACACACGATTGAGTCACTACCTTGGCAGAACGAGTCATACCCTTTATAGCTCTAAATAGTCCTACTGCCCACCATGACTTCTTCCCCAATCAACCCTCCCAAGGATACTTCCTTTGCCTCTGCCGCCTCCCCCTACTTCACATCTGTCCACCGCCGCCGGCAACAAAAGAAGATGAGCATCACACAAACATACTACCTCGCCCATACCGCCCGCAAGAAGCTCACTCGTGAGGCTTCCCGGGCGGATCACGACCTCCGATTGCTGGTCGGCCACGCCAACCTCCTCGACTCTCTTATGCTAGACCTTGCCGACGCCGAGCGGGAACAAGAACGGTGGTTCAACCAGACTGTCAGCGGTGCCACCAAGGCTCAAGAAGAGTCTCGACACATTCAATGGGCCTCGACCGTGGTCGAAGAGCCCGAGGAGGATTGGGAAGCAGAAGACGCCTCGGACCTGGATTCCGACCTCAGTGACAGCGACGAAGAGGACTCTGACTTCGAGGAAGCCGGCTTTGCCATTAATGTTCCCGTCCGTCGCCGCACACCTACTCCCGTCGCTCCCATTGAGCCCACACTCGTGGAGGACGAGGATGACGACACAGACAGCGACTTTGAATACGATGAGGACGAGGACCTGGGTGAGCTCAGTTTGACTCGGTCGCCTTCGCGCCAGTCTCCACCGGAGCTCCTCGCGGACTCAGATGGCGAGTCCGAAGAAGAGGTTCTCCCCCTTCCCCGCCTCAACCTACCTTGGAGGCATTCGATGAGAAGGGGGCCAATACCACCGCAATCCCGCTGGCGGGTGAGGACCAGTCCCATCTGTTCGAGACAGGGTATTTTGTTTCACAAGATCAGACTATTATTGAGGCATACTGATTTAAGTTCGGTCTTGCCATGTCTTCTTTCTTGTATACCATATGCCTTGATTTCTGTGATACCCTGATGCTTGTTCATGACGACCGGGCTGGCCATTTGAAGCGATGATCTATTTATTTACCATTTACGGCGTTTGGATTTTATACGGTCGCATTTACACATCTCATCTCTGCTACCATGAGTAGCCTCATGTCTCCCATTTCTTTTACTTTTTCTCTTTTTTTTTCTTTTTCTTTTTTTTTTCCCCTTTGGCATGAATTGTGGACCATTGGGCAGCTCTCCCTAACAGGTTGAGACTACCCAAGTGGGGGACAGGAAACAAAAATTGTGATCCCAACCAGATGTACATAGACGGGGTAATCCTCCGTACACAAATCCAACATATTCAATATGGACTTATCTCTCAGTAATCTTAACGTAGAAAGCCTTGTATGCCTTGAACTCCACTTGTGCCAACCACACTGGCTACATGGTGCATGTGACTTGTCGATCGGCCTGAGCGCAGCCTCACCGCTGGATAGATCACCGCCAAGAAACGATAGTCTCCGATCAGCGCGGCTAAGTCGGCATAGTCGGTCCGCTACGGCTACTAGTGTCGTGAAGGGTTTGTCTAGGGCAAATTATTGGTGGGGTCCATGCAGGACCGTTCTGTCGTACTCGCTTTCCCAAGATCTACTGCGAGGAGTAGAATTGAATTGAGGGGAAGTACGGAGTATACAATGAGATGTCAGATTGGCATCCATAATCCATCTAATCTACGGAGTATTGTCTATCTACAAAGACTAAAAACCCGGAAAGAATAGGGCCCCGCACAGACATAGAGGAGAGATCCGGGATCTGCATACTTATTTTTCAGGCGTCGCTGCGGTCCCTTATCTGGCATTCTTTTCCAGTTAGCGTGTCCCGTGGCCCTCCTTGACACACTGTGCCGCCGAAGTTCCTAGTCAATTCGGTGGGGTATTTGACTCAGATCACCGGACTACGTGCATTTTACTTGCATTCCGCTATACCCGCATGGGTTCGGGTGTTTTATTACCCCATGGAGATGGGTTAAGGATGAGTACCACCTGGGCGCCTGCACCTGGGCGTCTTCTTAGATTGATCTGGCTGCTTTCCTCCAAGGTTGTAGACGTACTGTATACTGTATTCTGCCCTACGTCGGCTTTCTTGCCTATCAAGGTTACCTACTCGTTAAGTTTAAACTTAACTATATTTCTTTTGGCATGTCAACGGGCCAATTGTGTCAATGGAACTTGACATGAAGAGCTACCTGTGGAGAGCAGATCAAGGTACCTGGATTTGACAGCTTCAAGGCTAGCCATAGCTCCAGATGCATAGTGCTAATGAGTCCCCGTAACTCTACAATGTATTTCCCAGTCACATGCGCATGGGTTCATGTTTACCATGACGCCTAAGGCACAAGATACTATCGATAAGTGTTCACCGCCTACTACATCGGGGCCAAGCCCCTCGCTGCAAGCGTCACTTCCATACTACTTTCCATCCTAAGAGCTCACCCGAAACATTTACCTCGTGCCTGAGATGCAGCTCATTCTCATTCCTCAACCCCCTGACAGGTCTCCCCGCATCATATGACCTGACCCCAAGATCTCCAACCGTGCTCAACCGAGACATACCACTCCATTCAAACCCATCCCTATTCATCCGATCACCCGATACCAAATGAAGGGCGACAAAAGAAAAGCTTAAATTCCAGAAAACAAGAAACAGACCACTCAATCAACCACCTGGTCATTTACCCGAGATTATTATCCACCTGGATTACCGGACCGATTCCCAACTCGTCCATAGAAGCCGACCTATTATCCCCCCCCCCCCCGCACGATGTCGGGCCCTCCATCACCGAAGCCCTCCTTTGAGTCCGATGATCGTCCCGGTTCTAGGGCGAGCATGGCCCATTCGTCGGTCACCCAGAGCCCTGGCGGAATCTCATTCGGAGAAGAGCCGCGGGCGCGCAGTCCGCGTCGGAAATCGATACAGTTTAACGTTGGCGCGGCGGAAGCGCAACTTCCTTCTCGATCGTTGAGTTTCAAGGATAAGCGGCGATCACAAGGCGATAACACGCCGATCAGAGATGTCGAAGTGGAGAGGGAGCAGAGGCCGTTGTCTGTTAGTCGCGGTTTATCTCCGCCACCGCCGAAGTATGTTTTCAATGTTTCCAAATCTTCTTTACTCTTTCCTTTCCACCATTCCTCGACCCTTTCCTAGTTCATTCTGTCGGGCGGCATTGAGCTTGTGGGCTAATTCTTCATGGATAGGACTTATGAGCGCGGCGTCTCGTTTGATACCTTTGATAATCGGGATGCGGCGGATTTCTCTTTGACTATGAATTACAAGCATAAAGGGTACCAGAGTACACGGCGGAGTCGGACGTTTCTCTGCGGGACCGATCAGAATGATTATTCCGAGTTTGCGCTGGAATGGCTTCTGGATGAGCTCGTCGATGATGGAGATGAGATTGTTTGTCTCCGTGCTGTGGAAAAGGATTCGCGCATGGCTAGTGATGCAGCGATTGAGGCGAGGAAGTACCACCAGGAAGCAGAGCGACTGTTCGAGCAAGTTATACAGAAGAATAGTCAGGATGAGAAGGCGATCAGTTTGGTTCTGGAGCTGGCCGTGGGTAAAGTGGAAGATATTATCCAGAGGATGGTGAGTTCTGATCCCAGTGCTACTTTCTGACCATTCTAACATGACCCAGATCCGCATATATGAGCCTGTTATGCTGGTTGTTGGAACTCGTGGTCGCAATTTGAAGGGTGTTCACAGTCTACTTCCCGGATCCGTGTCCAAGTACTGTCTCCAGCAATCGCCAATCCCGGTGATTGTCGTGCGCCCATCACCAAAGCGCGAGAAGAAAAAGAAGAAACGCCGCGCAGATCCCACCCGTCGGAGCTATAACCATATCTTGGAAATGAGCGAGCAGCGAGGTGGCCGCATCTTCGATACTAGTTCTAGCACTGAGAGCAGTGCCTCGAGGCTGCCTGATGAGGAGGCTGCTGTTGCAGAGGCACTAGGTCTTCCTGCGACTTATTCTCACGGTAACTCGCGGAGCTCTCTGTCCGTCTCGGACCGTAGCAGTCTGAGCCACGAAGAACCCGACACACCGCCAGTTCCATATTCTCTGGACTCCGTCATCATGAAGAGCCCCCTAAACGGAAGTCCCGCTAGCTCGGAGGAGAGTGTTGTTACTACCGAGGAGACGAAGAGATCGCCCTCACCTTATCCAAGAGGTGAAACACCTTCCCCTGGTCCTGATCAAGAGCAGAGTTCAAGTTCATCAGATGAGACACCTTCAGCAGAGATAGAGAAAGAGTTTCCAATAATCGAGACCACACCCGGTGAATCGTCAGAGCCCAATCCTCGAGTCTCAATTCCCGTCATTGAAGTGTCCGACAACCATGAACCGGAGACTCCACCACCAACAACTGAGTAAATCGCAATTACTCATACATCAACCCACCATATTTAATCCATTCTCTGTCTGTCTTATTCTCAGAAGCATTCGGCATACTTTCATCCATGCAAAGCAACTTGAACCAAAAGTGCATTGTGTACAAGGTCCATACTATTCGGCCTGATTATACCCTTCAGCGTGCAAATACCCATTTCTGGTCCTTTTCTGTCCTGTCCTGTCTCTGCTCTACATACACCTACTCATCTCCCATCTTTATACCTTCATAGCCATCAATATTATCCCCGTTGGAGTACATGGCAAAAGTCCAAGTTTGACTATATACCAATAATTTCATCTGTACGTCTTGAAAAGAAAGATAGTGTTGAAATTTGAAAAATAAACTTGATATTAATCACATGGTATAGAAGAGAAGAAAATCCAAACATCAAGAACTAGCCACTTCCCCATCCATATGGATCTACCTACCAAAGCCAGAGTAACTAGAGAGAAACAGAATACAGAATATCCAGTAACTACCCTAGTCGGATCTCTTAATCCTAACTTCCACTCCTTACTGATACCAAAGCAAAAAGAACAAGGAAAGAAATAGTGGAAAGATGTGAAAATTGTACACTATGAAGAGGTTCGAATTCGCACCTGAAAGAGAAAAAGGAAGAAAACCGACCCAGTCGGAACATGCAAGGTGAGATTTGAATCGAGACTGCGGGGTGCTTTTATAGCTGCCACGCAGATGGAGAGCAAAGGGAAACATGAGCATGAAGAGCATAAGGGTCTCATTCAAACAAGGGGGAGGAAAATGGAAATCGAAAAGGGAAATCTTTTGTTGTGCCAAGTGAAAAAGAAAATGGAAAACGTTGATCATTACTCCTAAGGAATCTATGCTGCGTTCTCGCCATCCTTCGATGGGGTTTTTGAGGGTCGGCGCTCGGCCGCGGGCTGCGACTTGGTAAGGACGGGGGAGGTGTGGGCGGATGGGGGCGAAGTGGCCAGGTTGTCCTTGTCTTCCAGAGCGGCGAGGGCACTGAAAGCGTTCATGGAAGAGGCGGCTTCCTTGTCCTCCTTCTTGCCGGCAGGAGGAGTACCAGTACGGCTGCTAGCAGCACTGTCATCACTGCCGCGAACGAGGTTGCCACCCGGGCCCAGGTTCTTACGGCCGCTGCTGCTTCGAGAGCCGAGCATGCTCGACGGGCCGAAGGACATGGGCTGGTTGGGGTTGCGAGTAGTACGCAGACGGCGCAGGTCGTCGCTGCCAACCTTGCTGGAGGCGTAGTCGGTAGGGGGAGCTTGTTGGCCGTATCCGAAGCCGCGGGCATCACCGCGACCCATCTGGGGACGACCACCACCGCCACCGCGGTTGGCCTGCTGGCGCATCTTCTCTTGCTCAGCGGCTTGCTGGGCGCGAGCAGCCTGGATATATAGTTAGTATCGGAGATCTAATGAATCGGATAAGACTGCTGTATAACGTACCTCCTCACGAATCTGCTGGATGGTCTTGGGACCCTTGTCGGCGTCCTTGGAGTTCCAGCGCTTAGCACGCAGATCAATAATATCCTGGTAAATCTAGTTAGCTTGATTCCATGTGTAACATAAACAGATAAGCAAAGACATACCATAAGCATGAAACGCAGACGGCTGGGCAGGTTGGGTGTCTCAACCATGAGGTTAATGCGAGCGAAGTAAGCATCCATCATGGCAGGGCCCTTCTCAGAGGCATCCAGGCTGGCACCGATGGTGCGCAGGAGACTGGTCAAGCTCTCCACCTCAGCCTCATCAGGCATACCCTCGTAATCGACAAGCTTCTTCACACACTCGTGCATGATACGCTCAGTCAGCATGCCAAGCTTGTACAGCTCACCAATGAACTTCACGAGACCGAGACCACGACGCTTGGCAGCTGCAGCAATGTAGTATTCATCGGACAGCATCTGAGTCTCCTCTGAGGAGCCCTCGGGCTTCTCAGGCAGGTTGACCTTCCAACCACGCTCGAACTCCTCCTGACAGCGGTTGAGCAGGTACTTGCGGAAGAGACTGCCACCAGCAACAACGTTGCCGTTCTTATCACGAATGTTCTCATCCTTGATATCGGCACTCATGCTCTCGAGCATGGCCTTAGCGAATTTAGCGTACATAGGAGCCCAGTGAGCTTCATCAGTAGCCTTCTCGAATGTGAGCTGAATGACTTGACGGAGAGTGCGGCCATCAGATTCGTCCTTAGACTGTGAAACGATGTCGAGAATCTGGACGGAGATACGATCGAAGTTCTCGGGGGTCATCTTGTTGAGAGCAGACTTGACCTTGCGCTGCACAACGTCGGGAGCCATATAACCTGCTTGACCTCCAGGAGTGGGGCCAGAGGGGGCCTGTCCGATACTACGAGGCTTCCATCCGGTAGAAGAGGTTTGAATGGCCTCCAGCTTCATACCAGCAGTAAGAGGCATAGACTTGTCGTTCTCTCCCTCCCTCTTGGGGTTCTTGCCACCACGCTTGCTGTCCGCGCGGACGCCCTTGCTAGAACCACCACGACCACTAGGGGACATGGGCATGGAACTGGAGTGTTGGCGAATCATGTTAGAACCCATGCCGCTGCCCATACGAGGAGGGAATTGTTGGAATTGACGGCCAGTAGTGTTGACGGGCATGCCACCGCGACCACCAGGGTTAATCATGCCAATTCCCATTTGGAATCCCTGGTTGCTGGCGTTGCGAGAGGGTTGACGGCTGCTCATGGGAGTGCGAGCGGACTGAGTAGGGTCGCCAACGGTCTCCCGGATACGGCTGTCCCAGTCGACAGACGGCTTGTCCTTGTAAGCAGCCTGGAATTGGAGCAGGAAATCACGCTCATAACGGAACCGGCGGCTATCCGAGCTCAGGGCCAGGTTGGGAGCCGTGACAGAGGATGGGTAGACAACCTTGGCCAGGTCCTCGAGGAACTTGGCATTCTGCAAAGACTTCATGGCAGCGCTGGGCTCGGTAGGCTCAGTAGGCTTGGGAGTATCCAGCTTCAGGGCCGCAGGCTTCTTGGCAGTAGCACTGGCGGGCTTACCAGGAGGTCCCATGGACATGTCAGACGAAACAGGAGTAGCGGCACCGCTGTCAGCAGGGGTCGACGACTCGGTAGCGGCCAAACCACCCTTCTTAAGGGAGGCAAAGAGGTCATCACTGGTAGCAGCCTCACCCTTGGCGCGGGCATTCTCACGGGCAAGCTCGCGCTCCTCAGCCTCAGCCTCAGCCTTCTTCATGTTGGCCTCGTAGGCCTCACGGTCCTCACGTTCCTTACGCTCGTCAGCCTCCTTCTTCTCCTGCTTCTTGCGGTAGTAATCCTCCTCAGCGGCACGCTCCTTAGCCTCAATCTCAGCCATCTCACGCTCAATGGCATCGAAGTCGGGCTCGTCGTCATCCGCAGGGGGAGCAGGGGCGGGCGCCTTCTTGGGCTCCTCAGCAGCAGGAGCAGGGGTTTCAGCAGCAGGAACAGCAGCGGCAGCGTCGGCAGCAGCAGCGGGAGCAGCCTTGTCCTTCAAGCTCAATTCTTGCAGGGCAGCGGCAGCGGAATCGGCGTCGGCGGTCTTCTTCTCCTCCTCGACCTTCTTGGGCTCCTCGGTGGCCTTGCGAGTGGCCTCCTCGGCCTGGCGCTTCTGAGCGGCCTCATCCTCCTGGATCTTCTGGCGAACAGCATCCTTGAGTTCCTGCTTCTTCTCCTCATCAGTCTTGGCACCAGCCTTGCTGTCAGTGCGAGCGTGGTCAGAGGCGCTGGCAGTCCGGGGAGGTGGGGTTGCTGTAGGAGTGGCAACCTTCACCGGAGAAGGAGTAGCACGAGCGGGGGAAGCAGGGGAACCGAATGCCTTCACAACACCACTGTTGGGGTCCTTGATGACAATAGGGCTCTTCTTGGCGGAAGGAATGATAAAGTTGGGCTTCGCAGGAGCGGGGCTGTTAGAAGATCTGCTGCCAGTGTGAGTGTGAGCAGTAGCCGGAGCACCAGCAGGCGCCGGCTGGCCGAGGCTCGAGCCAGGTCGATCAGTAGACATTTGAGAAGGAGTGCGCGAGAGAGGAGTAGACTGCTGTGGGGGTTGAACAGGGTACTGGCCCTGCATATAGCCGGGAGCCTGGGGGTTGTAGGGCATGCCAGGACGGGGTTGGGGCGACGGAGGAGTCATGTATTGCATCTGTCCTCCCATACCGTAGGCCGGGTTATAGTAACCATAATTGGGGTCGTAAGGAGGGTAGCCCTGTCCATTTTTACATAATGTTAGATAACGTTCAAAATTGCCACTTTGGGGTGTGAGATCCAGAGGGGTTGGGAGAGGACCCGGGATGGCCTGTCTCCCTCCCCGAATGTTCTTGGAAATGCCACGCCGGGCGGAATTTTTAAAATGACGAAAGGGTGGGTTTCTCACAGTTTGGGGGGCCCATGTGCTGTCCATAGCCGTAGGGCTGGGGCGGCATCTGTGGGTGGGCCATTGGAACCTGGTTCATCTGGGGAGTGGTGGGGTGGGCGTTAGCCAGCGCCGGGCTGCGGCTGGCTTGGTGCGGCGAGTTCGGGAAGGGGGCTGCGAGGGGACGACCTTGGTTGGGGCCATGGAACTGAGGGCCCATGTTGGGACCACCGCGGGGTGCGTTGTGAGGTTGGCGGTAGCTGGGGCCGGGCGAGTAGGGCATCTGTCCCTGGTATCCGGACTGAGAGTATCCACGACCGCGGCCACCCTGAGGGTAGCCACCGCGTCCAGGACCACCACCCATGTGGTTGCTCATATCACTGTGGGTGGACTGAGAGGATTCGCGACGCAAATGTTGGGGACCGGGACCGAGAGGAGCCTGTGAAGTTGGGCGCAACTATGTAAGTGACTGGGTTAAAACGTGGGGGGAATTTCGGGATAAGGAAGAAGAAGCAATGATCGCATCCACGTTTTCATGCGCATCGTCATGCACCAGAATTTTTTGTTCTTCTTTCTCTCTCTCCGTGTCTCAACCCTGGGAAAATAGTCATGGACTAGAAAGGAGGTATCTCAACTTACGTTGTTATCACCAGTCTCACCGAAGCTTCCAAAGTTGGGGACGTTCCCTTGTGCCTGGTAAGTGGATGGGGGACGACCACCACTGGAGGCGGGCTGTGGGATGGGAGACGGGGAGGTCTGCGGTGAGGTCACACGCGGGTTTGTCGACGGGGCACCCAGGCCAGACTGCGACTGGTTGGAAGCGAGAACGGCAGGATTGCCCATGTTTGGAGAGCTCTGCTGGTTGGCGAAACCGAACTGAAGGCTGTTGGGACGGCTAGCAGGGCCGCCGTTGGGCATGTATCCGGAGGTGCCGGCAGAGGTGATGGTCACCGAAGGCTTTCGGGAGTGATCACCTTGAGAAGCAGGAGCCGTTGGGGCGCCATTGACGATGGTCACACCCGAGGCAGCCTGCTGAGCGGGTTGGGTTTGCATGGGTTTGCCGTTCACAGGAGATACGGAAGTCGACTTCCCATGTTGCGCAGAGCCACCCACAGTGACGGGAGCGGCGGACGAGTCCGTCGCAGACTTCTTTGTAGCGTTGGCGTAGGACTTAGCTGGCGCCGGGGCAGTCGCAGCCAGGGGGGTTGCGGCGGGCTTGGGAGAGGTGGAAGCGGTGCTCTGTCCTTGTTGAACGCCCGACTGAGAAGGGATCGAGCTCATTAGACAGGTTGGTAGTCACGTTAAATCACGCGATGAGGTCGAAAGGGGGAACTCGTAGGGAAGGTGACGGTGATGTCAAGGTGTGAAAGAGGCTTCGTCAAGGCCGCATCCAATCCTGGGGCGAACGTATTAAGATTTGTTTTCAAAAAGAAAAAAAAAGTCAAATCAACCGAGTGAAATGACGACCACAAAAGAACGCAGCTTAAAAAAACAAAGCAACGTGTGGTCCACAAGGGTTGGGTTTGGATTGTTCAACACAAATTGTGTGGGTGTGGGAAGGAGAAAATTCCAAAAGGAAAAAAGTTGTTTCGGTGGGAAAAAAAAAATATGTGGTTCGGGTTTGTGGACGAACACAAACCTCTTTGAATCTCAACTCACCTGTTGAAAGAGAAGGAAAAGAAGATGAAGGATTCACAAGAGAATCCTTTCGAGGAATACAAGGAGAAAAAAAGAGGAAAGAATATGGAGGGGAAGTTATTATGCGCATCTACAAACTCCGCCACCATGACATCTGCGATGTAATCTATAGCCCTGGCCCCATACAGAAGTACGATTCGATATTTACAATCACTAGTTTTATTCATTTAACTTCATAATTTATGACTACCGTTGGATATGCACGATCATCGCAAAGCGTGACAACAATACTAAGAAAATATCAAACAATGAAGTGGATCTTTAACAGTACTGGTACACCCCGTAGATAGGCCCCCTCTCGCCACTGGACTTACTGGACTTACTGGACTTAACCGGACATGAGGCTATAGCCATACTAACCGAAATAAGCCATTTAGGGACACGAAAGTTTTTGAGTCATAGTCTTTGTCATAGATGACTCCTAAGGGATAATCTATCGAAGGGGTAGATGCATTCCTAGGATCGACTTTCATCCCGACTTCCGCACCTTGCAGCTGCGTAACCTTTTCCTCCACCTGCAGGCCTAATTCTTCCGACTGGATTGGCTCGGCCATGCTCTCCACCCTCGGCTATTAGATTCAATGTGTTTACGGAACGTGTGGGGAAGATTCAAAGAAAATGGGAGGTTTCGCAGGAGCCTCCGAGCTTTTAATTAAAAGCAAAGCCGTATAAATAACACTCATTCCCATAAAGGGATCCATTCATACGAGCAAAATAAAAAACAAAGGCTCCACCTTCTATGTCCAAGGTTTCTCCCTGGAATGTTGAAGCTTTTGCACCAGGCTTTACACCAGTCAGTGTCGGTTGCGATTTAGTTGTATCGGTCATATCCGGTGGTTCGGGACGTATAGTCAGAGGAACCCGAGGAATCATTGTCGGGACCCAGCCAGCCAGAGGTCCATTTACCACTGGTGCGACGGGTCGCGCGAGACCCGCGCGACCCTAGATCCTCATCATCGACAACGTCGAAGGAGTTGTCACTTTTGTTCTTTCGCAGCGGGGCACCATATGCGAGATCGTCATTTTCACCATCATCACGCTGGATCGCTTGCTCCTCCCGGGCCAGTGTCGACCGGAGATAATCCAGGACCTCTCTCTGGTGGGAAATGTACTGCGCCTTATCGATGCCGGTCATGGATTGGATCTGGCGCTGGAGCAGAGTGCCACTGGCTGAGAGTTCCTCCTGGTGGGCCTCACGCGATTTGCCAGGAGATGTCACTGATCCAAGTGCAGAACTGAGGGCGGAATACCAATCTCCTGTGTTTGTGGCTGCTGCCGCAGTGGGGAGGTTGAACCGCGACAGTAGGGACTGCGCGTATGCGGCTGGTCCTGATGGGGGCGGTGGAGCTTCCTGCTGTGGGGGAAGACCTAGCACCTTTGTCCGGATCAAATCCATAGCCTGGTAGAAGTATTGCAGGCCAAGTGCCTTGGCTCGCTCATGGCCGCGACCGATAAGCTCCTCAATCTCATGCTCGTGGTGGGCCAGGAATGGATCAACGTAATCTTGGTAGAGAAGACGGGCGCCTTGAGTCTGAGGGAGGACGAGATAACACATGAAGAACAGTCTGATCCAGCTGTAGAATGGGAACCTGCGATTTGTAAGCAGATGAAGCTACCGGAGACTGATGCCAGAGCATACCATCCAATAATGAAGACTGTCCAGGATTCTGCCAGCAGAATCACAGAGAGAACCACCCAATACATCAGCCATGGTGCCAGTTGTGAGGGATCGGAGGAGCGGAGAGCTTTGTAGGATGCAAAGACGGGGAATAGGATGGTAATGACGGAGCTATTGGATAATTTAGCAACGTTAGAATAAAATAGAATTTACAGCCTCATGAGCTCCTGGACTCATACTCACGACAACAAGTCCGCAAAGATTCCAAACATGGTGGCGTGTAAGCTTCCGGGCGATCAAAAGTCACGAGGGGTCGATAAGCGGAGTTCAATTAAGTAGCTTTCCCCTCCAACCACAGGCTGAAGGGCTATAAGCAGAAAAGCGAAGTCAACCCGGTGTATAGGAAACCCGAAATCTCCCTGAGCCGTAAGAGCAATAACCAAAGGAAAAGAGGCGTGTGGAGGGAGTGAGATGAAAGGAGAGAAAAAAAAAGTGTCCACTACGTAGGCATCCATATCAGCTGAAGCATGACCCGCAACGGCTAAAAAAGTCAACGGTTCGTCTTGACGTCACGAACCAAAACATGGGACCTAAGAGCTCAGGAACTCTGTTACTACTGATACCAGATTCCTCTATAAGTAAATCCTTTAAGTTATCAACTTCACATCATCTTGTATCTCTTGGCTTGCCCTCATGTGCTCTCCTTAAGATCTAGAAATCGACCAGTGGGTAACCGATCGGCCCAATCATCCGATGCCCAAGGTTTTGGATGACTACCGAGCAAGGGGCGCTCTTCCCCCGCTATATCTTACAACCATCTTCACCGCGTCTTTGAATTGTGGAGTTGACTTGCAGTACAACCTGCACCCTGAATCTGATCTCCTCCAATCCCTGCAACTCAGCTGCGGCACCTCGGCATCTCCGCTATGTGTATCGCTTTGATCTCCACTGCTCACCCGGACTATTCATTGATCGTCATCGATAATAGAGATGTACGTGGGCCCACTGAAGCGATGTCCTGCATACTGACTAGGTCTAGGAGTTTCTCCACCGGCCGACTTCAGAGCCAAACTGGTGGCCAGAGCCTTTTTCGAATGTGCTTGGATCACGCGACCTAGCACGGTCAACCCATGGCACGTGGATGGGAGTGACAAAAGAAGGAAAACTGGCTGTCCTCACCAATTACCGCGAAGACAAAGCATGTCAAGCCATCGGTCAATATAGTCGTGGTGTCATTGTGAACAACTGGCTGACCAGCCCGTCGAACGAGCGACATACGACTCACAGCTTTGTGCAGTCCATGGTAGCCAGCGAAGAGGCGAAAAAAGTGGGCGGATTTAGCCTGGTATGTGGCTACTTAAATGAACCATTGGCCGTTGTCTCCAACCGTTCTTCCGACATGGACCAGATCGCCTGGGTCGCGGCAGAAAAGAACCAAACAAGAGGACTGAGCAATACGGCCTTTAATGACCGATCATGGCCGAAGATCATTAATGGTGAAAAGCTCATGGACTCTGCGATTCATTCTCATGCTCAAGCTCAAGAAGACGAGGACGCTCTGATTGAACGATTACTCCAGGTGCTCAGCACCGATACTTTACCTCGACTATCAGGGGACGAGGCCAATACAATTGACACTTACATTCAGCACCTACGGAAGAGTATTTTTGTTCCCGTCATTGGAAAAACAGACGATATCAACCGAGACGCAGAAGAGACTGCCGCAGCGCAGGTTGAAGACGAAGAAAACAAGCCACCAACCAACGGAGCACTAGGGCCAGACTACAATAGCGGACCATATGGAACTCAAAGACAGACTGTTCTCCTCGCCCAACGTGACGGGCGGGTACGATATTTCGAGCGGACATTATGGGACAGGAATGTGAGGGCTGTACCCACTGGACAAGGCGATCGGTCTTTCGAGTTTCATATCGAGCAATAGTGCGTGTCATGATTCAACTTGACTCGTAGATTGACTGTGCTAAGATATGACGACATTGCATGGTAAGGGGGGCTAAGGATATTCATAACGAGGCCGACTTTTGCCATGCTGGAATATTTTCCCTGTTTTTATTCTAACTGGGATGATATCTCAATCTACATATATTATTGAAATGAGTCCATCGTGTTTTGTGTTAGCATAGGCTTTAACGATCATGGTACGGAGTTGATGCTCCGCCGTGTTTCATCTTGAGCGCCGCTCATCTACTTGGGGCTTTTCAGTTCGGCCATCACCCCAACACGGAATGGTCAAGCCCACTCTTGTCCCGGAATAATTTACGATGCTGATTCTGCTTGATTTTCCACCCATACATATTGCTTCCGATCGCGCGCCGTAGAATGACCGAAATGACCCTGAACCCCTGTGGACCCTATTGTCAAATTCCACCCCACTCTGCGGAGCCTCGCCTAAGTCTTTCAATTCTTTTCTGCCTCGATAGAACCGACATTAGCAGGGAAATTAGATTAAACTATGGTCAGCAAATCCTTTCGGGCCGTTCGTGCTAGATCCTATGGCTCCAATCTCATTCCAGGGCGCTTCTAGCTCAGACATTGGGTCCCTCGCCCCGCAGAAAATATACAGGTCTACTTCCCGGGTTAACCTCCGTCGGAACACCTACCGTGACGAGTCTGTGAATGGGTTCGGTGAATCCTGTCAGAGTGGTCTGGAACGTAGAATCCACTTGTATCAGATGTTGTGGTAGCCTGGGCCGAGTCCAATAGAAAGCCTTGATTGATGCCCCTGACATGAAGGTTAACGGGTATATAACATGGTCCAGTGCACATACATGACTTAAAATTTGTTTCTTGTTGTATACCTTCTTTTCTTTCCAATATCGAGACTGGTTCTTGATCTGTCATTCTTTTTTTCATTCATTCTCTCGTTCGACAAGCTCAACAGTCATTCTCTTCTTTTTTTCTCGATCAAAATGAGACTTACAAACTTGGTTCTGGCCGCCAGCGCCGCTGGTCTGGCTTCTGCGTACCCCCGCTCAAGGGAGGTTATGCCCAAGCGCAGCGCTGATGTGAAGAAGCGCTCTTCCGGCTTCACTTGTATGTTTTATGTCTGATATACACAGGTTTAAGGGATTATGAACTGATGACTTGCAGGGGTTGGTGTCAGTGAGTCTGGTGCAGAGTTTGGTTCCGCTATTCCTGGAACCTTGGGTACGGACTATACCTGGCCCACCACATCCAAGATTCAGGTTCTGCGGGATGCTGGTATGAACATCTTCCGCGTTCCTTTCTTGATGGAGCGTCTGGTGCCCGACAGCATGACTGGTACCCCGGCTACCACATACCTGGCCGATCTCAAGTCTGTAAGTAACATATCATGCTACAATGCTTCTGTTTATCATCTCCAGTCTCTAATGCGAATTGGTACAGACTGTCAAGTTCATTACCGACAGCGGTGCTTATGCGGTTCTTGATCCCCACAACTACGGAAGATAGTAAGTGAAGTTCACTAGAGATTATCAAATATGTATATACTGACTGGATTTCTAGCTCTGGAAGTATCATCGAGTCGACCGCCAACTTCAAGACCTTCTGGAAGACCGTCGCTGCTGAGTTTGCTGACAACGACCTGGTCATCTTCGATACCAGTAAGGCTAATCTAATGCACATACCTATTGCATAGACTAATACCTCTTCTCTAGACAACGAGTACCACGACATGGACCAGACTCTCGTTTTGGACCTGAACCAGGCCGCCATCGACGGTATCCGTGCCGCCGGCGCTACCACCCAGTACATCTTCGCCGAGGGTAACGCCTACTCCGGCGCCTGGTCGTGGACTACCTACAACGACAACTTGAGCGGTCTGACGGATTCCGAGGACAAGCTCGTCTACGAGATGCACCAGTACCTCGACTCAGACAGCTCCGGTACCTCCGAGACCTGTGTCAGCACCACCATCGGCAAGGAGCGCCTGGAGGAGGCCACCGCCTGGTTGAAGACGAACGGCAAGAAGGGTTTCATTGGCGAGTTCGCTGGTGGTGTCAACTCTGACTGCGAGACTGCCGTCGAGGGCATGCTCGCTTACATGAGCGAGAACAGCGACGTCTGGATGGGTGCTGAGTGGTGGTCTGCCGGTCCCTGGTGGGGAACTTACATGTACAGCTTGGAGCCTACTGATGGTACCGCTTACTCGACTTACCTTCCCATCCTGGAGAAGTACTTCGTCAGTGGCACTACCTCTACCTCTACCTCTACCTCTACCTCGACCTCGACCTCGACCTCGGCTGCCGTGGCCGCCACTACATCGGCCTCGTCTTCTTCCTCGTCTAGCTCCACTTCGTCTGCCTCTTCGACCTCGACCGCCCTGGAGGTCACCACCACCCCCAACAGCCAAGTCCAGGTCCCCAGTCCCTCCGTCGATGCCGTCACCACCTCGGCTCCTAGTGCCTCTGCTGCCTCCGTCGCTCCCGCCAGTGAGCCAACCACCCTGTCCACTGTCTCCCTCTACGTTCCTCCCGCTGCATCCACTGCCACCACCTTTGCCATCGCCCCGTCCTCCATCCAGTCGTCTGCCAGCGCTCCCTCCTCTACTGGAGCTCTCGTTGCTCACTACTACCAGTGCGGTGGTATCAACTGGACCGGTGGCACCACTTGCGAGTCTCCCTACACTTGCAAGGTGCAGAACCCTTACTACTACCAGTGCGTTTAAGGGACTTTGATGATTTGCCGATATAAACGGGGCATGGGGAGTGTAGCTGTGATGGATTGGTGAAAACTTTCTACTCTGAAGGCGTGCCCTTCTTTTGTATATTTTCTCTCTAAACTTTGATTCGATTATCTATGGATATTTACTTTTCTATTCAATCTCGTTTTTGATATAGTATATTGATATGAGTAAGTTTAGTATAATGTTCGGATCTCTTATAAAGTGGGATCCCAAATTAAATTAGGATAATCACGATTTTAGTTGGCACTGTGTACAGATGGAAGATATGTAATAAAAACGATCAGATTAAGCGTCATAACCTAAATTTCCCTGAACAAAAGAGCATAATATCAGAGCCCTATAATTGAAGCAGACCAGTTCCTTTCAGGAATATGTCCTCTTCTCAAGGTACTTATTGTCTTTGCATAGAAGGTAGTGCATCAGCGGCTCTTTTAGAACAAAATGCTTATGCCATACACATATCAGCCAATAACCATCAAGAGCTCTCAAAATGCTTAATAAGCACAATACGATCTCTCGAGTCCGACGACATCCGTTGGATATTGCATTAGCGAAGACATCAAACCTTACGTGAAACCAATCAGAAAGGAGTGAGAAAGACTCTTGTCAGGTGGATCTGAATGAAAAGATGGTAAGTAGCATTGCATGTACTGTCTCAAGGCCTCAGCTAACACTCAACAGAATAAGATCGTCGATGTAGACGAGTACCAACACGCTCGGGCGGAGCTTCTCAAGCAAGAAAAAGAGGCTACCCAGTTATTGCAAAAATTAGCAGCCTCACGCCAAAAACTGCCCATGGTAGAAATCTCCGATCCGGCTCAATTCAAATTTGATACCCCCGGAGGAGAAAAAAGCCTAGTAGACCTTTTCGATGGCCTTGACCAATTGATCATCTACCATTTCATGCTCGGACCCGGAGAACATAAAGGGTGTGTGGGGTGCTCATTTTGTATGGACCACATTCCCGATCTCGGACATCTGCGGAGCCGGAATACCTCTTTTGTTGCTGTTGCTACTGCTCCGTTATCTGAGATAACTACCTACCAAAACAAGATGGGCTGGAGGTTTCCGTTCTATAGTTCTGCTAAAGCTCATCAGGCATGGGAGAAAATTGAGAAAAATGGTGAGACGGTTACTTGGAAGCCTGGGAATGGGTATTTTGGTCTCTGCGTTTTCCGGAAAGATGGCGATCGGGTCTTCCATACCTACGATACTACGGATCGTGGGTTGGAGATCATTCTGTCGACGTATCATTTGCTGGATATGACGCCGATGGGTCGGCAGGAGGTTGGTAATGGGATGAATGAGTTTAGACTCCATGATGAGTACTGAATTGAGAAGGGAATATGGATGTGTACATCTAGTCTAGGAATAGTTTTTTTTTTCCCCAGGAGTTGTCAAAGTCTCGGCAGCTGGTACATGATGCATTCACAGGCATCTGGTCACAAATTCTCTTTGACTCATTCTCAAATATTCAAGTATTCTCCTGCAACTCCCAGCTTCTGTACAGGTGGGTTCCAATTCCCTGGACAGAGCCATCGAAAAACGGATTCTTTCAACCTTGAGTAGTATTGACTGCATCGGACACAAGAACACAATTATCGGTGAAACAGTCCCCGAAGTGGGCATAGACATCTTCCATCGTATACTTGTCAAACACTTTAACCTCAAACGTTTCCATGAATCGGGAGCTGTCTTGATGATGGCAGATGGCTTTCAGGAACTGGCGGAACACAGTATGCGGACTTCGAGGTCTAATGCCTAGTTCGAGGGTACTAAGTGCAGACTGAAAGCGGATTAGGAAGTCATGCGCTGTTTCATCGTTGCGGAAAGCTATTTCGATCCATTTCTTGTACAACCTCATCGTTCTGCGGAAGCTGCTGCTGTTGTAGATCTGCTCCAGTCTGGAATAAGTATCCTTAAAGCTCACGGTTTGAGCCACCAAGTCAAAAGCTGTAGAACCTAGGGCTCTGCGAATAAGTCCGTTCCCAACCCTGCAAAGATGTTCATGGTCCCTAAAGTGATCCTCAATGTTCCTCCTGCATTTGTCAATGAGTTCCTGTGCGGGATAGCATCGAAGATGCCCGTAAGTAAGACTGACTATGGTAGCAATCTCTTCATCGTCCATGTAAGGGTGGGGTTGCTTGAAAAAACCTTGGAGGATGGGCCAAAGACGCCTGTCAACAGCTTTTAACCCTTGTCGAAGGGAGTCATTCCAGGTATGCCAGTCAACGTCTTTGGAAAGCTTCAGAGGAGTAAGAGCATCGAAGAGTATTATGTAGCCGTGGTCGGCAAAATAATCATAATCGGGAAGAGTAATGGTAGAATGCATTGTAGATGAAGGCAATGCTGGGGTTGTTGACGAGACAGAAGCATGTGCAATTGTACGAGGCTCCCCGGGGTGTGACACGTCGTTTTGGGGATAAGAAAGAAAACGAATAAGCGAGAAGCAGAGAGTCGGGTTGAAATGACGCTATTCAGATTCTGTCAAAACAACAGCATGGGGAGCGTTGTCGAGAGACGCGACTCTTACCGGCGAACAAACAACGGCCAGCTGCGGTATAACAGTCCATCCGAGCCGCAAAGAGATGAAGGAGGAGATTTTCATCGATAGGAGTGAGGGTTAGAACGAATGGTGAGGAAGGAAGGATGGTTGAGAGGAAGACAAAACACTTTTAGGCTCCTAGAAAGTCCTACCTCCCAAGCAAGATTGAGATTATGGTTTACTCGATGCATAAACCAGGTCAATCTCAGCAATTGCCTCTCTTAAATGAAAACTTGAAACCACAACTACGAAGTAAGTGCCTTTGTACCAAATGATGGACTAAAATATATTATTCCATTTCCTTGGTGGATAAAATGTTCTCATCGAAAGCAATGGGTATTCCGACACCCAGAGGTAGCTGAAATTCTTGAGGCTGGAAACTACCTAGACAGGCGCGACAGAGCAGTAGGCCCTACAAGTAAAATAATGATTGAATCTTGAAAATCAGGCCTTCGACTGCTCTGTAATGTATGGCTCCCAGACGATACCTTATCACCCCACGATGTGCTCATATTGAGAAGGTGGACCCGATAAACCCAATGAGTGGAGCAAAATATCGGAATGACTACCGTTGATTGGATAGACTATACTGTTATCTCGGGTTTACAGTTGTTATTCCGGCTTACCCGCCGAGGTCTAAGGTTCAACTGTAACATGCCAAGGCTATTCCGATCGGCAAACCGGAAACAAGCGATTCAAGTGGACAGGGGTAGGCAAAGATAACATGACTCCGCTGCGGGCATTCCTACTCTAGCGATTACAGTTAACATATTCAAGCATTATGTGATTGGTGAGACTAGGCTTATTCAATCCACCTTAGTTTCGGTGGTGTGTCCATTCTTTAAAGAACTTCCCGTTCTTGAGGCGGGGTAGATAGCAGTAGATATGGAAATGAGAGCATAAGAAGATAGCCTTGCCGCTGCAAAGGTATTCTGTCACCCTTCGAGCCACATATTCTTTACTATTCAAGTGTCCAAGGTTTATTTTACTTTACAAAGCCCTTCCTAACTTACCTAGTCTGGAACAATGACCATTCAACAAAAGCAATTAGAGACCTGGGAAATCAAAGCAGCGATTCCAAGGGCAATTCGCGATGCTTCCCTAGCCAAAGTAACGCCCCCTTTGGCTGGACTCCCTGATACTTTACCACAGAATTCCCAAAACCTTCCAAAACAGATTCTCACGCCTAGAGAATTCGACCTCACGGAAAACTACTCGGTTACTGAACTGCTTGCCAAATTACACAGCAAGGAACTCTCGTCTGAAGAGCTCACAAGAGCTTTCCTCCGCCGCGCCGCCGTGGCGCAGAGCGCGACCAATTGCCTGACAGACCTGCTCTGGGATGGCGCGATCGAAAGAGCACGATATCTTGATTCACTTCCCGCTCCATTGGGACCTCTTCATGGCCTGCCCATATCAACAAAGGAGCACCATGGCGCGAAAGGTGGCAATGAAACGGCCAATGCATCTTACGTTGCATATATTGGGAAGTTCCAAGGGTCCACCGTTTCCCTCGATACTCTCTGGGATGCTGGCTGTGTATTCTTCGCCCGGACAACGCAGCCTCAAACAATCATGCACCTCGAAACAGAAAGCAATATTTATGGTCGGACCGTGAACCCATACAACAGGCTGTTGACATCGGGTGGAAGTAGTGGGGGAGAAAGCGCCTTGATTGGCATGAGGGGCAGTGTCTTGGTAAGAGTCTATTTATTGATTCCCTGGAAGCTGCTGACTTGATGATAGGGTGTCGGTGGTGATATTGGTGGCAGCATCAGATGCCCAGCTGCTCACTGTGGAATATACGGATTCAAGTAGGTATCTCAACCACATGATGAGCCAGTTCGATGCTAATAAATCACACAAGGCCTTCAGCTCACAGGTTGCCAATCGCGGGTGGAACTGCTCATATGGCTGGAAGAGAAAGTATTCTTTCCACTAATGGGCCCATGGCAGCTGATCGGGATTCTCTGGAATTGTTCATGAAAGTGATGTTGGATGCAGAACCTTGGAAACTAGAGCCATCAATTAGAGTGGCTCCTTGGACGCCATATGAGTTTACTCGGCCATTGAAGGTTGCCGTGCAATGGTGGGATGGTGTTGTGAAACCTCATCCACCCATGATCCGCGCGCTTCGTGAAGTTTCTGAGGCATGCAAAAAGGCAGGAATGACCGTCGTCGACTGGGAATGCGAATCATTGGATCACAAAAAGGGGTGGGAGATACTGTCCAGTCTGTACTGGCCAGATGGTGGAAAGGAGGTCCTTGGTTTGCTGGAGTCAGCTGGAGAGCCCATCTTGCCTTTGACGAAGTTTATAATCAAAGAGCAGCCAACTGTCAAAGAGTTGACAGTCACCGAGATGTTCAAGGTAAGTCCAGCGGATCTAATGTTAAGTCCCGAGGATGAGATCTAACCATTTTTCTTTTTCGTAGTTATGCGCTGAGCGAGATGCTTATCGTACTTCCTATGCCCGTCACTGGACTAGCACTGGCAAAAAAGATGGACATGAAGTCGACATAATTCTTTGTCCTCCTTCCTTTGGTGCTGCCACGCCCCACGAGCAGTCGCGCTACTGGGGTTATACCTCGATCTGGAACCTATTGGATTACCCAGGCGTTGTTTTCCCTGTCACTACAGTCGACAAAGAGAAAGACTGCAAAGAATCCGATTATCAGCCAAAGAACGAGGAAGATAAATTCGTATATGACTTGTACGAGCCGGATCTGTACGATGGCTGTCCGATCAGTCTGCAGATCATTGGACGCAGACACCATGATGAAAAGGTGCTTGCAGCACTAAAGGAGGTCGAGAGGGCGATGGGAAAACACAAAGGATAATCTCTTCCCACGAGAGAAATTCTACGAAATGTTAATGTAGACGCTTAAGATTGCATTAAAACAAGGTTCCCTACCTAAATTATTTACTATATCCAGTCATATTATGTTGATATATAGTTGGGCGTTATAAAGTAATCGGTTAAAACTGTAGAATACATCTACAGATGACAGTCACTTCCCATATGTACAGTTCCCCCTGTCTTCACAAATGCCCAACAAAGGCGTCGAAGCCAGGCTAGTCTCCAGAAAAACGCTCCTCAAACAGGCCTTTCAACGCTGCCAATAATAGATGGTGATATTTTATCTGAACTGCTCCGGTGTAAAATTTCTGATTAGTAAGAACAGATTGATCAATTGAAAACTTTTTTGTACAACGTTCATTGAAGATAGAATATGCGAAGGTCTAAAGTAACGACCTTGTCTTTCAATTGTGGAATAAGTCTGGCGAACTATGCAATGATACCCCAAAGACTGTGCGCTGTTGAGCATAATAATTTCGATAGGTGTTTGCTTCAAGATTGGGGGAGCCAAATTCGTCGGAACAGAGTCGAGTTCAAAAAAGGGTCTGGAAGAATGCCCAGCTTCAAATCAAGGAACATCTTCAGATATTCGTCGAAAAGAGTAATGCCAGGTGATCCTTTGTAAGGATCAAGGAGTATGTGTTCTCATTATCAGAAGTATATTGATGGGATGAGTGTACATCATTTGTCCTATACTTGTGACTCGACGTGAGGAAGGAGTGTGCAGTTTGACTTTAGAACAGATTACCTGTCACCGCGGTTAGACGTAAAGCAGGAGACAGATTCCTCTCAAACATTAACATGATTGTTTCTTCGCTACTGCCACACTAAATCAGGGCCTAATATCGTATGGTGTCCGTCTTGTGTAAAATCAAACTGGATTCCCAGATCCTCACATTGCATTTTCAACGGTGCAAATGCATGCTTGATAGACTCCGGTATTCTGAATGCACCGTAAGCAGCCAGGACAGAGTGGTCCCGCTCTATAACGACTGGCTGGATTTCGAGTCTTTTGAAGTTCGGGAATCGCTCCTGTCGTTGCCCTAGCATAGATTGGAGATTTCTCATCACCAGGTCGAAGTCCTCAACACAGTACCCAGCAAGTTGGAGATGTTCTAAGCTGGATGGGAGAACTTCTAGCAGAGAAACAGCCGGGTAATCATTCTGACCAAATTGCAGGAGTGTACGCAATGGCATCCGAAGTTCACGCAGCTGCTGGAATTCGACTAGAGACCCGAAAGTAGTGTAGTCTATTTCATCATCCGCAGCCCAATCGTCTTCTCCGTTGATTTCTCCATTATTGTTCAAGCGAAGTACTCGAAGACTATGTCTCTGTGTATACAGAGCTGTGTAAAATGCCAGAGGACGAAAGTTGAGATATATCTCACCCCAGATAGCCTGATTGTCGTGTTGGTAATCAAAGACCTCCAAATTGGCACATGATGTAATGTAGTCGATCATTCCGTTACTACCATTGCTTTGCCCAAATTCCAGCTCCCTAATGCGAGAGGTTTCAGGCGCAGGCTTAGAATAATTCACATCATGGTCATCATATGCTTCACAAAACGGACTTGCGGAGAATGATCGTATAGCTGGAAAATGCAGGAACGGCAAAAATTCTTTGGCCAGGTATGCAGTTTTGCTGTATTCACACTCAGCTCGGACACTGTTAAGTCGCTGCAGAACGGGGTTCGTATCAAATGGCGCTTCCCGGGCGGCTGCTCGAGCTAGCATAGGGAAAAAATAGTCCGAATAGCCCGGATATTGAATCCATAGGACTCTGACCGCTTCCAGTGAGGGCATGAGTACTGCGAGCCAAGCGTCGGATTCTCCTTTAAGCAGGTCTTTTTCCCAATTCTTGCGATGCTCTGCTGAAGGGCTTGCTTGGTCCAGAATATGCTTGAATGGTTCAACATTGTATTCGATACTGTCGTCATCCCCGCCCCATGTGAGATCCAGATCCTGGATAGAGGGACCAATTAGGGGGTTTCGTTGAATTGAACAAACTAGATCATAGACTTGTTCGCCTTCAACTCTAATGCGCTCGTAAGCCTTGGGAAGAAGTGCCGTGTACCATTGACGGCACACTAATAAAATTCGAAGACGGTCTTTTGTGTCGTCAATATGGTCAAGTACGAGAAAAAGAATGTCATCATAAAGAACGACCATGCTGATTGAGAGGTTGCAATTGGCGACTCAGGGCCAGTTGCAGCGCAGAGAAGGAGAGAGAGATGGATCGACTGCTTCTGGGTTAGATATTTTGTAACACGAAGCAAGACCAAAGAGCGATAGTCGATAATAGAATGGTTGAATATTAGAAATGTTGGAATACTGGACCTAAAGAAGGGTCTAGGGTGGGGCCGGAACTTTTTTTTTTCCCTTTACCAGGCTCCCATCAGGCTCCCATCGTTAGCGTCGGTTAGTCACGAATGGTGGATCTGGACCATTGTCGCTGAATGAGTACGATTTTAACTTGCGAGGGCCAATATCCATATACATTTCGCTGTTCATGTGTTCATGTATTATGTGGGTCATGGTCCACCGCACTCCAATGATATCAAAGCGTGGATATGCATTCCTCCTTCCCGAACGGGTGATTTGACACCTGAAGGGTCAGGCTACAAACACTTGGATGCTCCAGCCGTCTTCACCATGCCTTCACTTCTAGTTCCCTTTGTACTTCCAAAATGAACGACCATAGCCAGCAAGTGGCTCGGTCGGCTGCGCCCCAACTTAAAGAAGACACCGAGTGATATGGTATAGCGTATTGCATGGAAGGTATTGGATATGGTAGTTCCTTTCCCAATAATCTCCAGCTTTTATCTGTGGCGTATAAGGTCTTGACAGTCTGATTCTGCAACAAGGTGGGAAGCCAGGTGAATATACCTTGTGCCTTCATAAATAAATTCTGGATGCCTATTTCACGTGTTTGCTTAGCATCCAAAGCCTCGTCTCAACAACAATCACATCGTCCTTGGTATGCTGAGACTGAAAAACTCTTCGTAACCAACAGCTTCACCACTGCCTCATGGCCATTCTTAACAGCCCATAAGAGTGGCGTCCGACCCCATTCCTTATCCTTAGCCTCAAGGTCAGCTCCATTCTCAAGCAGCACTTTCACCACTGCCTCATGGCCATTCTCGGCAGCCCATAAAAGTGGTGTCCGACCCCATTCCTTATCCTTAGCCTCAAGGTCAGCTCCATTCTCAAGCAGCACGTTCACAACTGCCTCACGACCAATTTCGGCAGCCCATAGGAGTGGCGTTCGACCCCATTTCTTGTCCTTAGCCTCGAGATCAGCACCACTTTCAAGCAGCACTTTTGCCACTGCATCATGGCCATTCTCTGCAGCCCATGAGAGTAATGTTCGACCGATTTTGTCCTTACGGTTGAGATCCGCAGTGCTTCCGCAAAGTAATCTGACAACCTCCGCAAACCCTTTCTTTACCGCCCATATAAGAAAACCTCTAGTATCAAGGTATTTAGTACTCATTTTGGCGCCGCTTTCGAGTAGTAATTCAATTGTGGTTTCATGGCACTCGTCTACGGCACACGAGAGAGGTGTTCGACCGTTCGCATCTTGTGATTCTAGTTCAGCTCCTTTCTCAAGTAGGAGTTCCACGACTGCATCGTGGCCCATATTTGCAGCCCGTAAAAGGGGTGTCTGGTCGATCTCGCCATCCCTTATTTCAATATCTGCTTGCTTCCCTACAAGGAGAGAAACAACTTCTTCATGTCCGTTACTTGCAGCCAGCCAGAGCGGTGTCCTTCGAAATCTCGACATGGCATCAACCTTTATCTTCTTTGAGTTGCAAAGTAATTGGCAGATTTCAAAATGACCCCTGCCTGCTGCGTAGTGCAAAGCAGTATATCCTTCTAGATCTGGCGCATTCACTTTGCAGAAATTTAGAAGAATCTCAATCATTGCTTCATATCCAAGATTCGCCGCGACATGAAGCGCAGGAAGGCTTTCACCGATTAGCGGGAGGTTACAAACAAGTTGTAAAGCAGGTCCTTCACCCCGTGCAATTGACAGAAGAGGCTCATGTTGCTCCATCACTGCCCATCCAAGGAGACCGTGTAGATGGGAGGATGCCGAACGGCCGCCAGGGACCCAAGGGTGGAAATCCCAAGTTTCATTAAAACACATTGCGAGCCTTTCAAATTTTACCCACATCAAGGATGTACGATGTATCTGTTTTGTTTGCAGGGCCCAGTTTGTGATGGCGTAATCGAGAAATTTGTACTGTGCCCTATCTGGCGTTGATGCTGTGCGTATCTTATGGAAAAGCACAGAAACGGAACGCTTCTGATCCCGGGGCTTTTGGTACAAGTGTCTGGTAAGCAATGCAGGGAGAGTTTCTCGCGCTAAAAGAATGGGGGATTGAACAGGAACTGCGGCTTTCTCAATCCTTCGCATGCTTAGTTGAAGACTAAAATCCGAGAAAGAAAGATATGCAACGCAGAACTCGCCGCACTCTAAAATGCCCTGTTCGGTGGCTGGATAACCTTGAATGATATTTCTTTCTCGTCCTTTGTCGAGGTATTGTCTTACCGAGGAATGTGCAAATCGCACACGGTCGTCACAGGAATCCACGACAACAAGATTTGCACAGCAGCCGATGACATATTCCTTTCGCGGGATCTTATCCGCACTCCATGCAGTGTCCTCTAGGTCAAAGGTGATCGCCTCTCGTAATTCTTCGATATGAAGCGGAACGGCCGCAAAGCTAACCCATTTGAGTACCTTGAGAACCCGGCTGTCCTTGCGATTGATTCTCTCGATGCAACGGCTGTATGTGGCCTCCAGGCTTTTTGGTAGCTTAGCTAGTGCCGAATGTATTGCTGCATCATCGAAACATGTGTCCCACAAAATCTCCAGCTGGAGGTATACCCATAGAAACCTACGCTGGTCAGCGTATCATTCATGTAATACAGCTCTCGTAGAAGATTAGATGTACATACATTCCTGAAGACTCTGCCAAAAGCCTCTGCCGAACATTTTCAATCAGTACAGGGTCATCTGTAAGTTTCCGGCAGATATTCTTATCAATGATGCTTGATTCAATGTATGTTTCGATATCTTTCATGACGTTGGCTGATGTCGAGATTTGACGAATCCCAGGTATAAAAGTATTGACATTTATGTATCCTGGAACTTGGTCTCTGCTTAGCAACAAAATTCGCGATTTCTGCCGGGGGCTGGTGTCAATGAATAGCAACCTGACGAGCTCCAAAAGAGATTTGGCATGTTTATGATCTAGAGCATCAACTCCATCAACGACATAGATCGTATCTGTGGTATGGTGGAAAAGGCGGGTAAAGATATCCTTCAGGTCGTAAAAGTCTGGCTTGACCCTCTTGTTTCCAAAATATTTCCTTATCCTTTTTGCGATATCTTGCGGATACGGCCTGTGCATCCGGTGCAGGTATTCGCATAATTGTTTGATGAGACTAGAGAGAATAGACGAGACATCTGAGCCTGCATGACCATCGCCCTCGCAATAGAAAAAGACAGTTGGAGAGCCGAGCTCATATTTCCCTGCCTCTATCACTGCAGTTCTACTGATTGTTAGATCATGATATCCAAGGAAAGAGTACTGGAAGACGAACGCTATCATCGTTTTACCCGAGCCAACTAATAAACAATTGCACATCAGTATTGGGCTCAAGGCTCGTCTATAAAAAGAAGGCTTACTCTTTCCCGAGCACCACAAAGTTGAAGCTCTCTTCTCAATGAAGCAGGCTTTGAAATCCGGGTGATCAAGGAACCAGCGTGTGGTGCCAGTGAGTCGTTTGCCACTAAGTCTTTGATGGACTTTCTCGTGATTATAGCTTGAAATGCGCTCGAGTAGACTCTCAAGATCCTGGCCATCTACAATCAGTTAGATAAGATTCCTAAAACCACCAACGCACTCACCATATTGAACTATTTCACTGTTAGGAAATTGCACCTCAGATGGTAGCTTTCTTTTGTAGCAGGACACTAGAGCTTCGTTAGATAAAGACGATTCATTGTGCTACTTGAAAACACAACATACCGTCGGCAATTGATCCTGCTGGCACAGTATCTTCCACATGGCTTGCATGCACCATGGAGAGAAGCGCTTTGCCATATGTAGCTGCCGTTGCTGCTGCATAGTCTTGCCACTGCTTGTTTTTATGCGAGTCGCAATAGTCGCACATCCCTCGAATAACGAGGCATGGAAAGTTGTCCATCAAGCCAGCCGCCTCCATTTCAAAGCAGAGTATGTCAAGATCCCGGGCCAGGCTATCCCTGCTGCGGCCATGCTTCATGACTTGGTTGCCAGAGGCAATCAGACCGTAATGGATGACCGGATCATGGCTAGCCCGAGCAGGTCGTATTACGAGCCTCCGTTTATCGCAGTCGTTGCAAGTATCTCCCTCAGGGTGGTCGTATTCAGAGTCAAATAATAAATCCTGATCTTCACTGCGATATGCGAACTTCTCCTTCACCCTGGGGTACCTAGCGACCGCCTCTGAAAGAATAGCTGGCATTCTGCTTCGTTCCAATCCATGCTCTGCTTGTAATTTTGCAATTGCTGTTAAGAGGACTGGCGGTGGCTTATTTAACATGCCAGTGCGTTCAAAGCGGCCTCCGGTCACTGTTTTCCCATAATCGTACTGTATGACCCCTCCTGAATCTCTTGTCGGCTTGCTAACCACCACATCACCCAGCCGGATATCAACCTTTTCGCTTGGAACCCCGCCTCCAATACCTACCATCATGAAGAAGCGTATTGATTCGAAAGTGGACTGCATATGTGTAGCCACTGTTGTGGCGGAAGTTGTACCGTAAACACCCGATGGAAGGCATGCGATAGCCACATTATGCCCAGATATTTGGCCTAAGATGTATGCATTGTTATCTTTGGGTCTCGCCGGTAAATCGTTATGTCTCTCGTCCAGCATGGCCGCAGCTGCGGCCATCTCCAGGGGAAGGGCACAGATCCATGCGACCGTGTAATCTCGATGGCGAAAACATCCCGTCGCAGTCGCCATATGGATCTATCCCGATAACTATTGTCGTTTCTCGCTGCGTAATGAATTCGGAATAGATATTGAGGTCTAGAGGAATGCGTCTCCACGATGATGAAAAGTAAAATAATCCAGCTTACAAGGGTCCAAGTTGAAGGCAATGCAAGTAAGCCTCGCCTTTTAGACCGGGGATCGTACCCCGCTCCATGTGATCTATAAGTGATTTGGCACCACGTCTCGACCGTTGATCGAGTCGATAAATGAACCTCAGCATGAAACATTCATTTGACTTGCAAACATGTGGCTTGTAGGAACTTCGGTCCTTGGCAAATCCGCCGTTTTGCGCTTGGTCTTCAGTAATGAGAATTGCTGTTTCCGGTACCCGCCTATTCTGCGGTATTTCCACAAAACACAACACGTTCATGCATATCTCTGCCAGCTGAGCTTGAACAAAGCGAAAGAAGCTTTATTGGTTCGCCTCAATCTGCCTGAAACCACAGTATCTTGGCACATACATGTAATATCGAATTTTAACCTATGATTGGCTAGATCAACTGCGAGGCTGACTTCGGTATTGGCCAAAAATCCTCCCAGTATGACCCAAACCCGGCTTCTCGCTCTGTCTATTGCGCATTCACCTTTAACGTCGCGCGACGCTAAAGCGGCAGATATTTCCCAAAATTACAGTGTGTTCCTCTACAATCACCCGCATTCGAAAATGCAAACTATGTCGATCCCAATCCAATTTTCAATATTTAGATAAACCCCTAAGCTATAGGTCGATGTGTGTCTTACAATCTACTATTCCCGCAATACACTAGCATCTAGCCAATAATAAGCAGATTTACATACTTGATTAACAAGACATCGCTTCTAGACATGTTTTGACGATGGGCTGTTCTCCAAACATAGACTGCCCAGAATTCCCTGATTCACCTACTGCAGCCACTCCTGAACCCATTTTTGGATCCATTCCGGCTTCACCGCATGCACCTCAAGTAATTTCTCGCTGACTTGGGCGGTAATCTGCACATCCAGCACATTCTCGGGCGTCGTTTGAGCCATCGCTGTTTCGAAGAACTCCAGCAATTTCGCGGCCGGATTCTTTGAAAGTTGAAGCTGCAAGTCCTTCTTCCCAGCCTGGCTGTGAAGCTCGACAGCCCGTCGAACACGTAGCACCCACTCCCGCTCGGGGATTGTCTCCAGGGTCTTCCCAGAAGCTTTACCAAGGGTATCGGCGACGATGGGCCGGATATCTTTCCAGGACTGAGGGTGCGAGTTCACCAGGTGGTAGAAGCTCAAGGTGGAGCTGCTTCCGAGAATGGCCAAGTCGACAAGAATGTCGGCGAGGAGGTCAACCGGCACCCAGTCGATTCGGTCCAGAGCTGGACCTATGGCATCAGGGAGAGCCTCTAGGTATAGCGAGCTCAGGATAAGGCTAGGGAACCACTCGGTCTTGTTCCATAAGCCGCGAGACCTGATGGGCCCAGCTACCTGACCTACCCGAGCCACAGCCACTTGGCCGACATGAGCTGAAGCGAGACTGTCGGAGCTCTGTTGCACCGCATGTGCTAGGAGATGCTCAGCCACATATTTGCTGTTGGCATAGCCGTTCGGGGCCGGGGTTGTGGTGGTGACGATGCTCTCGGGGGTGAGACCGGTGTCGGTGTGGTGGCCAATGGTCGAGCTGATTGAGGAGATGAAGAATAGGCGCGGAGAGTAAGTGCCTTGGCCGCTGAAGTTGATGAGGTTGACCACACCTAGCAGGTGGGGCTTGAATGAGGCAAGCGACAGGTTGAAGTTGACAGGCCATGCATTGTGAATGATCAGCGTGGCGCTTTCCTGCAATTCTTGTAGCTGCTCGGGCTGTAGACCTAGATCCGCCTGGCTGAGATCGCTTTTCCAGAACTTCACCCGCGCTTGTGCTTTGTCCAGGGGGCAAGCCCGTAAGCAGTACTGCGCTCCTGCTGGCGGTCATGAGCTCGGTCATCTCGGTTCAGGCAGTAAATATGCTTCACTCCGGGGCTCTTTAATAGCGCGTCGAGCATATAAGTGCCTAGTTGACCGGTGGACCCAGTTAGAATAACACTTTGAATGGCAGGCGCTACTTGGGAGGATTGCTTGGCCTTGGAGATATGAACTTGTCCGATGAGCTCCTCTAGTAGCTGGTCCCGCTCTTGAAGCAGAGCCTCGGTATTGAATTCAGTGGATTCCTCGAGGCCCTGGTGCAGATTGCAAAGGCCTTGGGTCAGCCCTGCTACCGTCGGATGCAAGTAAATGAAGTTCGGAGTGAGGGCGACAATATTGAGACCCTGCTTAAGCGCACGCGTAGCTGTGATCGCCTGTAGGGAGTCAAAGCCAAGGTTGAACCAATTTTCGGTGTCGGTCAACTTGTCCGAACTCCACCCTGTGATGGCTAGAATTGTTGTTCTGATATACTCAGTCACCTGCGCAGTATCATCCACCCCGCCTGGGCCGACGATTTGAGATATCGTGTCCGCACTAGAGTAGAGATCCTCGAGCTCCCGCGCGTACAAACCCAGCGTGCCAGCGCGCTGCACCGTTCCCTTGCCTGCGCGAAGCATCGGCCTGTCGGGCGATGTGAATAGGATATGGCTCTTAGCGATGCGGGCGTGGGCAGGAGCAGAGCTATTCGCTTGCTCGATACTGGGCCAGAGCTCCTCAATAATCGTGTCACGGCTCTCAGCAGGCTTTCCGCCTCGCTCAATGATAAGGGCCGCCTGGAAGCGTTGTGCACCGGCCACTAGGCACCCGGTGACTTCTGAATTATATGCAATGATGTGTTGCTCCATCGAGACAGGATTGGTTTTCTCCCCGTTCAAGAAGACGATCACATCATCCACGCGGGCAGATGGGCGCCACAGATCAGTCTTTGTAGGATGGCGGACCATCAGGTCATTTGTATGATATTCCTGCTGACTCGCGAACGCTTGCATAGAGAATGGGAACTGATGGGCTTCACGGTCTGGAGTACGCACCACGACGGCCTCGTACTCCTCGCCGGAGACATGGCGAAATTCCACCCCTAGCTCCGGATGGAAGTTAAGATACCTCCAGTCCGTCAATGGATCGCGGTCTGCAGCGTGAACCACATTCATGATGCCTAGCTCCGAAGCGCCGTATCCATTCATAAGTTCTACCTTAGCTGCGACCTTGTTGCCAATGGCCTGCGGCAAATCGCCTCCGCAGTAGAAAATATATTCTAGGTGAGTACTGCAATATTCGAGAAGCTCAGGAGCTTGTGCTAGCTCCAGCACAATTGAGGGCACAACAATAGCCCACTCGAATGGGGTTTGTTTCCTTGCAGCCACTAAGCCTACAGCGGTCGGGAGACCAGTAGCAGTAGGCATAATAAGGGTCACATCTGCCGGAATCGTGATAAAAAGGGTATGGCCAATTCCAGCTGCCTAAGTTCAATATTAGTAGTGCTCTGCCATTATTGTTGTCAATCCGATGATAAGCTTACATGGAATGGAGGCAATGTCAAGTACATTCTCTTCCCAAAACCTTTGCTATCCTGGCCTTCAGAACCTGCCGGGGCCCTCAATCTTTGCATGCGTATATGCTTCGCAACACTTTCGTGAGTCCAGATAATAGGCTTGGGAATCCCCGTGGACCCTGAGGTGTGGAGTACAACAAATCGATCAGTAGCCGCTTCCGGATATGTCTTCCGGTATTCAAAGGCGGGAAATTCGGCTGTTAGAAGTGTGTCCAGACTTGGAACTTCCACGACCTTGAGTGGGAGGGCTTCGATCATAGCCGTCACAAACGGGGGGCGCGGCGTAGGAACCAGCAGCGTAGTGCAGTCAAGCCTTTTCAGTAATGCTTGCTGGGCTGCTAAGCTGTTACGGGGCGAGGGTAAAAACATCTATTCTGTTTATTAGTATCTGGTAATGTTTTCTTCCAAGAAGGTGGATCATACGCAGAAGCCGGCCTTGACAGCCCCCAGAACCAGAGCCGGGTACCGCAGGTCATTCGGACCTAGATAGGCTAACACCTCGTTACCGGGCTCTCCATTACCGGGTCCCAAGCTCTCTGCCAAACCATGTGCGACGCCATTGATGGCGTTGGCAAAGGCCTTGTAGGTAATCTGCCTGTAGCCATCCTCATAATTCATGGGATTGACGGGACATTCCGCATAGAGAGCATGGGGCTTGACCTTGGCGTAGTGGTCAACAAGATTTGGAAGGAGCTGGGTGGAAGGATCCAAGTCCGAAGTACAAGAGATAGCCATGATGAAGTCCCTGGTGAAGGAGGATCAAAAATGGGAATGAATAGATTATTTTCTAGCAGCGCCAGCGCGACCTGTTCTTATTTAAGGGGGGAAACAGGCAACAGAGCCCATATGCGGGATTGACATGGCATAGCAGGGGAGAGCGGAATCGAAAAAAAGAAATCAAAAGTACATTTCTTTACAAGGGTTTGGAACTCCACTACCTAGCGGTCTTTGATACAGCTTCGAACAACATGGGGGCCAAATATTGAGAAGGGGAGCGCTTGTTGGCAGCAAACTGGAAGACAGTGCAGTCGATTCAGCCGTACAAAGCCACCAAACAAACCAGCGCAGGCCATGCGACAAGATGGGAAGCTACCTATAGCGTTCGGGTCAGAGAGGTGTATAAGTGTGCTATATCTAGAAATGCTAGATGTGTTACCGTTATCATATACCAATATACCGATATCTTAGTAGCCAAATACTGGTCGGGAAACTAGACATTATGGCGTGCAGAGCTAGGGAAAGCAATCGGGGAAATCCGTGCCGTTTTAATTAATCCCCGTGGTACATATTGGGGGCCAAATACGAGGATTCAATCCGAGATAACAGATCTCTTTTGTCATTAAAACGTGAGAACATTTAAAAATATGCAATCAATGGACGGGTACACAAGAATAATAAATGCCATGAAGCAGAAGTTTTGAAAACGGCTATCGAGGGTAAGTTCAGATATTCCTGAATCTACCCCTAATACTACTTGGGTACCCCACAAAAACAGTGGAAAATGCTGGCCTCTGATTGGTCGAATTTTTCTGCCGGAGCAAAGTTGTTGTCTGTCCGGATTTGGCAATGTTTTGATTTTGGTTATCTCACCGCCTCCCTCACCGCCTTTGTTCTGCTAGTCGTGGTGGTGGTTTTTATGCCCTATATTTACTAGTTCGTTAGCGCAACTTAGATTTTCTTAGTGCTGCACGTCTCTTCTCTATAATATATAGTCTGTAGATCTCCTTCTATCTATATAGATATAGTTCTATATCGCTATGGTAGAATAGGTATATCTAAATGTGGTTAAATCATCTTTTTAATTATATCTATAACTACTTCTATAATTTAATCCTTCTTTTTATCTTCTTTATCTTCTTCTTCTATATATATTATACTATAAGTATTACTAATAGGTTTAACTATTCTAACTATATTATAAGAGTTAGTGGGTGCCTTAATAAGGATGCCCTCTAAGAGTCTCTAATTAGTCTAGGCTTAGTGTAGTTCACCTTTTAAGGGAATAAGGTATAATATAATTCCCTTAAGGATATATATATTCTTAATAAGCCTTACTTTAATATTACCTACTCTAGGCGGAGTAATAAAGGATTAGTCCCTAAAGATATCGCTATTATATAAGGATTATTAGCTATAATTAACGACCCCTAATATAGTATATTATTAGTAAAGATCTAGGCGATATCTATTATATACTAGTAGGTAATACTCTTTATTTTAAGCTATCCCTTTACTAATCTTAACTTAGGGATAAGCTCTCTAATAAAGATAATATATTTATTTACCTAAGTAACTATAATAGTCTAAGCGATTATAATAGGAACTATCCTCCCCCTTTAGCGCCTTCTTTATCTATAACTAGCCCTATAGTTAGTATATTATCTAATCCTAATAGTTACTAGTTATTTATTATTTATATTAGTATAGATTATGATTAGGAGTAGGCCCCTAGCTTCTTTTTAATAGCTATTACTTTACTACCTATAGGCGCTAGGGACTATAATCTTCCTAAGATTAGCTAGCGCGTCTTTATATCTAGCTACTTTATAGGTTTCTATTCTTTTAAAGGGTATATAATTACCTATATTATAGCCTAGGAATATTAGGTCCTTAAGTAGAAGATTATGGTTACTTAAGATCTATAGTAGAGAGTTATTATAAGATATAAAGAAGAGTATATATTATCTATTATTTATTTTATATATACTATACTAACCTTTTACTTAGCGCTATTTAATATTAATAGTGCCTAGTCTAATAATATAGAAAAGGTTAAGAAGAAGAAGGGGGAGTCTAAGCGTAAGAGATAGCTACTTTTAACTAAGGCTAATAGTAATATTAAGTATATAGAGAAGTCTTAGCCTAGAGAATTAAGCCTATTTATTTATATATTAACTATACTTTATCTTATAGCTAGTTACTTAGTCTAATATAGTATATAGGGTATTTTAAAGTAATAATAGATATTAATATTCTTAACTAACTATCTAGTTCGCTTAATAGAGTTAATAGATACTAGAATAGAACTTTTCTAATCTAATTAATTATATAGGTAAATAGTAAATACTTCACTAGGAATACCTAGTTTATATAGATATATATATAAAGTTTCTTCCCCTCCCCTTCCTTTCTTCTCTATCTCTCTATAACCTTTAAACCTCTACCTTAATAAATCTTACTCTATATATTACTCTATAGATTTATAACGCTCTATACTTTATATTATTATAGATTAACCTTACTTCTTTATTAACTATATCTATAGATAATATTATCGTAGACTATATATCTTTATAGATAGGGTAGTAATAGTAGGTCTTCCTTCTATATTCTATAAAGCTTATAGTACTAATAGGATAGCCCTAATCTATATACTATTTATATCTATCCTTAAGTTATATATTATCTATAGTCTCTTTATAATAATAATAGCTTCTACCTTAGAATAATATAATATTAGATAGTTCTATTAATACTACCTATTATAAAACTATATTATATTCTTAGAGATACCTTAGAATCTTAGTCTAGGCTTACTTCCTACTATATAGCCTATAGAGAATAGATAGGATAGGATAGGCTAATAATTATAGCTTTACTACTATATAGTTCTTATCTACCTTCTCCTATATTATAGGCTTTATAATAAGATAGTATTAGTCTCTATAATTATAATAGCGAGACTAACTAAGGTCCTAAGCTAGCTTCTAAGATTATAGTTAGTATATATATATTCTATCGCTATTTTATCGCTTAAGTACCTAGCTAGCTTAGGTCTTAATAGGCAGAGTTAAGATAATAAAGAAGATATAAGAAAGGGGCTATATATTAATAGCTATATATATATTTATATTATACCTTACTATCTTTAATTTATCTACTTCCTTTATATTATTAATAAGTCCCTATATAGCTTAGCTCGAATTTTATATCTTCTTTTATATAGTAATCTCTATATAATCACTACTATATCTACTATTAATATATATCCTATATTAGTATTAGTAATAGTGCTTTAGCTTATTTTATAAAATAGCTCTTACTTAATAATTTCTTAGTATTTATTAATTTACTCTTTAGAGCTAATAGTAAGCTATATCTTAGAGTATTAGTTATATACTATAATACTATTTAAGTATATATAAGGTATCCTCCTTAATAATTAAATTTATAGGCTATATAGGTTCCTATACTATAGAATTTAGTTTATTTAAATAGGTATATAGTATCTTTAAGAAGAAGTATATACCTATAATATAGATATATATAATCCTTTAGTATTAGCGTATTTATATTAGGCTCCTATACCCTAGTAGAGGGAGCTATAGTATTATTAGGAATATAATATCTTATAGTAGGGTTAAGAAATATAGTAGGTATATTCCCTTAGTATATTAGTTACTATTCTTTAAGGTGGTTACTATAGTACTATAATATAGCCTTTAGAGCTATCTATCGCCTAGCTTATTAATATATAATATATTATATCTATTAGTACTAACTACTTATATAAGAAATTTAGGGTTAGACTAGCTCCTCTTAGAATCCTATTATTTAATTTTCTCCCTCTTTTAACTATCTTTAATCTATATATCCTACTATAAAAATAAAGCGAAAGACCTAGTTTTTAATAGTACTTAATATTAGCTTTATATTAGAAATAACTTTTACTAATAGAATATAAGGTCCTCCCTCTAAGCTAGCGAAATAGGCTAGACTAGTAGAGGGTCTAAGTAGGCTAAGTAGGACTATAGGAGTCTTTAAACCTAATACTAGTATATCTAATATATTACCTATTTATATTATTATATCTTATAGGATAATTCCTTCTAATCTCTTATATTTATAGTTTAAGAGGCTAAGCGCTATAGTTACTTATCTACTACTAGTGTATTAGTAGCTACCTAATAATAATATAGAGTTTCTAGGGTATAATCCCTTACTAAATTAGTAATATCCCTTAGCTATTTTATTTAATTCTTTACTAGTCTAGCCACCTCTATCTATAGCTTTATATAGTTAATAGGATATATTAATAGATTAGTATATCCCTCTAGGGGCCCCCTATAATCTATTTAGGTCTTAATATCCTCTATAATCATAGTCTATATCGCTAGCTACTCCTTATACGCTAAACTAGATCTTTAAATATTATATAATAATACTAATATATAACTAATAGTTCTTTATCTATACTAGTTATATATTAGTATTTAGTCGTAATAGTATTACTATATTATATTATAGATAATTAGATATAATAAGCTATATAATAAGGACCTATATAATATACTATAAGCTATTATATATTAGAGTAATAGTGAGTTGATTTTGATTATATATATATAGTACTAATAGTCTATAGGTACTATTTAACTAGTATATAGATATTATAATAGAACGTATTTATATAATATATATAGTATAGCTAAGGGAGAGGTTCTTTATAGAGAATAGATTACCCTAGCTATATAGATATTTTAGCTAGAGGATAACCTTTAGAGGACTTATAGCTTAATATTAGACTTAGATATAGTCCCTATACTAATGATTATATATATATTAAAGAGCGGTACTTTAGATATCTTAGTTTACGCGTACTAGATATTAATAGCCTAGGATATTAATACTATATATATCCTTCTCTAGTATATCCTATTTATTAATAGTATATAGCTTAAAATATTTAAAGATCTATCCCTAGATAGTTAGTAGTTAGTTAGCTATTATTTAGC